GACGAGGACGCCGGCGGGGTGGGCGAACTCGACGAGGTCGAGGGCGGCGAGGAAGGCGCGGCAGAAGGGGGTCGTGAGGCGGTTGTCGGGGGGCGAGGACCAGGTGAGGAGGTAGACGAGGGGCGCCGGGGTCGTGCAGACGATGGAGCCGCCGACGTGAGGGCCGAAGGGCTCTATGGGGATCGTGAAGAGGGGGGTCTGGGAGGCCATGGCGATGAGAGTGAGAGTGAGAGTGAGAGGTGAGGCGAGGTTGGTGGATGTAGTTGCGATAAGAGCACACCGGGGGGGGGAACAAATATGGTTGGGTAAATGGCAGCTCAAAGATGATCTCAACTATCTCCAGGTATCAATAGACCCCAACGCTGTAGATGGGCCGAGCACGATGATGGACAGATTTAGGTATCACAGTGACGGGAGGTTAATTGACGGGTTCGGCAGAGGTGAGATATCTGGAAGTACGGAGTAGCAATAGGTAAGCGAATCTGACCTCGGCTCGGCAAAGATGGGGGTGGGTTGGTGACAAAGCTGGGGAAAACATAATTAGGTGTCAGTTCAGCCGACACCCCCGAGGGGTCTTTCAGCTTTCAACCGTTCACGGTCCCATATGCACTGGCGCTAAATGTCCAATAAAGGAGCCAGTCAGTCAGTTGGAAAGCGAGTAGGAAAGGTAATTAACCTTTGATGTTCAGGGAGACCATGAAGGCCAGATAGGTTTTCACATGTGAACCATAAGGAACCCAAAGCGGCACCAAGCCGATGGTCTCTGATGCACCCCAGACCCGTTGAGCTGCTCGCTTACCTTGGCTAGGTGTCGTCCCAGGTACGTACCGGGATCCTGTATCAGTGAGGAGCCCCCGCCTTACGTAAGACGACATCCCACTCTAATTCTATCCAATCAGCAGCTGTCAATCAAAGAGCTACCCTGGCTGCGACAATCCGCCCAATTCTTGTCCCCCTGGCTCCAGTGTCAGGTCCAGTATCATCTCGTCTCAAGTGGCATTTCTGTCCTCTTAGCAAAGCGGAGCGGCAGTCAAAGACAGATAGCTTGGTCTGGCTATAGCACCACGCCAATCAAATTTATTTGCACCACACACGCAAGCACAAACACGCATACACACGCACAACATCCCCAACCATGGCGGAAAATGACGAGGACCAGAGGACCATCGTCTTCTTCCACCCAGACCTCGGCATTGGCGGTGCTGAGCGCCTTGTTGTTGACGCTGCGGTCGGCCTGCAGAACCGCGGCCACAAGGTCGTCATCTTCACCAGCCACTGCGACCGGAGCCACTGCTTCGAGGAGGCTCGCGATGGTACGACCAGAACGCATTCCATGCCCCCCTTCCCCTCAACTCAAAGAGACGACGATTTTCGTTTTGCTGACGATTTTTCCTCCAGGAACCCTCGACGTCCGCGTCCGCGGTAACTGGCTTGTACCTCCCTCCATCTTCGGCCGCCTGACGATTCTCTGCGCCATCCTGCGCCAGCTCCACCTCATCCTCGAGATCTACGCTACGCGCGAGCTCCAGGCCCTCGACCCCGAGTCCTTCTTCGTCGACCAACTCAGCGCGGGCCTGCCGCTGCTGCAGTACCTCTACTTCAAGGCGCCCATCTTCTTCTACTGCCACTTTCCCGACATGTACCTCGCCCTCGGCCGCGACAAGTGGTGGAAGCGTCTCTACCGCGTGCCCTTTGACTGGATCGAGGAGTGGAGCATGGGCTTCGCCGACGAGATCGCCGTCAACTCGGGCTTCACAAAGGACGTCGCCACCAAGGCCTGGCCGACGCTGGCCAAGCGCAAGAACTTCAAGGTCGTCTACCCCTGCGTCAACGTCGCGCCCAACAAGAGCGACACCTCCAAGATGATTGGCGAGGGCAAGGGCGGCCAGGAAGAAGCCATCTGGACGGACAAGAACATCATCCTCAGCATCAACCGCTTCGAGAGGAAGAAGGACGTCGCGCTCGCCGTCAAGGCCTTCGCCTCGCTCCCCGCGGGCAAGAGGAAGGGCGTGCGCCTCGTCATCGCGGGCGGCTACGACCTCCGCAGCGCCGAGAACTGCCAGTACCATAAGGAGCTGGAGCAGCTGGCGGCGTCGTACGGCCTCGAGACCTTCACCGCCAAGAACATCATCACCGCGCTGTCGGCGCCGGCCCACATCCCCGTCCTGTTCCTGCTCTCCATCCCCTCGAGCCTCAAGGACTCGCTCCTCCGGTCGGCCAGGCTCCTGGTCTACACGCCCTCCAACGAACACTTTGGCATCGTGCCCCTCGAGGCCATGCTGGCCGGCGTCCCCGTGCTGGCGGCGAACACGGGCGGGCCCACCGAGACGGTCGTCGACGGCGTCACGGGCTGGCTGCGCGAGCCGGATCAGGTCGAGCAGTGGACGGCCGTCATGGACAAGGTGCTCAACAAGATGAGCCGCGCCGAGCTGGAGAAGATGGGCAAGGTCGGCCAGCAGCGCGTGCGCACGGGCTTCGGGCAGGAGAAGATGGCGGAGCGGATCGAGAAGATACAGGACAGCATGGTGGACAGGCAGAGGATGCCGCCCTTGATCAACGCCGTGCTCAACTTTATGGGCGTCGGCCTCTTCTTCGCCCTTGGTCTGGTCACATCGCAGCTATTTGCCAATGCGCGGGCGAAAAAGGTGGCCCAGTAACGGAGGCCCCTTTTTCCACTACGATTTCCATGTTTTTTTCTTTTGCAAAAAGCAAATGCTGTACGATACCATACCTAGTCACCGTGCAAGTTACATGGAATGACTTGCATTTTTGGCAATGAATCGAGAATAATACCCCCCTTGAGTCATATATGTTGGAGCAGTAATTCCCCACCCCGCCCCGAGTGTTCCCTTCCCCGTCCCAGTTGACCCCCACGTAGCGGGGTAAATGAAGGCAGCGTGCGCCCCTCGGCCGATTGTCTCACTTTCACTTCCAACCTCGGACCCCAATCACATCGTAGCTAAACACTACCATACCATGGCATCCGACACAACACCGGAACCGGCCATGTCCAGCCGCGCCGCGCTCGTCGACTTCTTCTCCCGCAGCCTGACGGCTTTCCAGTCGTCCAAGGACGTTTTCCGCGTCGTATGCACCCTGTCGCGGCGGAGGGGCCACGATGACACGGCGGCGGCGGCGACGACGCCGGTGCCGCGGCCGCCAAGGGAGGAGCGGCCGCCGCGGCGGGTGAGGAGCCTCGTGGTGCTGGACTCGTCGTTCAACCCGCCCACGCTGGCGCACCTTCGGATGGCCGTCTCCGCGGTCCGGGATCTGCGGCGCAGCGGCGGCGGCGGCGGCGGCAGCGACGGCAGCGACGCGGGGTCCCGGGAGGAGGTTTCGGCCGTGAGGCTGCTGCTGCTCCTCGCGGTGAACAACGCCGACAAGAAGCCCCAACCGGCGGCGTTCCCCGTGCGGCTGGGGATGATGCACGCCTTCGCCCAGGACCTGCTGGACGAGCTGCGGGCAGCTGCGTCGTCCATGGCAAAGGGGGGCGGGGAGCCGCAGGACGGGGAGGAGGACGACGAGGTGGAGGTCGACGTGGGGCTGACGACGATGCCGTACTTCCACGACAAGAGCCAGGCCATCTCGGACGCGGGGTTCTACGCCGTAGACGGGCAGGGCCCGGAGCAGGTCTACCTCGCGGGGTACGACACGCTGGTCCGCATCTTCAACCCCAAGTACTACAACGCCTCCGCCGGCGCGCCGCCGCCGTCGTCGGGCAGCGGAGATGTGGACGGAGGGGTGGCGCCGATCCGGCGCGCTCTGGACCCGTTCCTCGAGAGGTCCAGGCTGCGGATCACGACGCGGGCGGACGACGAGTGGGGCAGCGAGGCGGACCAAGTCGCGCACCTGGAGAGGCTGCGGAACGGCGGGCTGGAGGAGGTGGGCGGGCGCGCGGCGTGGGCGGAGAGGGTCGAGACGGACCGGGGGCTGGGGGAGGTCGTCAGCAGCACGAGGGTCAGGCGGGCCGCGAAGGAGAGGGACGAGAAGGCCCTTGGACGGCTGGTCGGGGCGAGGGTCAAGGAGTGGGTGCTGGGCGAGGGGTTGTATCACGAAGAGTAGATGATGGTGCTGGTTGATTGTAGCCGGCTGTTTGGTATTTATTGACGGGGGAAGAAGGGAAGGGTTTCCTGGAGCTCGCGATGTTTCCCCCCCCCCCCCCCCCCCCAAGCCTCGAATCGAACATGGTCCTCCCTCCTCAGAGAGGCACGGCGGATTCAGGGAGATATGTTTACGGCAAAGGCCACAGCAGACTAACCCAGTTAATGGCACATTTCAAAGCGGAGTGATTCACTGGCGACGGCTGCCTCGAACAGGCCCCATAAGGAAGCAAACGACACTTGGCGAGGGGAGGCGTTGTTGACCTTTTGAGTCAAGATTTCCCGTCGACGAAGGATTCGACATTGGACTGGAACACGCGTTGTGCTGAGTCAAGACAGCAAACAGACGACCACGCCTCACGCTGTATCTCAAGGACGAAAGGGTGGCAGATCTAGATGTGGGTGATTGGTGCTTCTTCACCCTCGCCATCACGGCCGTCGCCGCTGCCGCCGCCACCTGTATGACTGAACATTGTTCAGTTCGCATCGACGTCGTTTTCCCGTCTCTGAGCCGTCCATCCAAGTCCTGGGGGGGGGGGGGGGGGCTTTTCTCCCTTGAAGCCTTCAACGTCGATGGCTCGACCCGGGCCCGAAGACGAAAATCTGTAGATGCAAAGGAGAAGAATTTTCTCCCGAAACGGATGCCTGATTCTCCTGTCTCTCCCAAGGCATCTCATTCTTTTTCAACCCGCTCTTTCCTCCATTTCACGATGCAGAGTTTTTTTTTTTAGTTTTTTTTTCTCTTTAGCCCTTAGGGGTACGTACCCGTCGCCCTTTTTTTCACCATCCCCAATTCCCATTGGCTGCCATTGCTACTGATCCGTCCCCCACCCAGGGACCCACACCACCCTCGGCCAGACGTCTATATAAACCGCCCTCCCGGCCGCGTCTCTTAGGATTTTCTCTTCTTCTTTTTTCTTCATGTCGACAATACTTCAGAGAATCATTTCTATAGTATTCGACCCACTCTTGGTTCCCTAAAGGAGCCACAGATCCCACCCTGGTTGATGATTGATATCCTCGACACCCTAGAGTGAAGAAACTCTGGTTGCCCTCGCATCCCGCGCAAGCGGGACGGCCTCGTCTTTCACGGCGCGGCTGTATAGAGGGCGTTTGATGATCTCGTCCCCTTCCGCGGTCTTGCCTTCGTGGCGCGCGGATGGGGCGGGTGTCGATGGACGTCTGACAGGCTCTGACCCTTTTTTTTTTTTTCTCTTTTCGTTGCGGCCTGGAGCTTGCTCTGGACGTGAGGAAGATGCGACTATCTTTTTTTTTCCCTTTCTGGTTCCTACGAACCAGACCCTGCAGTGATTTACTTCACCTTGACTACACTCCGAGATACACCAATGCTCTCCCATGGTCTTTCTCTATTTTGGTTCAAGGAAGATTGATGTCCTTTAGCCCATTACTCACCGCGGCTTCCCACTACACCATGGAGGTCGAGGTCCACAACCGAGGCTAACAACTTATTGCCCACCCAAATTATTGTCACTATCCATATTGATTGACCCTTGCAATTAAGCGTGCCGTTTGACTGTTCGATGATTTCTGCCGCCTGGCCGCTTTGCGGTCGCTGCTCACGACTTCCGTTGACTGGAAGCTCGGCACTAGCGTGGAGTAACCAAGCAAAACAGTCTCCTCCCAGTCCCGCAGAGAGAGCCTGGACATGGAATGCTTGCGACGATAGTGGTATAATAATCTATTTTTGTCCGGCCAATCCTAGTCCTGCTTAAACTACCAGTCGTCTAAATGGACCGCTTTTGATGCCATGGCCTCGCAATCACATTCCTACTGCTGGTCGCTCAGTACGATCTACCTGAAGCGTAGCTCTGCGGCCGAGTGGACTCGTAATACCCATACGCCAAATCACCCCCATCGTGCTCCTCCCTCCTCCGCGGGTTGGCAGTGGGAGCGTACGCCTCGTAGGTGCGCGGTGCGTGTGGCATATCTGCGTACGGCTCTGGCCCCGGGGGCCCGGCGTATCCCTCGCCGGCGTACCACCCATTCGCGCTGCCGGCCGGGTACGGCGAGCCGAGGTCGGGATCGCCCGCGGACCTGAGCTGACCCTCGCTCGCGGACCTGAACTGCGTAGCGACGTTGACCGCCTCGCGCGAGAGCTGGCCCCAAGACCCGTGAGGCCTCAAGAGCCCCTGTGCGGGGACGGCGGGCGAGGGCGCCGGCGCGGCGGCAGTAGCGGCACTGGTTCTAGGTGCTGTGCCGAAAGGCCTGGGCTCCGCTGCTGACACCTCGAAACAGGCGGCGTGGGCCAAGATGAGGCTGGCGACCTGGATGAGGGTGCAGATGACGCTAAAGAGCGAGGAAAAGGCCCACAGCGCGACAATGGCGGAGACGGCGGCGAAGCCGGATATGATGCTCTGGGTGGAGGCGTATCTCCGCACGCCCAGGTCCCGGGCGAGGTCGCGGCCGTTGTGCGCCTGGATGAAGAAGCCGACCTTGACGACGGCGAACAGGGCGACGAGGACGAGCCAGTGATTGGCCAGGAGGTTGCCGACCAGCAGGATGAGGTAGACGTTGCTGTGGCGGGGCAGATTCGTGGCGAGGCGGTCGTGGAGGACGGCCTGGGAGGGGGGCGGGGTGAGGTTCTTTGGGTTGATGAGGTTCGTCACGGGGGTGTCGGGCAGGGGGCCCAGCTCGAAGGACGATGAGGATAGCTGAGGCATAGACTGGAAGGCATTGAAGGCTGTTTGGATGTTGCTGATGACGGAGGACGGCGAGAAGGTGCGGTTGCCGTGGGCGGTGACGACGGCGGCGGGGTCCGTAGCCGAGGATGACGAGCCACCGCTGCGTCTCTTCTTGGGGCGCATGTCTCGGTACTTGGACGGTCTGGCGGAGCGGGAACGGGAGCGGGAGCGGGAGCGAGATCGTGAGCGAGACGGTGCTCTCGACGAGGACGAGGGGGCGTCCGGGGCCCTGGCGGTCGGTCTGAGAGAAAATCCAGCGACATCCCATCTCGACTCCCGCGCGGACGAGGTCGGATAGCTATAGGGCTCGCGAGGGGCGAGATGGGCCGAGTCCCTCGAGGAGGCCACGTGCTCGTCGGAGTAGGAGGACCTGGCCATCTTATTCGAGGGTGTGTTGAACAATGTCTGGGGAGGGGGGATGAAGGAGATGAGACAACGAGTGAAGTGCAAAGAATGTGTGTGTGAGAGATGAGACTGCCGGACGATCAAATTCCAGAGATGAGCGAGTTGACTTGGGGAGGTTCAGGTCACTTACACTCACTCACTGACCACCGCCCTTTTTATTGTATTTTCTGATGGAAAGGAGGAGGGATGGAGAAGAAGAAATCTGGCAAGTTAGCAACGAGGAGGAAATTGTGTCTCCTGCGTTGGTCGGTACCGGTACGAAGTAAATATCTGTGGAATGGATGGAATGACAAGGATTGAACAGGCAGCTACAGTTGCAGCTGCAGTTGAGCCCGACCCTGGAAGTGATTGGGGGAAGCTCAGGTTCAGTGGAGCCGCATCCGGAACCCAGAGCCGGCGACCAAGACGGGGGGAGGGGGGGGGCATCCATCTACATACAACACCTGACACCTGTTCTCTATATCCACGCCCACACCGACGACTTACCGGCGATGCTCTTTCTCTCCCTCTCCATCTCTATCTCTCTCTCTCTCTCTCTCTCTCTCTCTCTCTCACTCACTATCTTCTTGAGCTTGAATGAGTTGTGGATGTGGACAAGATGAGGGCCATGTTGGGTGTCTTTGCTCGGCATTTACGGACTCTATAAAACCGCCTCGAAACGAAAGTCAAAGCTCCAGCTGCTGCCACGGCGCCGTCGTCGATTCTGCGTCAAAGCTGGGACGGCCCGTTAGCTCCTGGGGTGAAACCGTCGGCCAAGAAGTGCGTCATCACGGGCCTTGGGAGGGGTTCTCCAAGGTTTCTGGAAAGTCTCCAGAGCTGCCAGACCTGCATTCCGCCCATAATGAACCTCGGCTCCGACCAGATGCAGCACGTAAAATCTGTCGAGTATAAAACAGAAAACAACCACGCTGCAAAGTTTCCAGTCCCTTTGCCCCGACAACCTCGACGCCATACGCAGCATCACGGGTACACGCCTCTGACCGGCTCCTTTTTGGAAAAAAACGACGCGGGCAGACTGAAAGACGGGTCCACCTTCTGCCTATGCTGAACGCTGTCCCGGATCATGTCGTACCCAAAGTTGTACGCAAAGAATTCTTCCGGTTTTTCTGCAACACGTCACAGTTCGCATCTCTGTCCGGTTCCCATCAGCCCGCGTCGGCTTCTCGCTTTGACTTACTCGGGACCGCGTCCGCGGGCATGTACTTGGTCGCCTCTTCCCGTATGAGCCCCGGCTCCTCTTGCCCGGCGTTGCTGAAGATCTGCATCACGCTCGGGGAGGGAGTACGGGGCCAGGTTGGACTCACGAGGTAGCATCGGGTGCGCGGCATCTCCCGCCAACGCCATCTTTCCTTTCGCCCAGGCAGGGATCGGAGCTCTGTAAAGCAGCGCCCATTGCTTCAATCCGGTTGCCTCGCTGTGAGGGACTCAGTTTCCCGATCACAGAGCCAACCAGAGAGCGCGCTCACTTTAGAATTGCAAGGACAGTCGGGTGAAAGTCGGCATATCTTTCTAGCAGAATGTCCTTGCCGACAGGGTCATGCCAGTCTTCCTTCTTGATCGACCCCATGTCGTCGTTGTGGGAGATGGCGACGAAGTTGTGGATTTCGTCGCTGTTTTGTCTTGTTGCATCAGTTACGTGCACTCACTCGTCTTGAATCTTCTCAGAACGCGCTCTCTTTCTGCAAGGATACGAAACAAGCCGCTTCATGTCGCCGACCAAGAACAACATCCGGCCGTCGCTGCCTTCGTTCGAAAACCTCGTCACCGGGTCCGCCTCGATATCAGCTGCGGATGATCGTGTAGTTATGTGCGGCGCGGATCTTTAGGCGCCGAGCATAGGTTTTCATGGGAGAGGCGTCACGCAAACGCTAGCTAGTTCTATAACGAAGGTCGGAGACAAATCACCGAACGAGCAATGGGAGGGTATACTGACTATTTATGCATCGCGTCTCGTCATTTAGATCTATGACGCCACTCAAGCTAGGTAGGCCAGACCAGACCAGGCCCCCGAGACTCTACGTATGCTTATTACTCGGAAAAGAAAAGGCCCAGGTCGGGAATAAGACCGACGATGGACTGGGACGCATAGCCGAGGAGACAGGCTAGGGAACAAGCAATTCGTGCATGATAATAGCCTCGTCCTCGTTCGGCGGGGTTCGAATCACGTCCTGAACAGGGCAGGGGTGCAACACGGGAGCCCCGATTATGCAGGCTGGTATCTCACAGGGTCCATGGCGAGACTCCGTTGGTGGGAACTGGCGAACTGGACTACCATCATGTCTGTTTTGCGAGCTTCAGAACGGGGAGACCCCGCAACGAATTGTCTGCTTGGTAGAAGAGTATTGGTCTTCGTCCGGTGCCGGTCCAGTTATCGATGCAGAGAAGTATGTAACGCCCTGCATGAAATGTCGGACACACGCCGCTGTGTCAATAGTAAAAGTCATACAGGATCGTGAAGCCCCACACTCCTTGGTCAAAAGGTCGGGAGACCTGGGACACGTGTTCGGCGATGACGATTGGGGGGGGGGGGAGGTGAAAAAGGGTTGGATTGAATGTTTAGAAGTCTTGAGTAGGGAGATTCAGCGTCGAGCCATTGCCCGGTTGCCAACAAATATTTGATACGACAACAGGCTCAAGTTAAAGTTCACACTGCCGTGGTCTCTTCTCTCAAAAAGACTTGAATGGCCGACCATCTTCCGGCCACGCTCTAGAAAGCCTCTTGCGCTGGCCTCATGTCCAATTCGTGGGTCCACAGCGAGCTTGGCTGTTGCGAAAGCCACAGGTACAGCTCGCCAACGTCCTCCGCCCGCATCTTCTTGCCGGTTTTCGTGTCCTCGCCCTCCTCGTCGGTGATGCCGCCGTTGGCAATCGCATGGACCACGTGCACGCCGAACTTGCTGTGCTCCTTCGCGACGGCCTGTGCCACCATGCGCGCCGCCGCCCGAGAGGCGCCGTAAGCGGCATACTGCTGGTTCGTCCGCATGGCCCCCAGGGTCCCCGTGAAGATGACGGTGCCCTTCTTGGCCCCGTCCGTGTCGGCGAGGAGCGTCTGCCCGCCGTTCTGCGCGTACATGACCTTCAGGGCCTCCTGCGCGAACACGACGGCGCCGGTGGTGTAGGCGCTCATGCTGTCGTTGAAGGCTTCCGGCGTCTCCTCGAGGAACGGCTTCCTGCTCGAGCTCTTGACGTGGTAGACGGCCAGCTTGAGCTTGAGGTCCTTGAAGTCCGGGTGGTCGGCGATCTGCTGGAACGCGCGCCGGAGGTTGTCCGGCTGGGTGTCCGTCGGGAAGGGGTGGAGGATGCCGTTCGAAGACTTGCGGAGATCGGATGCGAGCTTGTGCAGGTTGTCTGGGTTTCTCGCGAGGAGGGCGACTGCGAGGTTGCCATGCTGAGGGCTTGCGAGGATGCGGGCGATGCCTGCGCCGGATGTTGGCCCCGCGCCGATGAGGATTGCGAGTCCTTTGGGTGCCATCCTAGCAATCTTTCCCGGAGCTGTGAAATAAGGTGTTGGAAAGGATAGTTGGATTCTAGGCTGTCGTAATCATCCCAATGTTGTGCTTCTTAGCAACCCTTATACTCTTATGGGTATGTCATTCTGATGATCCTAGAGGACCGGCATAGACGTAGACGTCATTGATCGTCTGCCCCACATTATACTCACGGCGGGAAGAAGAACGATGAATCTGTTGGGGGATGAAGCGTTTGGGGATTAGCCAAGTGAAATGCCTTTGTCCTATCAGTGTCTGCGAGATCCTGATGGGGGTGTCTGTAGAAACCCATACCTCGGCCTTTCCACAACTGTTCTAGACTAACGGCAAAGACAAAGCCGGGTCACGACACGGCGACATCGTGGAATACAGCGAAGAAGACAGGCATGCGGTCGAGGTGGTTCAAACAGGGAAATTCAAGCCCCGGAGTCCCTGATATTCAGATATCAAGCAGCATTTCTACATCACTTTAGTTCCTCGAAACACAATTAATCTAAGGCCCACGAAGCCCAGCTTGTTGCCATTTCTCCAACCACTTTCTCACCATATGCACGTCGATTCGTCGTCCACCGCCTACTTTGCCTGCCTCGAACACCACGCCCTCACCGTTCCCGGATCCTTTAGCCATTTCCTGGAAGAAACCCAAAAGTTTCAATGCCGGAGTCTTTTGTTCCTGCGGACCGGCGGGACTTGTTTGGGTCTCTAGCAGAGAAACCCATTCGCTCATTTCCACGCGTGCAAATTCGAGCCGCGAGGCCTCACACAGCAGAGAGAGCAGCTCATCCCAGGAAATGGAGGCCGGGTTGACGAGGTTGGTCACGGCATACGGAGACTCATCGGCCGAGGAGAACACCGCCTTTTGGATAGCCTCTGCACAAATGTCGACCGGAAGCCAGTCGACTTTGGTCTGCAGCACCGGCATTGCTGAGAGAACATCCAGCCCGGTCATCATGAGGATCGGCCACATCTCTGTGTGATTCCATACCCCCAGTTTCGAATGACCACACAGCTGGCCAACTCTGAGTACGTGGACAGGCATCTTGAGCACAGAAGCATAGTGCTGTGTGACTTGTTCCACGATGAACTTGGACTGCGCATATCCCGTGGACAGTGCGTTTCCGGGATCAGGGCCAAGAGGCAGTTCCGGGACTCTCGTGCCAGACTGGTTGCCCATCGCTGCGGCGACGCTGCTCATAAAAACGAACTTCTTCTTCGCTCCCTTCAGGCAAAAGGACATCAGGTTCATGGTGCCTAAAGTCGGAGTCAGTCTGACCGAACATCCATCCAAGAAGAGCCGGCCACATACCTCTCAGGCAGTCATTCTCAAATTGCTGGATTGGCTGGTTGAAATCCAGTTTCCAGGCGTTGTGCATTACGAGAGTTACTTCGCTGGCCAGCAGCTCAAACGTTTGGCCGTCCGATCCCAGGTTTGTGTCTTTCATGTCGTAGTTTACCGCGAAGATCTTCTCGCTCTGGTAGATATGCTCCGAGTAGCCCCTCGACTTCATCGAGTCCCTCACTCGAGCTTGCGGATCGGTCCCTCGTACGGCGCAGTAGACCTTCTTGACTGCCGGTAGCTGAGCGAGAACTTCCAATAAAGCATTGCCCAGAGCGCCGCTTGCACCTGTCAGGTACACGACCTCGCCATTGTCTGGGCTATTGCCGATGCTTTGAGGCAATAGGGTCGCCCACTGGTCAATTTCGCGGTTCATGTGCTGAACAGTCGACTTGGCCCACGCATGGTGCTGATCTTGAACGGATGCCTCGCCACCGGGTCCTTCTTTCTTGTAGTTATGGAGAAACCCAAGCAGTCCTTTCACTGTTGGATATTCGAAGACGAACATCAGAGGAAAGCTTCCGAAAACCTTGACAAGCTTCGACCGCAGTTCGACTGCGCGGAGGGAATCCAGCCCGAGCCCGTACCAATCCTGGTCCTCGGCGACATCTTCCTGCGGAAGCCCCAACACATCGGCCACGGCTCGCTGAATGGTCTCTGCCGGCGAAAGATCGGTATCGCTGGGCGAAACATTGTCAAAACCATCAGTGGCTGTCGTATCACCGAGGAGGCGGTTGTACAAGTCCTCTACCCTGTCCCCGTAGGACTCCCACGCAATATTGCGTCGCACATTCCCTTTGGGTGTGACGGGAAGAGTCTCGCCTCTCCCGAGAATGAGAATGATCTCGCGGGGAATCCTAGAGTAAGCCGCGACTTTCTCATTGCACTCCTGCACCACTTCCCACACGGCTTCGTCGAGATGCATATCTGACGTTTCGCGCATCTTGTCCCAGCGGTCCCAACGGATCTCAACAACGAGAGAAGGGCATGGTTTCCCCGTACCAAACACTGCCGTCTTTGAGATAACAGTGGTTTTGTTTTCCTCCAAAGACATGGCGAGCGCCGTAGCGTGTGTCTTTTCGCCATTGCTGTGTACGAGGATGTCGTCACGCCGGCCCTGAAGCACGAAATATCCACTTCCGGGAGGGTCTTCCAGAAACAGATCTCCCGTACGATACGGGTTTGGCGCCGACTCGTCAAGCCAAAGCTCCGCTGCGAGAGGGAAGCCTTTGTAAACGACGCACTCGAACAAGCCGTCTCCCAAGGGCTCCATACGCACCAAGGGCGATTCCGGGTACAGGTTTCGGAACCGATACACGTCGGGATTGTCTTTCGTGTGAGGTATTGTTCGAAGGGGCGGTCCTATCTCGGTAGTCCCGTAGGTAGTTTTCACATTCACCCCGAGCGCTTGAAGCCTTTTCAGCACGGCAGGAGACAGGGGAGCCCCGCCTGGCTGCAGCACCTTCAACCGCGTGAGAGGTGTGAAGTCTTTGGTAGTCAAGGATATGTATTCATACAAGTCCTCGATAACCGAGGGGGCGCAATGAAGGCAGTCAGCCGGGTACCCGATCTCCTCCAGGGCTTTCCATGCCGAGAGAATGGAGCTCGGGGCTGGCGGCCAATTCGCAGGAGGAAGAGATGTCGGAAGTCCTGTCGGGATGCCTGACAAAGCAATTGATAGCCCTGCAATATGGAAACTGTTCGGTTTGCGTTAGCAGCTGCTCCGAGACTCCTCGGATGAACGTGAGGGGAGAAACCTGGTAAGTCTTACAGCGGAAAGCAGAGATACCAGTTCTCTATAAAGTATTCTGGCAGTAATCTGTACATCCTGGCGATTTGACACAGACTCCTGTTGGTATGAATGATCGGCTTTGGCATTCCCGTGGAGCCCGACGAGTGAATTATCATCGATTGCAAGTTCCACTCGTCAGTCGTTTCAAACGCTACCTTATCCTTGAGGACCTTCTGTCTACTCTCGCGCAGGTCAGCAAGGCTGGCCAGATTGACAACCGAGAGTCTACACGCCTCTCCCTCGCCGCCGAGAGATGCCTCGTTCGCCTTGTCAACGACGATGGCGACCGCGTTGCACACCTGGAGGAGGTGATCTCTTGTTGCAGGCGAGTTCTTGTTGCTGAGCAGAAGGACCCGGACATGCAGGCTGTTCAAGGCGATTTGCGTGACCAAGTAATCAATCGAGGTCCCAGTTCCCAGCAGTGCGACTGTGGGTTGCTGGCCGGCACCATTGGCGTGTCCAATCTCATTCCGAAGTTTCTCGGAATAATATGCTGATGCTTCGCAACAAAGATTCTGGAGCGCAGACCAGTCGAACACCTCGAATGAGTCGTCTACGGGCGATATGAATGCTGCCCGTAGTGGCTGTGTCGCCGCATTGTGCTGGACCAAAGCAGCAATGCTCGACAAGCTTGGGTCGGAGAACCTATGCAGTTTGAGTCAGAGATGATGACGAGAAGCATCACGGGATGGGGACTTAGTACTTCGCGCTGTGAGGTTCGCCGTGCAAGTTCCATAGCCTCGTCAGTTCCTTGTCCGCATTTGACGAAGGAAACACGGACGGGTCGACCATGGTTCTTGGTGAAGCAGGCTTCAGATCTGAAGTCGCGATGGGTGCCATGTTTGCGAAGACACAAAGTTACGACTTCAGTGTAGTTGTGGCGTTATTACTCGCAACTTTCATCGCAAGATTCGGCCCCCCCGGCGTTCGGTCTCCTTGATGATATCCACAAAAGCCCCAAGTCTTCTTGTCGAGCTCAGTCGAGTGATCACAGTATATGTTGAGCCATCTGCTCAGAGTAACACTGTCCGATTGAATTGAGTGATAATTGACCTGATGATAAGAACTACCGACAAGATAAAACCCACTGGCATGGGCCACAATCTGGCTGATAGCGGATGAAAGCCTATCATGGCTATCTCCGCATCATGACCAAATAATACAGGGGAGTGTCCACACTGGAGATTGATAGGCCAAGCAATCTGATAAGCATATCGGTGTCGTAGAAATAGGCGCACACGAAGGCAGGCTGGGTGAATGGGATTCTGTAAGTAAAAAGAATGAAACATCTGTTCGCAAGTCCCCGCCCGACTTGGGATTACCCTTCTGCATTCCGCATCTGATTTGGCAACCCAAGGACTCGCGGCCGCCAACAGCAGCATACCGCAGAATGGGACTTCGAAAACGCCTGGAGCTCCGCTCCGAAAACGCCGAACTCGGCACGGAGGGGGGCCGGCTTTCCAACAAAGACATGGATCCTATTCCGATGGGCTCGCCCGAACGCACCTGGGGCTGGCCGAGTTTGCTCGGATTCTGGATCGCCGAAGCATTTTCTATTTCCATGTATCAAGGTGCGTGACAAAAACAAAAACAAAAGCCAACGTTCGGGACGGCGCCTAACTTCCATCCATCACTTGGAAACAGTCTCGTCAACGTCTGTGACGAAAGGTCTCAATCCTGGTCTAGCCATCCTCGCGGTATTCATCGGCCATGTCTTGGTATGCATTCCGGCGATACTCGACGGATACGTTGGCTGTATCCTCGGAATCAACTTCCCGGTCTTCACGAGAGCATCGTTCGGCATAAGGGGCTCGTACGCTGCAGTGTTTGTACGCGGAGTTGTCGCTTGCATCTGGTTCGGCACACAGTCTTTCCAGGGCGGGCAGTGCTTGCAAGTCATGATCTCTGCCATCTGGCCGCAGTTCAACCGTTTCCCGAACCATTTGTCGGCGGACGCCCACGTCACAAGCTCGGAGCTTCTTTGCTTCTTCCTCTTCGTCATCGTCCAGTTGCCTCTGCTTTGGTTACATGTGAGCAGTCTGAGGTACATGTTCATGGTCAAGACAGTCATCATGCCAATCTTCGGCTTGGCTCTTTTCATCTGGGCCATCGTCGCTGGTAAGCGTCCAACTCTCTGCCGAACTGACGACCAAGACGAGGCGCTGATGCTTTACAGGCAAGGGCTTTGGACCCACGTTTTCTAAACCCACCATCATCAAAGACGGAACACCGGCAGCTGTAGTGTTCTTCCAGTGCGTCACGAGCGCCATCGGTCCCAAAGCCACCCTCGCCCTGAACATGCCAGACTTCACCCGATACGCCAAAGATCCAAAGCAGGTTTTCTGGACCCAGGCCGTAGGGCTATGTATACTCGTAACGATGTGCGGCGTGTTGGGCGCGACGGTCAGCAGCGCCTCGGAGGTCATCTACGGCAAGGTGACATGGAATCCCTTGGAGGTTGCCGTGCTGTGGGACAACCGCGCCGCACAGTTCTTTGCCGGTCTCTGCTGGGCATTTGCTGTTATCGGTACGAATATCAGCGCGAACAGTGTCTCGTTCAGCAATGATCTTTCGCTCTGGTTTCCCAAGTACATCAACAACAGGCGTGGGGCCTATATATGCGCCGTCTTTGGCGTCTGCGCCGTGCCGTGGTACATCCAGTACAGGTAAGCTTTGGAACCCCCCCCTCGCTGTCAAATTGTCTTTGATATTGACGATGACTACAGTGCCAAGTCCTTCTCCTCCTTCCTTGGTGGATATGCCCTCTTCCTGGGCGCCATCGCGGGCGTCATCGTTACCGACTTCTGGATTTGCCGCGGCCGTAAGGTGGCGGTCTCGTCGCTCTATGACCCGCGGGGCATTCACTATTACACTTTTGGGGTCAACCCTCGAGCTGTGATTGCTTTCATTTTCGGCATTATCCCGAACATGCCCGGGCTCGCAGCCGCTTGTGGTGCGAGGGGAATTCCAAAAGGAGCGCTTTATCTGTACAGCTTGAGCTGGCTGGTCAGTACGGTGGTTGCAGGGTTTACGTATTGGCTTTGCTGGAAGATCGTGCCTTTTCCTGTTGATGACAGACAAGAGCAGCTATACGTCGACGGACTGCCGGAGACGGAAGAATCGATCGGGTCAGAGAAGGGCGTGGAGACCAAAGAGCCAAATGTTAAGCCGATTTGATGTACTACTCATTGGCATATGCCCTCTATTCTGAATAGTACACTAGCAGGCTAGAGAAATCCACAGACAAGTTGAAAGGGCCAGTCTCATTGTTTGCCTATCTCTCTGCGGTCATCTGATGACGTGACGGTTACAGATTCCGATTCGACACCGCCTCAGATGCAGAAGGCGTCAATTCGATGAGCCTCCCCAGCCCGGCTACGAACATGGCATCTAGTCGAAGCAAACTCAAATTCAGGAGATCACAGCTCCTAGACTTGATGCGGAGCAAGCCTCGCCAACGAGTCAAGAGCGTCAACGACTCATCAGCATCCGCCGGGGACGGGGACAAGGCGAAAAGCAGAACGATGAAGTTACTTGCGATGGCGAAATTGACTCGTGAATCTGCTTGTTGTTCAGCGATGGAATCCCCTCTCCGTAGGTTAGAGTTGACTTACAAGAATGCCAGAACGCTTCTAGATGATGAGCCTCAAGCCTCGCCAAGAAGTCGTACATCTCTCGAGCGACGGCCATAGCCCCTGTACGCAAGGCCATACGGGCCTCAATAGGAGCTTCGGTGTTCTTCGGCCGCAGCAGAGCTTTGAATACTGATATCTTCGCAGTGATGTAGGCAAGCTTTATACTGCCGTTACCGTCCAGGCCATGATGAGGCACGCATGTGGATGGTTGGTCTGCCACATCTGGACGATCCTGCAGCCACTGGGCGAGCTCCATTCGCAACGGCCGGGCAACTTCGAAAGTCGCATCCAAGGATTTTGAAAGCACCCTCGTGGCTTTGACAGAGCTATGCAAGTCAGCATCGATTTCATGGAGCCTTCCCAGACGAAGCCTGTGCCCTAGAACTCACAACATGTGTCGTTGAATCTTGGAAACAATCTCAGTCAATGAAGCCAAGTGCAGGAAGTGATTGAACGCTGGTGCATCGTCATCAACCTCCGGCATAGACTCAAAGTCGTCTGCGCGAAGAGAGGATACATCCCAGTCGCATTCCTGAATGTGGGAGCTGCGGCCAAAATTCAGGCTAAGCCACTGGTCCTGTACGATCACTGCCCAGGCCAATCGTCGACGGAGCCGCTTCTCCCATGACGGGATCGACCAATCCGTTGGGTCCAGGTTGAGACCGAGGCATTGTGCCAACGCAACAGTGTCTGCCAGCATGACCCATTTGAACGGGGTGTCCGCCACGTGCTTGTTGGTAGGCCGACGCTGGATCATGAGGAGCATCGTTTGCACCACAGCGAGTGACGGGGTGTGAAACAGGGAGAGTGCTGCCATCCATGCCAGCTTGAAGAGGCGATCCGCTGAAGGCAGCGTATCAACGTCCACACATAGCTTGTCGTCAAAGACACAGAATGGCAGAGCATGTCCGTAAATAGCTGCCAAGAGGCAAACTGGTAAGGATGACGGTTTAGTGTCAGTCTCTCGAACCACCTGCTCCCTGGAGAGGATCGGAAAGTATGGCTGGATATATCTCCAAAACCTGAGTCGTCGCTTATTAGAGATTTCCGAGACAATGGCAACAGCAGGGGGGAGAAGGATTTCCGCCTTACAGGTTGATCAGCCTTTTGCCGACCTCCTCGGGTATCATATCCGCAACTTCAGATCGAAGATCGGACTCGCTACCCGCAAGGCCTTCTGGCTGTGCCTTTCTTGCCAGAGAGTTGTTTTGAAGCATGAACTGGGTAGGCGTTCCATCGTTCAAGCCCACGTTTCTGATGTGAAGTTGCTGAAAGGCGCACTCGTTCTTCTCGTCGAAACGGTACAGATGAAGCAGATACGGATCTGATTCGCCGCTGAGCCCAATCACCTGGGCATTATAACCAGGGGTTGCGTCTAGTGACGACGGCGATGGGGGGGCATCCCGCCGGAATATGTCTGGGTGACTCTCGGCGTGTAGTGAATCCGGGCTGGTAGAGTCCGCCACGTCTTTGCCGAAATTGGCTTCATTCCCGGGCGAATTAGTTTCGGTGAATGGGGATCTCATGCCGATATCGGAAGGATATTGACTTTGATGACGCGAAACGATGACATCGCTCGAATCGCTCATACGCCGAGGGTCTGAGACGCGTCTTCTTTTGTTGGGTTCGCCAACAAAGGTGCAGTCTTTGCCCAGCCGTTTGCACAGCTCGCAAGGCGGCTGATCGTGCAACAGGCAGGCTGCGCGCTTGTAGCGGCAGAAATCGCAAGGATGGCTATTACGATGACTAGCCTTCCTAGTTCGGTTGCGATTAGGACTCTCCATGATATGATGGCAAAGGAGAAGATGGAGGAAGTCTGCTCTCACGCTTCATGTTCCCCGCGCGTCCCCAGTATTATTCATGTTGGGTCTACGGAGTATAGTTAACTACCTAGTTGCCTCGCACTCTGATAAGAGGACGATGTCCGATTGGTCAATTAGACTGGTCTACAGTCCAGACAAACCCCCAGTTATGACCGAGTTATATGAGTCGTATCTCCTTCTTCGGCGGTTGTTTTCCCTTGGATGCCAAGTTGAGATAGATACACTAGATACGCTGGTCTCGCGACGAACTCAGATCCAATCTTGTCCCCTTGCTTTGCGTCCGTCACCGGAGCTTTTGTACACGCCGCTTTTCGCCGTTCGGCCTCCCATCCTTACAAGTCCCGCCAAGTGATGCACCCCGGCCAGCACGCCGTCGACTACCTGCACATCTTCACCGACGGCCGCTTCGACGGCACCCTTGAGCGGAGTCATACCCGCACAGCCGAGCAGCAGCACGTCGGCCCCTTTTTCCTCAACCAGACGTTTCCCAACGTTGGCCATGATGCCCATCACCTCATCCTGGCTTTTCTCGTGAAGGTCCAACACCCCGAGCTTGCAGGAGATGACACCGGCACAGGAGGTGGAGAATCCATAGTGATGAATGCTGTCTTCATGCAATACCCGAGACCGCTCGCTCACTGCAACGAGCCCAAACCGCCCACCAAGGGTCCGGGCTGCGAAGAGCGACGCTTCCATGATGCCGATGACAGGCTGACGGGGAAGTTCCTCCCGAAGCATGCGGATGAGGGCGTGGTCAGAGTAGCAAGCCACCAGGACTGCGTCGTGCGTAGACGCAAGAGGGAGAACCGCCCGTGCGGCCGCAGCGGCCGACATGACGTTATCGAAGCTGCCTTCAATTGCCGACGGGGAAGGTCTTGGTGCGGTGAAGCCCGTGACAATTACATCTGGGGGTAGCTGACTCTCCACCATGGCGACGCAGGCGTCGGTCATTGCTCGTGTGCTGTTGGGGTTGACCAGGAGGATGCGAATCTTCTTGCTCACGGCCGTAGGGGCCCCCTCGGAACCGTTTGCCGGACCATGTCTGTTGACTGATAGCCTGGGAGGCTCCACAACACCCGTCTGTTCTGTGATGCGTCCGTAATGCTCAACACGTCGGTGTCTTCCAAAGTCGAAGACGCGTTCTTTGCCTGGCCGGCATTCATCTAGGTTGATTTCCGCGTAGACAATCTCATCCTCCGTCGTGGACGCCTCGGCGATGAGCTCACCCTCCGGCCCTGTGATGCAGCTGCCGCCTATGAGGTCGTACTTCCCATCGTCGAGACCGCACCTAGCTGCACTGATGCTGAAGCACGCATTTGTGTAGCTGTGGGCTTGCATGACCAGCTTGTGGTGGAACAGGGCCTTCTGACGCGCCTCATCCGGGTCCATGCTGGCGCTCGATCCCCAGAGAAGAGGCGCGAATCCCGCCGTGTTATAGCCGCAGAGCACGACTTCGACACCTTGCAAGCCGAGAACGCGCCAGCTCTCGGCCCAGCGTCTGTCGTTGCATATCATCATGCCAAAAATCGGTTCTCCTCGTTCTTTGGTCGATTCCACGAGGTCAGGCACGCGGAACGCATTGAAGCCCAAATCCCCAGGCTTGAAGTACCGCTTCTCCAATTGGTTGGTGGCATCTGGGTCTGCAAACGGCTCAAAGTCTCCGGGGAGGTGGATTTTCCTGTACTTTGAGAGGATGGAGCCCGTCTTTGCGTGATAGTAGATGCAAGAGTTGAATGTTTCGCCGTTGTCAGCCTTTTCGGCAAAACCAACTGATATGTCGACCCCGAGTTCTTTGGCCTTGTCAAACAGCGGTTTAGTCTGGGGTTGCGTTGTGATGTCGCCGTGTTCGAAGAAAGAGTCTAGCTCTACCGGGTCGTTGATGAGATGTCGAGGAAAGAAGGTTGTGAAAGCAGTTTCAGGAAACAGAACAAGCTTTGCTCCTTTGGTGGCGCCGCCTTCAAGAAGTGCCAACATCCGATCCAACGTCTTAGTCCGAGCGTCACTATAGTGTGTCGACCCCATCTGGGCTGCCGCCACTCGAAGAACACGAGACGCCATTGCTGTTGGTTGTTGACTGTCGACTGTCGATCTTTCCAAGCGTTTACTTTCGCCTGTCTGTCTGTCTTGTAACATCTACTTGGAAACGAACCTTTTTACTATTATCATAATAGTTCGAGGAAAACTGCTAAGAAACCATCCCAAGCCTATAGCTGGTGTTCTGCCCCTCCGATATATCTGCAGGCTTCATCCCTACCGCTGGGCCGATAGGCGGGTGATAGGGATCCACGCCAATCGCACGATAACAACCTGGTTATCTTTATCTATGTCAGGCCTATCTTCGAGACGTCTTTATCCGCAATAGGAACGTAAACGTACAGAGAGGTTGAGAAATCATGAATAGTGACTGGTAGCCGCGATTCAATCTTGGATTGAAGGCCTGAGGGGGTGAATACGCTACGAAGATCAGAGAGCCCAATCTCAACAGAGCCACGGCAACGCCACTGTCAAACTAATCACCCTCCCTGGTTAGCGATATTATTCCGAAATGGAGGTTGATCTTATCGTCGTAAATGCGACGGTCGTGAGTCTCTACTGCGTCCCGGAAGACCATACACGTGTCTAACGTCTGATGCATCACTAGGTAACCGCATCTGACGTTCACCCTCGTCAAGATATAGTTGTCCGAGATGGAAAGATACTCGCGGTTGGCCAGAATTTGGGTTCTCTCTTTTCGGCCGAGAAGGTCATTGATGCTCAAGATGGGTTCGTCATGCCTGGCGGCGTAGACTCACACGTTCATCTCGACCAGGTAAGATGGACTCACTCGAGCGTACACACCCTGCAGAATTGACCTCTAACACACAAGTAGGACAATTCCCCAACGGGAGATAACTTCGAGACCGGCACAAGGTCCGCGATCGCCGGCGGAACAACGACCATCATTGCTTTCGCGACCCAGGAACGCTACCATCAGTCTCTCCACCCTGTTGTCGAGGACTACCACTCACGCTCGAGGGGCAAATCCTATTGCGATTATGGCTTTCACATCATCCTCACCAACCCTACGCCGACCATCCTGCGCGAAGAGCTTCCGTTCTTCGTAAGCGAGGGTATCACCTCCGTAAAGCTGTACATGACATACGAGCCGTTGCAGCTGAAGGATGGGGAAATCCTAGATGTCATGATGGCTACGCGGAACTTGGGAATGACAACCATGGTGCATGCTGAGAACAGTGACATGATCTCCTGGATTACGGCACGCCTTGCAGAGCAGAAGCTCACTGCCCCCTACTATCATGCCATCAGTCGTCCCAACATCGCCGAGGACGAAGCAACGTACCGCATCATCGCCCTAGCCGAGCTTTCAGACATACCTATACTCATCGTCCATATGTCATCCAAAACGTCCGCATCCCATGTTCGAAACGCCCAAACGAGGCTTCTTCCAATTCACGCAGAAACCTGCCCACACTATCTTTATCTCACAGCCGACGCGTTGCGACCTTCTCATCCGACAGACAGCTTCTCCGGCGCAAAACATATCTGCAGCCCACCGCTCAGAGAAGACCGCATGGACCTGGAAGCCATGTGGACAGGCATCATCAACGGGACGTTCACGACCTTCAGTTCGGACCATGCACCCAGTAAATACGACCACCCCTGTGGGAAGAAGGCGGGAATCGATGAGGCCGGATCGATGCGATACGACAAGGTTCCAAACGGTTTGCCGGGAGTGGAGACTCGGATGCCGGTTCTTTTCGAAGGCGGCGTGCTGTCTGGCAGAGTGACGCCTCAGAAATTCGTCGAAGTAACGGCGACCAATCCGGCCAAGCTCTACGGCCTCGGACAAACCAAAGGCGCCATCGCCGCCGGCTACGATGCGGACTTGGTAATATGGTACCCAACGGCTCGGCAAGCTGCTGCTCACGAGGGGAGCACGGCCAAGATGGACCCCTTCGTACTGGAGAATTCCATGTTGCACCATGACATTGATTACTCGCCCTTTGAAGGAATGGAGTTCAACAATTGGCCAAGGTATACAATCTTGAGAGGCAAAGTGGTTTGGGATAGAGACAACGGGGGCCTTGTCGGCGAAATGGGATTTGGGCAGTTCTTGCGACGTGGGAAGAGCACATTGAGCAAGCCGAGAAACCGTTGGGTCAATGAGTTTCAACCCTTGCCAGAGGTCAAGAAACCAACTTTGGCATACCCTTAGTTAATTATACTATGGGTTTTTTCCTTTTTTGTTCTTTTTCAAAATTCAGTAGTTTCATGGAGATGTTTACAATGGCATTTCCCCAAGACGTACCAAGTGACAGCAAAGGATAAGATATCACAAACATTGTAATATTGAAACTCCCTTTGTATAGCAGTCATGGCCGTTACAATGATAAGATAGACTTGGCGTAAAGTGATGTCCTATTTTTAGACTAATAGAGGGTCAAGATTGCTTGTCGGCGCCACTGAGTGGCATCAACTTGTGGAAATAAACCGGCCTTTCATATCTGTCAAGCGCCCCCTAGTTCGATGGCCCAATGCTAGTTATCTTGAAAGTGTGAATTCTACTTCAGATAGGTTTCCATGGCAAATAAGTAACGCGCCGCAACACTAATCCCAGAATTGGGGTTATGGGTCTCTAATATTTCTCATTAGTTCCTTCATTTCTTTTCTTTTTGTCATTAACTTCCATGGTATCTTTCGCACTTCAACTATACTCCTAATATATTCGAACTCCGCAGTCCTTTTTGTACGTTTCAATTACATCTGGCTCTATTCTCTGCGTGTCACATGATGGGGAAGAAAACCTTCATATTTCATTACTGAGTAGGGTATGGTGTATCATTCAGTCATCTACCCGACCTCAACATGCTGCCCGCATCCTGTCCGATACCACGAGATAAATGCCCAATTACCAAGCATGACGACGCGCAATCCGAATTGCGGGGTCCGGGCTACATGTGAAACTCGCAGCCAGTAGCCACTCGCAATTGGGCTTTGATGCAAGGCGGCGTAAATGCGGGATGTCGCAATCTCATGTGAGGGGGGTCAGACCACCCCTCAGGGCGACGGCATTTAAGGCTCTTGTTGCACTTCCGGCTGCTATAGATATCCTTCCATTCTGCAGCCCAGGCTTTCATCTCACGCTCATATATAACCTCCTTAAGAGAAAAACACTCAGATCTGAAATGGCGTCCGCAAACATCAATGCTGCTGACCTCTTCAGCGTCAAAGGCCTTATTGCCGTCGTAACCGGTGGGGGTACTGGTATGTCATCGTCATCAATATTATGAAAGCGCGCCTACGTATCACCTAAAGCCTCCTAACCCCATGATGCAGGTATCGGACTCATGATTGCACAAGGACTCGAAGCAAATGGTGCAACTGTGTACATTATTGGCCGCCGGAAGGAAGCTTTGGAGAAAGCAGCCAGCACCGCAGTACGTTGAAGCGTTTGGAGCTGCCAAGCCATCTCACCTTGTTCAAGAGTCCACTGACTGATTATCTTTTCACCTCAGAAACATGGCAATATCCGCATTATCCAAGGTGATATCACTCAAAAAAGTGACCTTGAGCGAGCTGTTTCCCAAATCAAAGAGGCCCACGGGTATGTCAACGTTGTCATCGCCAACTCGGGAATAACAGGCCCGACGCTCCAGGGCCTACCTGCGAACCCAACGATCACTCAGTACCGTGACTTCATACTCGGCTGGGACCAGAAAGACTTCACGGAGACTTTCGCCGTCAACACCACGGGCGTGTTTTTCACTGTGGCAGCATTCCTTGAACTGCTTGACGAGGGCAACAAACGCGGCAACTTCAAACAGAGGAGTCAAGTGATTGCGACAAGTAGTATCGGCGCTTACAACCGCCAACCGATGGGATTCGCCTATGGAGCATCGAAGGCAGCCGTGGTACACATGCTCAAGCAACTGTAGGAACCCAGCTCTGAATCTTCCTGGCCGGACTCGTTGCTAATCTCCACGAAGAAGCACGGTTTTAGTACCCTTCAGCATCCGCGCAAATGTGATTGCACCAGGATGTAAGTCGACCCACCTCCAATTCAATACTGGCCCCTTTTAATGCACTCACTGTTCAAGAACATCAATGGCTCAAGACAATGTCCACGCTTGCTGACCCTGCTGTACTAGTCTACCCGAGTGAAATGACTACAGGAATGTTGAAATCGCACAGTGGCGGCTGGGAGAAGTCAGTCATTCCGGAGGAGAGGGTTGGAGATTTGGAGGATATGGCTGGTGCGGTACTCTTCATGGTCAGTAGAGCGGGCGCATACACCAATGGCAATGTGCTTGTCACGGACGGTGGAAGACTGGGCGTGGTGCCATCGAGCTACTAGGCTCTCGAAGAATCAAACCTCGGTTCGCTTGCCCGAGCGAATCATCTCCGGCTTGTGTCTAGTCGAATGCCAGGCTTGCCGAATGCGAAACTTGTCGAACGCGCTGTACGCATCAAGTATAACTTGTATTCCGTATGAGCTCATTAAAAGAAGCCACTATATTCCTATCCGTGTCACACCTACTCCGCCCATGTGAGAGCCAGTCTTTATGAGTTGCTCCATTCTTACTGAGTCCAAGTTGTCATTTCAACTTACCTTGGGTGGTGGCCTATTACCATTGGCTAGTGCGTATATATATGTACGATGGAACCAATGAGCTCCGATTGGCCCTCCACAAATCAAGGCATCATACACGAGCGTGGTAGCGTTGGTCATGCCACTAGCAAGGGGCCCTGTCTTAAATTCACTACCTCAGTTATGTACAGTGACATGTAAAAAGCATAATTGTGGCTCGGAGAAGACGGAAAACCATATATCTAGAAGAGGGGTTGGCGGTGAGGGCGACTGACATATCAGGCCATGAGACTGGAGAAGATCAAGCAGAGCCTCCCTTGTCCATGCTCTTTCTGAAACGGCTTTCGCACAGTGAACGAATAAACGTCTTCTCTTTATAATAATAGTTCATGGGTTCCCAACGAACCTGTTGTCTTGCCCCAGTCTCTGCCATCTCGGTTCTGATATTTTTAACTACTTACATCAAATCCATCATGTTGAACCCTTTATCAATAGCCCTTTTAGCGTTACCTGCGGCTCTTCTTTATCTTTACTTAGCGTTGAGCTACCGTCGGTTCAAGCAATATGCTCACTTTCCCCAGGTTAAGCCGTCATTGGTATGGGGCCATCTCAAGGCAGTCGGTGCTTTCCATCAGAGGCGTGGCGAGGAAAATGGCAGTATGGGTTAGTCGAGTCTTCAGACCGCTTTGAAATATAAACTTCATGAACTGACGAATCTGATGCAGAGTCCGCGTTTGCGGACATGAGCGAGTCGATCGGGAACCCTCCAGTCATGCTCCTCGACACCCGTCCAGTCATGCGTGCAATGCTGCTGATCCGAAGCCATGAAATTGCGGAGCAAGTATCGAGACAGTCAAAAACGTGGCCTTACAGCACGCCCAAGTCCGACACAATGAGGAATCTGGCTCCACTGCTCGGTGAAAGGTCAATCGCCATGGCACAGGTAACGTAATCGATCTTTGCTGAACCCTCCATGTCTTCTTTCTGAGGCTGACCGGCGACCTCTCTCAGGGCTCGGAATGGAAAGACATGAGGAAACATTTCAACCCAGGCTTTGCCCCCCAGCATCTCATGGGTTTGATGCCAACAATTCTGGAAAAGACCGAGGCCTTTCTAGCGAAGCTAGACACACTTGCCAATACAGGCGCCATCTTTGAGCTCGAGCCTCTGTGTACGAATCTCACATTCGATATAATTGGTTTGTTCACATGCTATGTCTATGTCTCCTGACACAAAAGCTTATTTGTTCTCAGGTGCTGTGACTATGGACGTTGATCTCGGCGCCCAACTCCCAGAAGAGCTCCAGAGTGACTTCATCAAAAACTACAAAAAGTTCCTTCTATCGTACAAAGAGAGCACCGGTATGTTGCGGTGGGCAGACGGCCCCCGAAAGAACCGTCAACGGAAGAGATTGTCTAAAACTCTCAACATCTTTCTTGAGGACCTCATTCAGCGCAAGTTCGATGACGTAAAACAGGACGAAGGCTCTTCAACTCGCAGCATCTTGGCTCTGAGCTTGAAGGATACTGAAGTATTGACTCGGGACATCATCGACTACACCAAAGATCAGCTCAAAAGTTTCATTTTCGCAGGCCATGACACCACCAGCATTCTCCTCCAATGGGCCTTTTACGAGCTGTCCCGAACTCCTCGTGCAATGAAGGCTCTCAGAACCGAGCTGGAGGCCCTTTTTGGCCCGGATCTGAGTCCCGCATCGGTCCGCGAAGCTCTGCTCTCGCGAGGCGAAGAAATCACGCGGGGGATGACGTACACTTCGGCGGTCATCAAAGAAACCCTGCGCCTGTATCCCCCGCCGCCACCGCTCGTCTTTGCCCTCCTGGGGCAAACTTTCACCTTCAACTGCCGAGCGGCGCCAGCCTATGCGTCGACGGTCTGGTTTTGTATAGCTGTTCCTACCTGATCCAGCGGGACCCCGACGTCTACGGAAGTACCAAGGACGACTTCGTTCCTGAGCGATGGCTCGGCAACACAGATACGTCCATGGCAACAAACGAAGACGAAAAGGCGGGTGCCGAAGAATGTGAGATTCCTGCTTCTGCGTGGAGACCATTTGAGAGGGGACCCAGAAACTGCATCGGACAAGAGCTGGCCAACATTGAGGCCAGGGTTATCCTAGCCAGTGTCGTTGGCAAATACGTCTTCGAGAAGGTTGGTTTGGGAGAGGCAGCTCGGGATGAGAAGGGCAACCCAATTGTCAATGAAAAGGGGCAATACAAGTCCAATACTCAGCTCTACAACGTAAGCCTATTCCGAACCTAGCTGGTAACCTTTTGGTTATTATTTCTAACTTGAGGACTAGACCCGTCAGGTTACTTTGCGCCCCGTCGACAACATGAAGGTTCGCGTGAGGCTACGGGATGTGACCAAAGATTGAAGTTTTATTCATTCCATGAACCAAACTTCAATACTATGTGGTTTTTTACGACTGTCAGTAGAACAGACAATTCGATTTTGATGTTATAATCCCACATAAAGGACTACCTGCCATCCACGGATCATTGATCAATGCCGAAAGATGAGAGGTCTAATGTAGTCACATTGAGCCGGTGGGAACTAATGCTAGGAAGCTGTTACGAAATACAAAGAGCCTCCCACTGGTTCGTCACGCCGTCCAATTCGAGTGCCTCGCCGTGCATCAACCCGTGTACGTATGCCCCTCCTACTAAGCGATGATGATCAGGTCCGTCTTTACGAAATATCAAAGGCACCCGAGAGCCGGGCACGATCCACACTGAGTCGTCCTCTTGAAGAGACTCTGATCCGGCCCCGATGTATCCTTTTAACGTCTTGAAAAGTTTTAAGTGAACTGCATGAGAGAACACAGTATCGTAGTGTTCTTTCGATGGGCTTGGGGGTATCTGTTTACTCAGTTGTTGAAACCCGGCCAAAATTGCTTCGTTCTCTTTTGTTTCCCGAACCGGTGTGCTTTTGGTCAACACTGACAGCTTGTCTGTAAACCAGTGCACGAAGGCCCCCCTGTAGCTCTCGTCGATCGGGCATTGCGGCGGGTCACCACCGGTGTTTGTCAACAGAGAGCGCCAGACCATATTCAGCGTCGCTTCGTCAATGCAAGAATTATTGCCCTTCAAGATCTTCATCAGCTTTGGAAATGGCTCACCCTTATTGATCTCGTGTTTGGCCTCGCCGGCAGATAGAATAACGTCGACCCTTCGAGCGCGAACCTCGAGAATCCTCGACGACTCATGAACAACCAATCTCCGCGCTAAGCCGCCAGATGCGTTGAAACGTCGGTATCTGGTGACTCTTAGCCCGAGAGCCTTTTCGCATCTCCAATCAGGAACCCAAGAGGGCAGCTCGGGGCTATACTGAAACGCCTCCCCTTCGATGCAGTACAGTAGAAGTAAGTCATCACTGTCTTTGAGGATCTGCGTGGCTGCTGATATGTAGGCCGATTCAACGGTGCGGCTCCCGTATACCGGCTGTAGGCCCGGTTTGTCAATGACCTTACCCCCTAATCCAACTAGCCCCAGCAGGGCGTAAACTTTGTCGCGTGGATCGGTGGCTTTGAAGTGGCGACAACGAACCAACGAGCTTGTGAGGGCCTCTGCGTATCGTTCCTCTCGACGCGAGACTTTGTTTGCTTTCAATACCGCCGGCGTAGTGTGATGACATGGTCCAGGAGACGGGTCGTCAAGGCTTAAAGCGCTGAAGTGGCTTGACCATGAGCTAGTACTGAGAAAATGGGAAAGCGCTTCAAGATGCCCCCATGAAGTAGCATGGCTGCCGCAGAGTACAATTGCATTCTTGGCGAGAACAACTTCTTGAATGATCCATACTCTGTGAAAGTAGGTCCGGCGAAACAGCCTTCTGACAGCATTCCATGAGGCAGGGTCGTAGAGTAAGTCGTGTAGAGTGAGCCCTCCCCATACTCTTGCTATCTTGCTCTGCATAACCCGGTGCGGGGTCAATTCTTCGAGTCTGGCTTGGTCTATGGTGGGAAACAGGTTGATGAGATCGAAAGCCTGACTTGTGTCATCGTCCTCTTCGCCCAGCCAGATCAGAACTGAATCGGCCGAGCTGTAAATTGCGGCCATGAGTTTCACCTGGCTCGACCGCTCTTCGTCGTCTGTTTGGTTGATCGAGATGGCATCGATCCAGAACTTCTTGCCTGCGAATTCTGGTCTGCTTCTTATGCGTAACAGCGCCTTTTCCAGGTTGTGTGGGACGAGTATGTCCTGTCCATTGCAGGTAATGGGAGTGGGCGGTGTCGTCCTCTCATTGACGCTGGCTGGGCCCCAAGTGTATGAAACGGCAAGATACGAGACCACGCCCTCCTTCAGGCTGGCGACCTCAAGAGTGCAACAGACTTTTTTGTTCTCGCACTCATCCGATGGCTTGATCGAAATGATTCGAACATCCCCGGCGTTGAGAGGAAGAGCAGGGTAGACGGAGGATGAGACTTGTGTGTGGACGTTTTTGACATGTCCACTTGCTGTACTTGGGATTTTGTTTTGTGATGTCGACATGTTGGATGCTTAAAACGTCCTCTTCTCGGGACTGCTGATGCCTCTACAAAGCGGGAAACCCGGGTTTACTCAACCCTTTTCCGCGATAAGTTAAACTGGAGCCTAGACCGCCTTGAGAAATCAGAGCGAATAGAACCGCGAGTTGGTAAGCCTCAAAAGCCTCTCCAATATTTCGCGCAACACCTCTCCCTCAACAAATGACGCGCCTAATCGCTTTCTGACCACCCTCGTTACTTATTTAGCTAAAAACCCCACGTACTCTAACCTCATCATCCCTGGTTTCTATCCTCATTTACCGTCGGGTTCAGTTCATGCTCCCTCGAACCCTCTTCCCCGCACTACTCGCAGCGACCAAAATGGCCGCGCCCACCAGCCCTGTTTGTCGCTACAAGTTTACAATCCTTCCCGAGTACTTCGTAGACTACCACCAAGTCGCAGAAAGGAGCCCTGGTGGGAAAGCAACGACGCAGCCGGGCCTGGGGCTCTTGGATAAACCGTTTGGAGATGAGACCAGTCAACCAGGTATCAAGCCATGGGAACGGTTCGCCGCTCACGTCAGTAGGCTCAATACCGAGAGTCCGGATGGCGTTGACTACAAGGTCGTATACCTTACGAGACACGGACTAGGGTACCACAACGTGCAAGAAGCCAAGGTCGGGAGGGACGAGTGGGACGTACGTAGCCATCCTCCCGCTGACTATCCACTAATGACAGCTGACCTGCCCCAGAGATACTGGTCACATCTCGACGGCGATGGGGTAGTTACGTGGCTCGACGCCGAGCTTGTCGACAAGGGCATCCAGCAGGCGAAAGAGCTGAGTGCATTCTGGGCTGGCGCCACGAGCACCGAGAAGGTTCCCTTCCCGGAGTCCTTCTACACGAGCCCGCTCCGTCGGTGTCTCGAAACTAGCAGGCTCGCGTTCGGTGCCTTGGTCGAGGCCAAAGGCGAAGAGTTTCGGCCTCTCATCAAAGAGGGACTGAGAGAACGCATGACCGATCACACATGCGACAAGAGGAGCTCGAGGAAGTCGATTGAGAGCGCGTACCCCAAGTACATGTTCGAGCCCGGGTTCACCGAGGAGGATCAGCTCTGGAAGGCCGACCGATTCGAGACCACGGAGGAGCATGTTGCTAGAAAGCAGCAGGTCCTTGATGAGATATTCTCGACGGACGCGAACCAATTCGTGTCCTTGACGGTTCACTCGTACGCCATCTCAGCCATTCTTAGGGTTGGGGGGCAGGAAGAGTTCAGGGTCAGGGAAGGGTCATCGATTGCCTTGTTCATCCGCGGGGAGAAATCCGAGGCCTCGTAAATACAGCTGCCGGAAGGGAGTCATGCTCCCATAACCTCAATCCCAGACACATTTTTGTCAGCCACGCCGCGTACTTTGCGTCCTGTTTCTCTCTCGCTCAGACAGTCTTCTTCTCCGACTGATCTTTGCTACCGGTCTTTTCCTCCAACTGCCTCTCCTTGCGGGCCTTGAGCTCGGCGGCTCGCTCGGTAAGTTGGCGAAGCATGGCCGCGTCGGCTGCGCGGTTCTCGTCACGGACGGCCTGGCGGAGGCGTCGTCTGTCGGCGGCCTCCTCACGCTCGCGCCACTCGTCCCAGGTAGGGCCATGGGAGATCCAGTAGGTGTAAGGGCCGTAGATGGCAAGCATGAGAGCCGTTATGCCAATGGCCCAGCCGCTGATGGGATCGATCATTGCTAGGCTCTTGGGAACTGCGCATCGGTTAATCGGGGGACTATAGCACCCACGTACAGATGAGATCGGGTGCGGTACACACCGGAGTGATGATTGATTTGTTGTCGACCCGATGTTATTGCTGTGTTGACTGTTGGTGTCGGTGATGCTGGCGTTTTGTCGATGTTTTATCTTGGAGCGCGAAGCAAAGGCACACGAGAGAAAAACATTCGGGGCGTTAGGAAGGAGCTGGAAGATTTTCCATGGAGGTCCCGGGGCAAGCTTTGTCCGTTCTTTGGTTGAGCCGTGGTTAAGGCGGACCACGGCTCTGTGAACCGACGGCCACCGAAACTAACTAAACGTTAGGCTTTTCGGTCCGGGTGGGCACATCTCTCCGGGTAGGATAACTCGGTCCTCCGCGGCTAAGACCCACTACCTCCGGCCAGTATCGGCATGCCTTATGGTCTTGTAAACCGCACCCTACTGATTTCTATTTGTATATTGCTCTTAAGAGAACCATTCACAATTGCTTGGCGACCTTGGCCAAGTCAACTAGGTCCATCTTTCCACCGCGGATCGCCTCAAACATTTGGCGACACAGAAGGAGTGTAGATGAGTTTCGAGAAGAGGACACAGAACAGCATTAAGATGTCAGACGCACTCGTCCTAGTGAGTAAGGATTAGTCATGAGGCATGATTCCAAGACAGGATGCCAATCGTTTTATATCAAGATAACAGCAGAAAGCCGAAATGGATCATTTGGCCTTCAACTGTATCAAGCACTAATTGCTCAAGAAGTTAGGGTCTCCTTGTAATTCATAGGCTACAGCGTATACAACCTCTCTAATAATCCTACTGCTTAATAAAGTGCAACAGTAGAAAAACTACAGGATAGCATTAACAGTATCTATATTGCCTTTAAGTTTAGTAATATTTATAGATAAATTAACGTAGTAAGCCTCTTGTTTCTGCTCTGTGTATTAGATTGCTGTAGTTACCCTGTTTCTGGAGGTCTCTAGTGAGCCCATGTATCTATTGTATGCCCTCTCTGGCAGCTGGATGACGGGCTTGCTAGGTAGCGTCTCTTTTCCTGACAACCGACTACCCACCTCAGAGCTGATAAAGCAGACATGTCGGCAGGTTAGCGCGAATATATTGGCGGGCTTGCTACTGGTTCGGCGTAAATAGATCCCCTTTGTGCCTTCCTGACGGGGCTTGTCTGAGCTCGTAATGGCGGTTCCCAGCTGATCGGAAAGCTGGTACATATATTACTGATATTCGGGAGGATGGTCGTGTGCGTCTTGCTGTAGGACCTTGACGAGGTTTAAGAGCCTGAACTCCTTGATCTCGCAGTGAACATCGTCAAGCCCGTGCTCGACAAGGGCTTTTCTGCATTCCCGGGCGACTTGGCTGCCTATTTCCCATGGCGTGCCCGCCGAAACCGAGATGGAGACGATGACTGGCATTTCATTGTCGATGTATCCTATGCGGAGGCTGTCAATCGCCTGATAGTCGACGTCCTGCCGGGCAAGGATGCCTAATATTTGGTCCCTCAGGAGGGAAGGTTCGTCGTTCCATCTGCTGACAATAGCATGCTCGCCGACAGCAGCCAGGGTTTTGCGATCCGACAACCATGGGTTAACACGATTAAAGCGGAACGGTGTTGAGCTAGAGCGTGCTACAAGCTTAGGTAGGCTAGGAAGGCCGTTGTAGAACCAGTCGCGTTCTTCCGTGAGCGGGCGTCGGGAGTCCATATCTTGCTAGGAAATCGACCTCGCATGCAAGCCTCTTTGATTCCGGTTTTTCGTCTTAGCCGGGCTTGTCACTATTGTATACGACGAGCTTCATAGGTGGTGTCGCACTCGCCGGTGTGTAGGATAAAGGGGAGACGCCATTATATAGCAAGCTCATCTCCGTTAGCGAGGGGGACCCTGATGGTCGTGGAGAGGGAGGTGATGACCGCCCGGGTTTTCAAACAGCTTTAGTGCAGCTTTGCTTTGCGTTACGTAGCTATGTTCATCGTCAACAAAACCTGCACAAGCTATTCAACCATCCAACATCGTAAGAAGAAAGTGCCCCCGTAACTACGCCTGGTCTAATTTACGGCGGCCAATTAGTCAAGAGATGTGTACCTCCAAACATATCAAATATACATGCAGCTGCATGAAGGATATTGTCACGTGAAAAAACGATACCGTTAGTTACGTGGGCAGTAATAGTAGCTTATATATCGTGACAGATATGGAGTTCATACAGTGCCAGGAACGTCAGGGAACCAACTTTAAATGCAATCCAGTCAGAAAAGAATAGGGCAAGGATTTGACTAACTACTGTTCTAGGCACTTAGTCAAGCCAGATGCGCCGGTGAAATACACGGATTAAAACGGACAAATTGTGGAGTGAAACACGGCTTGCAAACTCTTGAGTGGCATTGAGATGGTAGATTGCTGGTTACAGTGGGTAAGCAAAAGTTCCGCCGAATGCAAAATCACACAATGTCGCTATCCGAAGTCGGCCTCTTTGACTTTTTAAAACAATAGTGATTTACATAGAAAAGTAAAGTCATGTGGATTTATACACAGAGAAAAAGCAGCTCTATTCATCTCTATTTTTGCCTACTATTTTGTATATAGGCGAGGGATATAATAGAGGGTAAGTGTTGTTGAGTTTGATAACTTGCGACGTTGGTTGGGGAATCAGCTAGACTTTTGCTACCCCACTGTAGGTAGTCTGAGGGTTGGCCGCTTTCTGGCTGCTTTCTACTTGTACGCGTTGCATTGTAGATAGCCTGTTGGCAATTTATGGGCGAACAGTTTTAATATCTTTGTCAGTCTCTATTATTGAAGAAGCCTCCTCTCCGAGCAGCCTCTGGTAGTTCGTTTGGCCGGTTGTGACCTTCGTCACTCGATTCCCACAGCAGCTGTGCCTGTTCACACCACCGAAAATGTTCCAAAAAGCTGTCTTGCGCATATACCATGTCGCGAACCTCGAAAGCCCATTTCTCGCCCCTGGAGCCAATGATGTCTTTTTCGAGAGCAAGTTGACACCCAGCGCATGATATCCCGTGTTCGACTCTGCCGGTCCGTCTATCAAAGTAAGGTAGCGCGCAAGACCCCATAAAGTTGTATTTTTGGTATAGTTCCGAGCTCACTGAATCTGCTTGCGGTAGTGCATGCGGTTGCGGCCGGGAGACCGATATGGCATCATGAAGAGAAACGACTGTGATGCGAGATTTATGTACGGATTCCTTCATCGAATATATTCCAGGCAAAGTCTTGAATGACGTCAGTTGGTTTGATTGGGCCTTGGTTAAGTTAAGTTGCTTCCGGACAGCGGCAAGAGTTCGCAATTGAGTTTCTGGAGCTCTTTGGAGGCATACAAAGCAGCATCGATTCCAGGTCAGGAGGGATACAAATCCCCCAAATTTGCCGCAAAGAGTACAAGCCTTGGTACATAAAGCGTCGTAGAATTCGCACAGAGAAACGCCTGTGGCGATTTGTGTTCGTAGTAAGGCACAGAGAAGGTTCATTCCATGCGTGGCCACCATCTGATATTGTTTCAGAGAATCCACTGTCTCTCTCGCTCTGAGATTTGTTTGTCGCAACTTGTATAGAGAGCGTATATCCAGATGCAATAATGCGTCATGTAAGAGCTCGAGGGGAAGTCGATCGAGGAAGCCAAGTCCCGTATTGGATGTCCGCTCGAAGGGCGTTGCTATCGAGGACTGAATACCAACATGTTCGCGAGGCGAAAACCATATCACAGACTGACAGTAGTCTTTGCGATGGTAAGCAGCGGCTCGAACAATTGCGTCGCCCTGATCCTCGCGGGGATGATATTCAGTGATGGAACGATATCCTCGAGGCAAAGGGGCAGCCATTCTCGGAGTTTGTCAGCGCACTTAAATGAAAGAGACGCGGGTCGCAGTAGACGTTTTCATTCGTAAGTGACGATCTCGATGATGGGGCGCCAGGTCGCCTTTATGTGCTACCTGCACGTCTCGTCAAACTCGGCAATCATAGCAGCTACTGGGACCTGGACTCGAGCGCCGCCCTCTCTCCGGCCGGCGCTGCGTTTGGCTTGTTGTGCAGTCAGTACGAGCCTTAGATTCCAACTCAAGGCAAAAAAAGGTCGAATAAAGATGCTGTTGCGATGTTGACCATCGCGGATAATTATCGGAGTTATCGGATTAACTCCGATGACTCATTGCCGGCGAATCCTCGGGTAATCGGGCCAAGGATCCACCGAGGATTTGCGGCAATAAGTTTATTATTCAACCAACCAACCCACGATAGTTATCCTTCTTTTCTTTACGCATAATAGAGATCAACAGTCACCCCTAATATCCGTCAATTGCCACCGATACGTACGGTTAACCGTATCACCATGCCCTTGGTGAATCCAACAGATGCACTCACCGGGGCCTAGAAGTAGATTCAGCGCCACACTGGTATGAGACAATTCATTCGTAAAATGGGTTCAGATCAACAGCGAAAGAAGATCAGAAACGAGTACCGTATCCTCTCAGTAGATTCGTACACTGCACAGACCACCAACTAGGCCTATTTCGAAAGGCGGTCAGCCAGCCTAGCCACCCACCCACCCAACCCTAACCCTTGCCACCAAACTTGCTGCTGACGTTGACTAGCCCCTGCATTTGCCACATCTAGATCCCTGTTTCTGCCAGCCCGCTTACCGTTTTCCAGTAGCCCGTGGTCAGTGCGTTGTACGAATCTGCTGAGAGGATACTGTATGTGAGGTTGAAAGTAAAAGAAGGGATGCCGGGGTAGCAGGCTTCAGCAAATGTTTCAGCGCGGCACGCTGAGGCGCGGCCGACAGTACTGGGCGAAAGTGGCGTAAGCTTCCGTGGCGCCTGAAATTAGTGCGATTACGATGATCAGATCCTCAGGTCTCATGTGCAAGCAAGCCCAGAGAAATATACTAGATATGCTGAGTGGCTCGTGCATTCGGATTGTTACTTTATCCATAGCACGACGCTAACCTACCTAGAGAAATTGGTTTTCCTATACTAAAGAAAACTTGTTCTGAAATAAAAAGCTTGTGAGGCCAGTGAAGGCATCACGACAGAAATTATGTACAAAGCAGAGAAATGCTTGAAATACCAATTCGAGGCGGTCCGTAGAGGTAGTACGCTACATTTGTAGCGGTCGCCACTAATACTAGCCACACGAAGCTATTCCAGCTTCACGACACAGGCTTTAAACCAGGAAACCTAGATTTTTCCGAACCCAGCGTTGGTAGCGGCAGCCTTGGCATCGTTGGATGTAACTACTGGAGCAACATTCTTTCCAGAGAAGAGACTAAGGATGCTGGTATCAGAACCTGCGAGGGTTCCAGAGCTACCGTAAGCGTTCAGCTGACAATCGTGGCCAAGATACTGCTTGCAAGCCGTGTTGGCGCTCGTACTCGGCGAGGCGAAAACCTTGCCTGCAAGACCTGTTTGGTACGCAGCTTTGACGTTCTGATAGACATTGCCTACATGTTGTTAACAGATTGAATTGACTTGCAAAGCGTTACTTACCTTCTGCAACAACCTTGGCTCCGGCGTCTGCTTCAAGGGCATGGCCAGTGTTGTCATACTATGTTATCCTTAGTAAATCGTGAGATATCTTCTCAGACAATGGCGTATTACCCAGTAGTTGCCGGCCATATGGACCAAGCTGTTTCCTCCCACCTTAGGCGATCGTCCACTCCCGGAAGTAATATAGTTTCCCTTGAAGGTCACCATGTCGTTGCTTCCGGTGAAGTAGAGACCCCAGTAGTGATGACTGAAAACAAACAAGATTAGCCAAGATGTGGCTAGGGAAGGGGGAAAGGGGGGGTTCCCTTACCCGTCGCAGGTGGCAGACCACGAAGTAGCACCGTCAATCTTGGAGTTGGAGATGGTGACACGGTTGGAAGCGCCGTTGCCGAGGACAATGTGCTGGCGGCCGATGAGGGAGGTCGTAACGTGGTCGACCCAGACGAGGTCGCTGCCGTCGAGAGTGATGGCATCACCGCCCCAGACGTACTGGGGGTTCAGGTTGGTGATGTGAATGTTCTGGATAATGATGTTCTTGGCGCCGCCGGTGATACGGAGACCCTTGCCGATCATGACGCCCTTGTTGCCCTGACCGATGATGGACTTGTTGGAGGAGACCTTGATGGGGTTGAGGCCAGCGTTGTCGTACCTGGACAGGTGAAATGCGTTAGCTTACAGATGCCCGAGCTGTCTACGCTGACGAACACAAGTGTGCCGTTATAATTTATAAATAATATCACAGCACAAGGAAATTCTTACTTGACGCTGACCTTGGGGGCGCTTGGCTGGTAGTTGGTGCACCAGTTGTCCTTGTTGATGGCAGTCTGGCAAGCAGACCCAGTGCCCCAAGGAGCGCAGCCGGTTCCCGAGGTCGTTCCTTCGGTGTTTCTGAAGTCGAACGTCTTGGTAAGAACAATGACGCGAGGCGAAGAATCGGTCAGGTAAGAGACGAGCTGGGCAGTGGTCGAGGGATAGACGGGGGCAGCGGAGCCGCCACCAGTAGTGCCCTTGGCGAAGCCCTCGGGAGAGCCCTGGACGGCGTCGGCGGCGAGAGCCAGAGGCGCCAAGGCCGCCAAGGCCATGGAGAGGATAGCAGACTTCATGCTGCGGTGGCTTTCCAGCTACGAACAAGAAGGTAGGATACAGAAGAGACAGCCGTCAGCTCGTTCGGATGTAAAAGAAAGACAAGAGGACGGATTCCGCTGGAGAGAAAGGACCTTCCAAGGAAAGCAACGCGGCTGATCGGCCGGTGATATAAGTTTGTCGAGCTATCCTTCGTCATATTTGCCTCGTCCCATGGGCCCCCCCCTACCCTCCCCATGGTAATTCCCTTCCAAAAGGACGGAAGACAACTTCATCTCGCAGCCCCCGTACCGTTCTAGCGCTTCAAGGACCCAAAATGTGCAGTTGCTGACAACATGAGTTGACCCACTCATACATACTACGTACATACATACATACATACCTACCGACTGCCCATGGTTTCCGGAACGGTACCCGCAGCCTAGTTTGTGTAAAGTAGAGAGCGGCGGAGACTTGCTATCCACTGATTCGTGGGTGTTTTATGCGCCCTGTAACCCCCTTCATATAACAGGCTTTCCATAGGTCCGAGATTACGGTGATCACCGCCAAAGGGGGCTGATTACCACAGTCTGGGCTTTCCCATCAATGAGAGCGGGGATTGACGTCTCCGCTGGTAGGGCCGCATAATATCTACATGTGGACTGCTGGGGAGGGCAGCGACTGCTCGCGATGGAGCCCTCTTGCAGGAAATCGTCACGAGTTGCTACTGCGTACGTAAACTACCTAGATAGCCGGGCAGCAGCGAGGGGCAGCTATGGACTCTCGTATTGCTCCTTTACGGGATGGCCCCGTCCGCAAAGTGCAAGCGGGCAAGCAAGCAAGCATGGCATGGATTCTTAACGCGCAGTCTGAATTTCCGCCACTTGCAAAAGAACACTGGGACGGGTTTTACAGTAACATACACACTGGCGTGTTCTGGGTTGGGTCATCCATCCATATATACCGATGAAACGGCTCGATTTTCCCGTGATGGCGTATTTTTCAGCACCTTACGTACCTCGCGCTAGCACAGGGCTATTCCACCAACTAGAGGCCCGGCACAGATCATGCATGCACCTGTGGGCCAGGGCATCAAACGAGGAAGCTCTCTAGTGGTACGCAGTATCCGTAGTGTGGTTAGTTAGTGTAGCTTCGGTCGTTTTCCGTCCCAACACGTTGTCTGCCTGCCTGAGAAGGATAACATCCATCTAACGAGCATAAAACGCCGGGGTGCTGTAGGTACCAGCACTGCACTACCGTATCCACTCGCTAGATTCACAAACCGCTAGCGGACTGGCAGAAACAGGGATCTAGAAGTGGCAAATGCAGGGGTTAATCAACGTTAGCAGCAAGTTAGGTGGCAAGGGTTAGGGTTGGATGGGTGGGTGGGTGGCTAAGCTGGTTGACCGCCTTGCAAGATAGGCTTAGTGGGTGATCCGTGCGGTTTGTGAACCTAGCGAGTGTATACGGTACTTGTCTGTTCCTAGCTCATTTGCGAATTATTATCATTGTTTTCTTTGTCTCTTTGCTTTTTTCCCCTTCTTATTTGCCGCAAATGCCCCTAATCATATAGATGAAAGTCGGTTGCGACGGCAGGGTGGGGGCCAGCTTTCTTATCCGCAACTCCCTCCTTGGCGTTTCGGATCACCTGGGCGCGGGTAACGGATGCCTCCAACAGGTTAGCTAGCCGGCTGTTGGGCTGGGGCCGGACGACGGCTAGATCTTTCCTGGCGAATTGCCCGAGCTCCACAAGACCAGGGATATGCAACCCAAGCGATATACGAATAGTGAGCCTCAAGCTCAGCCTGCCTTCGAGGTGGCTCTGATCCTGTCTGGAAGCAAACATAAGCCACACGGAGAAAGGGTGGCACCGAACCGGCCTCATGTCAAATGTTCAGAGCATCCATCGTCTTTCTGGTGAGCATGGAAGAAGCTCTTGTGGGAACAGATGGTGGCCATGCGTCAGATGTCGACTTTGGCTCGCTTCGGGAACAGGGGCGGCCGGTAGAAAAGAGAGAGGGCGGAGGTTGGCGAATAACAGGTCCAACAATCGGTTTGCCCCTGCAGGCGAGATTCGGTTTGCCAAACCAGACTCGCCATTTGTTTGCATCTTGATATGACCCGTCACCCGTCGGCCATGACCGAGGTCCAACTAGAACACCCCCACTGTTCCAATCGCATTGTACTTCTGCTAGTAATCTCCTGTCCGACTGATGCGACTTTTATACCCTTTTGGTTGGACTTCGTCAGCGGTTTGGGTATCCTCGACTGAATCTTGCTCTCATGCCGAGACATCGCGTCCAGTCGTGTACACCACCTTCGTGCTCGACACGTGGTCACGACGATCATCTTCAAGATGAAGCTATTAAGCCGCGTGGACCCCACAATGTGCTATCCGCCATCTTTGGCCTGGTCGGCAGGTAATACAGGGTAATTTAACCGTGGTCGATCGAGTACAGGGCCATTGCCAATGTGTATGCAAGTAGCGTATCATTCGGACCACATCGCAGGGTAGCATTCCACCAATAGGGGGCGCATCGTCACCCCCGATTCCTAGCCCGTGCTATCGCGGCATCTGCATCGACCACGGTACAGGTTCGAGTAAGCTCCCTGTCTAACAGCGGATCGGAATTGATCATATTGCCAGATGCAATGTGAACTGGATTTTTTCCCGAATTCAGATAAGGGTGGGTCCGGTTCGGCGACCGGTTTTTTCTTGGCCGGCCCGGTTCCTTCGGGAACAGACGGTCAAGGTCTCAATCATGGAGCCGGCAGAATAGCCCCTACCGATACGATGCGGAACTTCGACATGGAGCATTCGAACTGGTGCTCGCATTATCGTTTGGTTACAGTCATGCCGGCCACCGAGGACCGATGCTATCTTCAACAACGCAGGCTTTACGATTACCAGGGCAACCAAGCTTGTCTCCTCCTTGTTCTTGTAATTCCACTTCCGACTAAAGAAATATCTATTCTCACGAACGCATGCATTACTGTTGTAGATCTATCAGAAAAGAAAATTTCTCTTTGCTTGGTATCGAAATATATATTGTCACGTGGTAGCAGGGTTGGATGAGTCAGCACCGTGGGTGCCACCATTAGAGATTAGAGCTCCCCACCCTGCAGCAGCTCACTAAGTCAAAGCACCCCCATTTAGAACACCCCCTCATTTCGAACAAACCCCACCAGTATCCAGGCAGTTAATTCAAATCACCATAACATAATAATTACTATAGCTCAACTATATAAAATTGATGTTGAAAAGAGGCAAATTCAATCTCTTGTAACCTTGCTGTTTTTGCTGCCTTAAAAGTGATTCTTTTGGCCTGTTGCTTAGATTTCTAGATATGCTCTACCTAGGCAAAGCGCTCATTAGGCCCTAATGCTACCTTTGCCTTTGTATACAGCTTATATACCTTAATAACCTCCTTAAGCTGGTTAATCTGTCGCTTGTACGTAGCGATAAGTATGTTCTTTTTATTAAGGCCTTTGCCTACTTTGTGAAACAGTAGGCGGCCCTCTGCAGTGTTGACTTTAGGCCCAAGGACATAGGTAAGAGTTGCCTTCTTAAGATCTCCTGATTGTTTAGGAGTAGCTGGTGGGCTTGCTACTGATGAATCCTTTAACTTTAGTGTTAACGGGGGTGCTTTCTTGACCTGCCTTTCTTTCTCCTCTAGTTAACATAGTAGTTATTGACTTGCTAGTACCTTGGATAGGTTGAATAGGTATATACTAGTCCTTCTCTACCTAGCTTAGATTATTGTACTTGTTATAGCTTAGATATGTATAACACTATAGTAGTAGAGAAAGTTCTGCTTGCTAAGGGATATGAGGTCTGTTAAGGCGTAGAGTATACTAATGGCCTTGCGATAGGCTGCCTTTAGAGGGCTAAAGACTGATACGTCTAGAGGCTGGGTTATATGAGAGGAATAGGCAGGGAGAAATACTATATATATCCCCCTCTAAAAGTATTCCCACATGAAATTGTTAGAGTAGTGACTTCTGTGCTTATCTATAATTAAGAGCTGCTTTATATTCTTGTTTGGTGGCTCTGGTTGAGTCTGAGGGTCAAAGACGTTAACTAGCTAGCGAACTGCTCTTATATAGTTGGTCTAGCTATTCTTAGATGCGTTAAAAGACTAAGTCTTATATACTAAGAGTTGTTTAGGAAACTACTGTTGTTGTATGTGTTTACCCTTGAATATAACTAGCGGTTAAAGCGCTTGCCCTGTGGCTAATATACACTTAATGATTATTGTCTATACATATGAACTAGGCTACTGTATATATATTGATTTCTTCCTCTCACTAGACCTAATTACTAGGCTATTGACTCCTTGGCCCTCTATTATCCTAGTTTTGTCTATGTTCTACATGTGTTAAGGAGGAATTACCTTGACTATTAGATTAGTATATAGCTTAAAATATAACTAGAGTATCTCTTGTGTATAAGCCTTGACTTATAGACTATTAATTATTCTACTTTTTAATGTCTTTAACTAAGGGTTATAGTAATAAAAGCCCTCTATCTATCGCTTGCTAAAGGGCTAATAGTTACTGCTAGTAGCTGCTATATAGGCAGCAAAAGACCATAGCTGGGCGTAGGTTGGGCTGAGCCCAAGGCTGGCCTGGGCTAGGGCCCACGTGACGAGATGCTCTTCTTGAATAGCTGATAGTTGTTGTAAGTGCTTGCTAGACACCTTCTTGGGTATGCATCCCTTTCTTTGGTAGTGTAGGGTCGTAATAGGTATCCCCTAGGTACGGGAAGCTTGTTGTATGCTTATCCTACTGTTAACATCCTGAAGAGCTTGCTGAATGTCGTTTTTAGTGTATTTTGGCATCGCGAAAACACTGGTATTTTTAAAATAATTAATATTTAATGTTGTGGTTGGGATAGTTGGTGTTGTTGTTTGGGTTAATAGTATGTGTAATAGTGAAGTCGGGTGTTCGAAATGAGGGGGTGTTCTAAATGGGGGTGCTTTGACTTATTGTAGATACTAGATTCATATATCGGGAAATCTTCATCGTCATTCAATGCCGGTCATGACCATCTTAGTCACCAGAAACTCGTCAATACCATACTTGCTGCCCTCTCTTCCAAATCCACTCTGCTTTACGCCGCCAAAAGGCGCGGCTGGGTCGCTGATGGCTCCTGTAGTTTTTTCTCACAGATTAGTGCTGCTCAGCTCCCGTCGAGTTGTCCAGGCCAGGACTTACCGATATTGACACCAACCATACCGACCTCCAGAGCCTCCGCCACGCGCCAGCATCGGGAGACATCCTTGCTGAAGAAGTACCCCGCAAGGCCGACGTCAGCGTCGTTCGCAAGTGCAATGGCCTCCTCTTCCGTTTCGAAGGCGAACAGAGCCGCCAAGGGACCGAACGTCTCTTCCGAACAGACCTTCATGCCGGGCTTCATATCGGCCAAGATAGTAAGGTCGAAAAAGTTGGGGCCTAGATCGGCCCGGTGCTTGCCGCCCAGGAGCACGCGAGCTCCCTTGGACACCGCATCCTTTACGTGTTCGTCCACCTTTGCAACCGCGCGACCGTGGATCAACGGCCCATGTGTCGTCTTCTCGCCGAATCCATCGCCAACGACGAAGCTCTTGACGGCATCTACCAGCATCTGCGAGAACTTCTCGTAGACCTTGCTGTGAACCAGGATGCGGTTGGCACACACGCATGTCTGGCCCGAGAGTCTGAACTTTGATGCAGTAAGGCCCTTGAGAGCTGCGTCGAGATCGGCGTCCTCGAAAACGATGAAGGGGGCGTTTCCGCCGAGCTCGAACGAAAGCTTCTTCAACGTCGTGGAGCACTGGTTCATCAAGAGCTTCCCGACGCCGGTCGATCCCGTAAACGACACTTTCTTGATGACCGGGTGCGTAGTCAAGACCTTGCCCACGGACACCGTGTTGTCCAAGGCCGTGATGACGTTCACCACACCAGCGGGGATCCCCGCCCTGTGCGCAAGCTCTGCCAGGGCCAGTGCCGTCAAGGGAGCTTCGGCGGGTGCTTTCACAACCACAGTGCAGCCCGCAGCCAATGCCGGTCCGACCTTGCGGGTGATCATGGCAGCGGGGAAGTTCCAAGGTGCGATGAGACCGCAGACACCAATGGGCTCCTTGAGGGTCACCAGACGACAACTGGGGTTGCTCGCCTGGATGGTGTCGCCGTAGATTCTAGGGGCTTCCTCCGAGAACCACTCATAAAAGGACGCAGCGTAGGCGACTTCTGTCCTTGCGTCGGACATGGGCTTGCCGTTTTCAAGAGCGATAATTGTAGCCAAGTCCTCGGCATGCTCCGTCATGAGGTCGTACCACTTTCTCAATAGCCGGGCCCTGGTCCGTGCAGGCGTCTTGCGGTAGGATTTGAATGCATCGTGGGCGGCGAGGATGGAGGCCTCGGTGTCCTTCTCGTCGAACTCGGGACATTTGCCCACCTCGGCAAGAGTAGAGGGGTCTTATCTGCATGTAAGTCTCGATCCGCTGCAAGGTGGCAAACGGCCATACTCACTTTCAACAGAGAAGACTTTGCCAGACGCTGCGCCAACCCATTGCCCGTTCACATAGCATGATGTCTTCAATAGCGAAGCATCTTTCAACTGCATCCGAGTTAACTTCGACCCGCTTCTCCGCTAGTGTTAGATAAGACTCACCTGGTGTGCGCCCGACGCCATTGCGAACGAGAGTGATGTACCTCGATTTGATCGTGACTGCAGGAAGGCGGTATGGTATCTCAAAGTCTGCTGCGGCAAGCTCAAAAGTCTCACGCGGGCCGCTGTTTATATGAGCGTCCTATGATGGCGTCGAATCGGCGACACTACAGTACTGATGTAACATCGCCCTACCTGTTGATACCGGTGCGGGGTTGACTTTTGGGTTCAGTGGGACCGGCCCGGGACCTGGAATGCGAGACGTTGCTGGGGTGTTTGACACATACCAATGTGTTGCACTTGGTAAAGTTACGAACTAAATCCACAAAATAAAGGAGATCGCCACAAGCTCTTCGAGGCGGCGTGTGATCACGGCGAGCCGCAACCGGCCGAGATGGTGTGGATCGTGCTGGATTTGATGGATATCGTTCCTATTGGCCTGGGCCCGGATGGGGCCCGGGCCCAAGCCGGCCGGCTCGTCCCCGGTTCCCGGTCGTGATGGGCAAACGGAATCTCGCGGACACGGTCGCGGACGATAAATACTCGATTCCCAACACCTGACGATGAACTTTATTCTCACCAAAGTCAAACAGAAGTCTAACTGCAAGCCGTCCCCCGAGATCGCAAGAACATCGAAGCCACAATGCCAGCTGTCATTGAACACTCGGTCACCACGGAGGTGCCTGGACCCGTGTCCAAGGCGAGCGCAAAGAAGCTAGACGCATTCTTCGACGCCCGTGCCGTATACTTTGTCGTCGACTACGACAAGAGCTCTGGAAACTAGTATGCATTATTGCCACCGTCCGTGGACTGGCGCTGACATTAAGCCTTCAGTATCGTGGACGTCGACGGCAACAAGTATCTCGATGTGTACGTTTCCCCCCAAAGCCCGCCGATCATACACGGCAGTCCGCCAACCCGCAGCTCGCTAATCTTTCCCGGCAGCTACTCGCAGATCGCCTCCATCCCGGTTGGCTACAACAACCCCACCCTCATCGAGGCTGCCAAGTCACCCGAGATGATCTCCGCCCTTGTCAACAGACCTGCCATCGGCAATTTCCCTTCGGCATTCTGGCACGACCTCCTCCAGGATGGTTTGATGAAGGTGGCTCCCGAGGGCCTGAGCTACATCTTCACCGCCCAGTCCGGCTCTGAGGCCAACGAGCTGGCCTACAAGGCTGCCTTTATGCTCTACCGCCGCCGCGAGCGTGGCGAGGCTGAGTGGTCAGATGAAGAAGTCCGCTCTTGCCTTAACAACACCGCCCCTGGCTCCCCCGAACTCGCCATTCTCAGCTTCAAGAACTCTTTCCACGGCCGAGGCTTCGGCAGTTTGTCAACCACCCGGTCAAAGGCCGTTCACAAGCTCGACATCCCCTCTTTCAACTGGCCCCAGGCCACCTTCCCCGCGCTGAAGTATCCCCTCGAGAAGCACGTAGCCGAGAACGATGCTGAGGAGAAGCGCTGCTTGGAGGAGGTTGAGAAGCTGATCCAGAGCTGGCACTGCCCCGTTGCTGCAATCATCGTCGAGCCTATCCAGTCCGAGGGCGGTGACAACCACGCGTCCCCGGCTTTCTTCCAGGGTCTTCGTGACATCACAAAGAAGCGCAACGTTGTCATGATCGTTGACGAGGTCCAGACTGGTGAGTTGTTCTGCAGTGCTACCATTCAGTACAGGGGTGCTAACATCGGCGGCAGGTTTCGGTGCTACTGGAAAGTTCTGGGGACACGCCCACTGGAACCTTACCTCCCCTCCTGATATCGTCACCTTCTCCAAGAAGGCCCAGACTGCCGGTTACTTCTTCGGCGACCGCATGTTGGTCCCCGACAAGGCCTACCGCCAGTTCAACACTTGGATCGGTGACGCTGCCCGTGTCATTGTCTGCAAGGCTGTTGTTGAGGAGATCCTCAACAAGAAACTTGTTGAGCAAACTGTATGGATGCTGCTCTTCTGTTTGACTGTGTTCATTTTGCCTAACTCCTTCATAGGCTCGCGTTGGAGATGCCCTCTACTCCGAGATGGAGAAGCTCGCCCAGACGTACCCCGACCACGTTCAGAACCTGCGCGGCAAGGGCCAGGGGTGAGTGAAGCCATACTTGATTGACACCTTTAGTCAGAGCATTTTCCACTGATACATGTCACAGAACCTACATCGCTTTCGATACACAGAGTGCGGCAGCCGTCACGAGCTCGATGAAGCGTCTCGGCGTCAACGTTGGCGCTTGCGGCAAGGAGACCATCAGACTCAGGCCCATGCTCATCTTCGAGGAGGCTCACAGTAAGTCATTGACGCGCCCGCAACCTGGCACTCTATTCTGACAACATTGCAGTTCCTATTTTGATGTCAGCATTTGAGAAGACCTTTTCATCTTTGTAAATACTATCGGGGCGCAGAAAGGGTTCAAACAAACGGGAAAAGCATGGCATAAGCATCGGTCTCCCACTCATAAGGCAGGCTAGGAATTGCTTTAGACCCATTTGGAAGGCGTTTTTCATAGATATCATGGTTACAGGAATAGCTACGGCGTGGAAATTTGAGCAAGGCATATCGGACAATAATCCTTCGCGACGTTGGATTGCATAGTGTTGAGTGGCATGACGGGGCCTCCGTCACCCTTGGGAGTAGGACAAGAATTGCCGTTGACCACGCGAGTATGTCACCACGGTCAATACAAACGACATTGGTTTGAAGGCTAAATTCGTCGTTGATGTCTGTTTCTGAACGCATCATTTTGAAAACCAGCATAGTATAAGGGGGTTTGGTGGTTTTATCCTCCCAGCCGTAACGAGCCGGAAGTGCTATGGGCGGCGCCTATTGGTCCGACCGAGCAATCCATATCCTGTTACTGTACAGCACTGATTTGATGCTTGGCCGAAAGCTGTTTCAATGACGGAGCAGAACTGCCGTCACCCACCCATACCGACTGTACAAAGGCCGAAAGGATAAAACAACACGGTCTCTGTCTGATAGCTGATAGTAAAGGCGAGAGCCCGCTCATGTTTCTCATATTGACATGTTGCCAAGGGGTACACAACTGGTTTTAAATCATCGGAGGAAAGATGGGCAGGAAAGAAACTCGCAGCATGCCGAGTACCCTCCTTCTCCCCGGGGCTCGCTATAACGCCGCCACAGAAAAACGGGCTACTTGGGATGAGACTGCCTATGCATTCTCGCGATTGGCGGTGTTCGTGATTAGCATAAAACCACGCGATGAATGCATATGATTTTGCCAGCGAGGGATCAGGCCGGGGACCCTAAGAGGCCTAGAGGCCCCACCTATAGGTATCATCCGCACAAGCCAAGAGTTTCGGCTTAGTGGTACTTTTTCTTCTTTTTCTTTTTTCTTTTGCATCACAGTCCTGTGTGCAGGGCCAACTTACCAAAAAACCACCTTTTCGATTTCAATGCGTTAATCGTCGCGTCATAAAGCCGATTGGTTGTAAATGTCACTGCGCCCATGCGATTTGTCCTTCGTACAGCACAAGGACCGGCAATTTGCCGGTCCCGTGGGCACGTCCGGATCGGCCTCCGGTCTCGGACACACCCCGCCGCAAAAACCCATTACCAAGTCTAAGGAGTGCTGGGCTTCCCCCCCGGGTCTGGCTGGGCCGGAGGATATCGGCAGGAGCGCAGCCGATGCCCACTTGACTTCATCTGCAGCTTGCAACCTAAGCACTGGTTCGGTTTTCCCGTGGTATTGGACCTTTCCGGTTGCGTGGAAGCCGGGGCAGTTCATCATTGCGGATTGTCGGGGGTATGGGAATCCAGCGATTCTTCTGTCTAGCAAAGATGTCCGCCTCCTTCGTGGTCACTAGTCCGCCGCACAACATGCAGATGTCTAGAGTAAGCATTAGGCGGAATGATAGCCCGCCGGGGAAGTCACTAAAGTCCCGGCAGGAAGAGGTGCTTGTTTCTAATATACCTATCAAAAAGACGAGAAACGGCGGCTGTATCCACGGCCTACCTAATTAGCAGCAAGCCACGTGGAGATTTATCTCATCTTGAACCACTCAGCAGACACAACGAGTTAAGGAGGTCCAGGTCCCGGGTTCAAGGATCTGTGTCGGTGCACTTTTCGGTCCCGACCAGGATGTAGACGGCTTCCCCCGCGTCTTTGGAGGGGAAGGAGGGCGGGTCGTGCTCCGGTCCCCCGCCGAGGCGCAGGTTTCGCCGAGATTTTGCCTCGCCTGTGTGAGGAAGGCACGTTGATGGGCATCTCGTCTCCGCCTATCTTAGCCCATCACACACAACCCCGGGACCACCTCTCGTTCAATTCACTCACTTTATCCACATCCACATACCATGCCCGTCCTGCACCGTGGAATGGCAAGGGATTGACGAGACACCGAGAAAGAGAGAGAGAGAGAGAGAAAGAGAGAGAGAGAGAGAGAGAGAGAGAGAGAGAGAGAGAGAGAGAGAGGGAGAGAGAGAGGGAGAGAGAGACAGCAGACCTTCCTTTCCGGACTCCGGACCTGCATCTACCACCACCGGCCCGGGCCCTCGGTTGGCCCTGTCGATCGGCGCCGCCGCGTGCTATCAACGTGATCATTTTTTACGCTTATCGGCTATCGCATTTCCGAGCCGTACTGTGCCTAGATGGACCCCGAGGACAGCCTGCGTCTGCAACGACACAAGCAGCGTCGTGTCGCCGACAAAGAGCGCAAGCGGGCAGTTCGAGCGTAGGATGATCCCCAACTATTTCTCTCTCTCTCTCTCGTTGCAAATTTTCATTGACAAAGAGTCGTGCCCATGCTGACGCGACTCAAGCTGCGACGGATGCCGGAGACTCAAAGAAAAATGCGACGGAGGAGTCCCCTGCCGCCGGTGCACCCGCTTGCGCCGGCAGTGTGAGTTCCTCACGCCCACCACCAGAGATGAGCCCGGGTCCGAGGCCTCGGCAAGGTAGGTACCTCCCCTCCCCATTGTATACGAATCCATGTATAGATCCCAATGATTGCGCCAACACTTGGCTGACCAGGCCCTCGGGGGATGCCACAGACCGCACCCCCCGCAACATGATTCTCACCTGAGACAGAGGATGCATTACATGGAGCGGTTGCTGGCGCACTACACCGGCAAGAGCACACTGGATGCCGAGACACTAAAGACCCTGGCCGAGTCTGTCGAGAAGGGACGTGCCGGCCCGGAGGCATGCAGGGCCGGGGCTGGAGCGCATGTTTCCATGGAGCCGGAAGTCGGCGTCGAGGCAGAAGTGCAATCGCAAAGCTCCGACTCCTTCAAGGTAGACGAGATCACGGTGCAGCCTTTGGAGAACAATATCACACGTAAGAGGGTGGCCCCGGGCTGGCTCGAACGTCCGACCAGAGGCGCCTTGCTGACTATTGGCAGATTATTCGGGCGAGTTCTCGCACTGGAACTTCTCCATGAGAATAAAGCAGTGGATCGAGCAGTGTGTAAACGTAGGTCCGCTCCAACTTGTATCTCCGTGGGGGAAGTCTTATTGACCATCGTCCAGGACGCCCCGGATGGTCCCAAAACACAGTTCAAGGAGTACTACCGCCCGGAAGAACTGCAGTCGTCCTCAAACGCGGTGGCTTCACTGTCGTCCCTGCCGCCGCGTTACGTCGCCGACTTCCTGGTCCACGCTTTCTTCAACCATGCCGAGACCAGCTACTTTTACGTCGAACGTCATTGGCTGAAGGAGAAGCTGGACTTGGTTTACGAGAACTCGGCGTCCCTCACACGGCGAGACGTCGGTACTGTGTGCATGATCCTCATAATCTTCGCCATTGGGACGCAATATGCCTATCTAGATTCTCGTGACGAGAGAGGCGGTCCTCCCAGTGCTGCTGCCGACTCGAGCCCCTTTTCAGAGGATACGATTGGTATCATGTTCTACCAGCAGGCATGCCGACTAGTCCCGGACGTCATCACAATATCATCGTTGGAAAGCGTCCAGGCATGTCTTTTGATCGGCTTATATACGCTCCCGCTCGATGCTTCGGGCCTGTCGTACGTCTACTTGAACCTCGCAGTCAAGCTGGCGATTCAGAACGGGATGCACCGGAAGTATCCCGGGAACGCCATTGATCCCGTCATCCGTGAGACGAGGAATCGGGTGTGGTGGACGGCCTATACCACTGAGAAGTGCGAAAGATCTCTTCGCAGGGTCTGGACGCGTGCTGACTGCTCATCGTAGGCGCATTGGCATATTCCACGGCCGACCAGTATCCATCGCTGCCAGCGATGTCGATGCAGAGTTACCACGAGACCGCACAGATATCTGGCCGGGGCCTGCACCGCCGAACACAGCACACATGTTGGCAACACTCCAGCTCAACAACGCCTTGAGTCGGATAGCCCACCAAATGTCGGTCATCAATACCCCCCCCCCCTGCCGCCAGTGCTCCATCTAACCTTCATCCGTAGTTCGTTATTCAAGACGTACGAAAAGCACGAGATACCCGAAGGCATGGCCAAGCTCGTCGAGATGAAAGCCCAACTCCACAATTGGTGGAACAGCCTCCCGGAGCCGACATTTTGCAAAGACCCTACCTCGAGCCCCGAAGTCTTCCGGCCCACCATGCACCTGAGACTGGAATACTGCCTTGTCCGAATGTTCGCTGGCCGTCCCTTCATCTTCCCCCGGGACTCGGCCCGCAGCACCGCAAGCTCGTCCGGGTCGCCTGCAGACTCAGTCCCGCCGCCGCGAACGAGCAGCTCGACAGGCAAAATACACCCTCGCTCGGTCCTGGTCGCAGATTGCGTCGATGCGGCGCTGTGCGTGGTAGAGACGTGCCGTCTGCTTCGCAACAGCGTCGGCCTTGCCAGGGCGTCGTACACTGAGTTCAGCTCCTGTCGCGCCGCGTTGCTTGTGATCATCACGCAGTGCCTCCAGAAGAAAACGGACCACCTGCGCGATGCGCTGAGAGAGGGCATGGCGATGCTCAAAGAGATGTCGGCGGGTGGCGAGTCAGCCAAGTCCGAGATGTCGCTGATCGAGGCATTCGAGCGTGCCATCTCGAGACTGGACACGGCGGACGACTCCAGCTCCGCAAAGGAGTCGGATTACGCAAGGTTTAAGAAATGGGAAATGCTGTGGAAAACGGACACGCCGGCCCAGGATGCGAGGGGCGACAGGGGCCTCGATGCGGCGCTGCCCATCCCGCCGCATCCTGCCATGTTTGGGCGCGGGAGCCAAGGTCAGGGCGGACACGTCGCCCCTGGGGCGGGGCGACAGGGCACGGCGTCACTGCCGCCCGCGATGCCGTTCTTCGGACTTGATGGGGGCCTCTCGCCAATGCCACCAGCTCTCGACGAGTTCTCGGCCATGTTCGGGAATGGGTACGTGCCGGGTTTTGACGGCCTAGACGAGAACGTAAATGGGAACTGGATGGGTCTTTGAACAGAGAAAGAAACTGGGAGAGACGGAAGTGAACGCAGCGGCCTTTATCAACGCTTCTTGATCGGAGGGCCAGTATTTCGGCACCCGTATTTGTCAGCCTGTAATCTCAAACTGCGAAGCATTGCATGTACATCTCAGCAACGTAGACAGGCCAGGTCTGCCCATGCTGGGTGGCGCCAATCGTCAATAAGCACTGCTGGAGCCTACTGATATGGTACGCAGACATCGTGCTCCAGTCCGAGATGCCGATATGCATGCCAAGTCAATGTTCTGTTTCCATAGATGTATTTTTTGGCGTGACGAGTCTGTGGCGTAGAGGGCCATGGGCAAGACAGTGAGCCATATCAGTTGAGGCCAAGCAAAGAGCAAGATTAACCAGGTCGGTATAGTCGAAACGCGCAAGATTTCACGTGTCACGGGCGTCGTAAAAGCCGCGTTATGAGCTGTAAAGCCGCATTTGGAGCGTACTGCAGAACCCTAACCTGTCCACAAAACGACGGGCAAGCGTGTGCATCTCTGTCCACCAAACAACCCCCCTTCTCACTCCTCCGGGTCCCGGCCACCCTGTGCCGCCATGTTTCTCTCGTACTCCTCATCCGACTCTAGATCTATCTTGACGGGATGCGTGATCGGAACAACGGGATCCCCATTTTCCTCGAGCTCCTTCAGCCTGGCGGCCGTCGCGGGCCGGGACCGGTTCATGCTGTAGATCTTGATACGGTGGCACGAGGACGTGACGTGGAGGTCCCAGTTCCTGTACCATCGTCAGTATGTCCTTCTTCTCTATCCTCGTTCTCGGACCGGATAGGGAATGGGGATGGAGTGTATGAAGCAGAAAGGGACAAAAAGGGGGGGGGGGGGGGGGGGGACTCACCAAGCAGACCGCACATAGGTAGGCTGTGTGTTGCACGAATTGTCCCACGTCCGCACGCAGAACTCCAGCCATCCCTCCGCGTCCACAGGCATATCAATCTCCCAGAGCCGCCACGCGTGGAAGTACTTCTTAGTCATCTTGTCGTACGGCACCTCATACCACACAGAGCCGCCGTCGGAGCTGACCTCGACTCTGACGGGCCAGTGCCCGCCGCCCGAGTACGCCCAGCCGCGCAGCGTCACCTTGCCGTCATGGACGATCTGGTCCATGTCCTTGGGCGTCATAATGGCCGACGACACGGGCATGTCTTGGATCGAGAAGCCGTTGCTATACTTGGCGTTCTGTTTCCCTATCTGCGGCGTATAGTAGATGTACTCCCGCCGCTGCACTGGTCCTGCGCTCTCGTGCGGTATGGCCCGGACTTCTGTTAGCCACTTTGTGCTCCGCGCGCCAATGTAGCCGAACACGACGGTCCGCAGCGGGAAGCCATGTATCTTGGGCAGCGGCTCGCCGTTCATCTCCCACGCGAGGAGGACCTCGTTCAGCTTCACCTTGCGCCACGGCACGCTCACTGCGTAGTTGTACACCTTTCCCTTCTTGAAGTACGTGTCGGCGCCGAAGAACTCGAGGTGGCCCGCGCCATCCTTTAGACCGCCACAGTACTTGATCACCTTCTTCAAGCTGACGCCCGTCCAGCGGGCCGTGCCGATAGCGCCCTCGCCCCAGGGGGCATTGATGAGCTCGTCGCCGTCGCCTGGATACTGCGCGATCTGCTCGATGCGGCGTGTGCCAGCGCACTGGAGAGATACGACGCTGCTCTGGTGCGGGAACTTGGTCTTGAGGTCGTGGAGGGTGAGGGTCTGCGGGTTGTTGACGAGGCCCGTGATGTCGAGCGTGTACTTGTCCTCGTCGATCTCGGGGATGCCGCCGTGGTTGCGGACGAAGTAGTCTTTGTTGTCGGTGAACTCCTTCTCGACGAGGCGTTTCTGTACAGGGTGTCAGATTCGTTTGCAACGGCTCCGAAGGGCCTCGTGGCCACTTACACGCGGGGACTCGCCATTGTACGGAAACTGGAGCACGTGGATCATGTCCTCGGCCTTTTCCTTCTTGACAATGTCCCAGCTAATGTCGACCAGGTGTCCCAGTCCGAGGGCATAGTGATACTGCTTCCATCGTTCACCTGTGAGAATAGGGTTGGTGTCGGGCAGCGGTCCGAGTTGATATTGAGGTGGCTTGAGATTAGTATCAGCACGAACGACCATGGGCCTTGATTTTGCGAAACGTCGCCCGATTAATTACTCACGTCAGGAAAGTCATATTGGGCCATGATCTCCTCAACTTGCTTTTTCTTCTCTGGGTACTTCTCCCACTCAATGTAGCCCTTCCAGCCCTGCCTCTCTTCCTTGAATTCGGGGATCTCGCCCTTCGCCCTGAAGGGAATGGCATGCGGCTCAGCAGGAGCCATGGTTAATCGATCGATTTTGTTGTAAGATTCCTATGGGAAGTAGGCAAAACGTACTCAAGACCAGTGTGTTTGGCCCGAAATCGAACAGGAAGGCGGCGTTGATACAGAAGGAACGGCCGTCGCGTCCGGCTATATCAAGCCGGAAGCTCGTCCAGGACACGACTCATCTCATCAAGCGCAATCATGCCGAGCTGTCGGCCGCATGGCCGCCGCTACCCCAAAAGGGAAGCATGTGTCCGCAGCATAACCAATGGAGAGTGTTGTATGGTGATGCGATGCCGTCATGTACACATCAAGACTTGACCTGCTCCATAGAGTGGGGAAGAATATGGTTTCGACTGCCGCTAACTTGCATCACGGATATGTCAGCGATACTGAAGCTTTCTTGAATGTAACCCCCGCTCCAGAAGCTTCGACGTCCCGACTGCCAGGCCTTCATGCCTTGATAAATTGTCTCTCCCGTCGTAGTCTCACCCAGAGCCAAGATACCTTCCCACTTGTTTACCGTCGCTGCTGCCATTATGCCACCCCACCAAGTAAGTCATGACGATGATCGTCCTATCCCCTGTCCAAACAAGATGACGTCTGCGTCTTTAGTGCATTCGGGCAGGAAATCAAGGGCCCTTGGCAGATGCAAGTCGCCGAAGAGAGACCCGCGTCCTATGTCGGCACTAACACATGACAAGGATGACAATGGTCCGGAGGTCTGATATTAAGCATGTAAATTCGGAATGAGCCCCGATGAAACAAAAAAGGTAATGATCTAGGTAATACGTCCTTTTCTCCGTAACGCCGTCAGCGTACCATTGTAGCCGCCTGCTTGATAAAATCAAATCGTGTAATGAGCCGCGTCCTTTGGCGGACTGCCCGATGCCAAAGTTGCTATCTGCTCAGACCACCCAACTTCTTCCGCCCTAATCAACTCAAACAATTCGACAAGTGCTCAATTAATAATATTCGCTGCGCTTCGGATATCATGAACCCCGTCGTCGTTCATCTCACTTGTAAAACCCCCCTATCCTTGGAGAACGGCGCCATTGAGGCGACGACCGACCGTCTTGTAAGACGAGTACTGTCCGTCGGCGCCCATGATGTCGAAACGGTTCATGCTCATGGCATCTTCAGTGAAGCCTGATAGGTAGTAACCAACAACAACCACAAGATAGCTCAACAACAAAATGCTACCCTTGAAGTAGTTGCTCTTGCCTTCGCCGTACATGTAGCTGAGCAGGAAGACGCAGATGATCACCGTCACCATGTCCCACTGAGGGAACAGGAGTGCAAAGGTGCGCGCGGTCACGTCCTCAACACCCTCGGTGGTCGCCCAAAACGCCGAGTAGAACACCAGCGCCGGAATCTGGAGCAGGCAGACTTGGAGCGCGTAAGCAGAGCCGATTTCCATGGACAGTGCAATGTTGCCGTTCATGGCGAAGGAGATGGCGTTCTATGGGACATTAGTCAACATCTCGGGTGGCTTACAGCAGATCCGAACTTACCAAGAATTCAGTCGTGTTGGGGACTAGGGCGAACAGAGTGATTCCCAGGAACTTTTCGTCAATGGCGAATCCCTCGAGAACAACATCAACGGTGTCGACCAGAATCTCCGCGATGACGGCGTAGAGTACAGTGGCTCCCATGAGAATGATGGCACTCTTGCCACGGCTCCAGTTGGGGGCGTCGTGGCCACCATGAGGCACCTGCACAGTGCTGGCAGCCGCGAGATCCTCGGCCTCAGGGACCGCGGCGGTACGCAGAGCAGGGGTGCGGGGAAGATTTGCACTCGAAATTCCGGGCTGTGCTGAGATTCTGCGAGGCATCCGCTCCCGCGCGGCGATTGTAGCTGCAGTGGCAGCCATCTCTGCGACCTCACGGACAAGAGCGTTGTTTTCGGCCTCTGAGAATCCTGGGATGTGAACGGTTGAGCGGACTGTGTCGCTGCCGCTTGACTTGGGGGGCACGACATGCGGGATGCTGACGCCGCCGTTGCCCGGGGCCAGTCCCAATCCAGTCGTGGAGTCGTGGCGGGAAGCGTCGTCGCCCTTTGTCGCAAGGCCGACCTGCTTCAGCGACTGGCCGAGAATGCGTTTGTAAAGGTGGGAGTCGCGGACGTCGACAGAGGTGCCAGTGGTCTCGGCGAATGAGTGAAGCCCCGATTGTCTGGCATGAGCGTGTGCTTCTTCATGTTTCTTCTCGTCGATTTCGGAATTCCAGATGACGGCCGCGTGAGTTCGCAGAGTGAACCACAGGCCCACGATGTAAGAAAGGAACAACAACGTGGCGCAGAAGTAGCAGAACGGTCGAACAGCTTCGAGGTAAAATCGGTCGTTCAGGGCTGGAGTCTGTGAGAAGAAGCATCGCTTGCAGTCACGGCCATCGCCAACTGGCGACAGGCCACCTCCGATTCCGCTGTGGCTAACGCAGTCCAGACAGTTGAGCTCATGGGTGCCGTAGATTTGGTAGAAAAGCGTGGGGCCGAAAGCGCCGAGGACGGCGAACAGCAGCATTGTTGAAGTGACACCGGCAGATCTGGCATTGAATCGTTGCGTTTTGCGTTTGATGGCGCCGAAACACATGGACAGGCCAGGGAGGAAAAGAATACCCGCGAAGATGCTGCCGACGATACTTCCCTCGACAAGATGGCCCTTGCCTTGACTAAGGGCGACACAGTAGAGGAAGACTTCAACAATGGTAGAGAAGAATGCGTTGATGGCGGCACCGACTCCCATGGATGATTGAGCCGAGATGGAAGCGACAGCCTGACCAATGAAGTAGGCAAGCGGAACGATGGAAAATAGGCCGGCAATGAAGAGAAAGGCAGGCGAGGTGATGAAGAGGTCGAGATGGAGGACGTTGTCGAGAACCAGCCAGTCGAAGATGACGAAAAAGACGACACCCATGAGATTGATCAAGAAGACGTTAGTGCCATCAATGGTGTACTTCCAGTACTTGATGCCAACCGCGCGGTAGGTGCACAAGAGGATCGACGACTGCGGCGTGTCGGCGGTACGGGCGAGCACCATGTCGGCCTCGAAAGAGAGCGCCAATGGGTGTCGTCGCAGCTGGTCAAACAGCAGCATGGTGACTTTACCCATTGGGATGGAGAAGACGAAGAACCAGCAGATAAGGGAAACCAGTATCAGCGACGGGGAAAGCAGCAGGTAGAAGAACAGGAAAAAGACGACGCGTCCAATGTTCCACTGTCCTCTTCCAAAGAGTCGGCGCTTGGTCTGCGGCGGTGTCTGGGACCGATCGCCGCGTCGAGAGCGGCCCAAGAGGCTGTCCGTCTCACTCGGCTCCGAGTCGATGCTCCTGCGCGAGCGGCCAACAATCGACCGGGTGCGTTCAAAGCCTTCTGGGCCAAAGAACAGGCGGCCGTATTCTATATCTCCGTTCTGCCACTGCTCATACTCGGATATGCTTCGTCCTTCGCCCTGATCTTCGTGCAGGTAGGCCTCGTCCTGCTCCAGGCGGACAAACTTGCCGAATGGATAGAACAGATAGGCGGCCAGTCCCCAGAGAACTCTGCCGTATTCTCTGCCGCTCGGGGTCGCGGCGAACAGGAAGCACACGACAGCACCGAGCGCCGAAAAAGCCGCCATCCACCAACCAAACAGCAATGTCCAAAGGAGATTGAAGAAGAGGAGCCAGCTGTGCACTCTGCCGCCAGGAGTCGAGTGGATGTCGCCCTCGGCATTCTTCTGCACCGAACGATCCTTCTTGTACAGGGCAGGCTTCCACAATCTTATACCAAAGGGATGCGTTTGGTTGATGGCCTGCTGGCGGTCCTTGAGTGTGAAGCTCTCTGCATCACTCACGTCACCATCCGACTCGACTCCGATATCCTCCTCATCGGGGTGTACAGAGGGGTCGCCCTCCAGCTCTTCGGGTACGTTCTCGTCGGCTCGGGGGGTTCGCGGCCCGCCGTCCTCGTCGTCCTCGTCTTCATTGTTCTCGCCGTGGGTGGACTGAACGCGCGACAGTGTCGTCGGCAGCTGGGGTCGACGGCGTGTGCCATAGATGTTAGCACGCTGACCTTGATGGCGTTCAGCAGCGTCTGCCTCGACCTCGTAGATATCGTCATCGGCCGAGAAGACCTCGCCGCGATGCGGTGCCGATGGGTTTGTCGAGAGTCGACGGGGCATCGGGGGCTTTCGGGGTCTCGAGGCTTTGGGGCGTTCGGGACCCATCATGGGCGATCGGGCAGCTTGGGTGGAGCGAGAATGAGAACGGTCGTGAGCTGAGGTTTCAGCCGGGTATTGCGAACCAGAACCTTGGGTATGTATAGAGCCTGCAAAGGCACAAAGCGGGGGCTTGATGTCAGCCAGGGTTTTCTGTTGTGTAAACTCGGCAACTCAGACGGACAAGTGGTATTGAGTTTCTGGGCATGCAGCAGCGGGTCGGGCGTACGTACCATAGCCACCTTCTGGGCGCCTCCGTACCGTATCGGTGGACTGGAATGACTGGAAACTTTCGGACAAACCGTCTTCGCGGGGCGCGACATAGGAGTCAAACCTTGAGGGTCGATGACGAGTATCGGTGGGCGAGGCGGCGGTCGAGCTATCGTGGGACTCCTCATGGGCTATTGCGCCCGGCCCAGTTGAGGGATCCATATCGGGCTACGACGATAGGGCGACGATAGAGCGAGCGCGTGGCTTTTTCGAGAACGATGGAGTGTTTAGGGGGGTGGGAAAAGATGGGCGGAGGAGATTGGCAAGGCGCCGTAGATGTGGGTTACCAGTGCAGACGCGGCAGTTGTGTATTAGGTAGGTTAGGTAGGTTGGAGGTGAGATTTGAGGATTCCTCGGAGAGCCCGAGTATCCTTACTGGGCTGTCGCGGTCGACGAGTCGGTGTCAACGAGAGTGTAGGTCGGGCGGCCAAGGGTTGCTGGGCGGAAAGGATGAGGAAAAGAAAGGGTTGAAGGGGTACGGATACCGTACTGATGATTGCTTAGCCGTAGCCGTAGCCGTACCTAGAGGTAGGTAGGTAGGTAGGTAGGTAGTTTGGGTAAGCAGTGTTGGTAATGGAAGGTGAGGCAGTGTAAGCAAGGGGAGGGACGGTTGCGCAAGCAGAGTACGGGAAGGAAGGTATTGTAAACAACACGGACACGCAGGCACAAGCACAACAGAGTGGAAGAAGAAGAAGAAGACGAGAGTTTCAGGCCTCAGACAAAGAAAAAAAAAAAAAAGAGGGGAATGACGAGTGGAACAGAGAGTGAGGTCTCGCCTTGCCCATTCCTGTGCGGCGCAAGATATAGTTCGATCTGGGTAGCCTATCTATCTACTATGTATCTATCTATCCAAGGTAGGATGCTGGTGGTGGTAAAGTGATGATCCGATGTTGCGCAGTGCAAGTGCACGCAAGTAAGGTACAGGAGGTGCCTACGGATACTTTGTCTTAAAACTACAGGTACCTATACAAAAGGTGGCAGGGGGTGGAGCAGTTGGAATGTTTGGCCTTCTCCCCCAGATTTGCAGTCTGACTCGGGCGTTGTCCGCTGTTAACTGGGTTTGCATCTGAATGAGTTGCATCTGCAAGTAGCGGTCATGTGCACACCCGTTGATAAATGTTTGGAGCAAGGAACGACATGGAAGATGCTATTGACCAAGTACTGGTAAGGCAAGCGCCATAGTTTGTTTGTGTGTGTGATTGGTCCTCTCTTTTCGTTTGTGCCTAAGGTATGTCGGATACAGTTGTTTACAACATGGTAGGAAGGATCTGATGGGAGGAAAGCCAGAGACGAACTGACAGGAAGGACCCTGTTTGAGTTCTCACCCATCGATGTCTCCAACGTCCCTTTTACCATGAGCGTATCACCACCATCAGGCAAAGGCCATGCCGTTTAGTGTTTACGTCTGTCTGTGTACAGAGTACATTATCCGTACTGTCTCTGATCTTCCGCGGATGATTGATGGTTGGGAGCCCAGTCCAGTCCCTACCTAGTGGAGACCCAGCGGTGCTTTTGGTGCTTTTGGCGTTTGCGGCGGTCGCGCGGGAAGGTGCTGTGGAGCTTTTCTGTCCCAGAACCCACTACGGCGACGTTGCGGCAGCGGTCAACAACATGGATCATCGTGCGTGTTGTGATCCAGACCTAGCAACAGCGAACCAAGCATCCGCCCCAATCAGCCTAGCGTCTGGTTCCTTCAGAATCAGGGCGCAACCTCAATCGGCCGCCATACGCGAACCGAGAACACTCTCCTATCCTCTCCTGTCAGTGTGTCTGTCGTCTCTTTCTCTTCTTCTTCCTCTTCTTGCCCCCTTCCGCGGAGAGAGTCGAGTCCCGCCACATGGGCATTGCTGTACGGAGTCGTGTAGCCTGTGCCACCCTACCTACCTACACGCCTTCTCTGCCGCGCGTTTTCATGATGATGATGATGATGATGATGATGATGGTGATGATGATTCGTTATCGCTCATGCCCCCTCCCCCACCCGTATCTGTACTGTTGCTCAACATGTGCTCTGTCCTCGTGCTGCACTCCACTTTCCCAACTGGGAGAGAAAAACGTCACTTTGCATTCCACTGCATCTTTTGTCGCAGTGTGCAAAGGAGGACGGACTGTCAACCCTTCCAGAAGACCGGGACCGGAATATCTTCTTATCCGATAGACTTGGCCCGAGCTCAAGCTTGAGTAGAAGCGCCGAGTGGCAATCCGGCGACCTGGTTTCATCACGTGACCCGGACCAGTTGAACGCGTCGACGGTCGTTTGCCTACGGCTGACTGACCGACCGACGGAGCCAGCCAGACCTCCAGCCCTGTCACTCCGGAACCCATCTGCGAGCTTCCCACCACGACAAGCTTCCATCACGACGACCCTCCCAACCCCCGCAACGTCAACCATCAAACCATCGCAAACCCCGCCCTCGACGGCCCATTGATTTTCCCCTACTCAGCGCCCCGAGTCACCGTCCCCCAAATCGAAAGCAACCGCAAACTTCCCGCCCGGTTTCCAATCCCTCGGGGCATCCGTCACGATGGCGCTCGATAGCTACTACCAGAACAAGATCGAGGCCATGAAGCTCGAGATCCTCAAGGGTCAAGCAGTCCTCCGCCGCCTCGAAGCCCAAAGAAATGACTACAACTCCCGCGTGAGGCTACTGCGGGAGGAGCTGGGCTTGCTGCAGCAGCCCGGTTCCTATGTCGGCGAGGTCGTCAAGGTCATGAGTACGAAGAAGGTCCTGGTCAAGGTGCATCCCGAAGGCAAATACGGTACGTCACTCGCCATTGCTCACGATGCATCCCGTATCGCTTCCCAACACTAACCCACCCGCAGTCGTCGACGTCTCCGACAATGTCGACATCACAAAGCTCACCGTCGGCAAGCGGGTAACCCTGCTGTCCGATAGTTACAAGCTCGAGAAGATGCTCCCCTCCTCTGTCGATCCCCTCGTCTCCCTCATGATGGTCGAGAAGGTCCCCGACAGCACGTACGATATGATTGGAGGTCTGGACCAGCAGATCAAGGAAATCAAGGAGGTGATCGAGCTGGGCCTCAAGCACCCCGAGCTCTTCGAGTCGCTCGGTATCGCACAACCAAAGGGTGTCCTGCTCTACGGCCCTCCCGGTACGGGAAAGACGCTCCTCGCCCGTGCCGTCGCACACCACACCGACTGCAAGTTCATTAGAGTGTCCGGTTCCGAGCTGGTGCAAAAGTACATCGGTGAGGGTAGCCGCATGGTCCGCGAGCTCTTCGTCATGGCCCGCGAGCACGCCCCCTCCATCATCTTCATGGACGAAATCGACTCCATTGGTTCCTCCCGTGTCGAGGGCTCCTCGGGCGGTGACTCGGAAGTCCAGCGCACCATGCTCGAGCTCCTCAACCAGCTCGACGGCTTCGAGCCCACCAAGAACATCAAGGTCATCATGGCCACCAACCGTCTCGACATCCTCGACCCCGCCCTGCTGCGTCCCGGACGTATTGACCGCAAGATCGAGTTCCCCCCGCCGTCCGTCGAGGCCCGCGCCGACATTCTCCGTATCCACAGCCGCAAGATGAACCTGACGAGAGGCATCAACCTCACAAAGATCGCCGAGAAGATGAACGGCTGCTCTGGCGCCGAGCTCAAGGGTGTCTGCACAGAGGCCGGCATGTACGCCCTCCGCGAGCGCAGAGTCCACGTCACCCAGGAGGACTTTGAGCTCGCAACCGCAAAGATTCTCAACAAACACGACGACAAGGAGGTATCGCTCGGCAAGCTCTGGAAGTAAGCGCGCGGAGGAGCCGCAGGTTTTGGGGGACAGAAAAGGAGAGACGGGGAGAGAGAAACAACAACAAGAACAACAACAACAACAACGACGACTACATCTTTGCTGGGTTGGCGGGAGTTGGACTGGCGGGCAAAGGATGGCGGTGGAAACAGCGTCCGCGCGGTTCGCGCGCTCGCAAGTGGCGCTTGTACGGCTAATTATGTACGACTACATAGACATGGAATCAGCCGCAATGACTTGCACATCACTCTGTCTCTCTCTCTCTTCCCCCCTGCCGTCCTACGGTGATGCGTCCGGTTATGCTGGCTTGGGCTGCCTTCGTTCGTACGGGCAACCGAAGACTCCGGCTCCACATGACGGCAGAGTGTCGTGATTCAGTTATGAGGCCTTGCTTGTGCCGGTGCGCCTCGCCGCCTCCAACATCTCGTCTTCGTGCTGGAAGACGTGAAGACCAAATGGAGATTCCAACGAAGGGGGGGAGGGCTGCTCACAACGGCCGCTCTGTCACTATCCTGGCTTGATGACCGCCATCGCTGTCGCTCAAACAAGGATAGAGATCAAGCGAGAAACGTAGGGTTTAGAGATTGGTACCTTAAGGGGGCCACAGAGTGGACGAATGTGTCCTAGATGTTACGGGCGCCTGGTATAGCTCATGATATGGCGGGTTGGGGCTGACTTTTATATGTTTTACGGTAGAATCTCCTTCAATCAACTTATCATAGTTGATAAAGGATAAGGGGGGGATCATGGTCATCGGGACGCCCGCCGAAGCAGCTATCCCATGCTATCTCATTCTTTCAGCCACTAATTTTACTATACACTCCCAAGGATCGACCGCGGTCATATCCCAACATGCTGGTGCCATTGGACAATTATTTCCAGTAAACCGATGCATCGTTGATAGAATGCAGCTCAAAAAATGCCTAAACGCCAGACCTCATGCCCCTGACCCCTTATACCTTGGGCCGATGTATCCGTTATTGCCTGTTGCCGTTCAAACCCAAAATGCCAGATGGTTTCCGTTACTCGCTGTGATGCTTGCACCCTCCGCCATTCATAAAGGGTATCGCGTTACGATTCCGCAAGTGTTCTCCGTTTGCCCAACCATGTCCGCAGTCTCCAGTCGAGTCAAAAGATTATTTGTCCCCTCTAACCTGTAAGCTTCCACTTCGAGCTCTTCCACCCTTATTCGAAGGCGAGTTCTTCTCGTGTACCCGCCATACGTATTCGAGAATCGTCTCGTAGCACAAGACGTACTGGCGCAGGCTTTGCACCATGCTGAGTCTTTGGTTCCGGAAGTCCTCCACAGTCTTTTGGATGAGGTCCATAGTGTCGCTGTCGTCCGCCAACCATGTGGTGTCCAGCGGTGTCTGGTCAGGCGAACCTCGCCGCGCATCAACGCTTTGGCGGCGACTGCCGGGGTTCAAGTCAAAAGTCTTCTCGCGAGGAGACGGTTCTTCGGACTGCCCGCTCATCTTGATGTCGCCATCCGAGTCCCGCTTCCTGACAGGCCTGCTGTTAGTCTTTGCAAGTCGCTGACGCTTCAGCATGTCGATGACCGTGTCCACAGTACAGAAAGTGCCTGTTCGACCACATCCTGCCGAGCAGTGTACAAGCATCGGCCTTGCCCTTTGGTCCATCTCAGGCTCATCATACCATGCGATAGAGCTAGGTTCGGGTGATGCTCGGACAGCAGATACGGATGAGGTGTCGACGGGTCTCGCCGATCGTTGCATAACAGTTGCCATCTCTACCAGAGCCAGTAAATGAGAGGGCTGAGCAGGAGCGCCGAAATCCGGCCAAGATGGGTAATGCAGATGAGTGATCTCACGCATCGGGGCGAAAGGGTGCGAGGCGTGAGACAGAGCGAACTTCCGAATGACGACATACGGCGTTTCTCCCTGCGCCGGCGTGGGTGCGGCACCGGCGCTCGTCGCTTCCAGGGTGGTTGTCGTGTTAGCACGACGGCGACCGGCTTCAGCAGCAGCCGCCGCAGATGGGGCAGTCGATCCCTGGTTCGTACGATGCCTATCGAAATCCAACGAGACCTTTTTCTCTGATAGGGGCTTCAGTCTCATTGCGCCAAAGTCTCTGCCTTGCCAGTACGGATGGCACTTGAGCTGACCACCTTCCGACTCGGCGGTCAACATGACAACAACGCGAACGTCCTGTTCCCATATGACAGACCAAAAATCCTGCAATAAGTCAGCGCACTGCCAATGGAAGTGCTCTAAAGTTAACAACAAGCTCGTACCTCGAAAGTTGCTGGGAGCGGGCCCTGCGTAGCAATGTATCTCTTGTTGCTCCTTGGTGACTTGATGTGACTAGCGTTGACATAGTCGCATGCGCCGTCCGGCCGGCCCTGCAATTTCACTCGGGCGTGCTCGAAGGGCAAGATGTCCTTGTAACGGTTCTTGCCACCTTTCTCAATGCCACAAAGCTGCGGCGCACTCTTATTCTTCTCGCTTCCATCAAACATTGAGTACGCAGCCTTCATCCGTGCTTGCTCTGCTTTTTCTATGCCCAGAAATTTCTCCGACACCTGCTTGCCGTGGTCACTCGGCTTGGAAGCATCCCTAAGCCACCGGGGGAGTGTTGGCGATTCTAGGCCCGAAGGCCGAGCGATGTCCAGCTGGCCCACGCCGTCGGCAAGGTCCATATTTTGACGAATATTGGAGAAGAAAGGGTTGGCGTTGTTTTGTGACATTGGAAGCATCACACCTCCAATAACTGGTGCGATTCCAGGACGGTTTCCGGCATTGGTCGCCGCCAGGACCCCACCGCTTGCCACGGGACCGCACCCTTCATCCACAAGGTCGGGGTACGCATCAGCGAAAGCATTGAAGCCGCCCCTCACGATGTACATGCCGCCAGTATAGCCCTCGTTTGCAAACTTCTTCACCATGTTCATGCATGAAACGGCGTCACGCTTCTCTGCCGAGTATGCATCATAGACAACGAGGTGCTTGGTCGACTTCCATTTTGAGAAGCGCTCTTCCATCGTAGGGTTTTGGAACGTTTTCTGCAGCTTCGTCAAGTTGAATGTAGCTCGTTTTAACAGTGTCGTGGGAATGCAAAGGTTGAGCGCGCCTTTGATACGAGCTTGAGAATACTGTTGCGATACTCTCAGATCCAGGAGCAGCAAGTCGACCCCCGAACCGTCAGCCTCGATCAAGTCCTTGAGTTGCGAAGGTGTCATCAAGGAGGGCCCGCTCTCCATGGTCGGCGGCAGCGTCTCGGCTCGCGGTTGGTTTGTTCTGGCATTGTTGGGCGCCGGTGTATCAAGCTTGTTCTGGGAGATGGATAACCTCGGGTGGCGGTCCTCGACCTTGGATAATGTTGTTCTACGTTCAAAAGACGACTCGGATTGCATCGGCGACTCAAATCTCGGCATGTTCAGGTTCAAAATAGCAGGTGATCGCATCGACGCCCCCAAGTTGCGTTTCGAGTCGGATGAGACGTAGGCCGAATCGTGCGAGCTCTGTTGGTCGACCTCCATGCGACTCAAGGGCCGCTCCTTGGCCACTCGGGGTAGCGATAAGTCGGAAGCGTTGTCGCTTGCGTGGGTATTCCACCTCGCCGGGCGAGGACGAAGCGTCGTGGGATTTGGGGGCGCTTGTGGGAAGTGAGAAGAGGAGAGGCTGAAGCCCATGCCGCGATTAAGATCGGCCTGGCGCTTGAAAGCCTCGTAGTCAGGGTTAGCATCGATAGGCACCTGCTTGGGCATCGCGGCGCCAAACGACTTGACGGACGAGGTCGGGGAGCTCCAGTTGTCTCGGGGCATGGCAGAGGAATCTCTCGGGTCGGTCGACTGTTCTACAATGAGTCCGAAGTAGTTTGGGCTGGAGGCTCTCGCTTCCGACTGTCTCGCAGGGGACAGCTTCTGAGGAGGCATTGACTGGCCAACGGAGTAGGGCATCCAAGGAGACGCAACAGGCGTGGAGGGCTTGGGGCTCTTCGCGGCAGGGACTGCGAGTTTGGACTGCGAATGTGTGTGGCTATGGGAAGATCGCGGGCCGGGCGAGGGCCTAGGAGCCGAATGCGGAGTCTTCATGGCGTAGTGGACGGATGTAGCCCCGTCGTTGCTCCTCTTGTCGAGCATTGTTAGTTTAGTGTAGGTGTAAGGAGTATATGTTTCTTGTTGCTGGGGGTGGTGTTGGTCGACAAAGAACATCAACGGGGGACGGATACGCTGCAGAAGAATTATTCCGACGGCGGCCAAGTGATCAGGCCTTGCAAAGCTATAGCGCCATGGCAGTAAAACCCAGTGTTTTGGCGGTGATAGGGTGGGTGTTCAGACAGATCGGAGTGAAGGGGGAAGGGGGAGGGAGGGTGTGTGGAAGAGGCTCTTTGAAAGATGGACGGGTAGGCACTGGGGGGTTTGTCTTTTAGAGAGAAAAGAAGGTTGCGGGGGGACTCTGACGTGACGGCACAAGTGGCGATCTGAACCTGGTCTGGGCAACCTAGGGGGGGAGGGGGGTGGACAGTGATGGTTGTTTTTTGCTGCTGCTGCTATTATATTGTGACTCCCTCTTTTGGATGAAAGGGAGGAAGGAAGAAAATGAGAGAGAGGGAAAGAGGGAAAGACACTCTTGAGGGAGATACAGAGCGCAGGAAGAGAGAGCGAGTCTCTTGGCAGAACACGGGAGGAACTGGGGTGTCGAGGATGATGAACTGGGCCAGGGTGACTGGGAGTCGGCAGTACAGGGTGGTGGCGCTGGGCTTCCGAAATTCAGACGTCGAGTGTTGTATGAGAAACAAGTGCGCCTGGGGTTGAAAAGCCTAGCTTGCGGCGCAGTTTGACAGCGGGAAGAAGATCAAGCCATGTGGAAGCAGATGGTCATGATAATGCTTAATGTTGTATACGGATGGTGCCAGAAAACAGGCAAATAGACAGTGGGGACAATGAAGGGGAATGAATACCTAAACTAAGAGACCCGCGGAAGTGGGAGAAAGAGAGAAAATGAAGAGAAGAAAAGGAGCAACTGCTTGGGTCCGGGAAGAGGGGTGTATGGTGGGAAAGACAAGGCGAGCAGAGCAGGTTGACGACGACATGAGGAAAAAAAGGGTCCAGGCCTGCGAGGACGATGTGATGGGGGGGCATTCACCCCTGGCGGCAAGGAGGGATCTCCGGGTAAGGGTAAGGTGTGGATGCTAGCATGGGACAGGTACGGTATGCTATGTATGCTATAGGTAGTATCGGCAGGTAGTGTCTGTAGTAGTATATTGCGGGCTGTCTGTCCACTTCAGACCTTCCCCTTGAATTATCACCTGAAGATTCATTTGACGGTGTTGCCTGTATGTGAGCTTGACATTCAGGGGCAAGCAGCACAAGATGATTCTTCCCGGCGTTTTGCTATGGTGGAGGTGTGGGTGGCAGTTTTACAAAACGACGATCGCTAAAAATAATAATAAAGACACACACACACACACACACACACACACAGCAGGCAATAGTCGGTGGCGGCGGCGAATGGGTCTAGTCTCAGTCTCTGGAAAGTGAGAATGGTATATCTGTGCACTACAGTACAGTGCACTACTTAGGTACACTAGGTACATACCTGTACACAATGGACCTAAGTAAATAGGTAAGTAGTTTGAGAAGGCAACTGGAGTAGGAATGTGCAAAGGAAGCTGGTGAGATGGGAGCCGCAACTGGTAGGGAAGACATGAGCGTCTTGCAGCGATATCCCAGCGCACATTGGACCAAACCAAACAATAACGCCATGGAGACGGTACAGGTATTCATAGAGTTGCGACGAGTCGCGGAGGCCAAACAATGCCAACGACACGGGCGTGCTAGGGGCCACAACAAAGTAGCGTCGTGTGGACGTCATGTCCGATGAAGACGTGTGTCGTCCAAGCCGGGAATGATCAGCGCGTTGGCGGGGACTCTGACCTCAGACCTGTGCTAATCTCACATGCATCATGTGCTACTATGTACGGGCCGAGACTAGGTGGAAAGGTGCTGGCTGTATCCGGAGGTGATGTGACAAAGTCTCTTCCCTTCTGCTGAGCTACCTACCTAGTCAAGTACCTATAGCGGGACCTAGGTATCCGTATCTACCAATCCTTCTAGCACTTATGGATGGACAGGCAGGGACGGATATCTGGGTCCTGGTATAGATACCTAGATATCACACATGTGCAGATCTATACGCCCACTGTCCATGTCTGGGTCATAATTCTCACAGGGCTCACCTGCCGTCCACCTCGTCATTAGGTAGGATGGGGGCGCTCCTTTGACGGGGGGTTGCATTGCGGCCTCTGACTGGCCACGCCCACCCCCCGGCGCGGTGCGTTCCCCAGAAATGAGATGTGGCGCAAAGCTGAATGCTAATCTTGTATCGCACTTGTACCCTCTCATTCTCATGTCTTGCTTGGCCTCTAACCCGTGTCGCCGGAGCCTTTTCAAACAACTCTCGACAGCTCCCGGGCCTTCGCCTCCAACAATGAGGGGCTGGCAAGACTGATTCTCCGACCGGATCTTCAAGTCGCGTCCAGAAATCATACGAGCAAGGACTGGCAGCGGACCGACACAAGCGCGCAAGCGCCAGTCGGTGGTAATTACCTAGCCAAGTGCTACCAGATGTACAATCGAGACTTGCAGAAACCCGGTTCGCACGACTGGAATCCCCCCAAAGTCTGCAAAGACACACGCGCACACCTACCAACATTGTAATGTACGCTCCTGATGAGACAGGGACAGGGCAAGACCCCGAGACCCGCGGAAAAGCAGGGCACACGTACCAAGCGTGCAAGCCCAAAGCTCATGATTTTCTGGTTGAGACCCGCGACAGCACAACGGTGGTCTGTATTCATCAGCAAGCATCATCCTCTTTGGTTTATCTCTCATGGCCCTCCCCCCTCTCCCTTCAACGACCCAAATTCTCACGAAGCGGGTGGGAGCGACTGGCCTTTCTTGTATTCACCATGCGCTAAACCGAGGGCTTGGAAAGATTCGACATCGTAAACCCTCAGCAGAAAGACTACAATAGGTAGGAGGATAGGAAAGTAAAAAAAAAAAAAAAAAAAAAAAAAAAAAAAAAAAAAAAGTACCTCCCCTGTACCTTACCTTAGCTCTCTCACATCTCACCTCTCCTCATTCGAGCAGTGTGGTCTGCATTGGTGCAGACGTCATAGGGCCCATGTCGATTAGCAATCTAGCATCATCATCCCAACTGTCGGCGAGTCTGGACCCCTTTTCGATGCTGTCTGTCAACCAATCGCGCGCCCGCATCTCCCATTTGGTGTGGGCGCAATGTTCCCAGCAACGTGTCCTAGTGTACGGATATGTGCCCTGTACCTTTCGCTGGGATACGATGCTCCCGCTCCCTCCCTCTCTCTTTCTCTCTCACCACGTACTGCTTGCTCACTTGCCACCACTCACATGAGCACCCATCGATCGCCCTTCAAGATACCCAGTACACTAGTGCGGTTATCACCGTTTCGCAAATCGTGTCCCATCAGTGTCTTTGGTTTGCTTCTACACTAGTTGAGTTCGAAAGCAAGCAGTTTGAGATGCCAGCTCGAGCGTCGAGCAATTAAACTGGCACTGACAGCAAGCAGGATGCAAGGTTGGAGCTGACAGTACGGAGTATTTCCCCCAAGCCTCTCCCTCAGCTTTCTATACGCCTCCTCTGGTCCCCTTGTTGGTGGGCTTACTTTCGGGAATGACGTAGGGCCAGCCAACGCACGGTCAGGTACCCGTCGTCCTTTCAACTGACATTGTCGGCCGTGGCTCCTCGCAAGAGAAGAACCGGGCAGCTCACAAAGTATGCCGATTGGAGCCCCTCCTTTTCCCAAGTTGCGCGGTGCTGTTGCCCCCATGTAAACTCTACTATCGCGTTCGAGGGGCCTAGAACTGTTCCATCAACTCTGTTCGACTCATGCGCCCGACGGAGGAGTCAAGGCTTGTAATTGACCTGATTTCAGCGGTTCAATCGAGAGCCTGACCTTCGTCACAGGACGCGCAGCCAGCCTCCAGATGGGAGGCATCAGGCCGGAACGTAAACAACGGCAACCATGCTGAACAGTAAGTACGTCCTTGTCAGCATGGCCTTCTGAGGAACGCCGGCCGTACAACGTTCCAAGTTTTTCAGGTTGATATTCAAGCCGTTGTTGGCATGCCAGATCTTAGTCGGTATGCTAAGAAGCCGAGGGGGGAGTTGCTCGAGGGAGATGGATACCTACGATACTTTGCATTGGCATTATCGTGTATCCGGATGCACCTTCCCCTGTTCTCGGCCTTGCCATGCCAGTCCCTTTAGTTCGGTTCTCGCCGCGTAGCCCATGTGTGTCTTCCCCGTCCATGCTCCTGGGTGTGGAAATTTGAATCCGTACCGCGCCTTCCATGTTGGCAGGAGACGGAATTCCCGTAGAAGGCACACATGGGCTGCGCGGCAAGAAGCGACCAGCACGTGAGGTCCAAGTCTCGTGGGGGGTCTTGGTCGGCTCCATGCAAGTCTCTCCAGAATCAAGAATGGAAAGGGGAAAAAACGCACCAACGACCTTGCTCCCCCGTTCCTTCTTCAGCTTCAGCTCTGATCCGGTCTTGGCTGTTCCCAGGCTCCACGTCGCATTCCGGGCAAATTGCACTGGACCCTGTCCTGATCTGGGTATTCGATATCCGTACAACTACCTCTTCCTCAAGGCGGGAACGAGTACCTGTAGGTATACGCCTCCTCCAAATTTCCATTTTTGGCTCTGCTCCTCGTTGCCCGTCTTTCGCTGCAAAGACACGCCGAAATATGAAGCCGATGCGAATCTGCTCATGGGAAATTACCCACACGCCGCCGCTTATTGTCGCATTCTGCACTTTTTGCATTCTGGAAATTTTCCCATCCCTCCTTGTCCCCCGTCTGCGCCCCCATCCCATCCATCAATCCATCCGGCATTAACGACCGCCTTGATTTTTCTCCCTCGCCGATACGACGACAGGAACAAGACCGGTTTTTTTTTTTTTTTTTCTCCCTGGGAAATGACCATCCCATCAACCACTAGCGCTCGCCCAGCAATGCATTCGTCCCACTGACTAAAGCAGGGTCCTGGCCTCCCGCCACCGCCGCCATAACTACATACGGAAGATGGCAACATCAAATCAATAATACGGATTACCGGGCGGTCGCCTCGCCCCTCTTACGCTCGGCTACTTAGTTAGGTGATCGTCAAAAGCTGATATGGTGAAGAAAGATAGGTACACGGATAGCTGTCCTGCTGCCTGCGCCACCTCCTTCCAACGGCCGGTTTTCCGCGTCTACCCTGGGCAATTCTGGCTGCCCTACCGGAACCTCCTCGGCTAACGTCGTACTGAAATGAAGTACGTATCCAAGGCCTCTTGAGGTCGCACTGGTACACACCGCCAATGCCGTACACCGTTGTCGCCGATGACTTAACATTCCGCGTCCGCTAGCGCCTTCGTCAGGTGGAAATTCGGAGCGTTGCTCGCCTTTACTCGTGAAGCCGCCCGCCATCCTCCTACCTGAAGTCGTAAGTTGCTGCCATGGTGTCAAAGTTTTCTACTGGCCTCGATCCTCTGTTGCGTGATCAAAAGATACCCTGGCCAAGGTTACTCAAGTCCCAACCTACAGGGTTCTCGGTTCTCCGAGTGGGGCTGCCTACTAACTAGCTTGAACTCTGGCTTGTGGGTGTCACTCGTCAAGCGCATGTATCCATCCGCTTAGGACGACGTCGAAACATTCTGCAAGCCCCGGATCATCTTTCTCTCAGTCGAATCGACTCCTTCGCGAACGAGCTCAAACACCATGTGGATCCTCCTTACCCCTCCCTTTTCCTCAATCTTTAGCAGGTAATACCACGGAATACACGTTAGTGATTCGTCTTGAGAATGATCTGGTTTTTTCGTAATCCTACCAATACTGTCTGTCTACCTAGTTCATCTCGAGCCCTGTGACCCCCTTCATTTTCAGTACATTCTTTGTATAACTAGCAGTGTTTCCGTCCTCCCGGTGTTGGTCCCGTAATCACAGCGTCATCACTCTGAGAGCTTTCATTGGAGAACAAACGTCAACGTATCTTCGTTTGTTGGCAGCAGCCGTGCTTTCTGGGGATGCGTTGACTACAGTCTCTTCAATGGGGAATCAATCACCACCAAACCCACCACCTCGTCTTTGTCTCAAGTGAGACGGGACGCGCGCCGTCGTCCGTCGGCTGCTTTAACCGTCACGCCACATTTCTCAACCCATGCAGTGTTGCGCGGCGGTCTGCCCTCGTCCACTCAGTCAAGACGCGTGCACCTCCACGATCCCGCTAGTCAGCAAAAAGAAGCGAGTTTTCGAAAACTCTGCCTTTTTGCACCGAACCTTCATCCACAAGGGATGATGGGAAACTCAAGAGCCCAACTCGGCCGCCCGCCCGCCTTGGCTTGATTTGACTTACGGTGCAAATATCAAACCCCCTCTCTCCCCCCGCACCATAACGCCTATCGCAACCCCCCTTGGGCTCATCGAATGGTGCGCGCGCTGCCAGGCCTTTATCCACATGTCTCCCAGGAAGACCGTTCCAGCGCACACACCGATACTTGCAACGCAGGCGTCTATTGCGATCTAGAACACCTCTCATATCCACCGAACCCCACCACCCAACCCATCGCAGCACCTTTGGGACAGGGTCTCGATCTATGCTTTTCTGCCCCCTCGTCTCAAGCTCATTTGGCTTGGCGAGCAGTCTGTCAGTCTGACAAGTTGTCTCCGGTTTCTTCGCGCGTCCGTTGTCCTCACCTCTCCGTACGTATTTGTACACTACTGGCACTATTAGTTTCTCCGGGCCGGGTCTGGAGATGAATCGGACGGGAGCATTCAAAATGTGCCGACTTGGATTTCGGATGTCTGAGTTGACGGTTGAACCGAGTCAATCGAGTGTCTCGTCTCGTGTTCTGGTCGTGCAACTGCTTCTAGACCTGTTTTTGATCCAGCAACGTTAAACTTGGACGAGGCAATCGTCGCAGTCTCGCCTACTATCATTAACCGGAGACCGCTCCGCCAGGAGAGCCCCGCTAATACCCTGCACCCGATTCTCAAGCCGGATCGTCTCCAACATTGGAACATCGCCTGACTGACCTCAATGTGTTGTTGCACAAATGCAACCTCGCCTTAGTACCTGCCATTCCACGTCGCTTCCATTCGGCCCAGGCAGGGCGTTGAAGATTCGCCTATGCAAGTCATAGTTTAGGTATGGCCAGCGGAAGGAACCCACCAGCAGTGGATGAAGGCCACATCAGATGAGACATGGGGGCCCTCCAATGGTCACCAATTAATGCTCATGACACACGGAGAGTTCGGCGAACCCGTTGGCATTGCAAATACCACCCCGAACTTCCTGAAAATAGCCATGCATGGATAAGCCCGTTGGCCCGGCAGCCCTATCTATGATGTCAACGACTCTTCACGTCGGTTTTATCGTGTTCCTCCATGCTCTACAATCTATGCGTGCTACCTGTATTTGGAACACCTTGGCCGCTGTTGGCCGGGGTGGCGCGTGAGCGATCATGTGACAATCCCATGCGAGTCTTCTGAAAATGTCACCCTCCATACCTTTGCCAATCACATGAAGTGGAAGAGACGTCGGGTGCCGTCACAGCGGAACCGTGTCGCGGAGTCGTTGCTCCATGGTTTTTATCCGCCGACGAACTGTCCAAGTTGCCTACCTCGCCGAGTGTCGCCGAGGTCGCCGCCCGGTGTCATAACCGTCCACGGCCAGGTTTCTCGCCTGGAGTGGGGAGGGGCTCGTTTTGTTATGGGACGGACCTGATCCTGTTTTTGTTTTGTTTTTTTCCTTGCTTGTGCCCAAGAGCCTGGCCTTGTGCTTTTCGAGAAGTTTCTGGCTCGGGGCGAAGCGGGGAGGTGTGTGTCGGTGTGGCCTTGTGCAAGTCGCTCCCTGAGGTCGATGACCACGACCAAACCACCGGTACAGGGCGGGGTACCGATCGATGCCAGACGCGCCGCAGTCCTCGGCCGGTGGCGTTGTCGGGTGTGAGAGTTAACGGAGCGAGTTGGCCGCGATGTCCAACAACCCAACCCCCCCCCCCCCCCCCCCCCCCCCCTCCAGAGAAGGAAACTGTGCGAGTTGCCGTGACGCAATATTTAGATGAGGACTTGGATTCCGACTTAGCAGCAAATCCGGTTTGCACCCGGCTTTGCGTAAACAATCCACCTGTTCATCTTTTCGGATTAATTGTGTCGCTTCCAAAGTCACTATGGCCATGAGCCCGGTACGATGAGCTCGGGGCTTGATTGATCCCTTCTTTACGATGCTATGCTGACATCTGCCGCTCGCTGCTGTTCCTCTTAACAAAGTCGGGCCACTTATCCAGGTGTGTAGTGAGGCTATGCGTTCACACTGAATGGAATGATGTTCTAGCAGAATAGCCAGGTCACCCGCGTAATGACATGTATGCTACCCAGAAGAGCTCGGGAACGGGTTCTCTTCCAGCGTCATTCAATAGATCGCATCGGCTTTGTAATATGCGGATTCGTTTGCCAGGTCGCGAGATGGTGAGCAGCCACAGGCTTAGCAGCAACTGTTTATCGTGACGAAGCTCGTTACGCTGGTCTTGGTGCCAAATGGCATCCAACATCGGGTTGAAGGTACTGCCAGAAAGTCGTTCTGCAGCCTCTCTGATGCCCCTTACGTCGGGGCTGGCGTTTTCAGTCGATTCGACGGCATGAGTAAGTTCACGGGACTCCATCATGGTAATTACAAATCTAATAGTTACGTGAAGTCTACCGTACTACTGCAAGCTCACAACTCTAGCCAGCAATATTGTTCCCGAGATTTGCTAACATCGCACTCTGGATGGACGCGGACAGGTAATAGACACTAAAAATGACTCGATATACTGGGAACTAGACGAGACAATCACAGGAAACGCCTAATTCGTCGCTTTTCGGGTTTCTGCTAAAAGAAACGAAATATATCTGCTGCTGCCATATCTTCATATCTCAAATCCATGCCACTCGGGCCAACAACTCCTTCATATGGGGGACAAGAATGGCTTCTGATGCCGCTTTGACTTCTCTGCACTTTGAAAGCAATGCGGCAAGTAGAGGTGTTAAGGTGGTAAAGTAAACGTTTCCACGAGCATCCGGCACATGATACAGCTCTTCACGCAACAATCGACCTCATGGCAACCAGTCAGCATCGGCTGCGGGATTATGGCCAAGGATAACAGGCAGTGCATCTTTTCTACTGCCTCGCGGAGAGGCTGTCCTGAGCCAGTGACACGATACTCATACCCCGTGTGAGAATAGTCCAAAAGCTTCCTCGATTTGCCACAATCAGCCAAAATGGTCTTCAGGGCTTCAGAAGAGCTGCAACAGCAACAGGCTGACCATGATGCCCTTCATGATACAGTCGTGGAGGGAGATAGACGCAGAGACCCTGAATGATTTATTTGTCAGTCCTTGACCTCCCCTAGTCGCGTTTTAAACGTACCGGTCCGAGACGAGGAAGAACACCTCCGCTCATCCAGAGTTGTAGATACTCAGGGCTATCGTCCCCTTTTTTCCTCCACAGAAGCCAAAATCCACTTCTTTCGCGAGGTTGCAAGACTCGGAAGGGGCTCGTGAGATGGTAGCAAGTTCACAAGAGCATCTCGGTCCCGTGTTGAACCCTCCGACAGACCGTTCGGTTTCCAAGGAGCTTCTGGCAACCGTCCAGAAGGCAATCCCAAAGATTCGAGATTCAATTATTGCCTAGTACTGGTAGCATCAGCCTCGGGGCGTACTAAGTAAGCCAACACCACAGCTATCATCTTACTTCACCTCCAGGAAAGCGTTCCAAGCTTCCCAAGCTATGCGACAAAATTTGGCCAGAAAGACGGATACATCAAGACATGCAAGGTATTCGGCATCCATCACTGCCCGATGAGAGTCACATTATGCCAGAAATGCAGGTTCGGGCAAGAAAAACATAATCAGGGATGCATCCTGGGAGTCGGAGTTACAGATATTTATTACTTGGACGACCTCGCATGCCTGCATGGCTGTCACAAGTCAGCCATAGTCATTCGAAGCAAACGAGGCGGTATACCGACTATGCATATGCATAATGAAACATGGTTGATTGACGTAGAGCGAAGGTGGCCTATTGGCAAGCGTAACGTTGATCGACTATAAATCAGTGTGGCCAAGTTGCCCTGCCTTGTACACTGAACAAATATCATCTGAGGCCTCATTCGCATAAGACATGGCTGGGCCGCGTACGTCTTGTTAGGCGGGCGCTTCGACGGTCTAAATAAGACACAAATTCAGATTGTGCCGAAGCCACCGGGGCCAAATAGCATCCTACGTGGCACGATGAGTGTGAAGAACGAGCTCGCTCCCCAATGGCGATCGTGAGGCTAGCATATTAATGCGTTGGTCCAGCAGCAAGCAAGCACGTTGCATACGCCATCCACGAGCCTGCTACGCTGCTACGCAGAGTGCTCGACTAAGAGATGCACAACCGTTGAGACTACCACGAGCCGGAGGGCTGTGGGCTGGTGGTGGTCGAGGGGAAGGATGGTCCGAACGGCGCCACAGCCGCTGAGAAGTGACCGTGGCGGCCGGTGGTGGTGGTTGTCCACGGGGGCAGGTTCTCCCACGTGATGGAAGTCGCATCATTGCCGGACGATGACGCCAGCGCCTTGCCTGATTCGGCATAAGCCGATATCTTGCACCATACTACCTAGGTACCTAAATAGGTATTTAGGTACCTAGGGTATGTGTAGGTATGTAATCCTTCGATCCTGGACCTCGACGGTCTGGGCATTTGGAGATGCTACGAGAAGCGGCTGGACTCGCACGAGTATTGGGTTCAGGGAGGACGCGGTAAAAAAGCATTTGGGCTCTTATGAAATGTTGGGTTCGAGTAGTGTAAGCAGACAGAAAAGCTGTGTCGACCCCGTTCTTCCTCCGGCTGTCTGACAAAGTCCCTAACCATTGTGTCGCTGAAGAGGGCCCACTAGTGCAGATTGGTGGGTAGTGCAGTGCACTGTTTGTCATGCCTGCGGATCCTGAGCCATTGAATGGCGCAAATGCTCGGTCAGCAGGGCAGGCCGGGATGGAGCAGTGAGGATGAATGGGAAAGGGAAGCTTTCGCCATTCCAGCCCGTTGGTCTTTTTTTTTTTCTTCTTCTTTTTCTTTCTAAGGGTGCTTGGGCTTGCTAGGTACCTACCTACCTAGGTAATCCAGCCCAGTCGAGGCCTGGTGCACTGACCCAGCCATCGCACTTACACTTGCGCCCCGTGCCTGCACTAATCAGCTCTCTTCTACCCAGGTAGATACCTAACCTGTCTACCTACCTAGGTACCTAGATACCTAGGTGCTTTGTACTACCTACGTACCTACGTACTGAGACTGTGACGCTGCACTCCGCACCTGGCCCAAACCAACCCATGATTACGAGTCCCTCCCTCTCTCTCACTCCCGATGTTGCAAAACCCTCCTGGCTTCCCATCACTACCTCACTAATCGTGCTTCTTTTTACACGGCAGACATTCGCCCAGCTCCAACCTCCTCCGTTCTGTCTTATACCCTCTTGTTTTTATTTCTTGGCCCTGGGTCGAATAGCGTCGTTTTTTCGCAACATCCTTTTGTTGTTGTTATTGCCGGCCGCTGCCAGAAGTACATTCGCTTGTCGATGCTTTTCCCCATCCAGGCTTTAGTCCTTTTGCCGATCCACCTACGCAGCCAGTCTGCTTCGTAACAATAACCACCACCGCTACCACCGCTACCACCGCTACCACCACCCGCGGCCCTCATTCCCGATTTACTCCTCGAACTATATTGAACTTTCGCGTCCTATAAGGCCCTCATAAACCCCACGAGTACGACCATCGGTTCGCACCTCCTCCGAGACCCACATTGCCTGCATTCACGTCTGCGAAACAACAACCGCTCGAACCCCCCCCCCCCCCCCCCGAAAGAAACACGCCAGGCACGCCGTCGATATGCGTCGCCCCTCGGCAGACCTCACCGACCCTTCGCGCAACCTGGAGGAGTCGATCGGCTCGCCGTCATCAAACATGGATGCAGCAGATGTCAACTTGTCCATGCCCCCGACCTCCGACGATGACATCGATGATGCAGATGATGGCCGCATCTTCACCCCGCCTCCGCACATCGCCGCCCGCTTCTACCGTCCGTCCCAGGCTCGTCGCAAGGACTCTGCCGCCTCGTCACGCCGCAACTCCATCTCCTCTGCGCATTCCCGCTGCTCCTCGACCCAGGCCTTCAACCGCCATGGTGCCCCTCAGAGCAAGCAAATCGCACAGCACCTCCGGCGCACGTCCTTCCTCGAAGATCGAAAAGCACGGCTCGCAGATCGAGCTGCCCATGCTGAAAAGGTTCGCCTGAGAGCCGCTATGGCCAAGGCCACCCACCGCGATACCTCCCTCTCCGAAGAACGAGCCCTGGCTGCTCAGCAAGCCCGCGAGAAGAACCTGGCCGAAATAGTTGCCTCTTGTGCTGAGGAGGTCAAGAGGGCCAAGGCTGTGGCGGAGACCATGAAGGACAAGAGAGAACGCGAGCTCGTCAAGCTCCGCATACAGATGGAGGAGCGCCTGGCCGAGGCCGAACGCCGGCGGGTGGAGCTCAAGAACCGTAATGCTACCAAGAGGGCGCGAGGCCAGAGTTTGATGTCACGGAAGCCAGCCGAGGCGTCATCGAACGCGGCCGAAAGTGATGACACCCCGCTGCTCAGTGAGCACGACGCGGCCGCAAGGCTGCAATGGTGGTGGAGGAGCCTCCTGAGGAAGAAGGCCGTCGCTGAGTTCTCCGAGCTAGGGCTTACCATTGAAGGTGTGCGGGATACGTCCTTTGATGAGGTCCTGGAGCTCTTGGGCCAGGAGAAGGTGCTCGTACGCACCGCCCGCGTCCTGCGCATCTGTGGTTTGCAGGAGGGCGAGACAGGGTCGGTCGATGAGATGGCCGCCGTCCGTACATTCCTCAGCGCTTTCCTCATCTTGGGTCATCCCACCCAGGTTCTGAGCAACAAGGACGGCACGGGGGACAGGGAACAGGTTGGATTATTGCAGCCTCAACCGTTGCCCCGTAATGACCTTGCTAATCCTCAGCTGCAGGACCTCGTGACGAAAGCCCGAGATCTCCTAATATCTTTCGAGAATATCATGTCGCGGCTGACCGCTGCCAACAACTGCACCCCCCCGCCCACTCTGCGCATTGCACTGCCCGAGATTTATGCCACTTTTTACAACGCGTTCCTCGCCTGGAAGTCTCGCGATTCAGAGTCTCTCGTGCAGCTGATGCTCTTACAGTTCGTTGAACTGGACATGATCTTGCAGACGGTCCAGGAAAGCACCGACGACGCTGCCGCAGAGCAGTATCGGGAGAGCATCAAGAGCAACCAAGTCCAGCTCATTGTGCGGATCAAGAAGCTCGCCGGTCAGGAGAGGGGCAAGAAGATGATTGCAGACGCCGTCCGCAAAGCACGCAAGGCGCGGGCGGCCAAGAAACCCATTGGCGACATGAAGCCCCGCGTTGCAGAGAACGCTGCGGGGGAGGCCTCTGCCACTGCCGAGAGTCTCGTGTCTCCCGATTTGCAGACGCTAACGCCACCGCCGACGCCGGCCAAGGGACACACGAATCCGCAGCCCATTGAGATCAAACCCGGTTTCAGTGGCCTGCTGCCCGACAACAGGATTGTGGTTCATGAGCTCGCCATCAACCGAGAGTACCGTATTCCAGCCAGCGAGTATCGGGAGCACCGTACTGCCCTTCAGATACCCCTGTTCGCAGGCATGCGAGCTAGCATGGAGGAAGACAACCTTGACGCCAGCTTTGGCTACTTCATCGTTATGATGAGATACTTCAAAGACAACCTGCAGCGGCTGGTGAAGCCAGGCGCCTACATGCACAACACAATAGGCGAGATACTGGACACGGAGGTGGCCGAGCGCCAGTTCCAGATGGGCAGTTTCTCTTACGAGAAGTTCTTCGTCTCCATGGCGTCTCTCCTGCCCAAGTTGTGTGCGCCTTTCCGCGATGATGAGGCCAAGGACTTGGTCGATAACAAGCTCCAGAACGGAAGCTTGGTTGATCGGGTTGAGGCGTTGACGGAGTTTGTCGATCTGATGCTCTGCGACTACGTCAACTACATGTTCTCGACGGCAGCACCGCAGCTCATCGAGTCTGCTCCCGAGTACGAGAAGAGGAGGTTCGCTGCCGCCTTGGAGACGGGGCAGCACGGATTGGACGCTGCAGAGGTGGCGTGGCGAGCAGCACGCTCCAAGGTCCTGGCCGAAGCCCGCAAACGGGATCCCGAGGGTATCAACCACCCAAGGTCCCGGCCAACAGACGACAAGATTTACGCACAGCTGCTTGTCGACTGTTTTACCCAGCCAGCACCCATCGCCGTCGGTACGGTACCCGAGATGCTGGGCCTGGACTACAAGCGGATGACGCGTCTGTCCCTGGCCTCGCAGCGAATTGTCACGACGGGAGCCATTCTGCTACAGTGCAAGAATCTACTCAAGCGAGACGTACGCACACCGTGGAAGACGGAGGCAACGCGCATCACAGCGGTTCTCGAAGCGGACCACGAGAACATGGGTTCAATTGTGCAGGGCGTCATGGCGGCGCTCGAGGGCGGTCGGTCGATGCCAGCTGCAACCAAGACGCACCTAAAGGCGTTGGTGACCAAGGTGCTCAACGCGAGCCAAGACTCGATGAGGAAGAGCGTCGAACCGACGGAGCCGGTGTTGCGACTTCTCCTGGCCCGTCTCCGAGGCCACATGAATACCAGACTGACGGCAGGATCAGCCAAGGAGAAGCTCAACGCGGCGACGACGGCGCACGAGAAGCTCGCCGGGCTGGGCCTGGCCGAATTTGCGGTGCAGGTTCGGGAGATGCTGGACGAGATCTCCAAGGTCGGGGCCGTGGACAGAGCGGCTCACGGGTCGTGGTGGAACCAAGTGGCGGCCAAGGTGGCAGCGGAAGATGGGGCGGGCAACGGAAGCCCGTCTTGAGGTTACGGCGAATAGCACATATGGGTGGGCGCATGCATGCATGATACGATATACGGGTGGAGGGGGAGGATGAGGAGGAAGCATACTGCAGGACTTGACGATGTGATGATGTACTTGTTCGGGGATCGAATGGGACAGGAGTTACGGGTGGACGGGTTGGTCTCGATACATTTCGATAGCATTGTTTGAAGCGTTGAAGTTTAGGCGGGCTCACCAATGGGATGGAGTCTGCTGCCTGATGGACGACGACAGGAGGCGCACACATACATGAAGACATCAACTTGATGAAGAGGCACCGGGGAAGCGTTTGCGGGTATTTGGAAACGAACATGGGACGCTTCACACAATAATATGACGTACAAACGGAAGTAAGCATTGGTTTTTCAATCTCAGACTGGCTTTCACTGTTCAAGTGAGTTTTTCAGGGCAGTGTCGTGTACGGAGTACTCCAAGAATGATGCCGATGATGATGTTTGTACGAATACTGGGCGAGTGTAGGTCATTTCGCTTGTCGTCGGCATCTGCGAAAACCCAATGGACTTTACCTACCTAGGCAAGTAGGTGTATATATTGAGCATAAGCCACAACAGCCATGCACGCATGGATGGCTAGCTACCAGCCCCGTTTTCTGCCCCTCCCAGACAGCTAACACCCGCGCGGAACCAGCCGAGTCGACACGCTGGGCTCCAGAGATTTTCCCATATCCCTTTTGCCAACCGAAACGACGACGACGACGACAACGACGATAGGGCCAATCATTCAGGGCAATGGTCAGCCAGAGAGGTTGATTGACTATAGCCTGCCTCCAACCCACACAGCTTAGCTAGCTCTGGACCATATAGAGCTGTAGCGTTTCCGCCTCTCACGGCTTTCACGGCTTGCGGGCCTTCCGCGAGAGAGAGAGCAAGGAAGGATGAACCCAATCGGGCAGCTGCTGGCCGGGCGGTCGTGGGCGCGTGGGATTCCCGCCTTTCGCGGTCTCGCCCACCACAGCTCTGCATCACCACTGTTTACCTCCTTTTCTGTACAATCACTTGGCGATCCGGCTCTGTCCTTCACTTCATCTTTGTATAACATCTGTTTCACGCGTCGTTTCTCAGGCACATCCGTCGTCGGGACCGCTGCCACTGCCACTGCCACCGTCACTGCCAAAACCACCAACTTTCTCTCGTATGCCCCGAGTGTAGGGAGGATCGGTCGCGATGGCTTCGTTGCTGCGAGGTATGTCATGCGGCTCTCATTGTCTTTTCCATCCTTCCACACATCCATACACACGCACACCCGAATCCTTTATCCCCTACGCATTTTTGGGCTCCATAACGGATAGCAAAGGTTTAGCAATTCTCGGAAGAAGACACTTGTCTCTCTTTCTGTGCAAGAGTTTCCAAAGCCGAGCTCTTACCTAAACTACCTAAACTACCTAACATACCTACCTACCTACCTACCTACCTACCCATAGCGGAAGGTATCAGTGGCCAATATCTGGGTAATAAGTTCATATTGGTGGACACCCGTCAACCAAGCTTACTCATGAGTGGCCAGGCCCCAGAGACACCACTTTAACCAACCGACCTGACCCATGTAGGGGCCATTGTCTGCCCCTCGTTGCCCCTCAGCTCGGAGCATCACCATTGATTGATCCACCATCTCTCACACCTCTCTCTCTCTCCCTTCTATCATCAAAAAACGGACACCATCCCCCCCACCATTGCCGCTGCCTTGTGAATAATCCCAAGTAGGAAGGCCATACTTGTGGGGCTCTACCTCGGCTTTTTCTTCTTCTGCCTTCCCCATTGCTCTTGTCCATCAATACCGTGTCTCGGTCTTTCTTTGTCCTTGAACTGACATAAAACTTCCCGGCAGCCGCAGTCGACCCTCTTGTACCTTCCCCGCACCTTCCCACCACTGGAGCTGCCGCAACTACTGTTCGACCATCACCACATCCGACAAGGCCCTGTACGCCAGCAGAGTAGGCAACATGGCTGATCGCGAAGTCCTCCCCGAGTCCATTCGGCCCTCCCACTACGTCCTGTCGCTGCGTGACCTCAACTTCAAGGACTGGACGTACAAGGGATCCGTGACGTAAGAATCCACATCCCTTTGCCCCTCATTTGCAACCCTCGCCCCAGCTCAAGCTTCAGCTCCAGCTCCAATTCAGGTAATCTCCGACGCGCGAGCTCCTTTCTTGCTGACTTCCGTGGCCTCCCTACAGTATTGACGCCGAGGTTGTTAAGCCCACCAAGGAAATCGTCCTCAATGCCCTCGAGATCAAGCTTCTCAGCGCAAAGATCACCGTCGGCCACACAAAGTCGACCCAATCATGGGAGACCTCCAATTTCAGCTACGCCGACAAGCAGCAGCGTGCCACCATCACCTTCGACGAGGAGATCCCCCAGGCCCAGAAGGCCCTCCTCACCATCGAGTTCGAGGGAATCATCAACAACGAGATGGCCGGCTTCTACCGCAGCAAGTACAAGCCCACCGTCGAGCCCGCCAAGTCGGTGCCCCGCGACGACGAGTGGCATTACATGTTCAGCACACAGTTCGAGTCTTGTGACGCCCGCCGCGCCTTCCCTTGCTTCGACGAGCCCAATCTCAAGGCTACTTTCGACTTCGAGATTGAGATCCCCGACGACCAGGTCGCCCTCAGCAACATGCCCGTCAAGGACACCAAGAAGACCAAGGACGGCTGGCAACTCGTCTCCTTCGAGACCAGCCCCAAGATGAGCACTTACCTCCTCGCTTGGGCCGTTGGTGACTTCGAGTACGTCGAAGACTTCACCGAGCGCCACTACAACGGCAAGCAGCTGCCCGTCCGCGTTTACACTACCCGTGGCCTCAAGGAGCAGGGCCGCTGGGCCCTGTGGCACGCGCCCCGTATTATCGACTTTTTCTCCGACATCTTCGGCATCGAGTACCCCCTGCCCAAGGCCGACCTGCTCGCCGTCCACGAATTCACCCATGGCGCCATGGAGAACTGGGGCCTCGTCACCTACCGCACCACCGCTGTCCTCTTCGACGAGAAGACGTCCGAGGCGAGGTACCGCAACCGCGTCGCCTACGTCGTCGCCCACGAGCTGGCACACCAGTGGTTCGGCAACCTCGTCACCATGGACTGGTGGGACGAGCTCTGGCTCAACGAGGGCTTCGCCACCTGGGTCGGATGGCACGCGACCGATTACCTCCACCCGGAGTGGCAGGTTTGGTCTCAGTTCGTCAACGAGGGTATGGAGATGGCCTTTAAGCTTGACGGCATCCGCGCCAGCCACGCCATCCACGTGCCCGTCAAGGACGCCCTCGACGTCAACCAGATCTTCGATCACATCAGCTACCTCAAGGGCTGCTCAGCGATCCGCATGCTCGCCAACCACCTCGGCGTCGACACCTTCCTCAAGGGCGTGTCCAACTACCTCAAGGCCCACCAGTACGGCAACGCCAAGACCAAGGAACTGTGGGATGCCCTCGCTGAGGCCTCTGGCAAGGACGTCAACAAGCTCATGGGCCCCTGGATCTCCAAGATCGGCCACCCCGTACTGACCGTTGCCGAGGAACCCGGCCAGATCTCTGTCAAGCAGTCTCGCTTCCTGTCCACGGGCGATGTCAAGCCCGAGGACGACGAGACTACCTGGTGGATCCCGCTCGAGCTCGAGGGCAAGGTCGGCGCCAAGGGTGTCACGTCGCTGTCCCTAGAGAAGAAGGAGGACACGATCCGTGACGTCGACACCGAGTTCTACAAGCTCAACTCGGGCGCTTCCGGCTTCTACCGTGTCAACTACCCGCCTGAACGCCTTCTGAAGCTCGGCCAGCAGCTCGACCGCCTCAGCACTGAGGACAAAATCGCCATCATCGGCTCGGCAGCCGACCTCGCCTTCTCCGGCTACGGCACCACCGCTGCCCTGCTGTCCTTCGTCCAAGGCTTCGCCAAGGAGGATAACTACCTCGTGTGGAGCCAGGTCCTTGACTCCATCGCCCTCGTCAAGTCTATCTTCAGCGACGACGAGACCATCAAGAAGGGCCTTGAGGCCTTCACCCTAAAGCTTATCAACGACGTTGTCGCCAAGATGGGCTGGGACTTCCCCGAAGATGAGAGCTACCTCGACGGTCTTCTGCGCAAGAGAGTCCTCGTGACTGCCGGCGTTAACGGCCACGCTGGGTAAGTCCATGCTAATCCTACGTGCCTCACTGCTCGAGACTGACAAAAAAACAACACAGCGTAACCGAGGAGGCCACCAAGCGCTTCAACGCCTGGGTCGAGTCCTCCGAGTCCAACCCCTTGCATCCGGCTCTCCGGACCCCCGTCTTCCGCGTCGCCATCAAGAACGACACTTCCCGCGCCGTCGAGGCCCTCAAGAAGGAGTGGTTCACCACTCCGGCCATCGACGGCAAGGACATCTGCCTCTCCAATCTCGGCTTCGTCCGCGACCCTGAAATCATCGAGAAGACCCTCCTCCCCTTCCTCTTCAACAAATCCCCGCCCGCTCCCGCTTCGGACTCGGTCCCCGCCGCCGATATGCATACCCTCGGCTCCGCCCTCGCCGGCAACTCGGCCGCCCGCCAGCTGCAGTGGGATTACGTCAAGGCCAACTGGGATGCCTGTGTCGCCAAGCTCGGTAACCCCATCGTCGTCGATCGTTTCATCCAGGTCTCGCTCAGCAAGTTCACCGACTTCGCTACCGTAAACGACATTGAGGCCTTCTTCGCCGACAAGGACACAAGCGCCTTCAGTCGTACCCTCGAGACCGTCAAGGACAAGATTCGCGGTCGCGCTGCCTACCGCGAGCGCGACGCCGAGAAGTTGAAGGAGTGGCTCGTCGCCAACAAGTACGCGTGAGTCCATGGAGGGAGGATAATGGAGCCCGACAGAGTATAGAGGCCGTACAAGGCAGCCAGGCTGTAGCCAGCTCAGATGAAAGCTAGCTTTGTGACAACAAAAATTAAACTTGCGTTTTACCGTTGTCATGTCGGAGACTACCTAGACTGCGCGGGCCAGCTTGGGACGAATATGAAGTATACGTCATGGGGCCTCACCGCCGACCCTGTCGCTGGGTGAATGCGAGCGAGTGGGACGGGCGCCTCTCAGGTGGGTGCAGACACAGTACTTGACAAGGAACCGGGACGTGCCAGCATGGGAAAGTGAGACGGACAGATTCATAATATTATGTATACACTCGGGATGCCAGGCAGCCTACACCTCAGCAGATCCGTCCGGTCCATCCTCTCGTTTCCGAACCAATTTACGCTTTGCAGAGAAATCACACTCATCCGTTCATCGATCCATGCCTGTCCCCAAGGAACCTCGGGCGGGCAACAGGATGCGAGAAATAAACCCCTCTAAACGCCGTAAACCCAAGTAGCCCGGTGCATGTCCCCATACCGTATACATGCCTCACTTCTCCTTTTCATTCCTCCATCGTCTTGGTTTTTCGTTTCCCTTGCCTTACAACAACTTGCGACTGTGTCATGAAACGGTAGGGGCTACTTCGTTTGGGTAATATAGCAAAGCACGCCCATGGGCATGTGCCGTGGTAACACCTCCGCTGGATCAGCCTTGAAATGCGGCACGGCGGAGGTTCTGCATCATCCTCTCCACGAGCGCTGTCGAGTCCGCCGGGACTTCTGGAAGAGGCACTTCTCCCTCAGGAGCTCGCTGTGATGCGTGATTCGGAGCCGTGTTCTGCATGGGTCCCGACTGGTGCTGCTGGTACTGTGTCTGGTTTTGGTGCTGTACCGGCTCTGCATGTTGTCCTGGCGAAGGTGCATAACCCTGTGGTTGATATGCTGGCTGTTGCCTCGCCTGCTGCGCTGCCCCCCAACACGATCCATGGTTCTGGTAAGGTGGCACACCAGTGGCCTGTGGCGCTGGCGACGGCATCGACTGGTGCGAATGTGTCGTAGGCGTTGGTGGGTTCATGCGTGGCTGCGTAGCAATTTGTGCCAAAATCTCTGCCGGGTTCAAAGCATGATGCTCAGAGGGGGGTTGCCTCACGGGTCCTGAGAAGTGCTGATGGACCGATGGTGTCGTGAAGGCCTGGTTATGATTATAAGGGGGCTGATTGAGCTGAGCTGGCTGTCGAGGGAATGCCGTAGTCAAGGACTGATTTGTGAATGGCATCCGAGAAGTGCTGGTTGGCACGGGTGTGTCCGGTACCGGTACAGGAGTCTGAGAGACCTGAGGCGCCTGCTGTATCATGGAACCATTTGAGGTCGTCGCTGACTGCGAGGGAGGGTTGACCTGGCTCGAATGATTCTGGGAGTTGGGTGCTGGCGTGCCGCGGGCAAAGTCCTCAGCCGGGCCAGAAGTTTGAGATGGACCGACGTCCTGCGACTTCGCCTCAGTTTTTTGCGAACTGGCCTTGGACGGGGTAGCAGCCGAGGGCAGCTTGCCCATGGCTGCAAGGTACTTGGCAGGCAGAGGGACTGGGGTTTGTTTCTCGGGAATCTATGGTACGGTTAGTTTGGAATCGAATAAGAGGCTACGACGAGACTCATGAAGTGATTTTACCTTGTATTGAACCTTTGGCGCAGCAGGTTTTGCTGCGGCTTGCGGTTTTGCCTGGTTCAGTGGAGGTTGAGTAGCCGAAGCAGCAGGGTGTGATTGTTGCGAAAGTGGCTGCGGGAACTGTTGCTGCGCCGGTTGAGACGGAGATTGTGCAGAATGTTGAGGCTGATTTGTCCAAGTTCCGTACTGTGGCCTAATTGCTGGATGTAGCGGCGTCGACTGTGACTGCTGCGTACGCCAAGCATTTCCATGACCGTTGGATGCGGACTGAGCGCCGTTCGCTACGGGTGACGGAGACATTGATGCAGAATATTGCAGTCTTGCGCTATCTTGGGACGCCTGTTGGGCGGGCGACAAGTACGACGGAGCTGTTGTTTTCACGCCGTACATGTCGACAGAGCCTTGGGGCATTGTGTTTGTCAGTGTATTAAAGTAGGGCCCACTGTAACCTGTCGCCTGTGGACGAGCGGGTGGGTTTGGTGTCGAGGCACCTCCCTGGATGGAACCTTGTCGGTTCTTGAAAAATGCCTCTGGGGACGTTCGCATGAGATGAGCTCGCAGATTGCCTTCATACCCGTTGGTAAACCCGCCCCAAGGGGCGTATGGGGTTCGGTACGTCTTCGAGTCTCTAGGAAAGTGTAAGTACCATGATAAAGAAAAAAAAAGAAAAAAAAAACCGCGGTGGAGCTATGGAGGTCTAACCTGTTGTGGTGTACTTGGAAGAAGGCGTACTTCATGGCGACGGAAGGCGTGGGTGCAGCCGAATACCTGCGGTGAGTCTGCTGACCCGAGCCATGCGAGCCGCCATGAGGAAGTTGCGGCTTAGAGCTCTGTGTCGGCGTCGCCCACGTTTGCTGCGTTGTTCGTACGCCACCTGCCGGCTGCGAACCCGGTGTAATGTACGGGCTTACCCTCGGCATCGCATTCGGACTTTGATGGTAGCCTTGTCCGGCAGGGTTGGCGCGAGGGACATACTGCTGGTGGACATCAGGCATATACTTTTGCTGGACGAATGGAGGACCCGCTGTTGGGTATCGGGGATCCGATCCAAAATGCAACTGCTGTCCCATAGGGCTTGGAGATGGAGAGGCTGTCGGTGTGAGCTTCTGTGTGGCAAAGGATTCCGCGCCAGCGTAGTGTGTCTCAAGAGGCTTTCTCGGTTTATAGACGTATGGCTTCTCTGATTTGAACTCATTTTGGACTACCGGTCCTGGTGCAGCTACGGGTGGCGGCTGGGAGGGTATAGCGGACACCCTACGATGCGTCGTGTTTGCAGTGACAGGCTTGGGGGGCTTCGGAATGGTGTCGAGGAAGTTGCTCTTGGGGTTATGCAGCTCTTTGACAGGATCTTCGGAATACTGCGCCTTCGCCTCCGTCGATGTCTTGCCCAAGTAGTGCCAGACTTGGTTGTCTTTCGCCAGGTCAACCTTGGCCTGGTTCGGGTTGGCACATTCGGCGCATGGGTGAAACTCTGCCCACGTGTAACCTTCGACGAAAGGAGCGTCTTTCCGGGGAATTTCGTCAGCAGGACGCTTCGCGTTCAGTTGGTCCTTGGCTTTCTGCGAAGACGGCATCGGGATTGCCTTGGGCGATGCCTTAGGGAGGTGGAAGTCGGACGGGTCGGGCAGCAGCAGCCATTTCCACTCAACCTCGAGACGATCACTGATTTGTGTTAGTCTTAGCTCATTCAAACTACTCGAAGAACCATACCCGTTGGGAATAATGTCGAGAAGCAGCATCTGCTCGTCCGAGCGGTTCTCCACCACAACGCCAGCAAATATGTCGCCTTTGAAGTACTGCAGCTGACATATCTCTCCCTTCTTCAATGTTGCCGCACCGTCCCGTACGCGAGTGTCATCTTCCAGGGCATCGCCATCGTACTTCCTATCACGCTTGGTGCGGTGGAAGCGACAACTAAACTCGAACGCTTGCTCCTTGTATTCTGTTCCATCCTCACCAAAGACCGGAACTTCGGCCTCTTCGACGAAGACTCCTGCCGCTGCCGCGCAAGTTGCGTGGTAGGCTCGAGCACACTTCTTCTGGGAACACTGGAAGCAGGCGCCCTTCTTGGATCGGCAGTAGAGACACTTGAGATCCAGGCGTTCCTTGCTGATGTGGGCAACGTTGGCGATCACCTCCTTGTCGTCTACCGTGTCGATATACGTCTCGGGGAGGTAAAGTGCACACATACGATGGGCTTTCCGGCCATCGTCTGTCGGCAAAATCTCCGCGCCGGGAATGTCGTTGGGGCAAAGGCAGCAGATTGGCTCCGCGCGCGTTTTGACCTTGAGGCGGATTTTCTTGACCTTCCTCTCGCCATCCTTATCTCCAGTCGCACGTTTCCGCTTCCGAGCAGGCTTTATAACCCCGTTGCTATCAGGCGGCGACGGAAGACCAGTGGCATCGTCCTCGTCCTCGTCCTCATCTTCTTCGTCCTCTTCGTCTTCGGTCTCCTCATACTCGGGAGTCGGCTCGCCGCGGAGCTTCCGTTCAATGTCATACACATCGACCCAAACACTGTCCTGTGCCTGGGCGCATTCGCAACGCTTGGCGATCTTGCCCATGGGGAGCCACGAATCAAGCGCAAAATTGACAGCCTCGGCGCAGTTGTAACCAAGGTTGTAGCCGGAGTGGTAACCATAAGGATACGTAACAACAAATTCACCCGGATACGAGACGCACTTGTTGACCGTGATGTTGTAGTGCTGCTTCAGATGTGATGGAGATATCAGGAATCCCTTGTGGCGGAGGAATTGATCACAAGCCTTGGCGTCGGTAGGCCAGATGTTCTTCATGGCAGCTTCAAAACGACGAGCATCAGCCTGCGAGATGCTGTACCATTGTTTCGGAGCGCCGAAGTGAAGATAGTTGATGCTGTAGAGGTCGACGTCCTCCAAGTGCCACGCAAATGTGGCCTTCCACATACCCAAGTAGAGGTAGGCCGTATTGACACCGGGAACCTTTGTGCCAAGAACATCCAGTAGGTTTGGAAGCTTGTTCAGATTCCAGATTTCCGTTGACTCGTGGAAGAGTGTGCCCATGAGATCTGCGCCATACAGCGGCGGGGCGTAGGTAAGGGTTTTCCAGTATATCCTTTCCAGCTCTTCGCAGCGCTCCGGCGTATAGTCGGACACGTCCATCTGATAGTCGAAATCTTCAAATGCTTTTTCGTCAATCATTGCGGAGCCTTCTCTCTTACTGTACTTCCGACGAGCCGAGACGCTCTGGGTCTTTGGCTTTGCGGGCCTGACGCCACCCATGCGACCCATTCTGCCCAACACGCGTGGCTCTTCTTCTTCTTCCTCTTCATCCACGTCCATTCCCGGATCCTCCACTGAGTTGACCAGCTCTTCTTTCTTCACCTCGACGTCGACGTCCGGCTTAGGTGATATCGGGGTCATCGGGCGCTTCTCGTCTTCTTGCTCGTCATTTTCCTCATCTTGGCTCTTGCCCTTGGCTTTCCCGCGCCGCGGTCGACCTCGCCCCTTCTTCTTAGAACCGGACGAGCTCGATTTTGCCTCAGCACGAGGTCTGGCAGCGGATCGGGGCTTCGGCTTCTCGACATTGGCTCGGCGCTCGCCTCGCCTCGCAGGGGGCTGATGTTCGCTCTGGTCGCAGAGTTGCCGCCACTGCGGCAGGTTATAGGATCGCTGATGGAGAATATTGACTTGTCGATATGTTCCATTCGACCCCATTATATCTTGCTTAATGGGTTCCCTGACCCTGATCTGCTTCACCAGGTCATCGAGTCTCGGGAGGGATTCTTTCCACTCGGAGGGAGGGATGATTTTGACGATGCCGGACTTCATTCCATAATGATCGACCTTGGTCATCTACAAGCGCATTCGGAGTCAGTCACGGATGGCACAGGAAGGGGATGCACTGGGAGACTGGGAATGCGTACGAATAACTTGAAGTCCTTGAACTGGTGCATGGTCGGCTTGAAGACAGGGACGGTCCCGGACCAGTGATCGGGAAGGACCTCGCCAATGTCGTCCTCGACAGGAGCCTCATCTTCTTTTGCCGTCGCAGAAGGGTCAACGGCCTCCTCGTCGAGGTCGCTAAGCTCCGAATCGCTGGCTTCCGACTTGTGCGCATTATTACTGTTGGGTGGGGAGTGGAGGAAGGCGGGCTTCGCACATTCTATCTGACCAAGCGCGGGTTCCTCCTGGTCGTGGTCGGCAGTCTTGGCTGGTTGCGCCGGCACAGTCACAGGCTCCGGGACTGGAGCGCTGGCAGCGTCGGTCGACATCATGAAGGAGACTACATGCGACCGTGCATGCGGCTTCGGATTTTTTGGGTTGCACCTCTTGAAGATGGTAGAACTGTAAGTGAGTGGTGCGCGGGTTGGTTTGGCTCAAGTGGCCAAAAATATGAGGTGCAGACGTCTGTCTCGTCGGGTGCGGAGAATAGGTTCGTTCGTTTGGTTATCAGATTCTGCGGGGGGAAGGTGGTTGGCCACTGTAGGGAACAGCAGGAAAGTGCTCTCTGGCTGGGCCAGCTCGCTAAAATGGGCCGATATTTGGCGAATCTGGGCTGATTGGAAAGGGCCAAGGTTGCGAGGGAGTGTACCTCCCAAGGTTGTCCTCGTCCTGCTGCTCTACACCTTTGCACAAATACGAAAATAATACCTTGACCAGCTTCGTAGAATAAGTACAGTCAGGGGAAGGGCTGCAGGAAGAAAAGAAGAGAGAAAAAAAAAAAAAAGGTCTTTGTGAATAGAAAGGGCCAAAACGATGCAGATTGCCAGTTTATCATGGATAATCGAGAGATTGTGGCCCCTTGCTCGTCTCTGTTGGTTGGAAAGACCAAAGACCAAAACCGAGGTGTAGGAAGAAGCTGCAGGCGCGGTGCTGGCGCTCGGTTGTGTGGGGCGGGAGGCCAAGGTCGTACCTTCTGGGTTCCCGAAAGCGAAAGAATGGGAGAACCTGGCAGTCATGCAGATAGGAAACAGCACCCGGCCAAGCTCCCCCTTCCTTCTTGACTCGTCCCTTTCCCTCGCTTCTTCGTTCTTACCCCCTCGATTGAGTCCGCGCTAGTCCCGACTAGGTGTCCTCACATGCCTAAGGCGATAAGGCCAATCGCTGACCACTGGAGGACTGCAGGAAAATGACGTCGCTCGTTGCTCGTAGTTTGGCAACCGCGCTTTTCGCCAGAGAAAAACTGTTTGATTGCGATTTATGCGCAACTTCGTCAGGCCTGCAGCGACCGATGTTCACAACGTTGGATGTTGGTTTCGCTACTAGTGACTTGTGTCTAGAATTCCCGCTGATATCAAATTCCTTGTTGATTGATGCGGGAGAGTAGACACCGAAATCCACTGCTCTGTGTTTGGTTTGTGCAAATGCCGATACCAACGATGCCAAGCTGTCGTAGCTGCATCGCAAAATCGTTGCTTCATGACTGCTGCCACCGGACATGGTCTTGCGCGGGATGCGGATCCGCTGCTGGATGATTTGTTGGCCTCTAGGTCTCAGTGACGCCCGCGAGCCCCTGTGCAGACATCACGTCAGGCACGCGAATCAGTCAGCCACCTCGTCGAAAGGCCCTTTAAGCTTCGCCCAATGGAGTCGGGCCTCGAGATCTGATAATCTGGCATGCGGCATGGGCTCCGTGTCCCGAAGTCCCGGGACCCATACCAGCCCTACCGGCCAAGATCACCCGCCGCGCGGCAAGCCGATCGTCCGATGATCCAATCCTCTTCTCCCTGGCAAGCGGTAGCTTCTTAGGCGGCCGCTCGGCATGCACGTGGCCCACGATCGTCTGGTTGGCGCGCTTGTGCCTGACCCGCCATCCAAGCAATACCGTTCACTTCCCTATCCGTCCATCTTTGTGCTCGAAAGGCAGAAAGCGGCGAGGTTCCCTCGGAGGGGTACCATCACCAAGGGCCCCTCCCGTGGCAGCACCACACGTAATCCATCAACAGCAACTCCGCACTAAGCGGTGAGGGGGTGGTATGGGGAGAAGAAGCGATGAGGATCTGGATCGCAAGACCCCACACGCCAGTTCCCTTGACCCTGTAGATGGCGTGAACTATAAACGTGGATCTTGAGCTCCACGCAGCGGAGAGGAGTCCCAGTCCGACCTGCAGGGCAACGGGGGGCGAGGCGACAATGCTTGTCGGATTTCCGGCGTGAAGGTTAGCGGATATGCCGCTTTGCGATGTATGGCCTACGACTTATCTCTTGAAACGGCTGCTCAGCTCGTCTGTGACGAGCCATACCGATTCCTGCCTTGTACGAAGCCGAAGTGAACTCCGGCAGCAGTGGTTGCCACAGGTAGGCAGAAAACCTATGACACCAATAGCCCAAAGTGGTAGAGTTGGCCATGACAGAATGGGTATAAGCTGAGGGGGCTTCCATAAAGCACGCAATAAGACCAGCAAGCCAACGTGGCATGCTCTGCTGCCTTCGCGGGTCTACCCTTTCTCTGTCTCAGTGTACCTCACCCATCTGTCGCCCATCTCGCCTGCATTTTTCGGCAGCAGACCATCCGTCCCTGAGGCCTGGCAACCTGCATGTCACGGATAAAAGGCTCACGCTGTAGCACCCTCAAAGAAAGCCGCCTATTTTCATTCCAAAGCAGCAAGGCTCCGATGGTTCCCTCACTCTAGGCTCGCCAGACAAAATCCACAGTATTGCCACCCTGCATCCTAGCACACAAAACAACAGCTTTCTCTCCACTTTCCATAAACGCCCAGGCGAACCCATATCATTACGGGAGAAGACGGGCCTGACAAACCGACAAGCAAAAGGTTTGAAACCCCGTCCCTAGGAAGATGCAAGCGCCAGAAGAATATACAGTACGTCGTGCTCTCGTCAAAAAAATTACTATGCGTCACTCTCATGTATCCCATCGTTCCTCCTACTGGCGCACTCTCGATAGATCCGTGCCTATGCATCATGCAGAGAGGACAAGAAGAATAAGAAGGTGTGGGACGATGTCTTCAGATGGCACCGTCGAAAACAAGAGCCTTGAATTAGGCAGTGCGAAGGTGATTGGATCCAAGACCAACCAGCTCGAACATCATGGGAATCAAGCCGACGCCCAGCCATGCGATACCTGTCATCTGTCAGCAACTGTGGGGAAGGTCCAGGAACACAAGACTCGCCTGTATAGACAACTAGCTTGGTAACCACCTCGACGTCGTAACGCACGCGAGGTCGGATTAGTCGCAGGAACATCTCCTTCTCACTGATTTCGTCTTGCTGGCCTACAGTCAAGTCCAGTTCGCCCTTCTCCTCACTCGGGCTCGACAGGACGCTGCCAGTGCCCATCATGCGCTCAAAATCGTGCAGCGAGTTGACGTGATGACCCTGTAAACCGGATGTCGCCCCCTTCCCTTCCCAATCGCCGCTCTTTTCCCGAAGCTCTTGCATGCTACCCTTGCTCTTGATACTGCCGTTGCTGCCAATGCTCTCCCGCCGCCGGCGCTCGCGGTATGCCAACGTCTCATACGCATCGGCGGCACTCTGAGGCCCAATCGATACTGAACGGCCACGCGTCGTCGGATGACGGATGGACTGAACCACGCGGGGAAAGTCTCTGACCGAGGGGATGAGGTTATCCATCCTCGAGCCAGGGTCAATAACCTTGTATTTGGACGCCGGAGTGAAGAAACGTCGGGGGAGATTCCACTCGACCTTCTCCAAGAGACGGAAAAGATGCGGCAAAATCCTGAGCATGGTCGGCTTCATGACCTCTCGCCACACGAAGATGACGAAGATGCCGAATACGACACGGGCCAGGACAACGTGCCACCCAAGAGCGCCGAGATCAATGGATTTGACGCTGTGGGCGGATCCTCCAAAGGAATCGATCGAGGTCCGCCCGTACATCCATGTTCCGATTTCCAGACCAATCACCACGCCGGCAAAGGCAACGCTGTCATCGAAGCAAGGGCAGTCATCCGCGGGCTCTGGATGGATCCTGACGAGCACAATGACCACGAGAGCAGCGATGGCGGGTGCCCACCACGAGCTGCTGTGCATGTACGCATCCAAAGGAGGGCCGTAGTGAAACTCGACGAGTGAGATAACGGCGCCTAGAATCGACCCCACAACGACGTCAATGAAGCCGTGCATGCCACAGTACAAACGGCCAAAGATGATGGAGATGGCATAAAAGTATGACAGTCCCTCAAGGAGAGTCTTGGTCGATTCTGCCATGGTGTTGTCGGGGCTGCGCAGGAGTAAGACACCATAGACGGCTACTGACACGGCATTAGCGCTATGGGTTGACGGAAAGCCATATTCCAACGCGGCAGAACCGGACATGGTGATTCGCTGTAACGGCGGGGAAAGCGGCCGCGGGAGGGAGAAGAAGTCCTTGATAAAGCCAGTGAAAAAGACGCCCTCGGCAAGGATGTGGATAACACTGGAGAGCGCAGTTAGTTAGATGGGCACTCGACAAACACGCAGGTTGACTGTTGCTCACCCTTTGCCGAAGGAGGCGTAGCCGCACCAAAAGAGCATGGGCAAGCCGATCATGAAAAAGGTATGGGTGCCGAGGTTCGCTGTAATCGCAAAATAACTATCGAGCCACGGGGTGCGCATCGTCTCCTGCAGGTAAGCCAAATACGGAGTCTCCCATCGGATGAGTGGCAGCATCCACTGTCGCAGTCGGTATCGCCATGTTGGCAGTGCTCTCTTATCTGTTTCGAGGGTGAGGTCAGTCCAATCTTTTGCGGTTTGTAACAGCGGCCCCGCGTACATGCGCAAGGCGCGTTGGGGGAACGGCAGGATAGGCCGAATGAGAAAAGACAAAACTGAGAAGGCTATAGCAGCGTACAATGATCGAGACTCCTCAGACCCGCGTCGGGCGCGTCGCTAGGGCCCTTGACTGTAATGAGGGGCGGAGCGAGGGCATCGGGGACGGCCGCTGCGTCGGCAACTGTAGAGTTCGATACGGTTGCATCGCGACGCTCCGGGTCGGACTTTGGCGCCGTAGCGGCGCCATTGGTATGGCTAGTCATCGGGCGTTGTCGGAGGTCGCGATCGCAAAGCATACGGCCATCCGTTTCCTCGTGGGGGGAGTTGAGGCGGCAGTTTGGGTCGCGTGTTGGTTTGCAGTTGTGCGGTTGTGTGGATCGTGGCTATAGGTAGGTAGGAGGAGGAGGAGGGTCGGGGGCGGCTAGTGTAAGGGTTTATGGTGGAGGGGAAGCTTGTTCGGCGACTCTGTAGGAGGCTGCGCATTCGCTGTCCGGAACGCCGCACTTGGTTTGATGGTGAGAACGAGTGGTCGCGTGGCAGGGAATCACCAGCGACAAAACGATTCCAGAGGTTTGCGGTGAGGGAAAAGAAGAGAAGGAAGAGAGAGGGACTCGGCAGCAGCAGAAGCAGCAGCAAAGCAGCACTGAATGTGGGATTGCGATGTTGCGTCTGGACGACCAACGGGCGCGGGAAACTGTAACTGGCACTCGAACTGCTGCAACTGGAACCGCTGGCGTGGCGTAGTGTGGGAGGCAGGGGACTGCTTCTTCTGGGAGGACGGGGGCTGATGTGTACTTCCAGTCCAAGTACCTCAGCCGTGGAACGAGTGAAAAGTTGGAAGAGGAAAGAGAGTGGCTGACGTGAGGGCGAGCCTGTGACGGCAGCCGAGGCAGAAGACGACTGTTAATTCGGAACTGCAAATCAACGTTCAACCTCGCTAGGAAGATGGGATGAGACGCCTAGTCAATGAAAGGGTCTTGCACTAGCGCTGGTGTCTAGCAAGACGAGGCATCTTAGATTGATCGGTAGTAGGTACCTAGGTAGGCAGAGGTAGTTCACCGCCACCACTATCATCGCCGGTTGCCTTTCTTTCACAGGTCTACAAGTACTTCGGTCGATGTAACTAAAACTGTCGCCTCGCGCGCTTAGGTTCGTTTCTACCTGTACCTACCTACCTACCTGCCTAGGTAGGTAGATCTCTGTAGTGTAGTGCTAAGTATACCATACTGTGCTCTGGCGTTTGGGGTAAATTCTCAAGGATAGTTGAAGCAAGTAAATCCATCTTTGTCTAACCGTCACACAGGGTAGGCGCGGCCAGCTGGACCTCGACGTTCCTTCCATATGGCGCCGCAACCCAACATCAGGATGATACCTACTTACCTAGATAGGTAGGTACATATACGATACGAGTACAACAATCTTTGGTCATCGAGGCAGCACACATTCACTCGTGGGGCTTCGGGAAATGTCTTGCTTCCATGCACCAGAAGGAGTGGAGAAGACAACAGCATGGCGGGCTTTCCCAATGGGCGGGCGCCTGTCTCACCATCCGGGAGCTTGAACATGAGATGCAATGGGAGAAGCCCTCGGAATAGGATTACCTTCCCCTCTGATACCGGCCCAAGACATAAACATCACTGCAGATAATGCCATTATCAACTGTCTTGCTGCCCTGCTGCCCAAGCTACCCATTCTTGGAGGGAAGGGGCTCGATCTCTTTGCACACCAACAGACAGCTCGCCCGAGCACATTCAAGCATATTCCTGACAAAACTCCATTCCCCTCCCTCGTGGTCTTCAGTCTCGGGACCTCTTACTCTCGTCTCATCCCATCCTGTCTTTGACTTGTCTTATCACACGCTTCTCCGCACCGAGCTTTTCAGACTGCGAGGTGCATTCCCGCATTTGCATTACCCATTAGGACCGTTTTCCGTGTCGGCGAGGCTTCTTTCAACGCAACGACTGGATGGAGTTTCCTGCGCAAAGCTACTAGAGTACATCGTATTTCGCAAAACGCCACAAATTCCCATGTTAAAGTTGTACGAAGCGTAACGGCGTGGCAACCTTGCGAGGGGAATACAACATCAGCATGAGAGAGCAGTCCAGCTCTACATGGGATTATTTGATACCAGACTTGCCTTTTCCTTTACAACGGCTGCTTTGCTGTTGATGATCCGTGTCGAAGGAGGTTGTCAAAGCCGGCAGATCAGTTTCCTCCCCCCCACCCTCAACTCAAAATTAAACTCAGACATCCCAGTCGACACGTCCAAAGCTCTCTTTCCGCATTCCCACCAAGCTACACATACCTCGACGTATCGTAGTCCACCAGAACCGCCACCGCTGCAGCAGCAGCAGATCAACACTCCTATCATCGCTTTTCCACCCGTCTCATTCTGACCGAACCTAGGCAAACCGCACGATGTCTGCCGCCCTCATCCCTCTCCGTGCCCGCCACTGCCTCATAACCGGCGCGTACGGCGGCATCGGCGCCGCCATTGCCGCCCGCTTCGCCGCCGAGGGGGCCCTCGTCACTCTCCTCGGTCGCAAGGAGGACAAGCTGCGCGATCTCTGCGACCGCCTGCCACCCTTCCAGGACTCCCGCCTCGCCCCTCTGACCGCGGCCGCAGCGTCTTCAACATCTGCCAACGGGGAAAGGCCCACACACTCCTACGCCGTCATGGACGTCTCCGCTGACGGACGTGACGATGCAGTCTTGGATGACATTTGGGTTTGTCTCCGCCTTTCTCCTCTTTTTCTCTGGCCCATCCCTTCCTCTCTCTTCTCTTTTGGCTCCTTGTTCCATCATGACAGCCAAGAGCTGACTGAGGCTGCCTCCGTGGTGTCCTAATTGCTGTGAAAACACACCAAACTGACAGGGGCATCCTCCCCCACTCGTAGAAACGTACGGGCCAGATAGACGTCCTGGTCAACGCGGCGGGTATTGCACAGTTCCAGTTGTTGCAGAACACTTCTCCCCAGGCTGCGAGGGAGCTTGTAGACACCAACCTCATGGGCACCATCTTCATGTCGAGGTACATGGCCCAGCGCATGAAGCGCAGGCGCGCAGACAGGGATGGTAAGTCATGGTAACCGTGTCCTCCACCTCTCCCTCCTTCTCCTTCTCGGCATGATACACTCCCACGATTGTCACTCCCACCACACTGCGTGATCGATCTGATCGCTACCACCGCACAGATAGACCAGCTCCATGCATGCATGCACTGAGTGCACGCACGTTCTGCGGTAACAGTCCTGCTGACCAAGTCGTTCCACTTACAAGCTTGCATAATCAACGTTGCGAGCCTGCTGGCCGAAAAGGGCAGCCCTGGCACCAGTGTCTACGCCGCGTCAAAGGCCGGTATAATTGGTATGTTCTTGTCTTGGTATTGTTTTCTTTTCATTTTGGGCCTTCTTTTTTTCTTCTTGTATGGGTTTCGTTTTTTATACATCGCGCACACCATGCGTTGCTGTATCTTCTGCTACCCACCATCTCCCCATTGTAATAGGCCAAGCCTAACATTTGGCGACGCCGAATCCCATAGGCCTCACCCACGCTCTCTCTGTTGAGCTGGGACCGCTGCGCATTAGGACCAACGTCATCGTCCCTGGCTACATAGAAACCAATATGCTTGCTTGTAAGAGACCCCATCTCCCACTCTCCTTCATCCCCCAGCAGCCAGACCGATTTCCGAGGGTCCGCCCTTGGCCAGAGCATGACTAATGTACATATTTATTATCACAGCAATGTCGAAAGAGCCCCTCGAGAAGCGAATTCCACTAGGGCGTTTGGGCCGGCCTGACGAGGTGGCCGATGCTGCCGCTTTCCTCGCCCAAAACACTTATGCCAATAACTGCATCTTGAATCTGGATGGCGGGCTAAGCGCTGTCTGAGCTGGCGTAGAGCTCCACGTCCTAGTCGGAGGGGCATCCCCCTGATGTTGAAAATGGGCCCATTATCAGTCGTCAATGACGATGGCTCCACCTGTCGAATCATCCACGACGACCACGTCGTCGTTGTTTGTTGGGGCAACCTTGGCCTTCTTCGCTTCAATCGGCTCGTCGCCGTCGTCCGAACGAGGCCGCTTGAGGTTGCTCGATTCCCCTTCAACATCAACGGCGGGCTTACCGCTCTGCTCGCCTGTACCGTTCGACTCCGCGGGGGCCTGCTTCTTGGGCTTACGAGGAATCTCGAGTTTCTGATCCACAACCAAGCCCTTGACAGGTTTGTCGGCCGAGGGCTCCTTGCTGTAAGGGTGTCAGTGAGGTCTTTTTCATAGATAGGGAGATAGGCGTACGATTCCTGGATACTGATGACGACGTTGACGAAGGGCTCTTCATCATCTTCATCGATGACGGTGAGGAAAGTATCTTCATTGATGCCAAGATCGCTGAGCTTCTTGGATAGGTTTTCCGTCTCATCCGGATCGTAGAGCGGGCCTGCGTCGTTGTTCACGGCAAACTCCTTGTCGCCGTAGCCAAGTTCCAGACGCACAAAGTCCTCGACAAGATCCTTGAGCGTGGCTCTAGACAAGTCGACGGACACGCTTGTCTGATATACGCTGCATACCGGGCAATCCGGGTTGGGGGCCCGGTACTTGCTCGAATTGAGCAGGCGAGCAGGATTATGAGGAGAGATGAAAACCTTAGCAGAACATTAGACCACAACTATAGCAACAACATAAATAATTTAACCATACCTCCTTAGTCTGAGTGAAGTCGCCTCTCAACACCTTGAACGACTGAAGAACACAAAGGCCTGCGACGATGGCATTGGTTGTCGCGATGGCTGGGATGATGTTGCCAGCCATCTGCTTGACATCGAAGCGAGACTTGCGCTCAATACCGAAGACGGATGATCGGATGTTGGCACTGGCTGTGACGAAATCCAATGTGTCCTCGTCATCCTTGTCGAAGGTGATCAGAGGCTCCGGCCCAGATGCGTCTTTGTGAGCCTTCTTCAGCTCCTGCATCCGCTTGCTCAGCCGGTCCAGGCTATCGATGAAAACTGCAAAATTCTGCTCCAATGACCACACGCTTTGTCCGTCGTTGAGGATTTCGTCCTTCGATGCAAGGGCGTCTGTCGACTGCTCAGATAGAGTCTTGAAGTCGAGGGCCTCCGGCTTCCGCCTAGACTTCCACATGTCTTCCATGGACGCCAATCGCACAATATCGGCGCTGAAGACCTTGTCGAAGAGGAGCTGAGGAAAGGCTTCGGTGCCCAGTGATTCGCGAATCGTTCTAAGAGCGGCGGCCTCTTTCTTCAGTTCCTCAATCTCCTTGGCGTCGTCGGCATCGGCTGAGTTGTCGAAAGCGGACTCGTCTTCGCTTGTCCCGAAAATCTCGTTGAGCAGGTAGCTCTTGCCCCAAACAATACAGTGTATAGGCTGGCTCGGCGTGCTCCGGATAGTGCAGACCGGGAAGGACTTGGGTGTCTCCTTAGGGGTACAGTCGTAGCATGCGGTTACTCCCTTTTTGATGACCTGGACGTTGCCGTTGAACCCAGTCGTGCCGCTCTCTATCAGGGGAACGTCGGCGGCGAGGCACATTCTGTTGACATGTCGTCTTGCCTCAAGATTGTCCAGAGCATTGAAAACGATGTTGAAGCCCCGGAACCAGTTGACGTTGAACTGGGAGTCCTTGATGTTCGCATGGTGCGCAACAATCTTGACCTTGGGGTTAAAGGGCTGTGCCGCGTCTTTGGCAACCTTGGACAAGTCAGTATTGCAGTGCCTTCAAGCCTAGATCGCAGCGTCGGAGACCATACCAGAGCCTTGGACTTCTTGATGTGCTCGTAGCGGAAGAGGAATTGTCGGTTTAGGTTACTCAGGTCAATTGTATCAAGATCGACGATATGGACTTCACCAAAGCCTGTAAGGACGAGGTTTTTGAGGAGTTCGCATCCGATACCGCCAGCTCCGACCATCAACACGCGCGCCTGCGCCATTAGCGTTAGCTCCATAGAATCTTTAAATAGACGGTATTCCGAAATCGCGTCGTCGTAAGAAGTGCATAGTGAGTCGGTGCCGTCGCAAGATGAATACAAAATTGGAGGGAAAGTCGCGTGGTCTGATGCGCCGGGTTCGACGAGGTTACGACGTACCTTTTTGACATTGGTGTTCAAAGCTCCGCCGAGCGATTGCTGGTAGAATCGATCGCGCGGCTGAACGACAGGTCTTTGCTGTTGCGGCTGCTGCTGCTGCGGCTTCTGCGGCTTCTGCGGCTTCTGCTGCGGCTGCCCTTGCTGCTGCCCTTGTTGCGGCTTCTGCTGCTCTTGTTGTTGTTGTTGTTGCTGATGTTGCTGTTGCATCGATTGCGCGGGCGGCTGCGCAGCGGGAATCGCGGTGGTTGGAGGTTGCGTTGGCTGCTGCTGTTGTTCTGGTGGTGTGGCAGTCGCCGTCGCCGTCACGGTGGGCGCGATCGGCTCTGCGGCGGTCGCCGCGGCGGCAGCAGCTCCCGCTTCCGCAGTGGGATCCATCGGGCTCAGTTCGCAGTGTCGTGGAAGCTGTTCTGTGCGTCGATGACGGTCAATGGGGGGGGTTGCGACGGGGCGGCGTTGTGACGGGGAGCAGCAATGAAGAGAGGGTAAAAGAAGAGAAGGGGGGAAGAAATAAGCCCGCGCCAGGTGGGATGGATGAGACGAGGGCGGGTGGTTTCAGCACGGAGGGCGAGGCGAGGCTGCAGGCTGCGGGAGAAAAGGTTGAGGTTTTTCTGAGGTCGGTGGAAGGAACGATCGCTCAGAGCAAGGTTCCAGCCAATACTTGCAGCTGGTTACGGGATTCAGCAGGGATTGTAGCTGTTGGTTCCTGGGGAATCGCCGCGCTCGAGCTCTGATTGGCCAAGAAAGCCGGGCCTTACTCTCTTGCAGTGGGAGTCCACTGTAGTGCGCTGTAACATCGGCAGCCTGTGCATCCCGGAGCCACTGTGGCACGCTGGAGTGGTCAACCTGCCCAGCCCCCCCCCCCCCCCCCCCCCCCCCCCCAGTGAGGTGCATCAGGGGCGGCATTTCGCTTCTGAGGGTTCACTGTGCCTGCCTCTCTGCCGGGCCGGTTTCTGACAAACTTGTGGGCGGAACGAACCTCTTGCCACATGGCAAGCAGCGGATTTAACCGTGGAACAAGGGATCAAATATATCGATAGAAACGAGATTGTCCATCAGGGGACTTATGGGTTGATCGCCACCTGTTATCAAGCGGTGATTCAGCAACAAAAACAAACGGGTCAGTGCAGCAGTACCGGTATGGGTCTCTGAGCCGCCTGGTCCAACGTCCAAACCTGCGCTGCCATCGTCACCCCCTCTTAGAAAAAGGATTGCAACGCAGCTGGCCAGAACCATCGAGGTGGTGCAGCCAGCCAAAGGCCGTGTTCGTGCAGATCCTTCCAGAGACATTCCGAGTGCAGCCCCTTCCTGGTACGCCCATCATGTCCGACGACGAGGCCGACCCCGAACTCCTGGCTCTCCTGCGCCAGCACTTCCAGGGCAAGCTCAAAATCGATGATGAGCCGGAGACAGGTGTCCTCGATGGCGCTGAGTTCGTCTACGATAACTCCATCGATGTCGCCATTGACATGAGAGCTACTAAGCGCGCCGCCGCCACCATCTACGCTCAGATGGAGCAAAAGCAGTACTCGACCTCGACCTGGGCCGAGCATGAGCTGCACCCCAAAACCAAGGACGAGGCCACTGCAGCTTTCATCTTCACCATGGACCTGCTCAACTTCTGCTTCTGGTCCGAAAAGCCCGACGACGAGAGGTACGCCGTCGAGTACCGCGGCAAGACCTGGACCGGATACTGGAGCATGGTTGCCTCGCTGCAGCGCGCTCTCGATGAGGGCATCCCCATCACCAGCTCCGACTTCTGGCAGAGCGAGGACGAGTGTAACATGGAACTCATGAGGCATGTCTTTCGTTCCAAGACGGAGGAGGAGATGCCCTTGCTCGAGGAGCGTCTGGCCTGCCTGCGTGAAGCTGGTACCGTGCTGTACAACAGGTACAATTGCAGCGTTACAAAGCTCATCGAGGCCGCCGACGGCTCTGCCGCCAGGATGGTCAACCTGCTCGCCAGGGACTTTGACTGTTTCCGCGACGAGCACAAGTTTGAGGGTCGACGGAAGCCCGTGAGAGTCCTCAAGAGGGCACAGATCCTCGTGGCGGACATCTGGGCGTGCTTTGGCGGTGAGGGCCTCGGTGCTTTCAGGGACATTGACAAGATCACAATGTTCGCCGACTACCGCGTTCCGCAAATCCTCAGCACTATGGGCTGCTTGTACTATAGCCCTTCGCTGGCGACGGCCATCATCGACAAGCGAGTCATTGAAAGTGGATCGAGGTTGGAGTTGCAAATGAGAGGTGAGGCCGACGAAACGAGACATTGTACTTGGCGTGCTAATTATGAGCCAGCGTGCAGTATATGGTGCGTCGAGCTCATCAAGCGGGAGATCCAAAAGGAGCACCCCGGAACGAGCGTCAACGCCATCTTGATTGATTTCTTTTTGTATGATACCATGAAGGAGCTGGAGGCCGCTGGTGCAGAGACGGTGGGACATCACCGGACGAGAAGCATCTGGTATTAGAGCAGCGACGCGGCATGCCATCGCAAAGATGGAGTGGCAATCAACGCCTCTGATATGGGGTATAATTCTGGCTAATATTTTCCAGCGCGACAAATCTAATGTGGTCGACCATTTGTAAGGCAAGTCCTCGTACATTCATGCCGCAATGTATGGACTTGCGAGTATTTGCTCAGAATGCACTCGTGTAAAACTCCAAACTCCCCTGCCTTAAATCTTAATCACACACTTCCCACTGATTACTTCGTCCCTAAGCGGGCCCAACCACCGTCGTATTCATGAGTTCGTCCATGTGTGCCCGCTCGAGTGAATTTCCTTTCTGCTCCTCCTTGAGCAAGACCGCAAGGACCTCGATGGGCGGGTTGAGACCAAGTCTCTCCGCCCGCTGCCAACGCTTCATGCGCTGCAGACCGATACAAGGCTGTGCATCTTTTTAGTATTATAACAACGTCAGATGGACAGGGAAACCTACACCATATTGCGAGCTGACATCAAAATACCGTAGTACTTTCTCTGCCAAACTCACGTCCTTCTGATGAACCCTAGGTGCCATGCGCTGGGCCTCAATTAATTTCCAATACTTGATGATCTGGGCGTCGCTGATCTTGTTGGCCCTGATCGCGGAGTCCGACTCCTCAAGGGGCTCCTCTTTGACTCCCGCCTGCTCGATCTCGAGACTTGCGGGCTCGTTAAGCTGGGTACCATCGGCTTCTTTCTCCTCCTTCTTGGCTGGCTTGCCGATCTCCACTCTCTCGATAGCGGAGGTAAGGGCGGCTTTCTTTTGCTCCTTGGGCACGGGCTTGGAGACCCGGTGAGAGAAACTGATGGTCGACTGGCCCCGAGTCGAGCCAGGTCTGGCCCGGACTCCTCCTGTTGATCTTCGGGTGGTGGGCATTGTGTGAATAGTATGTGACTGGGATGTGATGAGGTGTCTGTATAATCTAAGGTTGGACGATGTGGTCAATGATAAGAATATCAATAAACCCTCAGCGGTATTATAATTGAGATATCTCGAGTGGGGTGTAGATGGTTCGGATAACGTCGCCAATCGGTGTCGTCCCGAAATCACTCTCTGTTAAACCACGAAGTCCAATGTGTACGGATAGTGGATGACGAAATGGGCAGAAAGGCGGCAGGGGCCTTAATTTGGCGGGGCAACGCGAGGTTGGTACGAAAGCACGTGCCCTGCCTCGACCTCTACGGTATAATATCGGTTATTCTCACTGTTTTAATACTGTCCTCATCATCGTTATTGCTCATTGGGCATGTCTTTATCATCTGTCTTGGGATCCGCCATAGCGAAATGCCTCGCACTCAGGGTATTTTAAACCCAAAACCCTTATTGTGACTTTTCTTCTCCCATCTATGCTCCAGTGGCTTCTCTGTAGAAGGAGATGCTTCGGTTAGCGCCCGCCGTACAGAAAGACTCGTTCTTTCCGGTCTTCGGAAGCCACTTGACAGCCCACAGTGCCTTGTCCGTCTCACTGTGCGTTGCGACACAGGCGCTGCGCTCGACAGACCATACCTTGACCTTGCCATCCATGGCGCCACTGAGCACGTATTCGCCGGTGTCGTTCCAGTCGATAGAGGTGATCCAAGAAGCATGGCCTGTCATGTTGCTGACCTGCTCGCCGTTCTTGATGTCATAGAGTGCAATGATGGATGCGTCTCCTGCAGCAGCGAGTCTCGTGTTCCCAGGAGAGAATGCCACAGCACGAACGGACTTGACCAAACCTGAAGACATGGTTAACTATCTAGCGTTTCGGACGCCTTCTTGGGGTGGGGTCTTACTGGGCAATGAGAACAACAGCCGTCCGGTGTCATTGTTGAATACGTAGACGGCACCGTTTTCGTGGCCACTCGCGGTGTACTTCCCATCTCGGCTTAAGTCGACTGACATGCCAAAACTTCCCGAGCCCGGGCTACCCGTCTCATACTCTCTGATCTTGGGCGTTCCCTCTTCACCGGTGTCCCAGACATTTACGCGGCCGTCGTAGGTTGTTCCCGCGAGGAACTTACCATCCTCGCTGAGGGCAATGGCCCACACCTCGCCAGCCTTGGCCGCTTGGTTCGTGATCTCTGAATGCAGCTTCCACTCGCCCGTGTCCTTGTTGACGACCCAAACCTTCACTTCGCCGGCGAAGCCCGCGCTGGCAGCGACCAGGCCATTGCGCGAGGTGCAAATATGATGGCAGCCTAGCTTGTGCGCGCCGCTGATGGACTGTGTGATGGGGACTGTGGGATCTGATGTGTTGTGAACATGAATAGTGGACGATCCGCTCGCAGACAGGAGAGATCTCTGTGTTGTGGCAAGCCCAAAGATGTCGGTTATGTGGGCTGAGAGCCCCGAGGCGTTAGCAAGACGAAGCTCTCTAACCGCTTGAAAACCTTGAGCTCCAAATATCGAGCCAGCTCACCATTGTCCACAGTGTGTGTGGTCAGGTATTGTTTCGACTGCTAGGGTTAGCTTACGCTGCGAGCAGGAGGAACTGCTGGAGTTCTTACCATGATTCCCAGTTCATGTGACGCTGTGGGTGATGCGCGGTTGCTAATGGGAAAGTTGCAAGCGCGATGTGGTCGGCTAGGTGGGGGCTGACATCACATATTGGCGAGCAAAGACCCCCTACAAAACCAGAAAGCAGCTGAAGAGGGAGGGGCAATGGAGGGGCACCCTCCACACCCTTGCTAGAATCAGTCACCAAAACACCCCTGCGATATTGATTTACACGAATCCCAAGGAAGTTATCAGTACCTCTGTGTACAGTTTCCTAATCCCTTCCCAGAATACTTGTTTCTTCCACCCATTGCAACAAGTTTTGCTAGTGACATCTAGAACGATCATTGTCTCGGCTTCATGGTTTTTGAATAAGACAAATACTCGTCTTATTACACAGTATGCAACTTGGTTTTAAGTTATGAGGCTAGTATCTGGCTCCCTGCTTTGTTATATTTCCTTCAAATATCTTCAGGTTCAAACTCAGCCCACTTTTCGAGCTTGCCACGATAAGTACGATTATCCAATATAATTATTTGAATTCGCCATCTTGTAACGTGGTTGAGTGGTACGGCGTTCTACCAAAAGTAGAGGCGAACGTGATCACACACTCGTCATTGATAGAAGTTCGTCGAATCACGTATTTAAGGTGCTAATTTGCTTCAAGAAATGGTGCAGGTACTCGAGCACTTACACTCTTGCCCACGGAGCAACTTGATCATGGTATCATTCTGTCAGTAGAGGGCCAGTTACGGCAGTGCCTATTAGGCTTGGCAGATCCGCACGACCCTAGCGAAGTCGTTTGTGCCTTCGAACCAGCCCCCGATTCAATTAGCATCCTCGTTATAGGCATGCAAATAAGGCTTGCTGTTGCAGGGTTGGAAACAATGATAGTGCTTGAAACGGCCTTGACTTGAGAGATTGAGAGTTAACTGAGTTCTATATCAAGCACGTACGGATTAGTTTGGTGCACTTGAACAAGGAGAACGAGGTCAACATCTATAGGCGTGACTGAAACTCCCGGCCTCGAACAACAAAAGGGGATTGTGAACAATGTGTCAGTGTTGAAGCATAGCGAATAATTTCAAACCTAAGTCGATGGTGATTTCCGGGTTGAGATTGGATAGGGCTTCATTACTTGCTGTCCATGCTTGCACAGCCTTTCAATTTAATTCAGAAACTGTTGACCTTGCATATGAGAAATTCGGTAGCTGAGCAGGTGGTGATTCGGCAAGCTCTGTACCTTAGGCAAAGGAACTCACTCAGAGTCTATCCCGCAACGTCTCGAAGACAAATATCAGACGCTCTGGGCGTCTGTCAACGTTCAGCCTTACTGCTAAGCGTATCGCCACTGCTTCGTTATAGGTGGGAAAACGGCAGTGTTGATCAAGACCTAAGGCCACCACATATGTCTCTCTTGTAAGTTCATATGCTGCCAGCAAGTCTTTTCCTCGGGATCACCGCTGGAATCCTTCCTTCGAAGGCGCCTGATCCCGGTGGCGTTGTAGTATTCAGGGACTACCTGAAATGGACGCAAGGCAACTTCACCAGGGCCAATCCTGCCGCCATAGTCCTTGCTCCTGCGTCAGCTCCGGCATCAGGATACTCACGACGAGTCGAATGTACTTAATGGATCACTGTCATCAGCGATGAGGCTATTAGATGAGTCGTGCTAACCACAATGAGGCTGACCTATTTATCTCTTTAAATTGATGATGTGCTTCAATTTTCCCTCCGTGATATGCGAGGATAAACTCGCGAGGGGGTTATTTAACCTCGTCAGCTTCCTGGCGGGACTTGACTCAGAAGCCGACGTTGCGCCTTGCCTTGACTGATTGAAAAACTGATTTTTAGGGGCTTAAGTGATTTGCAACCAAAAATGGTTTCGGCTTAGCATTGGGCGTGGTGCTCGGGATGCTGGTTTGATGGATGATATCTACCTTCGGGATACAGGAGTGTTCACAAAGCCTCACTGTTCCCCTTGATGAACACAGAATCGAGCCACGTCTGGGAAAGCTGGTTCAATGATTCGCAGGTTTCAGCCATTAGATAGACTGGCCAGAGACATGGGTATGAAAATACTGGAATGACTTTCCCCTCCATCTGCTGACGTCGGCCGCCGAGGACGGTGTTATGCCAAAAAAGCAACCAACGATAATGGACTGGGCAGACACTATTAAAAGTCTCGACACCCTTATCACGTGAGGAGGAGCGTCGGCGAAAGCACGTCGGAAGAAGTCATGGATTGTCCCAAACGCCACAATATGCTAACCAGCTGTACACTTGAATCTACACATCTCGGATTGTTACAAGGCCATTGGGCGGTTTAGATGAACTTTCCTGAGGGATTCTCATCCCTCCACAAGTCCTTGATTTCTGTCAGGCAATTGTCAGTAAAGGTATATCAGATGACGGCAAAGTAATACGTACTGCTAAGGCAGTGTGGGCATACAATATGCTGCCTCTTGATCTGGCCACAACCCGGGCACTTGCACAAAGACTTGACGTCCTTGAGCGCCTTCCCGGCCATCTGCCTGTGTCTCTTCTTGGCGTGCGAGGTCTTCTTCTTGGGCACCGCCCTCAGGATGGACTCCCAGATGCCGCCGAGCCACGCAGGGAGATTGAGATTGAATGCAGGAAGGGCGAAGGAGAGCGGAAGGATGGAGCTGGTGACTTGGCGCGTGTAGAGTGAAAGTATCCTTGTCGTCTGAGTGAAAGCCGGCGCGGAAATTCGGGGAAGAAGGGAGGTGATGCGCAAAGGCTGCGCACCCATGGCGATGGCGGCCATTTTGAATGATTGATGATGGATCGGCTCGAGATCGGGTAGGGGCCACTAGCATTCGTAGGATTGCAGCAACCGTCGAATGTGAAATCGGCTAGGAATAGTGGTGATGTCGAATGGGGCCGAGGGATTGGGGCTGCCGAGAGTCGAGCTCGCGATCCTTGTTCGCGATGGTGGATGTTAAGGCAGACAGTTGCACCCACTGTCTGTCGTTCACGTTAACGAGGCTCAAGCTTCTTCCATTCCGAAAGGGAAAAAAAAAAAAAAAAAGCGTGCGACCGGGAGCTATCGATTGAGATCTGCCAGCCAATCAGATTCCCAAAGATGCACGGACGTGGAAAAGCCAATCAGCGCAATGGAGACCCCTTTTCCCCTTTACCTCCGCCCCTGCACCTCCCTGCACTACAGGGAAATTATTGTTTGCTGGAGCGGAAGGAACAACCTATTAGCTGCAGCCAACGGCTATAGCAGCCAGTGCCTGACAGACAAGACACCGGGCACGGGTAGCAAGCAGGTGCCAGCAGAGAGGAAATTACCCTCCTGGTCCCGGCCAGATCAGGTTCACTCTTGCCATTCACCGGCTTGTGTCCTTCGAAACATCCCTCAACCTCGTGATCCTCTTTTTCTCTCTCTTTCTCTCCCTCTCCCTGCCCATCGCTTCTCCGACGTCCGACCCTCCTTTAACCTCTCACCTTAACTCGGCCACAATTGAGAGACCAAGTAACGGATACCTTTCTTGGAATACAGAAGCGTATCTCACTTTCACTCGTTAACAGCAAAGCCCACACCACACCACCCGCTCTCGCTCCCTCGCGGAAAAGCTATCGCCATGGCGCAGCCCCAGACCATCTTCCCCCAGACCCATGTTGGTTTCGACAGCATCACGTCCCAGATTGAGAAGAAGCTCCTGAAGAGAGGCTTCCAGTTCAATGTTATCTGTGTCGGTTAGTTACTCTCCAACCCTGTGCCATCGCAATCACCTGCCGGCCTAGCAAGCCTGCTTGTCCGCGACCTCGTCTCTGTAGCAGTCGACTGACTGATCGTGTTTCTACAACCAGGCCAGACGGGGTTGGGCAAGTCCACCCTGATCAACACCATCTTTGCCTCCCACCTTATCGACTCCAAGGGCCGCTTGCTCCCTGACGAGGCCGTCCGCTCGACTACTGAGATTCAGGCCGTCTCCCACATGATTGAGGAGAATGGTGTCCGTCTGCGCCTCAACATTGTCGACACCCCTGGATACGGCGACCTGGTGAACAACGACCGCTGCTGGGATCCCATCGTCAAGTACATCAAGGACCAACACTCCGCTTACTTGCGAAAGGAGCTCACTGCTCAGCGTGAGCGCTACATTCAAGACACCCGCATCCACTGCTGCCTCTTCTTCATCCAACCCTCAGGCCACTCCCTCAAACCTATTGATATTGTCGTCTTGAAGAAGCTGTCTGATGTCGTCAACGTCGTTCCCGTCATTGCAAAGTCTGACACCTTAACCCTCGAGGAGCGTCTGCAGTTCAAGGAGCGTATCAAGGAGGAGTTTGCCTTCCACAACCTCAAGATGTACCCGTACGACAACGATGAGTTTGACGACGAGGAGCGTAACCTGAACACTCAGATTAAGGTGAGCCCTCTTAGTGCTGATCATCCTCACGTCGGTTGCTAATCGTGGAACAGGATTTGGTCCCTTTCGCCGTGGTCGGCTCTGAGAAGTCCATCATTGTCAATGGAAAGCAGGTCCGTGGTCGTCAGAACCGCTGGGGTGTCATCAACGTCGAGGATGAGAACCATTGCGAATTCATGTACCTGAGGAACTTCCTTCTCCGTACCCACCTCCAGGACCTCATCGAGACCACGTCGCAGATCCACTATGAGACTTTCCGTGCCAAACAGCTCTTGGCGCTCAAGGAGAGCAGCGCACACGGTGGTGGTAGCAGACCCATCAGTCCTGCTGCTGACCGTGAGCTCAGCCGGAGCTCGCAACGAATGACCATGAACGGATACTAATTGACGAATGGTCCCACCTACGCATTCGAGGACCTACGCATTCGAGGAGCCAGCCGGCAATGATGTTCTCGGGCACCCGGATTTCTGATGACTTTAATCTCATGGTGTTATGCGCAGACCAAAAAGAAGGAGGCATGGCATGGCCTTGCCAGCAGGCGGAGGCTGCATTGACCGATAATTTGAGGGAGAAAGCAGCTGCTATACCCATGGGAAGGTTTGGCGGAAATTCGCTCGCATGGGAGAATCGAAGATGCTGGCATGGCGCACGGATATTGGTCATACCCCCCTTTCAGGCCTTCATGGTACTCGTACAGGCGAAATAGTGCATCATTCCCTCCTCTCCGTCTTACAGCTGGACGCACTTCTACTGTTTTTATTTTATTTTCGCTATTTTAAAGCAGCGTTTTCGAGCCCGGCTTTTTCACTTGTTCCCCCCCCCATTTTCTTCTTACTCTTTAATCCATTCGTACTCTGATAGAGAGTTCGTTTCGATACCTCGTGGAATACATCCGGCATGGCTTATGACTTTTGGCGTTTGGTGTTTTGTGTGAGGTGATGAATTTTTCTCATGACCAACTTTTGGCCAGAGGTTCAGCCATATATGGCACTATATTGCTTTTGTATCTGTCTAATAAGATATATGCATGCACAATAACCGCCCGCGCTATGTATAAGGAACTCGCAAAGTTCTTGTATTCTAAAATGTATCCAGATCCCAACGCCCCGCTGTCGCCATCATCGTCATGCTGCCCCGTCTATGCTCGGCCAGCAGTCCCTCCCTCCACCCCCCCTCTCTCCCTCGCCCATGCAAGGTGCGCTGCCCGGATGCCTCACAGCTTAGGAGGACTTGTAGACAAAGTCCTCGAGGGCCTTGTAGGCCTTCTCGAGGTCGTCGTTGACAATGATGATGTCGTGAACGCCGGGGGTCTTTGAGAACTCAAGCTCGAGCTTGGCTTGGGCGAGGCGCTTCTGGATGCTCTCCTCCTTCTCGGTACCGCGGCCGCGAAGGCGCTTCTCGAGCTCCTCTTCCGAAGGCGGCGCGATGAAGATGTAGCGAGCGGGGAAGTTGGACTGCTTGATCTGCTTGACTCCCTGTTGGTTTTGTGTGTGAGTAGGCTACGGTCGAGAAGCCTCCCAGGCAGAGCCTGAAAGACGTGGGGGTGCTGGGGGCGGTTGCGACCCGTACCTCCATCTCGATGTCAAGGACAACGAGCTTGCCCTTGGCGGACTGCTCCTCAATGGTGGCCTTGGAGGTGCCGTAGGCGTTGCTGCCGAAGACGGCGTGCTCGACGAAGCCGTCGCGGGCAACGAGGTCGTCAAAAGCGTCGCGCGTGACAAAGTGGTAGTCGACGCCATCCTGCTCACCCGGACGGGGGCCGCGAGTGGTGTGGGAGACGGAGAGGGCAAATGTATTCGGGTGGCGCTCGAAGAGGAGCTTGTAGAGGGTGCCCTTGCCAACGCCCGAGGGGCCGGAGATGACGATCGGACGGCGGTCGGAGGGGAGGACTGCAGGTGCGGGGTGTCGTTAGTCTTCAAGATGTATCTCTTTTCCCCTTCCTCCCCTTTCTGCAATTTTCCTTTTCTTTTTCTTGGAGAGGGGGTTTTCTTTTTCGGCGGTGGAGGAGGGTGGAGGGGCAGTACGGAGATTGGGGACAGCTTAGACGTCTTGGGGAGGGCGGTAGTATGTGCGACGTCACGATCTTTTGCTTACCTGGTGCCATTGTGTGCACGACACGGAACGGCTGACTTGGGGAAACGGAGCAGGTCAACGGACGTTGTCGTGAGAATGCCTGGGCGAGCGGTCGGAGGCGAGGCAGCATTCCAATGAGACGAAGGTCTGAAAAGAGCGGCGGCAGAAGGCAGTCCTTAGAGTTTCAAAGAAAAAAGATCCACCGGGGGTGGTCGGGCGGCGGTCGGTGGTCTCGGAGGGGCAGAGCTACCTGCCTACTAGGTAAGGTAGTAGAGTGGGTGGTGGTGGTGGTGGTGGTGGTGGTGGTGGGCGGTCAAGATTGTCAGACAGTCACAGTCACAATAGGCATGGGGGACGGACGCAGGTTCTAGGGAAGGAGCCAGGTACCTAAGGCAGGCCAGGTGCTGGATGGTACGGTGGGGTGGTTGCTTTACCTTACGGGGCTGAGCCTAGTCCATATGCCGGCAGAATTCGTGCAGGTTGCCGCTGAAGATCAAAGTCATCAGTGGAGGGGCGGTGAAGGGGACCCAGTCGTTGGGAGCCTTCTTTTGCTTCGCTGCCTTTTACTTTGTCAACTGCGTTCAATGCTTTCTGTAAGCACTCATTGCTGCTGCGAATTTCAGATCACTCACTCCGCCAAGAGGCTCGAAGGGCCCATTCAATTGCAACTGTTAGCTTTGAGGGTTCGAGGCTGGATATAATCTATCAAGTCTGATGAAGAGCCCCGAGCACAGTGTAGATTTGCGAGACAGCTACACAGAAAGCTGGCCAGGATCAAGCGGAATGCGTTCAAAAGTCATTGCCGGACAAATGGCGGGGCGTTCATACAATTGGACACACCCATTGATTCATGATTGAAAATACATTCGTTATAAAGTATATATTGAGGCTTCCGAAACAAACCGCGGGGAATCTATGGTGCCAGAAAGAAGCCAAGTAATTACCACCAAGCCTTACGAAAGAGCTACATACAAAGTCGAGCGTACACTTGCAGAGTTTTCTACAAGAAAAGTAAGGCAAGTAGAGGCGCGGCCATCGCAGCGACCTCCGGGCGCAACGGGACAGCGGGGTTGCTGCTCTTCGAAGGAGATGAGGCAGTGCCGCTGCCCGTGGGGGAGGAAGTGGCAGGAACAGTAGAGCCGCCAGTGTTGGTACCAGGCGTGTTGATGTCAGAGTCAGCAAGAGGCGTGACGGCGAGGCCAGTGATCTCCGTCTTGCCGTCAACGCCGTAGACCTTGTACTTAACAGCCCAGTCGGAAATGGAAATGATCTTGCCGGAGGGTTTGTTCTTGATACCGTTGTCGATCATCTCCTGACCTCCGGGCGGGACGGCCGGCAAGGTGAAGTTGTTGTTAAAACCCTTCTCCTTAATCAGGGACGAAGCGCACTTGGGAGGCGCGGGGGAGTTGCTAGGCGCCTTCTGGGCCTGGAGGGTCTTGAAGTCGATCTTGTTGTACTGGGTCGCGAGGTTCTGGTAGTCGATCAGAAGGGTGAGGGACTTGTCGTTGTTCACCTTGACAAGGCCGAAGTTGTTGTCCTCCTGGCTGTACTCGTAAACGAGACCGCCCGAAAAGACGTCCTTCATGTCGGGGCCATAGATGGCGCCAACCTCGGTGAAAATACGAGGGGTGACCTGGTTGCAGCCATACTCGGAGAAGAAGACGGGAACGGATGTATCCTTCAGATCCGAGACGAGCTGGTCGTAGGTGGACTTCTTGAAGTCAGAGTCGCCGCACCACGAATAAGAGTTGAGGCCGAAGAGGTCAATACGACTGGGGTCCTTAGCATCGCCGTTCTCGGCACACTGCAGGTAGTTCCAGGAGTCGACGAGGATTTCGCGGACGTCGGCGGCCGAGTAACCGACGGGAATGGGGCGGTCGGCGTGCTTGGAGACGTAGTTCTTCAAGTCGCGGGTAACAGCGCGCAGGTACTGGGGAACGAACTGAGCCGTCTCGACATTGTTCATGACCTCATTGCCGGAGAAAAATGCCAGGGTGTTGGGATAGTTTTTGAAGGCCTCGACGATGGCGAAAGTGCGGTTCAGGTAGGCAGCGTAATAGCTGGTCCAAGGCTGGAAGCTGGTGATACTCTCACCGACCAGGGGAGAGTTGACGTCGAGGATCATGTACATGCCAGCGGCATTGAAGACGGAAGCGCACGCATCATGGTTCAAGTTAGGATCGAGGTTGTAGACGCGGATGGCGTTGGCGCCGAGGCGCTGCAGCACTGCTGCATCGCGCAAGCAGACATCGCCATCGCTGAGGGGGTCGCGGTTGTGGGTAGGATCGTAACCAGCGCTTCCGCCGATCTGGTAGTCGACACCCACAATCTGAAACTTTTCACCAGCAGCGTTGACGAAGGAATTGCCCTGGACAGTGAGGGGCTTGACGGCTGCAGCCAGAGTCGCACTCAATGCGACGAGAGCAGTTTGGGCCTGTGGGATAGGGACAGGTTGAATTAGCGTTGCACCATCAGATTGACATGGACGCAGAATAATGAGGTGTATAAATGAGGGGGAGGGTCGGCACAACGAGGCGCCGCCATCGCAGTATTCAGATGATGGGGCTAGCTCCCCACACGGGACAGTAGGAACTTGGCATGTCCCTCACGGCCTGATCGTCGCCGCGATTGATTCCTGCAATCATCGAACCGGTGGGTTGAACCAGTGGGACCAATGGGAACCATTGATGGAGAAGATGAATAGCTCTGGTACTCACAAGCATAGTTGCTAGATGCACAGGTCTTTGTCTGGACCTGTGATCTCGATTTGTGGGGTGTCAAGAGGAAGTCTTAGACGTGAAGCGGGAGAGTAGTTGGCGAAGGTGGTGTCGTTCGCTAGCCGTGATATAAATGGGGGAACGTGAGAGACACAAGAGAGCGACGAGAAAAGGTAGGTGGGTATTGAGGGGGGCCAAACAGGCAAGAGAAGAATCCGAAACTGAAGGGGCCCAGGAGAGAAACAATTCTCTTCGAGGGTTGGTTGGAGTGAGTGAGTACCGAGAAACAAAGAGGGAGCCAAGACGTAGAGAGGATTGACAGATAGGGCGGGCGGACCGGGATGTCGATTTTGACGTGTGCCGGGCTAGTGTTACAGAGAGAAGGAACAAAGCAGCAGCAATAGGTTCTGGGGGAAGAGAAACCCGATAATCCCAGGAACGGTGTAGACGTTGAAAGTAGGGGAAGAGAGGAGGCAAGAGCGATAACACGGTTGAGATATAAGAGAGGAAGAGGAAGGGGAAGGCGGCAACCAGAATACACCGGCCGAACGGTGGCATGTAAATTAAAAATGGGAAAGGCACCACGACTCCCGCCTTCTGGATACGATGCTCAGCGGTTTTGTCTCATCTCGGCTTAGCGTCACACAGGCATCTTCACCAGCCCATCTTAGCTACCTATTCATACAAATGAACACTAACCGTACCGAATACCCACCACCCGCGAAGTTCATTCGCCCCTCGATCATCTCAACTCTCCCCCCCCCTCCTTCTGTAAGTTGAATTGGGTTCCATCTCGCAGTCCGGCTCCTGTATCAGACCGTCATCGCGGCTTTGTCCAGATAACTACCGGCACCTTAGACTTCTTTCCCGCTTGTTGACCCTCCCCTCCAGAAACACGCAAGCACACACGCATACACAACACACTTACACAACACAGACACACACACGCTAGATGCCGCACACAGCCTCTCGGCATCTTAATTCCTGAAGCAAGACATCTCACACAGTTGCAGGGCTGGGGAGCGTCACAGACGGGAGGGGCCCTCTTCATTGTCCACTCTCCCCAGCCAAGTGTCCTAAACGCGAGCGAAGCGAAAATGAGAAGACAAGACGGGAGGTTCGGGCAACATAACGGCCTGGGCGCAGCACATGTGGAACAGACCCCGAGGGAATGAGCGAGTGAGTGCAACGGCGCTGACTACGACTGCAGTGGCACATCTCCAAAGCTTGGCTTCTTTGATTGGATTCCCGCTCTGGGCCAATCTCACTGGCTACGCTGGAGGTGATCTCGTTTATCTGCAGGGTCGTCCGGGGTCCATTAACACACTACAGGGTCCCTCTGAAATCATCCTCTTGAAGCCCTCCTCTTCCAAACAGACGACATACGGCCAAGAGACACTGTTCTATACACAACCTCTCTAATTAAGGATGCAACATCTGGAAACTCCAAGGCAACGGCTTTCGATTTTGGAATAGAACCCAGTCCTTTCCCGAAACGTTGTGAGACACCATGGTCAGGCTTTTGACGACAATGCGCTCCGTTACCAAACTGGATAGGCTGAGACCGGGGGGTGGTGGATTCATTGAACGTCGGACGGCGAACCCGGAACCTAGTCTAGCTTCTACCCACCCGCCGCAAGGGGACGAGTAAGAGGAGAAGGGAGGGAATCATCCGCCGTTCTCACTTCACAACGGTGTCATCTCGAAGCCTCGCCACTAGGATCCTGCCGGCAGAACCTTCCTTGCCAACAGTCAAAATGGTCTCGACGCTGGGACAAACCATCGACTCTGGAATTCTGCCCTCTCTGTGTGTCGTGACTGGACTCCTCGGAACCGTGATGCGAACCATTTTGGCTGATTCTACCTCTGTCAGGCTTCTAATAGCTTGCTCCTTTGTCCGTCGCACTATTAAACAAGCGAGCCTGACAGCAGCCCAAACTGGCATGGGATGTTGTCGATTGACTTGACACAATGGGGCCAAGCGTGTAGAGCAGTACCCAGTCAGGAAGAAGAAGAAGACGACGATTCGTAAATGGGTTTCCCATGGTCCGTCCTTTTTTTTTTTTTTCTTCTTCTTTTTTTCCCAGTTATTCATTTTTCAATGCTTTCTTGCGCTAAACTACAAATCCGCGCTGCCATACGTGGTCTACGTCGCTGCGTGTCGTTCCTGCGTGCCGATCGACCGTTTTGGTTGAACGAGGGGAAACGTCGCTTTTTCTCTTCCTCTTTTTTTTGCATTTGAGACTACCTAGCACCTAGGTATCGACTCTCCTCCCCTTCTTTGGTCTCCGTCCCCTGCAAGGTCCCAATTTTAACACTGAAGCCGCATTCCTCTGCGTTCACTTCTATCTCGTGACTGACTTTTCCCGGCGGGGTCTAAAAGATTGCACTGGCCATCAATCACACCGTATTTCGGCTGGATGACAGGGTATTGGCTCTTGAATTTTATTGTCCGCAATTGCTTGATTGCGATAGACTAGTGTCCCCTAGCTTGCCCCCATAAGTATAACTTTCCTTTACGGAGTACAGATCGACCAACGGTCTTCTAAGTTCTCCCCAGCTCGTCTTGGCGGCTACACGGGAGGGAGACATTTCCCTCCTCTACGGGCCGGTTGACACGGCCCCGTCCGGCATCTTGCTTCCGTGCCATCATCGGCTCCGAAGGCGCACCTATTGTGTTCACGTCAAACGCATTGTCGCGATCTCTGTATCCCGTCCTGTCCGTCTAGCTTCTATCCAAGAGCCAATATAATAACCGCAGCTCGGTTGCCGACTAGCAAATCTTGGCTTAAACTGGTTTCTACATTTTGGCAAGAAGAGCACCGTTGCATTGTCGGGCCGGTCAAACGGTTGCTGCACCGAGAGTCTCGCTCATTGCCGAATCCGAGCACAGCCCCTTTCGTAACCGTGATTGGTTAAGGTTCTACATCGCCAAAGCTGATCTACGAGCTACTATCAGTCGAAAAGCACGCCTAAACGGATACCCTTGTGGAGATTGCTGGAACAATGTGTTCTCGGACCAACAGCCTCAGAAAACCAACTCATCACAATCATGTAGCCGTTGTTAGATCTGGGGTCGCTGGCTTGGCCACATTCCCATGGTTGCGTACCTCCGGCCCTCTCCAACCCATGAGGTGCCATCTCAGGTGGCTATTCAATTGCCGCATTCCGGACACTGGCTCACACTACCAGCCCTGTCTGCATTCCACGTCGCACTTCAGCCACTAACAGACTTCAATCAGCAGCAACCGTCGCTCTCCCCCGCCAAGTCTCCGCCTAGTCGGGTCCAAGCATGGTTTGGTTTATTGTTCTGTGTGTGAGTGTTCTTCCTGTGGATGTGCCGTCACTGCCGCCGTTACTCTCTGCCAGAGTCGCATGGGATATTACCTGGTTGCCGTGTTCCGGAGTCAGCGCCCCCCACCACCCCCCCGAATAACTTCACTTGGGCCTCACACCACGCTTAAGTTATGATTATTAATCGTGCTGCCAAGGCCTACAAGCCTTCCCTATGGTGACCGTCCGTGGATTGCTCTGTGCCTTGGCCACTCCTTCACCATATTATCACTCCGCGTTTTCGAGCGGGCGCTCGCTTCGCGCTGGTGGACATGACGCCGTCGGCGAAGGCTAGTTTACCACAAGAAACATCCATACGATGAACCTTTGTCTGTACATCGTGCCAGGCCTCCAGAGACCACGTAATCTTCATGAAGTATGCGATAATATGTGATGATATATCGACGAAATGGATGCATCAGAGTTCGTTTTGCACAGTCAAGTCGTTCCAGGAACGATGGAACTTGAACCACGTATTAGGCCTGTGGTAGCTACAGAGTACTTTTTAACCTTCTCTCTTAGGGGTGATTCTTATTTTCTCTTTTGTCTTGCTGAGATCTTACATACTCCAGCTTGGCTGGATCGCAGGCAGCAGACGAGCCACATATGGGTGCGGCCAGTACGCAACGATCATATAGGCATAGTATCAACATATCTTGCAGATATACATGGATCGTTCGTGTCTTTACGATGGAAGACTGCCAATTCAGGGGTTGATATAGGATAGCCAGAAAACAAGAGGCCAACTCACGCGCAACCCGACCTTCAATTTCTCGGACACATCTTTGATCGCCATCCTAGTTAACTTCGAGGCAGAGGCCCAGTCAGACGAAGCTATCGGCAGGGTTAAGCGGCTAGGTTGATTTCAGCACAGCATCCTCCAAGACTAGCGTTCATCGGCTTATAGCCGTGATTATCCTGGTGAACTTGAGTCTTGTATATTGCATTGCATTGTATAAGTGTTGAATTCGTTGTCGGTATTCATCCTGATATTCACTGGTGTGGCAAGGTTAGTCTAGCTCACCGCTGTGCCATAGCTGCCCATTCCAAAGAACTGACGGAAGCGTGTGAGAAGAACACGACGAATAGGAGTAAATTGATGGAGCCAGCCCGTTTTCCTAACTATGGTTCCTTTCCGCTAGTCGGGAAGGCTCGCATGGGCACAAGAAATCAGCAGGCATTGCCAGAGTAGAGAAGACCTGAAACTGTTGCTTTGCTCCAAAGCTATTACAGAAAACATCACCTACATACAAAGAGGGGGGTTACTTACCACTAGATAGATCAATAGGCACTGGCAAACATCAAAGGCGCATAGATCATCCTAACTGAAAGCAGGTTGCGTAAGCCCCCTTTGATCATATACATCAGGTCAAGCTTGATGACAGAACAAACGTTAACAAGTTTAGAAACCGTTCAATTCTCTCTACAATTCTCGTGGCTGCTGCCATCTGAGCTGTCACAAATCATCAGGCGTTCGTGCTTGGGCACTTGGACAGCACAGCAAAGCCTTCGATCTGAGTATATCCTGACAGTGTCAATAGCCCTGTACTTCCAGAACGGCTGACAGGCATATACCATGGATTGGATTACCTGTCGACTGGACAGGCGTCAGTGTTCGCTATTGTCTTGTTGTTGGTGTTCGTTGGCAGGGAAGCTTCCAGGGGCGGACGGCGGCGATCATCTAGCGGCTGTTTGATCATCTGTCTATCAAATGTGACGCAGTGGTAAGTACTGATAGTTACGAGGTACGTCAGGTACACAGCACAAATATCGCAGTATCAAACACAGATATTGAAACTCCGGCCAAGATCACATTACAGAGCGTCTAATTATTTGCTCATCTGATCGTCGACCATGCCCTCCATACATACGATACAAGGACCCGGCCCTCGACCCTCCTGTCAAGAGCATTGTGCACCAGCCGTCATAAACACCGTTAACTTGCAAGCGTACAAGAAAGTGGGCAAGATGCCGTCTCAAGCACTAGGCAAAACTTCCTTTCGTCTAACCCATGATACCCGACCAGCTTCCCCGCGTCCACTGCAGATTTCATTCCATTTAAACAGTTTAACCCCTGAACTCCTCAGCACCGCTGGCCTCCCACCTGCCGGGGACGAGAGCCAGAGGCACAATGCCAGAGACGTGCATCTCTGGGCCGAAGATCTTGGCGTTCAGACCAAGTTCTTGAGTGGCGGCCTTCATGTTCTTGAGACCCTCCTGGTAGTTAGGGCCGGCACGACGGACCCAGATCTGAACTTTGTGCTCGTTAAGCTGCGAGGCGTAGTCGCGAAGGGCGCGAATGACACCCTTGAATGTGCTAGCAACGTTGGTGAAGTTGGCAATACCACCACCGATGAACAGAACCTTGCCCGCGTCGCTCATGGGAGCGCGGAGCATGAGGTCGAGCACGGTGCGGGCGTAGTGGTAGGTCTGGGACTCAGTGGGAGCACCAGAGTACTCTCCGTAGTTGGCGAGCTCGTCCGCGAAGCCAGCGGAGGCAATAGCATCAGCGTAGACGACGGAAGCACCGCCACCGGCAACCAGAGTCCAGATACGGCCGTTGGGGTTGAGGACGGTGAGCTTGAGAGAGGCACCGGTCTTCGCGTCAAGGTCGGCAATGTAAGCCTCCTCCTTAGTGAGCTCACGACCGAAGGGAGCGGGGAACTCCATCGGCGGGCCAGCGTCAATGTTCACCTTCTCACCATTGGAAGACGCAACGTTGGTCAGACCAAGAGCGGCGGGAGAGCGAGCGATGGCCCACTTGACACCACACTCGAAGTCGGCAGTCTGGTCAAGCTTGGCAGCAAGATCCAGGAAGTGCACGGAGGCGGAGGTGGCGTCCTCGTTGGGGATAACAACGAGGGGGTTGATCTCAAGGTAGGTGAACTGACACTCAACGTAGACGGCGTACAGCCGGCTGATGAAGTCAACCAGAACATTGTGAACACCCTTGGGGACCTTCTTCAACAGAGTCGCGGCGATCTCGTCGTTGGAAGGGTATTGTGAGAGGTCAACGGGGATCAAGAGCTTCTCGGCCTTGGCATCGACATCACCGACATCAACACCACCCTCGTGGGTGAAGAGAATCCAGTCGCCCTGTCGTTTTGCACGATTAGCATCGATGTTTCTTAAATCAGATTGGGATGCCATGCAAATGGTTGCCGCGTGCATATGGGGCTTTTGAAAGGGGCATGGGTGGACGGGCCACTGGCCGCGTTTCGTGGCATCCGTTCGTCCGGCTCGGGAGAACATTACCGGAAGAGGCAGTCCAGTGACCGGAATCCACTTATTTGACCCATTGATAGGGAATGCCATAAAGCATGAGCATTCCTTCCAAGGTTGCCAAATGAAGTGTTTCCTGATTTTCTCACTTTCAACCGCCAAAGAGTCTCACTTTGCAGTGTGCAGTGTGCTTGAACATTCACACGACTCATTGATGGACTGCCTCCCCGCCATCTACCCAGACAACGAATGAAGCAACGAGAATCCGCCATAGGCTGCGGGCGATCAAGACGAAAGTTTGGGGAGACTAGCGGCAACTTACATCTCTGACGGACATGATGTTGATGTAGTACTCGGTGTCTTGGGGGTGAGGAACGAAGGGCTCGACGAGGAACTGGCGCAGAACACCGTTCACGGTCTCGACCTTGACCTCCTTGCCAGCACGCTCGGCGATCCAGGCGCGAGCCTCAGCCCAGGTCTTGTTGAGGGCCAGAAGACCGCTCTTGCCACGGCGCTTGATCAATTGATCGGGCTTGGCAACAAACTTAACGCCTGGCTGGAGAACCCAGGGGTAGGTAACCTCGGCCTGGTTGAGGACATCCTCAACGTTGGCATCCTCAGGGAAGTGCAGCGAGCACAGCCTGGGGGGAGGGTTGTGCTTGGTGGGAACGGGGAGGGGAGTGGGCTTGATGACAGGAGCGCGGGTGAGGTGGTAGTTGAGGATGGCCTTGCCGTCTGCCTCGAGGATGGACTTGGCGGACATTCTGGCGGTGTTCAGGTAAGAAAGTGGTGAGTTTTCTTTGGTGATCCTTTTGCTTTACTTGGTTGGGCCTGGATTGGGGGGATGAAGATGTCAGCAAATGGCTTTGGGAAAACAATGCGAGTTTGTGTGGCTGCCGGAAACGAGAGGGGATTGCTGCCGTCAGCAAGAGTTATCGAAGCTGAGCTGAGGCATGAGCTTTGAGGGGAGCAAGTGTCACCCGCAAGCGGAACACACACGATGTGCTAGAGTCGAGCTTGGGGCTGGGAGAGGGGCCCCAGCTGGCAAGGACGGGGGGCACGACACTCGAGTTTGGGCAGCGAGCAAGCAAGCAGCAAACTGGGAGGAAGGACGACGACATACCGAGAGAAGGCGATGGAGCAGCCAGGCAACGAAGTCGAAGTCTGGGGACGAGGTTGATGAGGATCCTGAAATCAAGTGAATGTCAGGAATCGGAGTCGAGTCGAGGTCGGAGTCGGGAGTCAAAGTCGAGCGGTGAGAGAGGGAAGAAAGAAGCGGCGACGTTGGAAGAGAAGTATGGATTGAGGGGAGGAACTAGAGTGGGAAGAGCGAGCTTGTGGGAGGGAGAAGATCGTCAGCCTTTCACAAAATTTTGGACCGTCGAAGCTCCCAGGGATTATTTGTTGCTGGGAGAGCAAGGAGGGGGACTGGGAGTGCTTGGTGAGTTGGGAGAGGGGGGGGGGGGGGGGGGGGTGCGGTCCGAAGGGGAAATGGAGGGGGGGAAGGACGTGAGGTACACCGTGGGGCAGCGAAGCGCGCCCAGGTACCGACTGGGGGTGTGGGTGCTAAGAAACCGGTGGATTCACTTTGAGGGAGCTAAGGGACCACGCCAAAAAGTTTTGGGGCGTGTGTATGTGTGAGAGTGGAAGAGAGACAGACGGTACATGCAGGAAGGCGGCCTGTGGGAATCCCAAAGCTCTTGCCCCTGCTTTCCGTTTTTCTGGAGGGGGGAGGGGTTTGGATTTTTGGGGATGGGGGGTAGGTTGGGCGAAATGAAACGACCACCAAGGAAAACGAAAAAGCAAAAGAAAAACACAGGGCAATTGGGAAGAGTTGGGAAAGGAAAGGGATAGGCAAGTGCCTATACCTGTGCCACTTACCTGTTCTCTTTTGTCTTGATTTCTGAGCTGCACCTCGGCGAAGTTATCGCGTGAGATTGGAATTAGAAGGAATGGCGGAGGGGGGCAAGCCAGCAACGGATGGCAAGAGGGGAAAAAATTGTCTGGCGGGAAAGAGACAGGCACTGGTTGTTGAGAGGTTTAAGTGGACCTGGTTCCTTTTTCAAAGTCACTCACTCGACTCACTCTTTCTGGGGGAGGGCGAGACTTGAAGAAATGGGCAGATACACACACAGTCTCCTTTTTTTTTTTTTTTTTTTTTAAGTATGGATTTCCCCTGGGCGACGCCATTTTGGCGGCCAGCAAAGTGTTGGACTAGGGTGTCGTATTTTGTTCTCCATCCTCCTCTTCGGATCTCTTGTCCGCCGGAAACCGCGCCCTCCGACCGACCAACCTCGACCTACCTGGGGCACGTTGGCATCCAAGGCTAGGTGAGGAGAGACTCTTGGGCAGAGCAACCGAACGGAAGCCGCTGCGATGTAGAAAAGATGGAGCTTGCGGGCATTGCGGGTTTGGTTCGGTGCCATGCTGTGCGGTAGCGGTAAATGCGACTATCGCTGCCGCCGTGCACCGCAATCGCTCCAATCCCCTCTGCTTCCAGATGATTCCTTACCTTAATCTCCGTGGGTTGGGTCTGTTCCTCTTCCTTGTCCGAGTGGAATCACGCAGGCGACGGGTCAGTCACACAGGTGCTCCTGGAACCATTGCTTTTGCGCCGGCGGCGCGTCTAACGCGGGGGGACAGGTTTCCGGTGATCCAAGTCCGTCCGGGTTCAAGAGTCGCGGGATGACTTGGACTTCGGACGTTTCTCAATCTTGTCGTGGGACAACGGACGGTGTGCCGGATGTCAGATCCCAATTGGTACCAGTCAAGGAACCGGGCATTGACTGGCGCTTAGCCATGGCGCTGGAAATGGGAATTGGGACGGTCAAAAGCACAGTCATCATCAATCTCAAGTGAGACGTTGAACTGCAGTCAGACGGGACTGCGACCCTTTACTGCACATGGCGATTGGATGGGGGCGGGGATTTCTTCACTCCGAAAAACGAAGAGGCATGGGTAAATGAAGCGCATCCCGGACGAACAGGGTCTTGAAGCCTCACTCTCGTATGCCATGCCACTCTCAAGTAGACACGGCAAGCCGTGGAGGAGCTGTCCACGATGCGCGCTCCGTGTGAAGGTGCGAGTGAGGGTGTGGTGGCCCATCGGGATCCCTCAAGCGAGGAGCGCAATGCCCGGTGGTCGGCGGAGTGATGATTGGGGAGGCCCGAAAACCGGCGGAGGTGGGATGCGGCAAGCCGGGTTTCGGGGTATGCGAGAGCATGGGTGACGATATGCCCGTCGACTCTACCATGTCCGCGAGCCCTCGGGACTCAGGCCTCATCTCGGCCGTCGTTTGTTTCGGCCGTTGTTGCTTCGCTGCGCGCTTCGCAGTTGGACTTATCGTCGCATTGCTGCGCCGCCTCTTCTCTCTTTCTCGCTATGCTGTATTTTCGATCTCGGGAGCGCGTATCGATCTCGCTTTCCTTGACGCATCATTTTAAGTGGCTGCCAGCCTAAGCTCCTCACTCAGACACACACGCACACATGACACACACGCACACATGACACACACACATTACACGCATGCGCATACAACCCATACGCCCAAAATACCTCGCTAACTGACTGATGGATGCGGTGCTGTACGGGGAAGGAGGCTATTCAAGTGACCGCCTCGCCCCCCGCCCAAGACAGCTAGCTGGTACGATGGATTGGCGTCGGGCGGGTGTCGAGAATGGTTACTGTGTCGGTGACCTGGCTGAGCGGCAAAGCTGGCGCGGCGATCCTCCCTTAACAATCCAGTCCGAGGCCATTGGGCTGGATCAGAGACCAGAGATGCGGTCAAACAGAAAGGTTGCGGTCGTCGGCTGGCGTGCCGTGTGTACTGCAGGCAGTACCATGCTGCAAGCGCAGGTCGGGTTGCGTTGCGACGAAGCTAAAGGGCGGTCTAAGGTTAGCCATGGCTGGCCTGGCACGCGCCTCCTCCCGACTATTGTTGCGGTCAAGCGCCAGCCAGCGCGGGTTGATCTCAACTTGGACTGGTCGGGGTGGAGAGCAACACCCGAACACTGCGGTACCCGTCGTCTCTCTGCGATTCGACGGCAGTCCTCGATAGAGTTGGGTGTAAAGTCGCCGGTGCCATTCAAGGACTGGCTTATGGATTTGTGGGAGATGGAGCTTGCTTTCGCCTGACCCTATCTCGCCGTACCCGTGCACTACCCAACCGGTAGGTAGGTGCATTACCTGATTGAGAGGGAGAGGTGAGACGGGAGGTAGTGTAGGGCTCGTGCAGGTACGCAGCCCACACGGGTACAGGCACCATTGCGGACAGACCGGACACCGGTCCATGCCTATTGCAGATAGGTATAAGGAGCTCTATGCCTACCTACCCTGATCCTCCCATGGCCCATGCCCCATGCTTCCCCTCTGTTCAGTGCTGAGTTGCTACTGTACACTCGAGCTGGTCCAGGGCCTGAGCTTAAGTCCAACATTGAATCAGGCACTTGGGGGCGCCTTGCAAAGTACTACCGGGCTCCCTGTGCAAGTCTGTCTCGGTGCCCGGTCCGAGTCCAACATGCGGGTGGGTGCGAATCGCCGATATGTATCCGTACAGAGTACGAACACAGGCACCGGGTACGTGACGGTCCGCCAGAAAACAAGCGGGGCAAGTCCAAGGGTCCAGCACCCTCCCGGTACCTTGTCATATTGCTGCCGCTTGTTTGTTCGCTTTTGCTGCTCTGCCATGGCAGCCCCGGTCGCCCATCGCCCATCGCACCTCCCTTTTCCATTGACTTTCCTCTCCCCTGCCCTCTGAACATTCAACACTTCAACGAAAACACGGCCAATCACAGCTCCCCATTGGGCCCGAACTTCCCCAACTCTTTCGGCCGCCGCATGACGGAAGTCTCCATTCCCCATCCCCCTCCATTCCCACACCACCCAAAAGTCTCACTTGCACAAAAAAAAAAAAAAAAGGATTCCTGCCCGCCATTTCTTCGTGCGGGTAAGGTAGGCGGCGAGTGTGCTAGGTACTGCGCCGCCAGAAACCCACCGGTCTTTGTACCTGACCTGTCGCAGCGCCGACCCGACGCTACTAAGGTACCTACACCTACAGATCGCCCGTACCGTCGGATCCCCGGCCCTCGCCTACCACCAAACCGCACTACACAATCACCACTACCACCACCACCACCCGCCACTAATACCACAAGCAGCATACTGCCAGGTGTGTCTTGTCTGTCGGTGTCTGTCGTCGGTCCGCCAATTCTGCCCGCCCTATTCCTCCCGCTGCAAGGCATTGTCTGGCATTGTTGGCGACCAGACATTCTTGGCGATTGAGATTGGGATTGGGCCTTTTTTTCGGCGTGGAATTGGACGACGCAGCAGTGGTGCTTGGGCCAAGTCTCGACTCTCGCTCGACCTACTCCGTGACTCCGGCTCTAATTTGACTTTTGCTGTCACTTCTATCCTCCCTCGGACACTTGGGACACCAACAATATCATCCCTGCTCACCATCACCTCACAGAAACCGGGCACTCTCTGACTCTCTCACATACGCCGACGCACCAAGTACCGCACACCGTTCGTTCCCACTGTCTATTCTCCTCCCCCTTCCTCGCTCCCTTGTTCATTGCGACTGAAGAGGAAAGAAAAGAAGAAGAAAGCAACCAGAGAGAGAGAGAGAAAGATACCTTTCCCGTCCCACACCCCCCCTCCTGGCGGCGCTCCTCAACTACTTACTACTACGTCGAACTCCATTCTTCTTCTCCTCCGATCCTCGCACCCTCGACTCTCTTTTTCTTCCCTTCCTCCTTCTTTTCCTCCTCTTGCCAGCTTGCCTTCCTCCATCCTCACGAACGAAACCTTTCGTCAGGTCGACAATAGTCAGACGAAAGTTGGACTTTGCCGTTGTCCGTTGCTGCTCCCAGTCCTTCCCCCCAGAAACAGCAATAACGCTGCCAGGTCAGTAGTAGTCAGATGTCGTTCTCCGAATCCCACCCACCACCACACCACACACCCCGGTCATGTCAATCCTGCCCCTCCAACGCCTCGATCCGAACGTAATCCGCACATACCACGTCTCACTTCCACACCCGCCTGCATGTCCAAGAAAAAAAGTATCCTTAAGGAGCTGGGGCTACGCCAGCTACACGGTCCACTTAATGTCTGGTGGTGTCCCCAGCTGCCGATGAGCAGTAGCCTCGCAGATCCAACGATTTCAGCTTCCTGCGAACGTCGTCCTCCGAGTCCCTCCTGAAATCTCACCTCCTCCCCACCACAATTCCGACTCAGTCTGTTTTACACTAAACTTCCTCCTATTCCCCCTCCACCTTTAACCTCTCCATCCTCACTTGGACACTTTCCTCCTCTTCGCGGGCAGACATCTATTCTGTTGCTTCTGGCGTCTTCATTGTCTGCTTCGACAAGCTTGCTGACCTTGTTTCCCCTCGCCAGACTTTTCTTCTTCCCTTGTTGAGATCTTCCTCACCGACGAAGCTCGACTTTCTTCACAATGCCTTCGGCCACCACCCCCGCTAACGGCGCCAAGGCAGCCAGCGGCCTGTCTGCCAACGACAACATCACACGCTTCACTGCTCCCAGCCGTCCTTTGAGCCCCCTCCCTGAACATGCCCTGTTCAACGACAAGACCAGATGCTTCGTCTACGGTCTGCAGCCCCGTGCCGTCCAGGGCATGCTGGACTTTGACTTCATCTGCAAGCGCAAGACCCCCTCTGTCGCCGGCATCATCTACACCTTCGGTGGTCAGTTCGTCAGCAAGATGTACTGGGGAACTAGCGAGACTCTCCTCCCCGTCTACCAAGAGGTCCCCAAGGCCATGGCCAAGCACCCCGACGTCGACGTCGTCGTCAACTTCGCCTCTTCCCGAAGTGTCTACTCCTCCACCATGGAGCTGATGGAGTTCCCCCAGATCAAGACCATCGCCATCATTGCCGAGGGTGTCCCCGAGCGCGTAAGTCCTGCCCGCTGCCCCCTCGCTCGTCCGAGCGGTCCACTGACAGACTATTTAGCGTGCTCGTGAGATCGCCCACAAGGCCCAGCAGAAGGGCATCACCATCATTGGCCCTGCCACTGTCGGTGGCATCAAGCCTGGCTGCTTCAAGATCGGTAACACTGGTGGTATGATGGACAACATTGTTGCCTCCAAGCTCTACCGCAAGGGTTCGGTCGGCTACGTCTCCAAGTCTGGAGGCATGTCCAACGAACTCAACAACATCATCGCCAACAACACCGACGGTGTCTACGAGGGTGTTGCCATTGGCGGTGACAGATACCCCGGAACCACCTTCATCGACCACTTGCTCAGGTACCAGGCCGACCCCGACTGCAAGATCCTTGTCTTGCTCGGTGAAGTTGGTGGTGTTGAGGAGTACAAGGTCATCAAGGCCGTCGAGGACGGCGTCATCACCAAGCCCATCGTTGCCTGGGCCATTGGTACCTGTGCCAGCATGTTCAAGACTGAGGTTCAGTTCGGCCACGCCGGTGCTTTCGCCAACTCCACCCTGGAGACGGCCAAGACCAAGAACGAGAAGATGAAGGAGGCTGGCTTCTACGTCCCCGAGACTTTCGAGGACATGCCCCAGGTCCTTAAGGCTCTCTACGACAGCCTGGTCAAGAACGGCACCATCAAGCCCCAGCCCGAGCCTGTTGTTCCCAAGATCCCCATTGACTACTCGTGGGCCCAGGAGCTTGGTCTCATTCGTAAGCCCGCTGCCTTCATCTCCACCATCTCCGACGACCGTGGCCAGGAACTCCTGTACGCTGGCATGCCCATCTCGGACGTTTTCAAGGAAGAGATTGGAATTGGCGGTGTCATGTCCCTCCTGTGGTTCCGTCGCCGCCTCCCCCCTTACGCCTCCAAGTTTCTTGAGATGGTTCTCATGCTCACTGCCGACCACGGTCCTGCCGTGTCCGGTGCCATGAACACCATCATCACGACCCGTGCCGGCAAGGACCTCATTTCCTCGCTCGTTGCTGGTCTGTTGACCATCGGTTCCCGCTTTGGTGGTGCCCTTGACGGCGCCGCTGAGGAGTTCACCAAGGCCTTTGACAAGGGCCTGAGCCCCCGTGAGTTCGTCGATAACATGCGCAAGGCGAACAAGCTCATCCCCGGTATTGGTCACCGCGTCAAATCCCGCAACAACCCCGATCTCCGTGTCGAGCTTGTCAAGGAGTACGTCAAGGCCAAGTTCCCCTCTCACAAGCTGCTCGACTACGCCCTGGCCGTCGAGACTGTCACCACCTCGAAGAAGGACAACCTCATTCTCAACGTCGATGGCTGCATCGCTGTCTGCTTCATCGACCTCATGCGCAACTGCGGCGCTTTCTCCTCCGAAGAGGCCGAGGACTACCTCAAGATGGGTGTCCTCAACGGCCTGTTCGTTCTCGGTCGTTCCATCGGTCTCATTGCCCACTACCTCGACCAGAAGAGACTGCGCACTGGTCTGTACCGTCACCCATGGGATGACATTACCTACATCCTTCCCCAGCTCGGCTCCGGCCCGCCAGGCGCCGAGGGCAGAGTGGAGGTTCAGATGTAAAGGGTTAAGGGTTAGCGGCGGAAGGTTAAGGGTTGTCACGGGATGTGGCTATAGAAATGGAGTAAATGATTTTAACGTCATGCGAGGGATGATGGTGTGCTAAATGGCGTCTTGTACGACAAGCTATATACGTGTAGTGCTGCGTAGTCCCTCCGGGATATACTAATGGTTTTGCCCGTTTATTGTTCCAAAACTGTCAGGGATGTCACGAATGATGCCTTGTCTTGGCTATGCGGCAGTTTTTTATGGACAATTGCACAGGCGCCTGCCATTTGCATAGCAGAGACACCAACGGCGTCTGCGCTTGTTAGCCGCCACTGTTTCCCCCGATGATTTGAATCAGACCTGAAGTGAAAAAGCAAACAGGAAATATCCGAGCTCCTACGATGTCATTGGGTTCTGCGACCCGTGCGCAAGATAAACCACGTCTCCTAACAGTGCCAAGAAGAGAATTTCAACATTAGAAATGTGCAATCAGCAGTGTGAGGAGGACAGGGAAGCACATCCTCTTGTCATGGCCATAGCCAAGTCTTCCAAACATAGCTATCAGGCCAGCATGTAACGGTGTGTGGAGCTCACCTTCCCGGTCCCTCGCAAGGGAGCAAAACTGCGGATGAACTCGCAGGCAATGATGGGCTTCTTCCGGGGGGGGGGGGGGGGGAGGGGGCTCTGACTCCACAGTTTTGGATTGAAGCTGCTTGTTGTGACAGCAAAGAGGCCCAGTCCAACTACGAGATGCCAGTTTAATAGTGGATGAAATACTGCAAGCTCCAAGGTGTCTATTAGTTGGAAACTCGACTACATAGCAATACAGTGCTCTTGAAACTGTCCAGCCCATCAGTTTTGTACTTCAAACTCCAGCGTTTGACCTAAGGTGCTGTCTTGATGCCAGACTATTGAACGCTCCTTAGAAGGACTAGGGAATAGCGAGCTGCTGAAATATACGAGTTTCTTTCATCTATGAATGATTGCGGCGTAGAATGGCTTTGGGTTTGGCCTCTGCACTCCCAGGGCTGCGATACACGCTCAAGGCGTGTATAAGGAGCCATTCTCCACGAGGCCGTTAGCCACAGGCCTCAATGAGCTCGTGGGTCACAAGCCCCTTCGTTCCAAACCGGCAAAATCCCTCAGAGCTTGTAAGTTTATTCGTCTTCCAAAGGCCATAGTGCATGTGGATGACACAGACCTCTGGAGAGAATGCTTCGACCATTGTAGAGAGATAGATCTCTAAGCTTCTTTTTTTTTGTTTTTTTTTGTGGGGGACGGCATATATAATCGAGCCGGTTTCGGGGAAACTTCAAAAGACTGGTCGATATCTTCGTAACCCTCATGTATCTCCACCTGTGAAAACCCTGGAGACTCCATCGGTATGTTGTGGTATAACTGCACCCAAACGTTGGCGTAAAAAAATAAAAATCATACATATATAATAGCATCGGCCTCATCTCTTTCCGCTCCTGCCTTTGTCTTTAGGCGACCCATCCAATTAGTGGCGTATCGTTATACTAGTAATGATTCTCTCCAGAATTTCACAACACACACACTGAGACCAGGGTATAATACAAACATTATCGTCAGTCAGTCTCTGATCAATGCCGAAGCTTTTACAGAGGCGGGTCTATACAATGCAAGACTCGGTCTACACTTGGTTCTCGTCTGGTTCAACATCTCCGTCATGTTCAGTGATAGTCAGCAATAATGGTGTCATGTGCAAGTAGAGCTGTTGAACAGGGGTTCAATGTTCCACTTCGCAGTGAACTAACGAAGATGACCCTACATGACTGTTCTTTTGCTGGGGAATCCGACGGAAGACGTGGGACCAAGCCCATCGGGTTCGCCAATCACGCGTCCCTGTGATGGATAACAGGCTATCTTAATCTTCTTGTTCCTGTTCGCGCTGTATTCTAATGCCCATGCTTATGCATGGAGCATTACTCGACTTTTCAGACCATGCGGGTCTTGAGAGTCTCCGTGCAAGCCCGGGTAAAATACTCTTTCAAGGGTTGAGCCAACTAAAGCTCCGATTCCAGGCGGCTTATCCAGTCCTACTATTAAATTTGTGTGTATGGTTGGTGAGCATCCGCTACTCGGATGAGGTCGAAGCGAGTAGGTAATTCAGAGCGGAACCCATCCGTCCCTACCTGCCTACATAACATCCGGAACACATCCGGCAACTTCCGCTGTGAACCGCGCACGGGCCATCAAAATCCCAACAGCAACCTGAAGATCATTGAATTTTGGATCCTTTGGATCGCAAGACCTCTTTAGAAGCTATTTGAGAGCAGGTTGGTTCCTTGAAGCCCAATCGTCACGGCATCGCGACACCGACGAACTGAATCTTGGAAGAGACTCAGCTGTATGTTGATTGGATTTGTAAGCTTATTGATTTAGCTGAGCTAACAGCATCCCTTTGTAGAAGCGATCACCAAGTTCCTCGAGACGAAAACCCAACGAACGCGACCGCGGCGCAAACCGATCGCCACGAGCACCTCTCACCTCCGGACAACTCCTCTACCGTCAGACCGCCCCCTAGAGCCGCATCCAAGACGCCTCATCATGTCCTTCTTCCGCATTACCCTCCACCGCTCCGCCATCGGCCTGCCCAAGAGCACCCGCGGCGTCCTCGAGGCCCTCGGCCTGCGCCGCCGCTCCCAGACCGTCTTCCACCCCGTCAGCCCCCAGTTCGCCGGTATGATCCTTAAGGTCAAGGAGCTCGTACGCGTCGAGGAGGTCGACCGCGCCATGACCCAGCCCGAGCTGCGCGAGCTGCGGAGGCCGGACCCCGGGTTCTACGTCGAGAAGGCCGTTGCACGGTGAAGTTTGCCATTAGAGGGCTTTGCGAGGCGAAAGGGGGAGAACAATTCGAAATTGAGAAGGTGGAAACGGACAGAAATGGTGTATGGACACGCATCGGCATTCATATAGGAGAGAGGGGGTTGTCTTTTAGCATTGGAAAGCCCCGTGACGGACTGGGGAGGAAAAGGTCGATTACCTATACCATCACCACGAAAACAAAACTTGTACAAAATCATGGCAGAATGTACGACGGCGTACGCAAGCAAGGCTGTTTGCGCGGAATAAAATAAAAGCTCACTCAACGTCGACGGATTCAAGCCCGTGATAAGCAGTTTTGTCGGCCTTGAGGCCGCTGGTTGTGTTGATAACAGCCTGCCTAGGCGCGGAGCCGCGAAGGATGGCCATGTAAGAGGTGTAAAGAATCGTGACCAACGCCCTCGCCGGTCCCAAGTGGAAATATACCGTGAGGCTGCTCTGTAGAAAAAAAGTTCTGATTATGTATCTATCCCAACCCTTCATACTGGTCAATAGAGCCCGATGCTAACAGGCCGTACAAAAATGAAATGTTGTCCTTCCATGCCCTCCAAGTGTGTATCCCGAGAGATGCAAAAGACGTAAAAAAATTGAGCTGAAACAGCCTACAGTCTTTTATCGGAAAAGGACCGTCGGATTCAGGATGATTCAGGATTAGACCTGGCTGCCTAGAAACTCCGGGCCTTGTCGATGTACTCCTGAGAAGGGGTTTCGTACTCGCTGACGAAGTAACTCTTCGCATTCTTGCCAAGCCAGACGGTAAGCTTTGAGAGCTCCTCACGCAAACGCGAAACGGACTGTTGATCCATATTTGTCTGGGCAACGAGCTCGGGCAAGGATACTGTTCGGGTTAGCAACGCTGCAGACTACTTGGTGGACTAGACTTACCCATCAGACGGCACAAGTGCTCCGGACCGTACGTGTCGCAGACGGACTTGTGCTTGTCATTCTCCGCTGCCTTTTCCCACATCTTACGGACCTCGTGGTACTGAGGACGCTCAAACCTACAACCGTATCAGCGGGACCAAGTCATTGAACAAGCGTGCCAGTCACATACCGGTACAGAAGGATCCGGCTCAATGACTTCTCAAAGTATTCGCGAAGACCAGCGACGACTTCTTCAAGAATGTCCATATTTGCCGAGCCATCTTCTCGGTTGGGACGCTCATAGTTGAGATAGTCGTTCAAAATCTCATCCACGGGATGAGGATGGGGAAGCGGAACCAGCTGGTTATTCTTCGTGATGTTTTCCCAGTCGTCGACAAGCATTGCCTTGATGTGGTCAGGAATAGGCAGCTTGATGGATGGGCGTGCATGGAATCCATCCTCCTGTTCATGTTTGATTAGTGCTTGCCCGAAGAACGACAAACTCTTTGCGGTAAAAAGATATATGAAAAAATGCAACATGATCAAGGCCGCTGGGCTTATTGACCAAGTTTGTTTCCTCCGGTTGTCATTCGGCTTGCCAGCCTACGATCGATTCAGACAGCATCTGTCTATGCCGTATTTTTGCAAACTCACTACCATGTTTTCTTCCTCCTTGAGCTGTGGAAAACGAGCAGGAGGCTTGACGCGCGTGGGCTGTTGCCTTTTGTTACGATTTGTGGCCGGCCTTTCGCAGCGACCATTGTAGTATAGCCTGCCACCCTTGGTAGTACCGAGCCTAGATGGCGGGGGTGCCGTGACCAGGTAGTCTGATGCAAGGCGTGGTTCCGCCCATGTGAGCTCTTTCACATTACCGGGTCGTCGACGCACCGAACTAGCTGGCTCGGGTTTGTGAGATACACAAGTCATGTCGGCCAGTTCTGCGTCTCGCGAGGGCGGAGGGAACCAAAAGTGTCCTGAGCGAGAGTGAAGATCGAGGCGTGGGAAAACGCGAGTGTTGGCCGTGGAAAAATCGTCGGAATATGATGCAGATGAAGCAGGATGAAGTTGCGAAAAGGAAATTTGCTGCCGACAAAGCCTAGGAAACTAGGACGAGCCGGTTGTTCAAGGCAGGGGCGGCAGATAGTGGCTCTTGCCAAAGCGGCCGCCCACGTAGGGGCACCAGCCGCAAACGCTGGTATTGGCCTGGTGAACCAACACATACTTTAATGTCGCCTTGGTCGAACATTGCGTTGGAACTCAAAGAGAAATTCAACGCTGTTCTCCCGCTGCCGCTTGTTGCGTCTCGAACAGACGTTCTCTCGTGTAGGCTCCTCGACTGAGTCCACCACAGCAGACATATGCTTGATTTTTTTAAGATTGACATCCTTCTGATCTTGAAGATCTTGCATAGAGATAGGATGGTGCTCGAAGCTGTCTCGCTCTTTTCCCTTACAGTCGGGACCATCTTTCGGCGTGGCATCGCGGTATTGGCTGGTGTCATTGATGGGCATGATAGGTGATACGCCGAGGAGCTCGACGCTTGAGCTGCATTCGCTGCTTTCACTACCAAGGTCGTCGAGAACTCCTAGACCGCTGGACTCGCTCTCGTCACTGGAGATGCTAATGACGCTTAAAGCTCTGTTCTGACTTGACTGAATATTGGTTCTGGGCGAAAGAGAAGGTGAGAGAGGACCCCTGAGGGGTGTCTGCCAGTTCATCTCATTCCACTGAGGTAAGAAAGCGTCGTATCGTCTCTCAACCTCCTCGGCAGACGGAGAGTCGTCCAGACCTGTCAGAACGAAGCGATAGCATCGCGGGTTGACCTGAGCTACCCAATCGATGTCTTCGTTGTCGTCGTCCTCGACGAACGGTTCACCAGATCCATTGATGTCTTGGCTACCCGTCCCATGAACTGCGTCCTCTTCATCACCGCCCAAGTAACTTTCTCCCGAGAGTTGATTTTCGTAAATGCCCCCAGTTAGGCCGTCGAAATCTTGGTACGAAGTACTCATCTTTGTCGGTGGTATGGATTTTGACGAGAGCGATGTCTAGAGTTTTTTGAAATCGAAAAAAAGAACTCAAGAAGTGCTGATGAAAATAAAATTGCCGGTGAGTTTCCAGTCGAAGACGGCGAGTTGCTAGTTAAGCGAACCTTGTGGCGGCCAGAGAGATGTGATCGAACGCGAGAAAAAGTGAGATGTTGCGGATGCGGCCCGGCCAGACAAACTTTTCGAGTGAGCAAGGTGGTAGTACCTCGAAGGACGTCCAACTCATGGAATGTTTTCATCTTTCGATCGGACAGCCCCCAACTACCCCGCGGTGAATAAGATGGCAAGATGCGAAGGCTAGTCATACTGCAGCTCTGCACTAGAGCCTCGACGGCCCCACTCTAGATGATGCTATTCACCCCCTTTTGTCCTTTATCCTCCCTCCCCTGTTTGTGTCCGTTTGTTTGATGAACATATACAACGTGCTTCTACTGCAGGTCTCCGAACAATGACAACCAGAGGATAGGGGGGAAGAAACAGCAGAAACGCAGAACAGAAAGCAAAACAGAAGAAAATCGTGTGTTTCACTACTCACCTGCTCAAGGTCAAAGTCTCGTGCCCGTCGAGGGCCCCGGCCATTGGCGGCGACTCCCGAGGTCCGCTCTTCACTACCACGAGCCGAATCGGTGCCGTTGACGCGAAGACCCTTCTTGGGGGCTTTGGCGCTGTTCTTCTGTCGCAAGTCCTTCATCTGGGCGTGCAGGGTGCTAGCCAGCTCCTTGTTTTCCTCAGTGAACTTACGGATGCGGTCGATGGAAACCCAGTCGTCCCAGGTGTTCTTCCAGCCCTTGTAGTGGATACGGTACTGAAAGCCTTCGCCGCTATCGGCGGGCTGGACGTCGAGAATCTTGGCCTCATACAGCATCTCACCGTGGAAGCAGAGAACCTTCTCGTCCTTGGTGAACGGCTGGGCTGGTTGGCGTGCGGGTGCCATGACCAAGTGTGCAAACGTGAAGGCAATGAGATCGATACGATTGATCTGTTGAGAATACAGACACCCGGGTCTCGCTGACAGCTTAGATGCAGTCGAGAAGTTGATGGACCAAAGGGGCAACGAAGTCAAATTCTCGGACAGTGCGCGGTAACGCAAGGTACAGCCAACGCCGGGTGTATTTGGCACAAATATTAAGGGGATGTGGTCGCGGAATACAGTGCGAATGGTGAGCACTTGAGGCACCTTGACCAATCCGGATCACAGTGCTGAGTGGGTCGCTAACACTGTATGCACCTGAAGATCAAATTAGTTTCTGGTTCGAACAACATCGTGTATGAAGGGAAAGACAGTCAGTCTCACAGTGAGATAAAAAATTTGCTGAAAGTTCTAGGCAAACAGTACGGTCGTTGGGGAACTTTCGCCTGAGGTTGTGGTCGTTGGGGAATGAGATGAAGATGGCAAGATGTGGGAATTATTACTACGGAGTGAAACACGACTCTGCTGCGGCTCATTAACGCGTTCCGCCAGGAAACCGCGTCGCTCATGCCTGCCCCCAGCAAGCGCCACACTTTCACACTTTCACACTTACCTAGTACGGAGTCCATTCACTACACACAGACCTCATCCAAAGACACCCCTTGCCTTTTGCTCCTGCTCGAGAGGATATCAAGAAGTCAGTCGCGCTCACCTCGAAGCCTTTTATCGCTTGGTATCCTTCCTCATCGGCATTTATATACCCGGGCTAGTGTCACATAATCTCGCCATGGCACCCACTGAGTCCGCCATTTTGCACAACTACCTGACTTCCCCGGCCCAGCTACCCTCCGCCATCACACTCGAGGAGTTCACCGAACTCTTTCCCAAGGCGCACCGCGCCAACCCGCAAATCCGCTCTCTGTACCGCGATTTGCAGCACCAGAGGAGAGCGCTTGTCGACACAGTTACAGCAAACATCACAGCCGAGGAGAAACGCGGGAGGGTCATCAAGCGCGAGATTGCCCGTGCCCGGATCCGCGCGGCAGACGAGGATGCCGACCTCGAGCTTGAGATTGAAAGAGCTGTAAGTAGACAGTCCTGGCCGCAGGTCATTCGATTGCAGGCCTAACAGCAATGCGCAGCTTTTTGGTTCGATGGGGGCGCAAGACGCCAAACACACGCTGAACTCTATCGTCCCAGAGATGGACATGGCCATAGCCGATCTCGAAGCAGAGATACAGAAGCTCGAGGCACAGGAAGCAACCTTACTGGACTCAATCAAACAGACAGTCGGCACCATGAGCGATCTGCGCTACGGGCGTCTTTCCAACCCCAAACTCAAGGAAGACGTTATTCAAGGTCTCAAAAGCGTACAAGAGGCGTGCGACGGAAAAAGTTGATCAACTAAAGATTACTAATTTGGCATTGCATGATCCAAATGACCTGGGGCCTCAGCCGCTTCCCTGATTTGCGTAGATTTCCCGGTACGCCAAAAACCGTAGCCTCGTGCCTTGTAGCTTCTCCTCCACCGGTCAGTTCGCTCACTTTACCGCGCAGCACTGCCTGCGGGGGCAGCGCCAGCAGCCGCGTTTTGGCGGCGGTCGATGGTGTTGTTCATGCGGCGGTTCATGATAGTACGGCTGCCAAAGGAGACGAGGAGCATGAAAAGCCAGTTGGGGATAAGGTTAAAGGCCCAGAACAAGTAGCCAACGGGGAGGGTCAGGTTGTTCTTGCCAACGAAGCTGTTAAAGGGGTGGAAGATGTTCTCCGTCAGAATCCAGTCCTCCTTGGACTTGTTCTTCCACAGATCAATAATGTCGTCCGAGGTGGTGGTTGTTACGTTGAGGCGCTTCCTGTAGATGTCGATCTCGGATCCAGCAGGCAACATGCCGACAGACCAGATGGACGCGGCGCCTGCGGATATGCCGTTGCAGAGGACGGGCTGGTCGTCGCAGTTCAGAAGACCCAGATGGGGAGATTCGGGAAGCTTGGCGAACTTTGTCGCACTCTCGTTGAAGGCGGTCTCGATCTTATCGCACTGGCCTGTAGGGTACGATCAGTACTGAGATGAAGGAAGCATGTCATGCCAAACATACCGAAGCAAGTCTTGTTGCCACCAGTGATCAGGACCCACCACTCCTCAGGGGTTGTGGCCTCAGCCTTGACAGGCTCGTGGAGAACATCCTTCCAGTTCTCGATGGTCAGGACGGAGATCTTCTTGGCGGGCGTCGCAGCGGGCGCGGCGCCGTTGGGTGCAGCAGCGGCAGGTGTATCCGCGCTAGGAGCGGACGCGCCAAAGGAGCTCAAGAAGTTCTGGAACTGCGCCTTGTACTGCTCAAAGGGTGACTCTGCTGCTGTCGCAAGCAGCGGGAGTGCGAGAATGGTAGTGGCGGACACGCGCATTTTGATGAGAGTGTTCGGGGGGTGGAGGGTTGCAAGGTAAAAGTGGATGGAGAGAGAGAGAGGTAGCTTGTGAGAGGTGTCGCAATCAGGCGGCCAAGCGATGATGGGTGGTGAGGGGAAAGGGCAATTGCAAAGAGTGAGAGCAAAGCGAGAAGATGCCGCCAGCTACAACACAGGTCAAGGAGGGACGATAAGTACAGGGTGAAGAGTGGAAGTTCAGAAAGCAGCCTGGATTTGGCACGGAGTTGAAATTGGGGGAAAAGGCCACAGGGTCAATAACGTGAAAAAAAAGTGGAAGGGTAAGGAACAAGGTAGATGGAGCAAAAAAGACCCTTTGGATCGTCCAGGTGTGAGGTGCGGCCGGCCTTCTCCTGAACCTTGCTCGGTTGGTGATCCAAATGGGAAATCACGGCCCAGGAGCTTTGGTCGCTGGGGGGAGGAAGCCGCAGCAGCACTGTGAAACCCACTGGGAAAGGAGCTGCAGAACACGCCTGCCTCCACGCAGCTTAGCTCGAAGCGGTTTGGCGTCCTGTTTCTGCTGTCAGTCAGCGTCATTTGGGGAAGAAGTCTTGGTGGAACGCTGGTCCGGGGTAGCAGCCACACTTGGTTGCGCCACTGGTCCACCAAGAAAGAAGCCTTTGGTAACGGCCAGTCTTAGCCTGAACCAGCCACAGTCACAAAGGTGAAGAGCGTGAGGTGAGGTACGTACCCAGCTCAGAGAGGGGACGCGTTTGGATGTCGACTTGGATGATCTCCCGAGGCATGCGCCTCCATCTACAATCGTGCAGAAGCACCGACGGCGCAATACTTCACAATGGTAAGCACGGTCTACTTGGTACGCTTGAAATGACCTGACACAGTCTTAGCCCACAAAACCTGCGGACCAGAAGCGAAAACGCGGTCGTCCCTCGAACGCGTCCAAAGTTGCCGACGCGTCGCTAGAGTCTCCCGAGGTTGGAGAAACAGAGCCCTACGACCTGGCCGAAGTTGCTGTGAATACTACAACTCTAACCAAGCGCGGTCGGCCGAAGAAGAATACAAACCCCGAACCGTCGCCTTCTACCGAGGAACCGAGTACGAAAAAACGAGGGAGGCCAAGGCGGGAGGCGGCGGCTGAGAAGGAGGCGGTAGGGGAGGACCCTGAACCGACACAACCGAATCATAATTCTAGAAAGGCTGCGAATAGTATCACGAATAACATTGAGGGAGCTGTGGAGGAAGGCGAGTCATCACAGCCAGCGGGCAAATCCACCAGGAGCAAACCGAATCGCAAGGGAGCGCAGAAGGCAAACGGGGAAGCCGGGGCTGAAGAAGGATCCAGCCCAAATGACAAAGCCAAGAAGAAACGCGGCAGACCGCCGAAGGTCGCAGAGGCGCCTACTGAAGATGCGACAGAGTCTGAATTGGCCACGAAGAAGAAACGAGGACGTCCATCTCTGAACAAAGAATCTGTCGCAAAGGAGCCTATCGAAGTCGCCAAGGACGAGCCCGCGCCTAAAAAACGAGGGCGAAAACCTAAGGAAAGGTCTGGCGACGCGGAAGAGCCGGTCCCCGAGGAAGTGGCCGAGGTTGAACCAGCGCCTAAAAGGAAACGCGGACGGCCATCTTTGGGCGAGGAACATGTCACAAAGGATGTTGCTGAGACGGCCGATAAAGGACTCGCGCCTAAAAAACGTGAGCGCAAACTGAAGGCCGTAATGGAGGCTGAGGGCCCTCCGGCGGAAGAGGAACCTGCCGCCGGAAAGAAGAAGCGCGGTCGCCCTGCGATTCATCCCGGGCTGGAAGTCCAGGAGGCATCGCAGTCGGAGCTAAAGGGGGTCCGCAGGCGGAAAGGGAGGCCGCCATCCCCAACAGAAGAGGCAGCGGCAGTGAAGCCGACAAAGAAACGGCGGAAGCGGTCCTCTCAAGGTGAGGAAGAGGTTCCAGAACCATCTCCGGAAACACAACGCCGCCGTCCGGGTCGTTCCCGAACCTCAGACGCAGCATCATCCACACATGCCCCTGAAGACCAGGCCTCCAAGCCTCGCAAGTCCAAGAAGCGCCCGGCAGGAGACAACGACGCAACGGACCCAGTACCGGCAAAGAAACGCCGCCGCCGAACATCTGAGGAGATCCGACAGCAGCAGCAGCAGCAGCAGCAGCAGCAACAGCCCAGGGCTGAACCAGGAACGGTCCGTCCAACCCTGAAGTACCGTCACATCGCTCCCCGCGCCCGCCAAATCCCCCGCTCGACGATCGAGGAGAACTGGTCACCCCTCGCGCCGCAATCCCTCGCCCACGTCTCCAGCCTCCTCCGCCTCTCCGAGCGCCCCGTCCTGCAACGCCTCGCTGCCAACGAGAAACGCCGCGACCAGGCCGCCTCGGCCATCCGCCTCGTCACGAGACGCCTCACAAAGAAGCTTTCCCGCGGCCTCCCCTTCCCCCCGGCCACCGCCCCTCCCACGGGATCCAGAAGCTCAAAGAAGCATGACGCTGACGGTGGCCGCACGGAGGAGCTCAACTTCGAGCGTGTCATCGAGAATGTCGCCGCGCTGGAGAAGCAGCTCGACCCGCTGCTGCACGCCATCAAGCTCCTCAAGGCCGAGAAGGAGCGCGATGAGAGGGCGCTGGAGGCAGACTACGAAAGCCTCACAACGCTCGAGGCCAACGCAAGGTCTGAGGCCAGGAACTTCAAGGACAACCTCCGCAAGACGCACGTCCTCGTCCCCGAGAAAAGGGGGACTGCAGGGACCGCCGGCCGCGACGCCGGCGGGAACGAGCACGACTTCAAGTTCGTCCCCGACGAGAACGTCAGCGGGACTCTGTTCAAGGTACGTCACCCACCGCCTCGTGCCGTGTGCCCGAGATTAGCTGCGGCGTTTTCAGCCTCCGCGAATGTGTCAGCACCGCTAATACCGCCCGCAGGACCTCGAAGACGACGAGCTGCGCGGACTGGCGGGCCAGGTCGGCAGCCACATGGAGAGCATGCGCAACAACTTGCAGCAGATCGACGGAGTATTGCCGCAGATCGTCCGGACCAGGGCCGCCCTGCAGAACGTCCTGTTCAAACAGCTCGATCAGCAGAACTACGAAAACGTCCTGTTTGGCTAGATCTTGCGCGCCTTGCGCACGCCGCGACGTTGTTGTTTGAGAGAGTTGCGGGAGGGGAGCAGACCTTGGCATTCACGAGGAGACCGTGTGGAGTCAAGGAGTCTCAAGACGATAGAAACCTTGACCGGGCTGCGGAGAATTCGCCTGATGCAAGACTCCCGTTAACGTTACGAATTATGACCAAGGATATCCTACATCGTGGCAGCCAAGTGCGGCGGTCAGTCATCAGTCATGCCACAATAGGTATCCGACTTACAGCCTCAATAGATATATCTGGCAGAAATTCTCATCTTCACGGCGACGGCTTGAACCAAAATTGAAAATTTTGGCCTGGTTACCCGTTGTCTATGAGAAACTCTACACTAGAACAAATTCAAGCCTCGTCCCCGACCTATACCATACAAAAAGAGTGAGCCATGCCATGTGGGATGCTCGTTCCGAGACCTTCTCCAACCCACAGAACCACCCCGTCTATTCATAACATACCACGCCACATCCGTGGACGTCCTCAATGTGTGCAAAATCTTGTTGGAGTACTGCCCTCCGTTCTTTGCTGCCACAGAGATACAACACCATGCCATATGATCCGTCCGAGTTGCCGTCCCCGCTACTCGTTAGGCGTCGGCGGAGCTCTCGGGAGCTCTCTCGCGTGAACAGCGCCTTATCGATTGGTCCTCTCCTCCTAAGCATCGAGGCTAGCATCACGAGGTACAAAGTATCCCTGACCCAGCATCAGGCCTTCGTCCAAGAGCAGGTACTAACAGTTTCGGCATCACCCATGGAAGCTGGGCTGTCACCGTCGGATGCAGGGCCGTAAGACAGACGGCTGGCCGGCGTTGCCCAATTCTCTGTTGTGGTAGCAGCAGTCGAATCTCCCTCTGAAAGATTGATCATGTTGGCCGGCGTGACTGGACGAATCGAGGGTCCTCTGATATCGTGTGCGTGGGCTTTGTTACCCTCAAGAGTGCAATCTGCAGTCTCCATGGCTGCTTTACCAGCGGAATCGTGTCTGGCGTGCTCGGCTTCCTGAAGTTGAGCAGGAATCTTATTGATGAGCGACTGCTTGGAGCGGGTTTCTAATTCAGCCATAACAAGGGCGGGGTTGGTTGCCATCTTCGCACGTTGGCTGGTCTTCAACGTTTCAATGCTCTTTTGGATTGCCTCGAGATCTTTATAGCCTCCCTTGGTTGGTAAAATCTCAAGCTCGGGGAACTCTAGCTGAGCTCCGTTCTTGGTACCCAACGTGGACGGCATGACCTTGCCCAGACTGCTCTTCATAGCTTTGCCGAGTCTCTTGGAGAGGGACTGGTGTGGGTACTTAGTTTCGGCTTCAGCACAATCCGAGCCCTTGTCGGTGATCCAGATATGCTGATCAGAATTCCCCAAGGCAGGGAGGACTGCAAAGTCCTTCGTGGTAACATCGTCGGCCATACCAGCAGCACCTGTTCGCTGGCTTCGATCATGAGAGGCCCACCTTGCCCAGGATGAGGGGGGCGTAGCGAGCTTGCGGGAACCCGACTCCTAATGGGTACCAACCGTAGCTTTGTAGTTATCTGCTTTCTGTACAATAACAGTCGAGGGCTTTTTGTGAACCGCATGTAAGTCATGCGCGTGCTGAGACGTAACCAGCTGACCAAGTTGCAGAGAGACCTCCGAGCTGTGGGCATTCAGCTCATTGTTTGGGATGTAATCATCATTGCCCAAAGCATGGTGGGCGTTGTCGTCAGTGATGCGCGCTGGTATCGTTATATTTTTCAGGTCGGCGTTATGCTTGGCCTCGCGCTGGTCGTGCTCGACTTGAAAGGCTCGTTTCCAGACTGCCGTCGCGCTCTCAGTCAGCTTGGGGGCGGTGAAGCCGGGAGATCGTGAGGTTGGGTGCATGTGAGATCTGATACCGAGATTCGACAGTGACTTGGCGTGTCCCGTAGGCTTGGGGTTCTCATGAGACGTCGACGAAGACCCTAGACGGCTAAGATCGGCAGAAGGTTGACTGTGCGACTTTCCGTGGCCTTTTGAGATACTTCCTTTACCATTACGCAGGACTTTGAGAAAGGAGGACCTGCGGGCGGGCGCTCCGTTCTGAATGCCGTTTTGAGTGACGCACGACATCCCGTTGGCATCGCTGGGCGAGCCCTGAGACTGGATTCCAACGACGTTCGTTGGCATCTCAATTTCGGGATGATACTTGCTTGAAGTGACAGAACCGTCGCCGCAGGAGGCATCACCAATAGGCAATACGATGGAGGGGACAACTGCAGCATGGTTTTGATCTGGAGCGGTGCGGTAGCTCTCGTCAGATCGCTGCTCCTTGAGATTATTGAACGCTTTCCACTGGTCAGTTGGGTAAAGCAGGACGCAAAACGGGGGAGGTCTTACTCTCGAGTTGGGCAAGATCGAGATCGATGAGACTATCGGCATCCCCATCACAGCTCGCATCTTTCGAGCCCATGGGCGAGGCGTGACGTGTGTTTTGCGTCGAAGAGTATACCGAAGATGAAGCATAGTGCAGCTCGGGTGCGGGAACAGACTCTGCGACAGCTGCAGCAACATTGTTGTCCATCTCAAGCGTCGGTAACAAGGAATTGTTAGCAATGGAGGGGTATTCGTGCCGGTCGACAAGGAGCTTCGCTTTCGAGGCGTTATGGCTCTCTAGGTTACAAAAGCTCGTAGGGATCATTGGCACGGAAACCGTGTCATCCTTGTCAGAAGACTCTGCAGGACAGCTACCGGCGACGGCGGCTGTGGCCTTGTCATTCTTCTCTAACGCTTGCTGAGCCACGACGGAATCGTCCTGGGCTGTGAGCTTTTCGGCAAGCAGCCACGTCTCCCAACCGCTGCCATCTGGAGACTGAGCAGAGTCTGCGGTGCGAGGCCGAACAGAAGCTCCATTGGCTTCGAAAGCTGCCTTGGTCTCAGACTTCTTGTCGTTGCGAGCAATGTCGGTGTCGATGCTACCACACTCCCGCCGAGGCTCGGCTTCGTGCTTGCCGTCGACCTTCGAGATGCTTTGAACGCCGGCATCCAGAGTGTCCTGCGTCTGTTTTGAAAGAGCTTCATGACTATCAGCCTGGGGGATACATTGGGAGAGACGCCAAGTCTTGAACGATTCGTCATCCTGGTCGCTAGAGACCTGCTGGACAGCAAGTACAGGGGCTGAGGTAATAAGGGGTAAAGACCCTCGCTCGCGAATGACGAGCTGTGTTGCCGCGATTTTGGACTCGGTCTCTGCCTTGGGGCAGCTGCTGCGACGTTGATCTCCCGGAGCGAAGTCGGTGGGATCAACCTTGAGACCATGAATCGAGAGCTTAGCTGCGGGGGGTCGAGTCGGTTGATGGGGAGCCTTGAGCGCAGAAACCCCAGTGGACATGGCAGTCTCTATCCGGTCCCGCGGTCCGCCTGGAAGCTCGTCTTGGTGATCAGTGGGGTCCTCCTCAACCGTTTCCAGCTCGCGGAATCTGTAACTCGCGCGCGTGGAGACTGATCGAGAACTGTGCTCGCTATCGACTTCGGCCTGGATACGCTTCTTGTTGTTTGATCTCACGGCCTGGAAGTAAGCGGCCTGGTCGAAGGGGGGCTTCTCGTCATCCTTTCTGTCGTCAGGGCGCGGGGCGGAAGAGGGGCGGTTGACGCTGGGGATGGAGAAGCGCTTCTCGTCGTCGGGGCTCAGAGATGTCTTGCTGCCGTCCTGTGAGATGCTTCGGCTGATTCGTCTCCAGTTGCTTGTCTTGGCCGCTTCCTGGGACCCGTCCTCGGGGTCCGATACGTACTCGACCGAGGTCGGGTCCGGAATGAAGTCCAACTCTGGAGATCGCAGGTTCGAGCGCGAGGATGATGCGATGGAACCGGAACTGTTTCTAGCGAGCCATGATTCAAAGTTGTAATTGCTGCCAGATAATTTGGCGGGAGGGGGCAATTGAACCAGCTCTATGGGTGCTTGCTTAGTGTCTTCGAGCGTCTCCTTCGCCTTCACGCCCGGCTTGGTCCCCTTTTCCTTGGGGAGGACGTTGGCGCAGCAGAGAATTTTCTGCATCATCCTGACTGGTTTTTGCCGTCCTTGGCTCGAGTCTAGTCTCCAAACGAGCGAAGGTCTGCGATAGTCGGATGGCTAGCGATGATTGCCGAGTATCGATCCAAGAAACTTCCCAGCTTGCCCAAAAGGAGAATGATGCAAAAGAAGGGCTGTTGAGCAGATGCTGAGCAAGGTTCTTCTAAGCAGCAGGCGAGGGCCAAAAGAGAGTGGGAGAGGGAGTTGAAGGAGAGATAGATCTTGGCAAAGTCTTCTTCCTGGGGGAGGAGGCAAGCAGGAAGGCCAGGTGGTGAAGGGAGTTGACCTGACGATGTCACGGCTCTGTGAAATCAGCGGGCACCCCTCATGGCTCCTTCTCGATGCCCTCTGGTCTTGGGCGAAGCAGTCACAAGAGACAACATCGTCTCACCAGCTGAGTACCCAGGGCGGGTACCAGCCATCAAAGGTAAGCACTTTCCTCGCCTCAACAATGCTCTGCGGCTGGTGACAGCGTGCATCAAAGGCTGCCGGCCTCAGTGAACAGCATTATGCTCTCGTGCGACGGCTGAGCACTTGCTCGAGGACTACCGTCTCCCTCTGCCCTGCCTCTCTCTATTCCCTCCCCCTTGCTCACTCATCCTTTGGGTACAACTGGTGTTGAAACCGCTATGCGAAGTGCGTTGTTCAAAGGAAGACGTATTTGAACAGAAGGAATGTTGTTGGAACCGAGCTTTGTTCAAACGGACTGGCGTTGGAATTGCAACCTCTCCGATGTTGTATTGAAGCGTACTTGGCCATATGTATCGTGAAGGCATTGTAGCTTACAGGATGGACACGAATTCTGTGCTCTTATACTCCTATGACCCCTTTCAAAGTCTACTCAGCTACAATCCAGAACCCGATGGTCCTTGCAGAGAGGGATTTGAAAGGTGTCGTCGGTGTGATGCCACTTGGCATACGAAACAAGATTTTGAACAATACGGCCCAATGTGTATATATCAGTGGGCTGTAGCCGATAGGAGGCGACTTTTTGAGTTGAGCCAAGTTGACGTTTTCAATGCAGCAATACAGACTTGGTCTGCGGTCAACCATGTCAAATATATTATTGCCTAGTCATTCCAGTCTTCTCTCCATTCCCGGAGAGAGGCATTATCATTTCTGGGGGGTCCCATCTGATTGGTGTTGTTGATGGAATCAGGTCCCAAGACAGAGCCTCCCGTTGGATGGGCCGAGACAAGACGGTTCTGCGGTCTGCCTTATAGGGCCGCAAGCGCGAATCTGTGGAGCACGTCCCGAATGACTGTCGGCGATGCCCTTCGGTTTGTCTCGGGAACCATGTTGAGCGTGAAAGCGAGGCCGGTCTCTGAATGCTACCGTTTCCGTCTGCCAGCTTGTGAGTGAGATGGCGGGTCTCAGGCTCACAGAACAAAACAGCCCAGACTCCTGAATTTGCTCGGTTCAGTTTAAGGTGGCCGATCACCTACCACGGGTGGCGCGGAAGGAGAGCGGAACAGCATTGCACTTGGCGACAGGGGAAAGACTCCGGCAAAGCGGTGGGTTGGAGTTTAGCGACAACGAGGGGAAAAGGAGAAAAAAGAAAAAAGTGGACAGAAAGGCGAAAAAGGAAAAAAAGGAAAAAAAGAAAAAAAAAGGGTAGAACAGGATGTGGGTGCTTCCCAAGGAGGAGGCAGTGTTAGGGGCTACCCGTGTTTGAGGATTGGCGGCGACTATTCCGACCTGGCTCATCCAGCCGGGCGATTTCTCTGATTTGAGCGACCGTGTTAAGATACTTAAGATACCTACTAACCAGTATCGCAGTAGCGGAGAGGCAGCCGGGAAGTGGGAGAAGCAACGGGGGAAAGAGGGGGTCGTCGGTTTTGCCATAGTTTCGCGCGCAGCGAGTTGTTCTTGTGCGTTGTATTCGTACACTACGGTGTAGTTTTGGGATATCGAGGAAATCAACTCGGCGGCCTCGCGCTTTGGAGCGGACTTCGCTTCGCGTCTTTTGGTCCGACATCAATAGCTACATAGCACGTAGTAGCACCTACCTACCTAGGTAGATACCTGGGTCCCTAGGCATAGAGTTAGGACCTGCTCTGCTTCACTCCTGCCTTGACCGAGCATGGCAAGAGCGAGCGGTATGTTGTATCTGCGAACCAATGGAAATAAAAAACGGTCGCGTCAGTTGAATCCGACAATGTCGATGCAACGGAACGCGATGCTAACAAAGACTACCTACGAATCCCCTTGATTGCTTTTTCGACCCACCTCCATCAGGCAAGACTAACATAACCCCTAGGTGTGTAATTTCCGGCGCGAATTAAATTTCTGTAGAATACGGAGTACACCAAGTAGAAATCAATGTCTCCATCGACCCAGCGAGATGGCACAGCTGGACAGCATTCAGCGTTCAGGATACAGATCGTGCCATGGTCAGGTCCCGGTTGTGGCCGGTCCAGACCAGAAGACTGGGAACTTTGGGATGCAGGGGAGGTAAGCCATACCATCCCACTCATCCGGTCGGTCGATTAATTAATTAATTAATCCTCCCAACTCGGAGCCGACAGCCTGAGCTACTGAACTACTATTACAAGCAAATGAGAAAAGAAAAGAAAGAAGAATAAAAACGTCAATCAAACGGTTGGCCAGGATATAGCCACGCCATACCAGGCGCATCGTACGTAGTGTGAGCTGGAAATGGCCCATGAGGATATAATCTCGACACAATCAGTCTGTGACGGTGACTTCTGGGGCGAACCCTGGGCTGGCCAAGGGAGGAGGAAAGGGCAGGGGAGATTTGGTTGCTTCCCCGAGAGCGCCCCGTAATGAGCTTACGCAGTTTATCCCGCACGCAGGGCTTCATAGGGGGGGCCTGAAACAGTGTTTTTGGGTGTTTACTACGTGATGCAATGCTTGGTCATGAGCCAAATGCTACGAAATGCATTCGCAGCCACTTGTCAACGACAGCGCGCGCCACTTGCAGGACCACCAGAACAGCAAGAACAAGAACAAAAACATGGCCATTTCATTTCGTTGCGGGCCACGGTTCGGTGACTTGATGCTTCAAGTACGGGCCAAGAGCCCAACAACACCGTGTCGCCGCCGCTGTAAGCTATCAACTCGTGCTCCGTCCCAACGTGTTCCATTCCAGCAGATCGTCCCGCCGTTTCCGTCCCGTGTTTCTGACTCGCCTGCCCGCCCGGTGCAGGGCCACCCACATCTTCACCGAAGACGTCAGTACACGTACGCAGTTGCACAAAAGAATTGCGGCAGAAGGAACCTCGTCTGCGGTTGCACAAGGTTGGGGGCGCCTGTTGCGACATTGACGCAAAACCTGGGTGCCTTAACGATACTCAGATCAGGGGGGCCAGGCAGCCCGTGTCTTCGTGGCACCTGCGACGAAAACATTTCGCAGGCATTCCGCAGGGCACCATGAAGAATATTGACGACGCTGGCTCTATGATAGGTACATACCTACCTTGGCGGTTAGTGACTCACAGACAACGCTTGGACCCGACGTCGTGAAATCTTGTAAACAGGTAGACTTGTACGGAGTATGACAGAACAGAAATCCCATGTCCCTCTCCACGGCCCTGTCGCACTTGCATGCCGAAGATTCTTTTGCGAGGAAAAGAGTTGCATCCGGGCCATGTGGTTCAACCGCAGGAATACAGTTAATCACGGTGGAACAAGAGACAGCGTCGCGCCCCGATGGACCATTTCAGGGCCACCGCGTCGATCCCATTCTCCTCCCAAACGATGCCGCATCGATCGTTAGGGGAAAAGGGGCGCCGAGCTGAGCGTTAGGTACGTTACCTAGGTACCTAGCCACATACTTCTACCTGTACGTATACCTAAGTAGGTGGGTAGTGTACGTGTCTAGTGCCGTGCGACCTGGTTCCTGGACTAGAGCAAGGTACCCGAGTTGACCGACCTTCAGGGGGGGGAGGGGGGGGGAGGCGCATCATACCCACCGGACAAGGAACACAGCCGACATAACCCCGCTCCTACTCTTTCCTTGCCTTCGTCCTGGGTGATACATAGTAAGTAAATGTAGTCGTGGAGCCTGACGCGACAGACGACGAACGAGCTCAGCATGGAGAGAATGATTACTATTGACAGGCCTGGCCGGACTATTACCGACATATAGTACAACTAACAAGGCAAGTGTTTCACACACAATTAACACCGGATAGTATGCACAACCACGCGCACGTGCCGTCGCTCAGTCGACGTCACTGACCACCGCCGTCCCTGTGGGGAAGGCCGATGGCGACGACGACGACGACGACAACGGCAACGATGACCACCACCAAGCAGGACTACCGTCACGAAAGCATACTGCGCGGTCAGCGGTAAGATATATCGACTTTGGCATACCAGAGGGGAGATGACTTGAAGGAGCGAACGGGCAGTACGGGGGTGTGAGGGAGTCAGAGGGATTGACTGGCTACCAGTCCGTCGCATCCTGTGTATATTTATGGTCGGCGGCAAACCCCCTGTCCCATCGACAGGCTGTCAGTATGCACGCTCAACCGCTGCGGTAGTCATGTGCTGGGATCACAATCCAGCGAGTCTTAGTCTTACCTCTTTCACGTCACATCATGATGCGCAGGGCCAAACGGGCGGGCTAAGGCCAAGGGGTGTTCCTGAGAAGCAAGGTGAATTTTAAGGTCCGTCGCTAGACCACTTCGATCGAGGATGAGAGGTGTGGTTTCAGAGGGGGATACGGCGCCACGACAAGGAAGGAGAAACACGTCACACAAACGGTTCGCCGGCTACGCGGCAAATCGGTCACCACTGGTGGCCTTTGTCAATTCTAGCTCTTCAGTGGCTGAGTTTTGTGGGTGCGGGTTAAATCTCGAACGCAGGATTTGCCAAAGGTGCCGCTGGCGCCAAACCCGTGTTCGCTGGCGGATAGAGTATGGCGAGAGGTGAGTGAAATTCAGGTGGCAGTGAAAATGGAAGTGAAAGTGAGAGTGAGAGGTGGCTGGAAATCGAAGGTGAGGAACGGTCGACCAATTGAGACGGGTGTGTGTCTCCGGAGGTTGATCTGGCGGTCGACGGTCGAACGTTGGCCGAATGAGACCTGCATCATCGTGCCTGCGATTCCTGCACAAATACGATGTACGACGGTGGTTCGGGGGCCCTCACACTGAACACGGGCTCGGTCTACTACATGTGGGCTTGTCAATTCATCCTCTTGGCGGGTGCGCGCGCACGGATTCGATCCGGCATGGACCGAGCGCAATTCACCAGCGCATGCCACAGATTATGGCTCTGCACAATAGAGACATGGCACAGATGGTTCAGCTTTATGTAGCGCGGGGCACATGGCTCGGGGTGAGGGAGGGAGGACAACGGGTCATTTCCACCGACCATCGTCCATCGCCTTTCTCGTCGTTTTCCATGGAAAAGAAGATGAGCGAAAAACGAGCGGGTGGGACCCTTGGAGGCGAGAGGGAAACTAGGACAGGCATGCAAGAAAAGTCTTAGCACGGGCGATTATAAACTAGTTTCCAGTGTGGAGGAGCATCCGTACCACATCCATCAATCTCTGAGCCGCCTTCTCCACCAGCCGGATCTGCAAAGATCTGAGAGAGAGAGAGAGAGAAGGCCCGGCAACTTGTCTGTAGTATACGCTGGCTGCATCTGCAGAGAAGCACGATAGAAACCCCCGCCCCCTCGAGATGAGTAGACCAGATTACGGATGGAATTGCACGGAAGCCTGCAGCAAGAAATAAGGTAGCTTAAGTCAATTTAATACCTACCCACCTTGTGGTGCGGTGTGTATTCGTACGGGAGAGGGGGAGGAAGGTGGGAAAAAGAGAGAGGCGCCAGGATATGGGGTGGGCGCCCGTCGCTACGATGTGGACCGTGATCAATGGCCGAGGTCGGGGTGGTGTGGGTCTAGATAATTGGCCACGCTTGCGTCTCATGTTCGGCGGTACCTGCATTGGAAGAACGGGAATACAGACGTACAAGGAGCACACCCGACAGGGGTAAGCCGGGCAGGCAGCTGGCAGAAGCCCGCTGGCGAGTCCTGACCAGCGGTCGTGACTGGAAACAGTCGAGCTGACAGCTGGCAGGGGATGAGCGGGCCAAGCGCCACGCAACGCCTTGTTCGGTTAAGGGGGAAACGGAACGACTCCGAAAGGCAAGAAAGAAGGACGAAAACGAGGGGAAGGGGAAGGGGAAGGAGCCAAATGAGGCAAGTACATTTGTATTACACAACGGTCCACTCAACTTATCTGACTCACGAACAAACTCACACGTACATCTGTTCGTACGGAAAGTTTACACTGACATCAATCCAGCTTTACCGCTCCAAGGTTTGCACCAACAAGACCGCTAATCAGCCATCCATCTCACGCTGTCACCATCGCCATTTACATTACCCGGCTGCCATCCGAACTGCCATCGTCACCGGCGCGGGTGGGCCTTGCTCACTCCTGAAGTTTAATGAAGAGGGCTTTGTCTGTGGGTTGGCAGTTGATATGAGCAGGGGGGGGGGGCAGGGAAATGGAGCGTAGTGGCTTCACCTCGAGCCCCCCCAGTACCAACGCCGAAGGCTGTGCGGGTATGTTGGCTGCTGTTCGTCTCCTCCTTAGCCCATCTCACCAAGGTCAGAAGTGGTCCTTTTAGACCCCTGAATCGAACCAGCAGGGTTTTTGGGAGTTCTTGGACCCACCCCCTGGTGCTTGACTACGACGACGACGACGACGCTACCTTATCTCCCCCATCCACGGTACCGTATCTCATCAACCCGCATTTCCTGTCTTGCCCTGCCACCACGCTTACATGCTCGGGCGGCTGCTCCAACCCATGTCATCTCATGCCGACCAAGCAAGTGCTTGGCCCATGTCTGGCCCACCCCCAATGCGCTGCGATGCGCCTACTATGTATGCCGCCGAACCACGGCCAAGACTCACTACCTTGCCTACGACGGGCCGGGGCTGTCGGGCACACGATGCTTCCTCCTCTCCCCTCTGCTGAGTTGGTCTTGCAAGCGCAAACTAGTCTCGGCCGGGCCCCGAACCTGGTCGTCCAAGATGAAGGCCCCGCGGTCTAGGGTGCCACACCCCCTCCTCCCCCTTCCTCGAGGATTTCGATCCCATCCACAAATCCGCGGCCCCCAAGCTCACACCCACGCATGCCCACTCGTGGGCTCCACGGGCTAAAAGGACTCTGACCTACCTCTCGTCTTCTAAATATCTTCCTCCCCATCCTCTCTTTTTGCTTGCTCTTTCCATCTCTTCTCTCTTTCTCTCCGCATCAACAGTCTTTCGTTGCTAGTCCTCGGACGCCTTACATTCTTTCAGCTCTACCTACGCTCACTCCAAGAGTCAACTATTCATTCTTTTGCGCAAACTGTGTCTTGCCGCCCACTTGATATCCAGCGAAATTGATCTTTCGCCCATTTCACGCACGATCCTCGATCCGAACAATCCCGTCTACCCTTGTGGAGATATCCGAGAAGCTGTTGAAAACAACCAAATAACATAACCATCAAGATGAAGTCCACCATCGCCGCCGTCGGCCTCCTGGCCTCGCTCGCCAGCGCCTCCGCCCACCAGCCCCGTCACTTCCACTGGCGCCGCGACAACTCCACCGCCTCTGCCGGCTTCACCACCCTCACCGTCCAGATCACCGAGGTTGCCACCGTGACGTCTTGCGCCCCTACCATCACCAACTGCCCTGCTCGCAGCGCCACCCTCTCCGCCTCTGACCTCCACACCTACGTCGTCACCAACACCGTTGTCCTGACCGAGACCGTCTGCCCCGTCACCGAGGCCGCCAGCATCTCCAAGTCACTCGTCAACCAGCACGCCACCGGCGGTCTGCCCGGCTCCACCCTCACCGCTCCCGCCGTTACCACCCCCACCGCCGCTCCCTCCGTTCCCCTGAACACCGCCGGTGTCACCAAGTCTGCCCAGGACGCAGCCGTCACCAGCCCCCCCACGGCTGGCGGCAATGGCGAGAGCGACGATGAAGACGACTGCCCTGCTGAGGATGGTGATGTCGTGACCACCGTCACCCAGATTATCTCTACCAAGACTCTCACCATGACCGTCGGTAAGGGGTCTACCGCTTCCGTCGTCACCACCGCTATCCCCACTACCATCGAGTCTACTATCCTCGTCACCATGCCTGCCGCTGCTGCCACTAGCCTCGCAGACGCTGTCGGCACCGAGGAGCCCACCACTACCGTCACCGCTACCTCCACCAACACCCGCACTGTTACCGTCAAGCGCCCCAACCCCACTGGTGCCGGCTCCCCCGGCTCCGGCACTGGCTCCCCCGGCTCCGGCACTGGCATCGGCGCCGAAGCCGAGTGCTCTTGCCCCGCCGCTGTGACCGTCACTCTCCCCGCTTCCACCGTCTACGTTACCATTGGCGGCTCTGCCCCTACCTCTGCCGCCGCTGCCCCTACCTCCGCCGCCGCTGCCAACGCCGCCTCGAGCGTGACCACCAGCGCCCCGGCTGCTGCCGCCATCACTGGCGGAGCCAACGCTGGAGGCGAGAACAGCGATGACAGCGACGATGACAGCGACGACGAGGATGACTGCCCCGCCGAGGACGACGTTGTCACTATGTCCACCACCGTCCTCGTCGCCCCTTACCCGACCAACGGCACCGCCTCTGCCGGCGCCGCTAAGCCTACTGGTCTCAAGCGCTCGAACAAGCTCTTCTAAAGTGTTTGATGTAGATTCCCCCCCCATGTCAAGTCTATCTTTGGTTATGAGAAGAATCTATGATTCATGAACAAACACATATCCTTCTTTGCCAACATTGTCTTGTATACATTGCACACTTCTTGGAGTGAAGAATAAAACGAGTTTTTGTACAACCGAAACACAAGAAACGAAAGGGGGGAATACAACCAAGCTCGTCTTTATGCCTTCGATTCTGCCTGCTTTTTGGTGAGGTGTTTTTTTTTTTTTGTTACGCTTAGACGAGGGAAAGGCGTCACTCCTACAAGGTGATTCTATGCCGGGGAGGCGTCCGTCTGGGTCGCACCATATTTTCGTGTTAAGTGTTTGTGGGAAACAATCAACGGCATCATTGCATTCACGTAGCGGGTCGTTGGGGATCAACAGATATCGTTTTACCCTGCCGGGTAACGTCCATCCATTCTGGACTCACTATCCGTGTTTGGCAGGAGAAACATTCAGACAACCTTTCCATTCTTTTTTGTACACTACTATTTTTTGAGACGTATTAGCCATGAGGATGAGATTTGGTGACATGTAGTCCCCCCCCCCTGTGTTGTGAATGTAACGATTGGGTGAAACATTTGAAACCTTATTTCAACCGCCTCATATTGACTGTACCAGTGAGACATGGGATGCCCAGGCCTGAGGTCGATCTTAGTCTCTGCGGGAGGTGAGGTTCAGCGGCGTTAAGCCTTTGGTAAGTGTTTTCGGGTACGGAGATGGCCACGGGCAGCACGTGGCTGCCTCTATCTGTTGGACGAGCAATAAGTTCCGCGAGTTCCCTCTAGCGGCAATTCTTGGCCGGTGTCTTTGGGTTTGTCTGTGCATGCGTGCTGCTCTATGCGCCAAGTCGGTGCCTATTTCCTGCAGGCACGGGCAAACACTGTTGATGGTGATGGCGGTGGCGGTGGTGTTCTGTATCAGGTTGCCCGGCGCGTTGAAGTGTGTCTCAACCATTCAGCGCCCTACCGCTGCTGGTTTGGGGTTACTCCGTAGTAAACACACAAAATGGAGAGGAAGGGTATCGATGAAGCTCAGGGCGCAGTCGCGGCTGACGGATGGGAGAGCTTGCCGATATGGAGACCGAATGATGACGCCCAGCTGAGATGGGCAACTGAAATTGAGGACCCCCTCCTTGTCAGGAGGAGGAGCGGGTGAGTGCGCTCTCACCTCGATCTACGTATACATGGCATTCAAAGGGCAGGAAACAGGCTACAAGACCTATCAAGGTGTACCTTTATCAGTCAACACCCACGTGTCAATGCAAACTGCTGACGGCTTCGGGTTTCCCATGCAGGCTTACGCTTATGATTGTTTAGAGACCAGAGTCGTCCTACTCCCCCTTTTCTTTCTTCTACTCATACCTAATGCAAGCTCCCTACTCCCGCCTCATATGTGCTCTGCTGGCTTTTCTTAGGCCATGGCTGGTAATACCCCTCTTTGACAACGGACAGGTTCAAGCAGTGGTAGCTAGATGAAATGTTGCTTTCAACGCCACCGGTGCCGCCTTTTTCAAATGCCAATAGTTTCCTGCTATTCAGGTTGCCGCGTGCGTACGTCTTCATCATGACCAGTTTGTTTCCTGACGTGGTTGGTGTTTCGTGGTTCCTCGCCGCTGACGAGGCAGTTTTAAACCAGATGTACAATGCTTGTTCTTCTGGGGCCGTTCTTCCGAGACCTTTCGGGTTTCCCTTTATACCTCCTCCGCTTTTTGACCTCCCGAAATGTCTTGCCGCCATGTCCTCCTTGCCTCCCTCTGCTTCTGCTCTTCGACCTTTCTCTCCATCTCGGCCTTCCTCTCGCGCAGCGCAATGCAGAATCTCGATCCGGCCCGGATCTGCTCGCCCTTCCAGATGAAGATGAAGGGAATGACGCACATCACGGCGCTCAGCCCGCCAAGCAGACTACACGCCCCCGCGATCCCCAGCTCGTTGAACATGCGCGTCGTGGCCAGCGGCAACACAACAGCTAGCAGGGACCGACTACCCGAGGCCGCGGCGTTAGCGCTAGCCGCAAATATTTCGTACGCATCGGTCAGGTAGTTAAGCAGGGCGATGAAGATGAGCATGAACCCTGCGCCGAAGGGGATCCCCGCCAGCATCGGCACGACGAAACTGATACCCTCCCTTGAAGACCAGCCTAGCCAGAACAGAGATATGAAGAACAGCGGGCCGCCGACACAGGCCAGAGGAAGACGCCGCAACTCTTCCTGTTTCGCCCACCTGGAGCCATCGCGCTGTGCACGAAGATGGCGTTGCTCCCAGCCGATGAAAATCGGAACCGCGATAATCGAACCGCCACCTATGGGCAGGTACGCCAACCCAGACACGCCGGGTGATAAGCCGTATAGCTTCTGAAAAATGATGGGGAATGCCTGGAAAGACATGTAGAAGATTGCATAGACCAGGGCAAGGTATGCGCAGGTACAGGTGACGAGGGGTTCCGAAACCAACATTCGCACGGGACGGGTTAGCACCACGCTGGCCAGCTGCTTGAGATCGGTGCGTTCCATCTCGCGGGGTGCAACAACGTTGGCGGAAGGATCGAGTTTGCGTATCTTTCGGGCACGGCGGTAGAGTAGGATGGGGCCGTAGGTCTCGGGAAGTAAGATGATTGGCACCAACGTTACGCCGGCGTAGATGAGGGCTATCCAAAAGGACCAGCGCCAGCCTATCGTGGGGGAACAGAAACCGGAGACGATAGGGGCGAAGAGAGGGCCGAAGGCGGTGGTCTGCGAGAGTTAGCCGTGCCTCCTGGACCGGGTTCGTAGTTTGGCTGATTGAGTGAACTTACAACCATGAAGGCGGTCATGGCACGGCCGCGGGATTGTGTGTTGCCGTAGATATCCGAAAGGATGCCGGCCACAATGGCGATTGGCGAGCTTGCGAACACCCCTGCAAACAAGCGGAAAAAGAGAAACGCAGGCCAGTTGGGCGCCAGAGCACACGCCATTGTCCAGATGGTGAACATAATAAAGGTGATGATTGTCAGCGTGCGCCGGCCGAGGTGTTCGCTGAGAGGCGCCCAGACAACAGGGCCGAAGACGTAGCCGATGAGAAAGACAGAGATGGGTAGGACCTTTTGCTGTTCGTTCGTGATGTCCCATTCAGCTGTGATGAAGGGGATCGCATTAGAAGGCAGAGCCGAGCCCATGGTGCTGTTGATGACTTGCATCATAGTCAAGCAGAGAATGAGGAACTTCCTGGTCTTGGGCATGTCAGTCGCTGAGCCGGGAGTTGAGAGTTGGCACAACATACATGTGACCAGTTGTACGGGTTCTCTGGATCACCCTCATCCCAGGAAATTATTGTCTTCTCATCTTCGTCACCGGACGAGTTTGGGCTCGCAGCCGGTTTCTTGTCGAAGCCTTGCTCTTCGGCTCGAGCCTCGTATCTGCTGCGCGCCTCATCCTCGCCTATCCGCCTCGCAGTCTCCGGCAAAGATGAGCTGTTATCTGTAGTGAATTAGACATGGTGACGCTATTTTGTCTCAGTCACAGGCGTACTTACGTTGCAGATCCGGCAGACTTTGTCCATCGACCAAACCAGATTCGCGGGGGGTGGGCATGGTAAACCGTTACCAATCTCGTTGGCAAGATGCTGCGACTACGTGTCTGGGTTCCATCTCAAAGGCAAGAGGGGGGAAGGGCGCGAGGTCCCTATCAAATACGTGTGAACATGGATGGATCATTAATAACCCAAAGGGACCAGAGGCCCGAAAATCGGGGACTGCATGCATGCTACATGGCCCTTGTGGATCAAGACAGTCTAGTCCTCGCTCCCACCGTCTCTTCTACATTTTAGCAACCCGAAAAAGCATTCGTGACTGGGCCGGGCGTAAGTAGCACAGCACGAAGGTCTTATCCCCGTCACGACTGACGAGGGGAAGGGACACTAGGTGGGTGGAAGGGCGCGTTCTGCCATTGGTTCGTCATTGGGCTCGGAGCCGATTCGCAGACCCACTTAGTCCTTGAGGCCGCTCTATGCGGCCTCGGCGATGTTCCTTCCCGTAGCCTCCTCGGGGCCGCCCCTCCACAATGGTCAGTTGGCTTTGATATGACGCAATTTGACGCTACAGTCCGTACAAGGTGACTGGCAACACCGCCAAGTTGCATCGTCGAAAACGGCATGTAATAGCGGTATCATTGAGAGAGTCCAAGCCGGACTTCAGGCCGCTGCGGACGTCTCAACTTGTGCTTGCTGCATCACTGCATGAGACAACGGAATATCTTATCCAAAAGTCTGCCGACTTGCTGGCCTGTTCGTCCTCGCTTTCATCGTGCCTAGAAGCCGGAGGTGCAAATGCGATATAATGTTGGTTTGTCCCGATTGTCATCGATTCATGTCTCGAGGTTGATGCTCTTCCCGAACCTGGCGTACAGCTCAACTTTCAGTTGGGTCATCTCTTCCTTGATTGTTTCCAGCTTTGACTCCAGTCCCTCGACATCCTTCTCGATGTTGGCCGACGCTTGCTCAAGCATCTCTATCGCTTGCGGTTGCGGAACATGGAAGTAGGCGTCGCCGATCTTGTATCTATGGCTCGGCATTAGTATTGCATGCCAGCTAGCCTTGTGATGGGTTGCGGAATGCGTACGGTACTGCCTCGTCTTCGTCGGCAAGCTCCAGCTCGGTGCTGAGGTCGTCGAGTTCTTCCTTTTCCTTCTGTATAGCGCCACGGCGGTTAGGTTGTGTCTCCTGTCAGAATGGTGGGTCACGCCTCACATTCTTGTTCTTGAGCTCTTCCTCGATAACGAGCTCCCGCTGGTGTAGTCGGCTGAACTTGTTGATCTTGTCCTGGTCCTCTCTCCTGACTTCCACCTCGTCGCCGACGGACTCCTCGTCGGCCTTGGTAAGCTGCAGACAACAGCGTCAGTATGATCAACGAGCAAATGCTGGCATCTTGCTTACCATGCGCCGTGACAACATATTGGCGGCTTGTAGTGCGACGCTGTGATACTAGACGTGGATGTGGCCGAAGCTGCTGGGATCGATTGACTGATGCTCTGGCTGGAGCTTCCAAAAAGCTGAGAAGGATGGTCACAGTATCAATCCACAGTGCAGAGGGGCTATGCACGGCCCTGGAAAGAGGGACATTGACGTTCAATCAAGGTGTGTCTTCACCTCGGGAACTGCCGTCTGTGCTGCGGTTGCGCAAACAAAACAAACCAGCCTCCCCCACACCGGAACGTCACACCGAATTCGCGCGACTTCGAATCACAGCGCTTCCGACTCTGACCCTGACCCTTCAACAACATCGACAAACAACACCGCATTCTACGGATCGTGCTTCCTCATCATGGCGCCCGGTCAAAAGGCATACCCGCGAGGTACCGTAAAAAAGATCATCAAAGCCCATTCCAACTGTAACTTGAGCAAAAATGTCGACGTTATGGTCAGTGGCGTGCCGACGTGTCATGTACGCGCCGCTAACAAGGGAATAGATCTACCTCGACTATGTTCTATTTATGCAGACGTAAGTTGCCGACGTGATTGATCACATGGCTCCAAGCCCTGACTTTCCTAGACTTGTGAAGGAAGCAGCTATTGAGTCCAAGAAGTCTGGGGACAGAGGCATCACTGCACGCAGTGTGAAGAAGGTGACCTCGGTATGTATCTTCGATCGCGCCCAAGCCTTCAAATTCAATGCCAGAAGACTAATAACGTACTTGGCAGGATACTCTGACCAAGTTCAGGGGCTGAATGCCGAACCCTCCGATGAACGAAGTAATACTGTACGCAACATGTTATCACGATATCTCTCCCCTGTTTCCAGTGTTTTTAGGCCACCCAATTCTGTATATGCGGCTTCGACCACTGGAAAGGTAGGGGTTGCCACAAAGCGTATACCAGGGGTGACGACTCTTGAAGTGCGATAGGGCCGTCCGCGCAGAGGAACACGACGCAATCAGCCGTTAGTATTTCATTAACGAGGTGATGAGGGCGTCTAGCAGCGGAAGGAGCCTGAGCCACAGCGTAATACCTCGAAGGCGTTGGCGTCTTGCTCGCATCGAGAAACATGGCGCCAATGGATGGATACGGGTTGAGAAGGGCGGTTCGTCTGAAGAGTGCCAAACGAGCGTCGTTAGACGTTACGACGCGGTGAAGGGATACAAATCCGCCGTTTGTCGGCCGATTTGTTGCCGCAGTCACGCGTATGCTGTTGTCAGCCATTGAATGGCTGTCGGACGCAGATTAAGTGCGGGGGAATGGCGCTCATGTATCTTGGGTGTTGACCCATGCAAGGCTGCCGGTATGCCCTGTCGGATATGTCACTTACAATTGAGGTCAGAAAAAACATGCAGTGAGTAGAGATGGCATGTCGCGGGCTATAGGATGAACCGATGCATGCGACAACATGCCGTGTATCAAGAAAGCTAGTTCTACACTTGAAAACACCTACGTAGGTACCTATTATGTAGGTGTCCGTACATGTTGAAACTGGACCCCATTGCAGTACAAGTCAATGTATCTTTTCTTCTTGCCAATTCTAGAATCATGCTGGGGGAGTGGATACAAGGGGGTTTATGGGAAGGCAAAGGGAATGAGCCCGGCAGCAGGGGTGCTTTCGGCTCCTGGAACCTACTCTGGATCTTACCTAAACCACCCCGAAAATGGGACCTTTGGGCCCAAGTCCAGGCAGCTTGCGCAGTCAGTGCAGGCAGACAGGGCGCCCGCACTCACTGAAGGTGGTCTTTTTTTTTTCTTTTCTTTTTTTTCTTCCTTGTAGCTTCTCCCGGCCGACAGACCGGCTGACTCTCCACAGCATCAGTGATCTCTACGAACCTCCCCGAATTGGAATCCGCCCTAAACCTACACATCCACATTACCTGTCGTGCTTCACCCACCTTTCTCATCATCATTCCTCTGCCTCTACTCGAATATCCTTCTTCGATCCTAGGTCTTCTTCCTTCGATCATCAACTCTACAGGCAACCCAGTGTGTTAACTCTTGTGTCTCCTGCGCGCTCTCTGCCATAGCTGGCTACCACGTCACCCCCAAAAATTCCCACCTAAGCTCACGCGACCCCGACCTTGTTGGCTGCGCACTACCAAAGCTATCAAACATGGCCGCCTCTCCCGTTCAGAACCCCGCGGTGCAAGCCGAATCCAAGTCGGCCAAGAAGAAGAAGGCGAAGATTGCCGAGCGCACCGAGTCCCCTGCTCCTACTGCCTCTCCCGCCCCCGAGAGGGCTGACGGCTCCGATGAGTCTGGCGAGACGCCCTACATTCGCGAGATCCAGAAGTAAGCCGCCAGCCATCAATTGGTTTTTCTCCGGCGCGTCTTTTACTAATTGCGCCATCCAGGAACATTCGTAACACCAACAAGAAACTTGTCCGTGTCCTATAATCCGCTCCGTGGCAAACACCCACTGACAGTACATCCTCTAGACCAACGCCTCCAAGATCGACAACTTGATCGCCGAGAACCCCGGCAAGTCGCTCGACGATCTTGTCGCTTCCCGCATCATCAATGCCGACCAGAAGGCTCAATACCTGAAGAAGCCTGCTCTGCAAGCTCAGATCACCCAGTATGAGGAGCAGCTTGCCCAGTACAAGAAGATCGACCAGGAATACCGCGCTCGTGCTGCGAGCGAGAAGGCCGAGCTGGAGAAGTCCTTCGCCGAGAAGCTCGAGAAGCTGGAGAAGGAGAAGGCTGCTGCCGTCGCCGAGGCCAAGGCCCAGCTGGAGGGCGACTCCAGCAAGACCATCAGCAGCAAGCTTCTCACCCTGTCACAGTTCCTCCGTCTTGCTGCTGCCCGCCGCTCCGAGGATGCTGATCCCAACATCGAGGAGAATCGCGCGCTCGAGGGTGTTCTGCTTGCCATATACACCGGTGATGAGAGTGCTGTCGCCACCATGCTGAAGCTGATCGACGGCAGCGACGAGCTGACCTACAGCGTCAACGGCGAACAGCTCCAGACGACTTGTAAGCACAGCCACTAGACCTCATAATGCCTCCCAAGTACTGATCCCCTGTAGTCGGCCAGGTCAAGGCTGCTTCTAAGGCCTATAAGTCTCCCTTCGAAGAGGCGACTGCCGAAACTGAGACCGCTGCTGCCGAGGCCGTTACCGACCCCACCATTGCCAACGCTACTGTGAACGAGATCGAGGCTGAGAATGCGGCCGTCACCAACGGTCAGATTGAGCACGCCACCGAGACCCCCAGCAACGCCAACATCATCAGCGGCTCCGGTAACGCTGCAGGCGAGAAGTGGGACCAGGCGGCCGATAACAGCATGTCGCTGTCCCAGGAATGGGTATCTGTCCCTCGCGATCTTGCCGAGACTGAGACCGGCGTCGATGCCACCCCTGCTGCTGCCTCCAACACCCAATCTTGGGCCGACGACCAGCCCGAGCAGCACGAGGTTCAGGCTGAGGTATATTGTCTCCCGATTTGCAAGCAGACCGAAATACTGATTGCGGTGCAGGCTCCCACCCCAGCTGCTGACCCCAACGACGGCTTCCACCAGGTCCAGGGCCGTAACCGCGGCCGTGGCGACCGGGAGGGAGGCTACCGTGGCCGTGGCCGTGGCGAGTGGCGCGGACGTGGACGCGGCGAGGGCCGTGGTGGACGCGGGCGCGGCGGCCAGCGCGGCGGCTCCATCTCTCAGCGAGGACCCCGCCGGACTGAAGAGTCATAGAGACGCTCTGTCCGATGGCGTTCTTTGGCCTGTCGAGGGCCATTGGGTAGGCTCAATTCCTACGGACCGCCGCGTCTCTCGCGACGGCGTATGACGACGGGGGCATAGCGACGCCCTACGCAACGTGATTTACTGCAGTGGCTTTGATGGGTGTCAAGGCTGGTAAAGGAATGGGTGAGGGATGTTGCTAGTTAACGACATAGGCATTCGGGTTTCCTTTTCAGGTTTGGCTTCTGGGTGTGGTTGGCATGGCTGGGCGGTGTTGGGTTGCGTGGCTTTACGCTTGTACAATACACAGCATGACTTTCGGGGCCGGCATACAAAAAAACATACGGAATGAGACATTAATACCCAATATTTGCGAACCCTTCGATGCACGTGATACCTTACTTGGGAAGCAATCATTACGCAAATATTCCCCCAAATCACCGCATGGCTTTCTCCAGAGGTGGATTCTCTACGAGTGTAGATATCAACCATTTCCTATGATGCGTCCAAGAACATACATTGTAACATGACACCATCTGCTGCTAAGGTACCTTTGGGCCATACATCCCCCCCCCCCCCTCCTTCCAGCAGTATGATCATTGCTTGTTCCTGTATTGATGATGGCATACCGTCATTCGTTGAACATTGGCATGGAGATGAAAGACTTACGTGTTGGCGTGTCGTTGCGTGGTATGTATAAACAAGCCCCAGCATATTGATTCCTGCTGCCTAATCCACCTTTGCTGGTTTCCGGAAGTCGTTCAGACGAAAGTTGAGCTCAGTTTACAATCGCATGAAATTCAGTCGTATTGACGTTTCCACCAGAGGCTCTCTCAGTGTTGTTGCTATTGACGCAAAGCCCGGCTTCGCATACATGTCAGACCAACAAAACATGGCAAGGCGTCTTGTGTCTGCTGTACCGATACTCACCTCGCGGTCAAAACTGGCGGCGTGTCAGTCTGCCGCCGCAGAGAGGCCTCTGGGCGTGGTGGCAGACATGCTGTGACTCGTACGGCTCGAGGCAGCGGGCGCAGAGGCGCCGGGCGAACGACGAGATGGCTCTGGAGGCCTGGGACAAGGTGTTGTTCATGTTGACATTCATGTGGTCGGGTTCTGGCTACGAGGCTCTCTGATTAGTCTCAAGATTGGCTGGAGACCGCAGCAGGATTCGCCCTCCTTTATCCTCGCAACGTTGATCCGTGCCATTCCTTTTTTCTTTCCCCCTCCCCCAGGCAGCCAGCCGCCATGGCCGCCTCGGTCCAAGCAGATACCGAAAGCGCCTGTAAGCAGCGTCGGTTCATGACGAGGCTGTGGAAGGGGTCACAGACAGCGAACTGCTGTTAAGCATACCGACTTTCTCACCGAGGACCCACACAGAGGAGACTGGCGGAGACGACGGTCTCCGTGCTACGTATGTTTCGCTGACTGTTCCCGCACTAGGCGGCCTGCTTACGGGCTGGCGAGGCCGTGTGACACGTACGGATTGGCTGGGGGAGGGGGGGCTTATGCATCGCGTGTCTGACAAGGACAACCGAGGTGGGGGGGGGGGGGGGCGAGATCTTTGCCCGGGTCAGGAGGGATGGAACGCACGTAATCATGAGCGAGAGGGGGGAGCAGCCTGTCGTAATGACGGCGACAGTGGTGAACATTCGCCAATATGGGTTCAGTGGACTGTCACTTGTTTCCCGGGTCTTACTGGTTCTGTCGCTTGGTCACTGCGAGTCCACGCCCTTTGTGAGAAGGGGGCCGGCTTACGGGAGACCGAGGGCTCTGCCCCAGCGATAGGTGATTGCCATAGGAGTCAAGGTCAGATTGCGAGTCGCTTGTGTCGTATCTGAGGGCTCACTGATTCAAAATCAGCTCATAGCCTGGTTGCGGACATCACATCATTGTAGCACGCGTGACTGAGATAGGCGGGCACTTGAAGGGGAAAACAGGGGAACACCGTGTCCCGTGCCCATGTATGTATTGGCAATGTATTCAAGACTTGCATCCAACCCTTTGTCGCTAAACATCATCATGGCCATTCATCAACATTATGCCTGGCACATTCTGCCGTCGGCAGCGACATTCCACGCGTCGCTGCCGACCGTCTTCAGTGCATAAAAGACACCTTGAGGGTCCCACTGCTTCTTAATGGTCAGCAACTTGTCGTAGTTGCTGCCAAAGAACTTCTCCTGCCAGTCGGGGATGTTGAAGTCGACCTCGTTGACGTAGTTGCCCGAGCCCGGGGTCGCTGCCTCGATGGGCGGGATGATGGCGTCCGTCATGGTCTTCTGGTCCGCCAACATCTTGTCCCAGTCCCCGGGCGCGTTGCTCCAGGCCGTCGAGTACTGCACATGGATGGAAGCGCTGCGCCAGTGCGGGTTCACGGCGTTGTCGACGCCCGTGGGCGCCGTGGCGTTGAGAGCGACACCGGCGGCCAGGACGCTGTGGTTGTCGGCGCCGTAGCGGATCGCGGCGATGTAGCTGGCGCGGGCGGCGTCGTCGGTCAGGACGGAGCGTGGGACGAGGCGGGAGCCAAAGTTGTAGGACTCAACCTCGACGTGGCCGTAAGGCAGGGGACCCATCCACTGGTTGTAGTGGTCGCTGTAGGTGGTGTAGTTGGTCGCGGCGGAGGAGTAGGGGATGGAAAGGTCGGCGAGGACGTCAAGGAAGGGCTGGAGGATAGCCTTTGCCTCCTCGGCCGTCTTGTTGTAGGCGGTCAGCGGGTTGATGGCGAAGATGCTGCTGTTGTAGAGGAAGACGACCATGGCGCCCTGGTCGGTCATGCCGGGGAGGAGGGAGTGGAAGGCGTCGAGCATCTGCCACCACTTGTCCTGGGTCGTGTAAATAGCCGCGGTCTTCAGGCCGACACCGCCGACGACGACGTCGGGGTGCGCGCGGACGGTGACGGAGGTGACAACGCCAAAGGTACCAGGGCCGCCTCCGCTGAGGGCCCAGAAGAGGTCGGGGTTCTCGGCGCGGGAGGCGGTGACGATCTTGCCGTCGGCGGTGACGACCTCGAACTCAAGCGCCTGGTCGGCGGCCATGCCGAAGTTGGTGGTGAGGGCCGAGTGACCGCCTCCCTGGATGTATCCACCAGCAAGGCCGACTGTGGGGCATTCACCGCCAACAACGACAAGGCCGGCGGCCTCGGCGGCCTCGGTGACCTCGTAGCCGAGGACACCAGCGCCCAGTTTGATGGCGGGGCCGGTCCAGAGGTCGTCGGACCATTGGGTCACGGTGATCTCCTTGAGCTTGTGTGTCCAGGCGGCGAGGGCTCCGGCGCCGGTTGATCGGCCGAGATGGCTGGGCCGAGCGGGTCAGCTGACGTGTTTCACGGAGGCGAGTGGCCATGTACAAAAGAAAGGAAGAAAGAAAGAAAGAAAGAAAGGGGAGAAGACGGGCTTACTCGTGACCGGTGTTACGGACAAGGAAGCGAATGTTGTTGTCCCGCGCAAAGTTGATGGCCTCGACGACATCCTGGGCGGACGTCACCTCGACGGCGTAGTTGACGTAGTTGCCAATCAGGCACGGCGTGGTGCGGTCGGTGAAGGGGTCGCAGGACTGGTTGGCGAAGTAGGGCTGCATCACGGACGACGACGAGGGAAAGCTGGCGTCTTGTTAGCATGATTGTTTAGATTCGCCACCAGATGCCTGGCTCCAGGTTGGCTTACTGAGTCTGCGGGAGAGTCCACGACGCCCGCAGCGCGGCGCAGGCGGCCTCGTCATAGGTGGGGTCATGGCAGACGGAGCCGATGGGCACCGTGGCAACGAGCTTGCCTCCAACGGTGCTGTTGAGGGCGTCCCAGGACGAGGTCGAGGGCCAGCAGTCGTCGCCGGGAAGGCAGCGGCACGAGGCGTTATCGGCGCGCTTGGGGAGCAGCCCGGCGGTGGCGGCGAAGGGCGCGACTGCCAGGGTGGCGGTCGCGATGACGGCGGAGGTCTTCATCTTTGACAGGGCTGAGACAGGAAACGGGGCGCACCGACGAAAGAGCGACGAGAGAGCCTGTGCAGGAGGGAGTGAGTTGGGATATTAAAGAATGACTGGGCTGCAGGGAGGACTCCTGATGAGCCATGATGAAGCGGGAGGGCCATTGGGTCGTCTTTATATCGGGAGGGAAGGAAAACGGACTGTGAGACCCGGCATCGACCCTTGGCGGCGGCGCATGGGGCCGTCATACATACGATGTGCGATACCGGTAGGCTTGTGGTGTAGGGGACGGGGATGGAGGCTTTCGACATCAAGCTGGACTGAACAATGGCGTCGGACAACCTCCACGGCGTCACCATTTCTCACTGCCCCAGGAGGGGCCGTTCCCAGGATCGACGCCCCTTTTGGGCAGGATGCTCCGGGATAGCATGGTGAGCATGGGGGACGGGATGCGGAGCCACCCCCTCCACCTTTGCGCGATCCCCTTGAAGCAGGCCAAGGACCAGGGTCTGCGGATCTGGCCTTCCTACCCTACGGACATCCACCGTTGACATTTTGGGGTTTGTTTAGCTCCAGCAGCTTTGACCTCGAGGATCGACACGAGGTTCTGTTTGTGCGAGGGAAGTGACTTGGAGGCTTAGATATCGACGGGGCCGAGAGGAAAATGAGACGTGCACAATGAAAGTGGAGACTCATGCATGCCGAAATGGTATGGCGACATGGTAGTGGTAAGGAAAAGCGGCCATGTTTTTGTGTCTTCTTCTCCCGAGTGGCCATGGTCGTTCCGAGTGACAGGCTTCTAGAAGGCGCGCGTGTGTGTGTGTGTCTGTGTGTTTATGCTTATGTGTGTGTGTGTGTGCGTGTGTGGAAATATCGAATGGGAAAAGAGCGTCCGATGGTTGGGTTGGGTTGCGTTGTGGCTTCGTACTGACGCTGCATTAAATCGAATCTCGCCGCATCGGACGGTTGGAATGCTTGGCCGCGATTGCCGTGCCTCGGCCCCTGATTTTGTCGCAAGGCGACAAAGACAGATACGGTATGGCGAGAGAAGATTCAGCCAGCAGGCAGTGACAGTTAGTCTGGTGGACATCAATAATGCGAAACTCTCGCTGGAGATCCTTTGCCGGGAGCGGGCGGGCGGCCCCCAATGCTCCATGGTTATGTAGTTAACCTGTCGACTGTAGCTGGAGAACCCTTGATCGCTGTGCATTTCTGACGTGCCCGTTCTTTACACTTTCATCTCTTGTCACCGCTCGTCCCAGGGTCTGTTGTGGTTCCTCCTGCGCCACAGGCCTGATGATGGCAGCCGCTGATTGCATGGGCCTTTTGATTGCGAGTTTTCGCCGTTTAACGACGGGCAGGGCTGACTGGGGTCTCTCCCTGTGTGTGTGTCTCTCTCCCTCTCTCCCTGTCTCTCACTCTCTCACTCTCTTACGCCCCATCAACGCCACGAGGCCAAGCTTCTTACCACCCGCCCACATCGCTGACCATGGCGTTAGTCAGTCTATATTTCAATTTATTATCAGTCGAATCTTTGAAATCATCTACCTTCGAATCGGCGCAAAAAGAGAGTGCCAGCAGTCACCGACCTACCTATCCAATGCGTCTACCCAGTTAACATTTGATTATTCATTCGTAATAACTACGTGCAATACGTATCAATGTTTGTGGGGATACTTCGGATTTACGCTGGTGGAAATCCTCCTTCACTTTTTTTTTTTTTCCTTTTTTTTTTTTTTCCCCCTTTCCCTTCCTTCCCCGATGGCAAGTGGAACTTGCCCCCCTTTTTGGGTAAGAGGCGAAGGCACCTATCCATCCAGACCTAAACCCATTATTACCTCCGTTTGCAAATTCAATCGTCTTTTCCGAGTCTTCCATCCTGCGTGGTGTGGTGTCGGTTCCAATAGTCTCGGCCACCAGCGTCAGCCGCCACGTTTTCCACCTTGTCGCTCTTCCAAGTCCCAACGGCCCCCCGAACTTTAGCTAGTCGTTCTAGACCTGCCATGCTACCAACCCTTGGGACAGCGCATAGAGGGCAAGAGAAAAAGAAGAAAAACGCAGATATAAGGGGCGCCGGGGACATGTATCAGGTGACGGCATCGAACCATTTCGCCTCCCTTGCGGCTTAATGACCAAATTCTTCCAACAGCTCCCTGGGTACCTGCAGAAACTGCGGGTCTATATCGTTATGTGCGGACCGACGGTAACCAACCGCAACCTCGAGTCTCCCACTAGTATTCTGCAATTGCGAGAGGGCAAGCTTCTTAGCCTCGGCAGAACGCACCACCCCCCCCTGCACTTGAGCGTTGCAGACTCCTGCATCTGGCCCTTGCTTGGTCCAGGGCGGGCCTTCATGCAGTTGCGTTGCTCGCGCCCCAACCCAGCTAGCTGTCAACATGTGCTTCTATCAGGAAGAGGGGCCGGGAGGCAATAGTTGGGCTGAAAGGGGAATCTCTGCGCCGGCATGATTTGAGCCAGCTTCTCCTTTTCGAAATCGGAGCCTGCGCACGATCCGGCATCTACCAACTGCATGTTACACGTGTAATCCGCTCGAGGCCGGTGCAAAACTCGTTCCATTCTGATGGGTGGGAGACCGACCATCTCTATCTGCGAAGTAGCGTATCGTTGATTGTTCTCAATCTCTTTCGGGAAGGAAGCCCCTTCTCCCCTGGTGTTGGCGCTATCCACCCACCCTTTCTCTATCTTTCCCCTTGGTTCGCCTCCGTCTTCTTTGCCGTGATCCGAGCCTTCCCATACTACCAAGGTCGTCTTAGGCTCGGTTACACTGCACATAGCCCACTTCTGCCGGAGGACCAAGGATAACAGTCGTCGCGCGGGCAATCGTCCAGACCCCGAGACCCTGTCTGCTGGGCTCGGGTTCTAGAAACGCGCAACGGGCGGATTGGCCCGCCGGGGGGTAGATGAAGACGTTCGTCACGATGCCGTTGCTGGCTGTCGAACAGGGTCGGACGAGGTCAGCAGGACGAAGTCTATCGGGCCATGACACCCGATTGAGGATGGCCTTACCTAGGGGGTACCCTGATAACGTCTCAGGCACGTCGTAGACACCGGTGAAGGTGCCGTTCTCGTATGTGAACGAGATGCCGAACACTGCACCAGGCTCTTCGTCTTGTGGTCTCGGGGCGGCCGCGGTGAGGGCGGCAGAAAGGAACGCGGACGCAGCAGTGAGCCTCATCGTGGATATCGCCAGAGATGCTTGTTGACCCGTCGGCGAGACACTCAGATGCGTCGACAGTTTGCTTTATAGCGCCGGGAATTTCCAGCTGCCCTTTCAATGATAGCCTACTAACCCTTGGTTGTGCTGACAGAGCGCCATGTCCGACACGAGGTATTTGCCTTGCTATTGGTCCACCGCATCATCCTTTTCATCGTAATCACGAACAAGCTAGTAGTGGAAGTCCACCATCAGCAAAAAGGCACGGCCTTCTTGGCACACCCGCAGTGTCGGGCTCGTATCTGAGATACGAAAATCAAGTGCCGGGCTATGATTTCTGATGTTAAAGCCTTGGGTCTGCCCGCTGACAAGTCGTGGCATTGGCCTTCCAAGGAGGACACAAAATGGATCAAACACAAAGTCCGTGTCAAAAACGAAGGTACCATAGCTTTCCCACTATAACACTGCTGGAGGTTTCTGCTCTATCCCTCTGTCTGCTGCAGACGTTTTCCCCCTCCAACATGGAGAATGTACTTCACGATTTGGCGTCAAACGGTTGTTTAGACGAAGGCCATGATTCCACACCAAACTCATGCATAATCGCGACATAACAACGACACCCTTAACCACAAAGCCTCGGTCATAGATGCCTCTGAGAGCTTGTTCTCGTAGTGCTTCGTGCTCTCTGAGAAGAAGCAGCATTGCCTGCGCGTGGCGTCGAACTTCCACTTATTGTCAGAGGCGTCAGAGCCGAAGAAGTGTTGGCCAGCATGATGGTCTGAGCAGTGACACCGAATACTCATTGCCGACTGTGGAAAGATGCTCTGGGGACAGGCCGACCCGTGATGAAAGAAGTATAGGTGTATAGTGTGCATCGTCCTACTGCCGTTGTCTGAAGAAAGACACAGAGTTGCAAGTTCGCCAAGCCCCTCTTCGATCAAGCAGTATTGCCGTGATCTTGGCCCCCAATTCAAAGAGATTGCTCGAAGAAGCTCACAGATCCGCAATTATCCCCTGACGTGCCATACTGTCCTGACAATACCCCTGTGTTGCGATCACGGGTTCGCAAGGTTGATACGACATAGATTTCTAGGCATTGGAGCTTTTCTTTTTCCATATCGGTCAGGCGCAAGGCTCAAGCACCGGTGACCAACATCCACGGATGCAGATTACAGTCGCAAATCATAGAATACCAATGCCCCATTGTTATTTTCATCAGGCAAAGGCCACGAAGGGCGACCTCAAAACCCGACCGCTCGAATCAATCTTGACGCCCTCTTTCCTCAGAAGCATCCTCTTCTCATCCAGAGTAATGCCCTCTCCGTCTTTGGGCCACTTGCCCTTGAAGCCCCCCAAAGCCCCACCAGTGGCAACGACTCTGTGGCACGGGACTTGTGGCGCAAAAGGATTGCGACGCAAAGCGTTGCCGACGGCGCGCGGTGAGGACTTGAGATGAGCTGCTAGGATGCCGTATGTCGTGACTTGGCCCTTGGGTACTTGGCACAGGGCAGTCCAGACTCGCTTCTCGTATTGAGTGCGATTTGACCGGGCGATACGGTCCAGCTGTGTCTGCATGTCGTCGCCTTCAGGTATGGAGATGGATGTGATGTCTCGTGCGATAGTCACAGACGACGCCTTCGCAAGGGCTGTTGTAGACATGGCGATGATGTGTGTAAGATGACTAGGATCGTGTCACTGCGTGACGGGGCCGGTTCAGGATCAGGTAAAGTTTGAAAGCACGGCGAGTATCAACAAAGGGTACTGATAGAAGAAGAAGAAGAACAACAGGCAGGACATTGATAAAGTGCTGATTGAGTCAAAGATAAAATAGAAAGTTTGGCCGCTGTCAATGTCAAGACAAGGGCGCGTCGCAGACCGCGGCGAGCCCAAGCGGGGGCTTCGCGTGCACTCGCGGGATCACATGATAAACACGTGACCGTCATGACATACTTGAGCCGGTTCAGGCTTCTCGCAGCGCATACCTAGTATAGTCTTTTCTCAAGATAGGTACCTAGCGGCCAACTGGTACTTCCCATGTTTGAGAAGAGACTTTGATGGCCTGTCGAATAATGTGCTGTCTTGTTTATGTATTTTTTCTGCATCCTCTTCAGAAAAAAGGACTTCCAGCCCATGCTTTCGTGACCATCCGAACGCCAAACTGATTCAGTTGTAAGAGATGTTGTAAGTTCGTGGCAATCCCGAAGTAGGCCGCTCACAAGCTTCGATGGCGAAAACAGTAATAGGACCTCGCCTTGGTAAAAATGAAACCAAAACCATGCCCCCTCTCCCGGCCTCTTAGTCGCCAGTGTCAACCTCAAGGTCCAGCTGCACACCGTTGCTGACACCATAGTCCTCCAGCGTGAGGTTGTCCTTGAATGGCCGCTCGCCCTGACGCTTCAACAGAATCTCGTGAGGCTCCCGGCCGACTCTTGCAGCCACCAGAATCTTGAACATCTTGACAGGGTCCGACGCCAGGCAGGGGATCGCAGCCTTTGTACCCAGACGGTCGTTGACGTGCACAATGATCATCTCCTCACCGCCAGCAGTCGGGGCAGGGGCGGGCTTGTCCTTCTTAGCGGGCTTCGGCGCATCCTTCGAGCTCGAGGCACTGGGCCTGTTATCTCTGGGGCCCGAGTCACGGGGGCGGTAGCTGTCGTTGTTGCGGTTGCGGTCCCGATCACGGTCGCCGTCGCGGTGGCGGCGAGGAGAGTTGGAACGATTGCGGTAGCCTCGCTCGAGGCCTCTTCTGTCGTCGCGGTCGTCGCGGCCGTCGCGGCGGCTATTGTCCTTCCATTTGAAACCGCCTTGTTTTCTCGGTCTGTCGCGGTCTCTCTCGCGATCACGCCGAGGCGAGCGCGACCTTGAACGCTGTCGATCAGCCATGGCGAGGTGGGGTGGTTCGGTGTGAGAGACGAATAAATGTAGCGGCGGTCTCCAGAAGCTTTAGGTAGTTTAGGCACTGCAAGCGCCGTGACCTCACAAGCTGCCCCACCTTCGACATTAGGAGCTACACCTGATTACATAACTGTCTGACTACTGAAACCCCACCTCGAGTCAGTCTGCATTAGCCTAATAACTCTGGAACCGCACTTGCTAATCAAGTGTGTTTCTTCAGTCTAACTAGCCTGACATTAACATACCGGAATCAAAGCCAATGGACAGAGGCTGGGGAGCTGTATATACATGTGTTAGGAGTCAATAAAGAAAAGACTTGAGAGGAGCACCCTGAAAACCCGTAAGGGTCTTACTAACCAGATAGTAACAAATCAGAATCAAGGCCGATTGAAGGAGGCTTAGGAGCTGAACGTTGGGGCGTTGGGCCATATGTGGAGTTATCACTTGTCAAGGAAGGACGCATTGCTGCTCAAGATGCGGACATGCGCTATTCACAAGTAGTGTGTAAAGACTGGTGAACTTTTGACGTCTCCTTTATTGAGCGTCTATATCTATGACTTAAAAACCAAATGCATTCCTTCTTTTCTAGTCGTCAAACGCATTGGAGGCAATGGCCGTCACAATCCTGTTCGCGACACTCTCCAATATGTCTGTTCCTTGCGTAGATGCCTCAACCTTAGACTCCTCAATGGATTCCAGAATAGTCTTAATTCCAAGACCGATCTTATTGGATCGGGTGTCGTTTTGCACAGATTGGATGACGGCTTGGACGTCGTTTCCGCCGAACATACCCGTTTGTTGCAACACCGAAGCAAGTTCGCGAACGTCTGAGACGGCAGGCACTGGGATCTGTCTGCGGAAGTGCTTGAGAACGCCCAGGTTGCTAAGGATGGAGCGTTCCGAAGTCGTGACCATGATGAGGATGCGCCGGCCCTACGTACGGTTAGTTTCAGCTCATACGTGTGAATAGTGTGTGTGGCCTCACCTTGGGGGGTTGTGTCTGAATAAGCGAAATAAGTCTGTCAAGCACAGTATTGGAGAAGCGAGGCCCAATCGGGTTCCACTGAATCAGCTGCTCAAAGTTGTCCAAGACCACGATGCTTCGCTCTGACTTGTGGGCGTCGGTGAAAACCTTTGTGAGGTAGTCACTCTTTCCAAACTCGTCCCGGTAAGCAGTGAGGTGTTGGGGCGAGACAAGCTTAACGAAGGGGAATTCAGATTGCATGGCAGTGTGAGCGGCCAACGCTGTCTTCCCGGACTCTTGTGGCCCATGAAGCAGAACCGGGATTCTGGTGAGAACATCTGATTCCTTGACAGTATCAATGTAACCCATCATTGTACGGATAATGGCCGGAATGTTTTCGTTGAACTGAAGAATTCCCATTCCAAGAGCGTTTGCGATTTCATCCTCGGAAACACCGTAGGCGGGCTTGACCTCGGTCAGCGCGTTCTCGAAGTCGTCCATGGTGATCTTCATTGCAGAGACATCGGACTTCATCTTGGCGCTGTTGCCGACTTCAGTGTGGCGGTTGAAAGCGAAAGAAGTTGCTGCCTTGACGACACCGGAGATCTCGGCACCAGAGTAGTTCTTGGTACGGGCTGCCAGTGACGCGAGGTCAACCCTGGGATCCATAATGTTGTTGTCCCGCATCTTGGCAGTGTGAATCATCAGAATCTCCTTGCGTCCTTCTTCGTTGGGTAGACTGATTTCCAGCTGCACCTCCAAACGACCAGGACGCAGGAGAGCCTCATCGATCATGTCCTTTCGATTGGTCATACCGATGAGCAGGATATTGTTGAGCTGGTCAACACCATCGAGCTTGGTGAGCAGCTGGTTGACAACACTGTCGCCAACGCCAGTGCCACCGCCAGCACCAGAGCCTCTCTGCTTGCAGACGGCATCCAACTCGTCAAAGATGATGATGTGAAGGCCACTCTGGTCACCCTTCTCCTTGTACTCCTTCTCTGCGTCGGCGAACATCTTTCGGATATTCTCTTCGGATTGACCGACGAACTTATTAAGGACTTCAGGACCGTTGATAATCTTGGGCTCGCGGGCGTTGAGCATCTTGCCGATTTGCCTGGCGATGAGCGTCTTTCCGGTTCCAGGAGGACCGAAAAGCAGGATACCCTTGACGTGCTGGATACCAAGCTTCGCTACCAGTTGCGGGGGAAAGACACGGGAAGCAAAGGCTCTGCGGAAAATGGTGGAAAACTCGTCGTGCAGGCCACCGATACCCATATCCTCAAACTTGAAGTCTGGCGAGATAATGGGGTTGGCGTTGCCCTGGTGTTCTCCGACTTGGAGCTTTAGTTCAGAGTCGGCAGCCTTGAAGAAGGACAGAAGCGTTGAAGTGTTGTAGAAACCACGGGCAGAAGGGTCTGAGCTTGTGACGACGGCATCAGGTCCACGGCCACCTTGGAAAGTGATGGTCTTTACAGTAGCAAACAGCTTCAGCCCCTCGATGTCGAGCAGGGTTCTTTGGCCAGGAGCGAAGAAATGCATCTGGAAGAAGCGCTCAAAGACCTTGGCCAAGTAGTCGTGCGTGAACTCGTACTTGGGGTCTCTCTTCATCGAAGCCCAAGAAAGCTCGAGGTCCATCGCTTCCAGGGGGGTGGCGCCTTGCCTACTGGCATCGTATACCTCGCCCTCGAAGGTGTCCGTCATTCCGATCTTGAGCCACTGTCGCTGCGGGTCGGAAAGACTGATGGTGCCTTCGGGAAGCTCGGGTGTTGGCCTAGCCCTAACAACATTCTCTCGTACGGTACCGCGGACAGGGTCTCTGGCTCTAATAAGGATGTTGATGTCGGCACCGTCGCGGCTTGGGGCAAAGTCTCGGTAGCTCACGCCAGCGCTACATCAGAGTTAGTTGTGAGTTGTGAGAGAGACAAGGAAAGAATATTGGGATACTTACACATTGGCGTAAATGAGCTGAGTTTGTAAGGCCTTATCCCGGATCTTTTCAACCCTCAGGCGCACGCCCGGCTGCCTGGGTTGCTGTGGTTGCTGTGGTTGCTGCCGAGGCAGCGGCTTCTCGGGGAAGCTCATGCTGAAGTTTGCTCGGTCGAAGTAGGGAGAGGTGATGGATTTGGTTATTCGGTCACCCACGGGTTCGTGTAGCGGAAGGGTTGTGTTTTGGTTGTTGAGGAAGACGGCGAGTGTGGGATGATGAGGGGAGGTTATGTAGTTAAGGTGGATGTTGGGAACTTGCTTGGAGGGGCTTCTCGGCGTCGTCTACGCCTCAAGTCCCTGGGCCCGGGGAGCGCTAAACCTTGTTCAGGCAACGTCGACTTAAGGCGAAGTAGGGTACGTACACGGCGAACCCTTACCTTACCCTTGCTGCAGCGAATGGTGTGAAAGATGCGTCGGTGCTTATGTGGACCCGGCAGGTGGGTTTGTAACCGTGTTCAGTCCGTTTCAACTCTGGCTGGCTAGTTTGAGAATGCCCGACTCGACTTCGAGTATGAGACATACGGCTCAGCAAAGCTGGGTTGTTTTGAACAGAACCATGAGTTTCTGTGAGTATGGCGGTTAATCTTGTAAGCGCTGACATGTGTCATGAACCCGAAGCGTTGACGACAAATGGTAAGTGCCAACCTACCCCTACCTACCTAGGTACCTAAGGTATCTAGGTACTCTGTATCTTTAGCAGAGCTGACTGAGCGTGACAGCCCAGGAGACGCAAAGTGGGGACACCGCAGCTGCCACAGCTGTCTGCGTGTCTGCCCACACCGGTGCCTGCCTTACAAATGACGTCTATTGGCGCACAAATCCCACTAGTCTGCTTTCGGATTCCACTCCCACTTGCTTGCAGCTTAATGAGCGGCGATCTCAACTGAGATGGCCGTGAACCTCCCCATCTTATCAAGCTTCATCACCACGCCGTCTGAGATACCCAGTTGCGAAAATGCCTCTGTGAGTGCATTTCATCATAGATGCAACGCGAAAACGTGCTAACAAGATTGCAGCCATCTGCTGGGGAAAAAGTCCTGGAACGTTTACAATGCAGACAACATCGCCCGGGTCCGCCGAGATGAGGCCGCCGCGAAGGCCAAGGAAGAGGCCGAGGAACAGCGCATGCAAGAAATTGATGCAGAGCGCCGCCTAGCCATCCTAAGAGGTGAAGAGCCACCGCCTCTGCCCCCAACAGAGACACCTGAAGATGAGATAAAGCCTCGGGACCGCGATGCTGTGCCCATCGGTAGGGAGAGGAAGAAGCGTAAGCGGGTGGGCGAGGACGACACGGATTTTGAGTTACGTGTCGCGAAAGAACGCGCAGCTGCGGTGCAGACTGCCACCCAAACGCTGCGTAAGTCGACGAGTTCTGCGCCCATCGTCGACAACGCCGGCCACATTGACCTCTTCGGTGAAGAACGCAAACAGGGCCGCCATCTGAAGAATGAAGAAGCCGAGAAGGAGGCCGCCAAGAAGAAGAAGGAACTAGAAGACCAATACACCATGCGGTTTTCGAACGCTGCAGGTAGAGACGGGCTGGTCGGTCCTTGGTATGCAACCTCTGGGGCTATATCAGAACTCGAACCCCCGAGTAAGGATGCATGGGGTAACGAAGACCCCGGGAGGAAGAAGAGAGATGCCGAGAGAATCGTTTCAAACGATCCTCTTGCCATGATGAAAATGGGTGCTTCGAGGGTGCGCGAAGTTAAGAAAGAACGCCAAAAGTCTGAGGCTGAGCGACAAAGAGAACTGGAGCAACTACGAAGAGAGGAGAGACGCAAAGAGAAACACGAACGGCGAAGACGAGAACACAAAAAGGGTGAAGATCGATCCGGGAGAGACGGGTCTCGTGAAGAGGATCGGGATGAGGAACGACGTCGATCAAGGAAAGAAGATGACCGTCATCATAGATCGAGCCACCGAGACGATGAGCGCTCACGAAATAAGGATCGCTGGCACGGAGAGAGAAACCACCGACTTGAACGAAGGCGCGGCGACAACAAGAGCCGAAAAACAGAAACACGAGGTCGGGATGAAGCAGGACATCGATCAGAGAGTGAAAGGCACAAGCGAGACTCTGACTCACGACGACGCGATGAATAGGGGCGTCGACCAGAACTCGATGAGGGGAGCAAGCATTGACTACAAAAGGCGTGAGAAATATCTACAACTACATAAGTGTTGACAGCGACCCACTGGGGTTGTGCGTACAACTTGTACGGAAGATCTTGTCCAAACCTTCGTGGTCTTGGTATTTCGGACGTCTTGCAGCCAGACGCTAATAGGGAGTTCCGAAAAAGTCCTCCTTGAACATGGTGTTGAATGCTTTGCCCTCGTTGTGTAGGCACCCGAGGCCGGCGCTCACTCACGCCAGACAAGGTCTCTCGTCTCCTCGAACCACCGATGGAACCTGTAATCTTGCGCGCCTTGTCGTAGGAGCTTTTCAAGGGGCTGGAGTGCGTCTTGATGACATGCTCAGCCACGACACGACACCGCACCAATTCCGTAACTGTCGATGAATTCCGTCATCGGTATCAAGGCCGCCCGGGTTGGAGGAAAAGGCTCCTATGCATGATGAAGTCGGAGTTTTGAGGATTCAAGCGGCGAGGCCTCCAACCTGCGATACCAATCATCGAGCCTCGGAACGTGATTTATGCATGCCTCTTGTCGTCCTAAGCGTTCTGGCGATGACCTTGAATGGCCAAGCGATTGACGAGCATGTTCAAACCCTGGGGTTTCGATTTCGTCTTGTGTGCTACCACGAGGTATGTCGTGAGGTACTACAGCCTCTGACAGACCAGCCGACTCTGGAGCAAATTTAGAGCATCCGAGGCGAACACTGTTGGTGCTGACTTTTTATTCCGGATACAGGGGCTGGGTCGCGATTCAGCTTCCTCGCAGGACTGCTTCGAGATAGCTCCGGGCCGTAACGCGTGAATGAGACAAAGCTTGACGGCAAACATAGTTCTGGTCGTTATCTGAAAGCTCGGCGATATCAATAATTTTTTGCATGGGATTTATCGGGTCCGGGGTAGCTTGGTTAACAAACGCCATCATCACTGAGCCGCGTATCTTTGCACATACTTTCTGCCTTTGCAAAAGGGCAAGGCTGCAAATGTGAATCTTGATGTATTGTCTTTGATATACTTTGGGCGAGATGATAATGTATATTCCAGAATCGATTGCCTTGAAGTAGTTGAATTACGCCGAGAAGGACGTCTGTGAATCCATTCAGTTGAGCGTTGAATGTTGTAGAGAAGATGCCTCCGAAAGGGAGATGTTGGAGTTAGGAAGCTGTTGGGTTCTGTGCTTGTACCTAGGAACCGAAGTGATTATCAATCTTGCAGGGACAAATGCGTGTAGGTGCCTTACGTATGTGGAAGGTATGAGAAATAAGCCGGCACATGGTACAATACTCTGCTGGCAAGATCCAACGGATAATTCCCAATTCGCTGACCCACAGACTGCTTCAGGTCTTCGAGAACTTATCACTATATTGATAATCGAGGGATTTGTGTTGTATACTCCTGACAGGACTCACTCTGTCCCTTTCTCGTTTACATTTTCTATTGCACCTTCTCCAAGCTACCATGTCTGCTTCGCTGCTTCACCTGCGACACACACACCCACTTACAGAGTCTGATCCACTTTCCTTCCTTCTCCTCCATCACCCAGCCCACGCGAGCCCCCTCACTCATGCATAAGAGCAACACTGCGCAAGCTTTTGCCTCAACTCGATCATGGGACCTCGCATTGCTGTTGTGGCCTCCAGGCCTACACACGCACACGTGTGACCACAATGGCATATACGTAAAGGCATACAAGACTTCCAGATTGCCAGGTCGAGAAGTCAGCTAAGATTAAGTGGGTAAGTCAGCTAAGCATTACGTGCCTAGCCAGCGCCGTAATATAACAAAGCCGGTGTGTCCCTTTCGTGTGGCGAACATCGGTGTTCTGGTAGTGCATGCCCATCCAGAAGAATTCAATTTGGGATGCTGTTCTTCTTGGACATCTTGACCGTGGCTCAGCATGCTAGCTAGGCAGTAGTCGCAGGTGTCCTGAGCATACTAGGTTAGGCATTGTAATCCTGGTAAATCCATGGCATAGCCACAAAAAAGGCACGGTGGCGAAACAGGAAGGCTTCTGGAAGGATTCGACGGTGGATCAGGGAGAGGCTCAGCTCCGTTGGGATTTCAAAGGTTAAGATCTACGGCTTACATGGCAGTTCATCCTGAAGATGTTTCGAAGCTTGGCCGACCAGTGCAGTGAGGCAGTGCAACCATGCTTTTTTTTCTTTTCTTTTCTTCTTCTTTATCAATGTCTCTCTTTACCCAAGCAGAGCGAACAGGGCTTCCTGAAGGCTGGGTCCGCTTGTCTGCCTAATGTTAGTGTACTGGTCATTGGGGAACGGGCAACTGGTCGGGTATGATGACCTTACGAATATGGTATCAAGATCCGAATAATTGGCAGACGATATGCTGATGGGCAGACATGCTGGTTGCGGAGCTATTCCCCCGAAGGCGCCGGGCGAAAGAATGGTCGGGCAGTGCTCGGCCACGAGTGCCGGAGAGACGCTATGGCCACATACGGAGAGTGTGGAACAGGGCGGTCGGCGCAGATTGGCCGATCCGGAGACTGGTGCATCAATGGCGTTCTGCCCAGAAGCTCGGCGGCGGTAGCTCGAGTGGGCAATGGTATTTGTGCACATATGCAGGAAGCGGGGGCTATGAAGTCATTCCTAGATCCCGTGGGCTTTCTTGGAGAGGCTCTGCAGGTCGGCCGTAGGAGCTGTGTTGGTTCGGCGGGGCAAGAGCCAAAGGAATGCCGGCACGCAAAATGGGTATCAAAACGAACACCTGACCGAAACGAAAGCAACTGCAATTACTAAATGCTTGACTGTGGGTAGGATTCTCGACGCTGGAGTTCCATGATATCATGCCGCTTTGCCGTACACCCTTGGCGGAACTCGGCACGCGCAAGTGCGGTGATTGGCGGTTGGCGTGCTGGGTAGGGACAGGGCTCCGAACATGATAAATGATGACACAGAGATGAATGTTTTATGAAACGTTTCCCATTCACGAGGGGACTGACTGTCTTTGGTTCGATGGTTGCAGCAATTGCCCCTGACAACGAGACACTGCGCGACACCCCAGATCTTGTCGAGATCAGACGGCGCAGGCTGGGATGGGATTGTGGCTTGCTTGGGGAAGGAAGCCTGGATGAGGGAAAAAAGTGCCAATTCATCCTGAGCGATCCCTGATCAGCCACGCCCAGCCCGTGCGCAGGCAGAAAGTCGCGCGCAAGTATGTAGTAACTGATTTACCAAAGGCTGATTATGGGCGAAAATCAGGCCCGCCGCCGGCTCCTAAGGTTGGTTGCAGTTGTCCAGGCAGCGACGAATGAGGAGGGCTGAGCAGCAAAAGGCCGCTTCGTGGAAAGGTTGAATGCCACCGGGCGGCCGTATCTCGCACATGGCCTGGATGTACGAGGGCAACGTCTGGGAGTTCGTCCTGGTTGACCGGGCAAAGCGAAGAAAATGTGTACCGCAGTAAGACTGCATGCAGGGCCGGCAGGTTCATGATTGGAGGTGGCATGGAAAGTCAAGCCGTCGCATCCAGACGGCGGCTATGCGGGTATAACTACCTCGGTACCTAGTTGGGTAGCTTCACTTTGCGCTCTTGTTTCGAGGGTGGGTGAGTGAGAGGGTGGGTGAGTGAGTTCAAGAGAGTTCAAGATGTGGAAGCTAAAATGAGAGCACAGGCCACGGGGTTTTCTCTCCCTTGGAGAGTTTCTACGCTGTATCCGTACTCTCTCCATCATCGGGCACGTTTGCCCCCGCATTTTCATGGCTTCTTCTGCTTGTATCCCTGTCCCTGTCCCTGTCGGCAGGTGAACAGACCACGGCGAGTACCTACCTCTAGGTACCTAGGTTAGCTACCTACCTACTATGTAGCATTCGATTGCACGCGACCGTCGTGACCCTGATCCTTCGGCTTCCGTAGCTTCCTCTCGCGGCTTCCCTACCTCCGGGTCAGACAGGTGGATGGATTGAAGCCTGTTGGTGGTACCGACGCTGTAATGTACAAGTAACCACCCCACCTCGCCCCTCTCTCCACTCCCAAGGTAAAACTACCCAGGTAGATAGCTGGCCTCGATAAAGTAATGTAGACTCCGTACCTAGACCAGACAGACAGACATTCTGGGCGCAACACAGCCTACACACCCCCTCCGTCATTCGACCACCCCGGCTTCTTTGACCCGCGTGTCTATCATCTCCAGTCCTTTTCGTCCCTCTCTACTTCCCTTGCCGTTAGCCTGAGACTCGAGGTGCTAATCCCACGACCACCAGTCAGTCCACATACCTCCCTACTTACTTAAGAACCTCGTCTCCCCATTTTGCTCAAGCTGGATTGAACACATGGTTCACTATTCCGACTCCATTTACGAAGCTTCCGATCATCAAGATAACCATATACACCAAGCTTCGTCCTCCGACTCCGCTCGACATCTACTTCGCAACAGCTCTACCCGGTCGCATTCGCCCACAATGAGCGCCACCAATGCTCCGCACCAGGAGGGTTCCTCAAACGGCAAGGGCAGAGCCCCCGACTACGATGAGAACGACCATCGCACCGAGACCACGACTAACGGTGGTAGCCTCGGCCAGGGCGGCTTCAAGCCCCACGGAGAGATGACGGTCAAGCCCCCCACCAAGGAGGACCTCCAGCGTAGCTACGCCAAAGTCGTCGAAGAAGATGCCAACCCCAAGGGCTGGTACGGAACCATGAGTACGTCCCGTCCCAGCCGCCGTCCTCAATGCTCCATCGCCGCATGCTGACCTTGTGTGCTTCCAGTCAATGCTTTCGGCGCCTGCGTCGGTACTATGGGAGCCATTCCCTGCTGCATCGTCTGCCCGAACCCCTACAAGAACGTGAACCAGGGTAACGTTGGCCTTGTCACCAAGTTCGGCAAGTTCTACAAGGCCGTCGACCCCGGCCTGGTCAAGGTCAACCCTCTCAGCGAGAAGCTCATCCAGGTCGACGTCAAGATCCAGATGGCCGAGGTTCCCCAACAGACCTGCATGACCAAGGACAACGTCACCCTTCACCTCACCTCGGTCATCTACTACCACATCGTCGCTCCCCACCGCGCCGCCTTCGGGATCTCCAACGTGCGCCAGGCCCTTATGGAGCGCACTCAGACCACCCTTCGCCACGTCGTCGGTGCTCGCATCCTTCAGGATGTCATCGAGCGCAGGGAGGAGATCGCCCAGTCCATCGGCGAGATCATCGAGGACGTTGCCGCTGGATGGGGTGTCCAGGTCGAGAGCATGCTCATCAAGGACATCATCTTCAGCCAGGAGTTGCAGGAGTCGCTCTCCATGGCCGCCCAGAGCAAGCGTATTGGTGAGAGCAAGATCATTGCCGCCAAGGCTGAGGTATGCCTCTCTTCCCCATTTTCCACTGAAACCGCGAATCTCACAAGGCCCAGGTCGAATCCGCCAAGCTCATGCGCCAGGCTGCCGACATCTTGTCGTCTGCCCCGGCCATGCAGATCCGCTACCTTGAGGCGATGCAGGCCATGGCCAAGTCGTCCAACAGCAAGGTCATCTTCTTGCCGGGCCCCGGCCAGACCATGCCCAACATCCAGCAGTCGCTCAGCACCAACCAGACGGGCGAGTCGTCGACCGGCGCCAACAATGGCACTGCGGACTTCAATGACTTTGGAGGTCAGAATTCCGGTTTCCAACAAGCCATCAACTCTCGTATCATCGAGAACATTTGAGTTCGCACCGAGTGCTGACTTGAGACTGTCGTTGGGGGGATAGCTTCATCCTACTAGAGCCGGGCCCCTGCACGGTCGATTCCACTTGCTGATCATTGTTGATTTTGTTGCGACGACATACCCCCTTGTACTTGACGATGCTCGACATGATTAGTTTTCATATACCCCTTTGCGACGACCGAAACACCACCAAAAACAAGAAGAAGAAAAAAACCAAAAAAACCGGAACATGTACTTGTATCATTGGGCCTGATCAACAGACGATAGCCGCCATCGGCATGACGAGGCTGGACAGGCTTTGCAGAATACCTAACCCGTTCGTTAACTATGTGCCCGAGGGAGAGATAACGGTGGATAATGGTAATGGTAAATGAAGAAGCCTAAATTGAAGACTTATCTACTGTACATTTTCGCATCCTCGGTCCCTCTGCCCCTCTGCCCCTCTGTCTCTTGATGATATCATGGCCGCGTGATTACTGGAATGGAGATTGCCCATGAGTCGGCGGGGGGTTGATGTGCATTGAGGATGTATGGCTGAGAAAGATGAAAGATGGTATTATACTATTATTCACTGCACTCGGTCTTGCGAGACGGCTGTCTTGAACCAACAACATGTACGCTTTTCCTTTCTCCCCGACCCATCGGGAGACGCCAACACGTAGACGGCCGCTTCAAGTCTCCTTCCAGGGTAGGGAGATCTCGACGGGTTGCATGTCCTTCTCAACCATCTGGGCCACGCCCTTAGCCTCCAGCCCCTTCAACCCCTCGAGCACCTCCTTGTACCCCTCCTCACTCAGCCCCTCTTTCCGGTCGCAGTACACGTCGACGCCCTCCTTGGTAAACATCGTGGGCGCGAACCAAGTGACGGCCCAGCGCTCCCTCTCGCCGCCGGCGATCTCGCGCTCCCCCCACCCGAGAACCTCCCAGTGGCTAGTGACGAAGAACAGCCAGCCCTTGCCACGCCAGTCCCAGGCCAAGGTGTCCCCAGCCGCACAGGCGGTGTCGACGCCCTTAACGGACTTGACGCCGCCCGAGGCGGACTTGTTGGACTCGTACTCGACGAGGTCGTCGACGCGCGCGGTGCCGTCGGGCTTCGGGTCGAGGGCGGCGTATGAGATGCGCACGTTGCGGGCGTCGCGCCACATGGCGAGCGTCGAGTGCGTGACGCACCAGGTGCGGAGGAGCCAGTCGATGGGAGGGGCGGGAAACGTCGACGGCGTCGTGGGCGCGTACTTGGAGGGAGAGCGGAGGGATACTTTCGTCGAAGGGGAGGCCATGATTTTGGGAGGGCTTTGCGCCGTGAGGGCGACGTTTGCTCGATGAGGAGCTTGTACGGAGCTCTGCCGGGTCGGAATGGAAGGCGATTGACAGGGTTTTTGCAGCGCGATGGTTGCTCAATCTGTTGGCTAGTCTGTTGGGCATGCGAATTGAGCGGAAGCCGGTCGTGGTAGGTATGTTGGGTCACAGGAGGAGAGTTGGACGTCGAGCGAGCGCAAACCATTCACCGGGATGAGCGCCAGGGGCGGTCGCGTTTCAAATATTGTCAGCGGCCTCGGTTACTAAGACTAGAACATTTTCTCTCTCCCCTTCCGTTTGGGGTCTCAGTTCAAGCCAAACAAACATGCTCTCCAAATCCCCAATTATTGACTCGCGATGAACAGTTGAATCATAGGCCGTCCAACACCCGCAACACCCGCAACTACCCGCATCCTCCCTCCACATCGACTTGATCGCGCCAGGCACAAAAAAAAAAAACACATGGATCTTTTGGACCCCGATTTCTTGAACCCCACGAGACTAAGAGCGACCAACCGCCCCCACCTCAGTGCCGAGCAGGGGTCTTAATTCGACCTTTTGGCGCACCACGGGTCTTTCCGCGCCCAGAGCTCCCTTTCCTCTTCTTTTTTCTTTTTTTACTTTCTCTTTTCTTTCTGCCTTCTTCCACTTTTGCCATTCCCTCTCCACACCCGGAGCTCGTCTAGGTAGTGTGTTCCCCCTCCCCCTTTCGCTTCACATACAACCTCGAGACCTCTTTTCTCAGCGTCATTGCGCCGCAACCTCTCGTGCCTAAGGTACCCTCTCGCGCGCGCGCAAAATAAATAAATAAATAAAAAACACCCGAGAAACCACACCCGGCAGCCGACCGATCGCCCACCGCCAACGATGGACGACCAGGACCTAGCCGCGGAAATCGACCCCGAGATGGCCGCCTTCATGGGCTTTGCCTCCTTTGGCACCCAGCCCGCCGCCAAGAAGCGCAAATACAACCACCGCACAGATGCCGTCTCCTCCGCCTCCGCCTCCGGCCCCGTGGGCCACCACCCCGTCGCCGTCGCCGCCGCCGCCGCCACGGGCGCCAACCAGACCGCTCTCGCGGCCCGCACGCCGCGCGCTCCGATGACCGATGCGCCACCAGCCAACACCGACGAGATAGCCCTTGACGATGACAACGACGCCAACAACGCCGACACTGCAGCAGGAGACGAGGACCAAGACCAAGACCAAGACCCCGACGAGGGCGGCGCGAACATCTACTCCGATCCGACCATCGCGCCGGCCCTTGCCCACGCACAGAGCCTCATCGACGAGCTCTCAACCCGCGGTGGCGTTGCCTCCAGCGCGCCAGCAGACACCTCTGCCTCGCAGGCACAAGGCCCTTCCCCCCTTCTCCCGTCCGCAGCATTGCCCAGGCGTCCCGACGTGTCGTGGGGCAAGGAGATGGGGTCCACGCCGACGACCATGCCGACGAGGGAGCGGAACGCGGAGGCTGCTGCCGGTCACCCGCCCCGTGGTGGCCGTCAGGGCTCCCAGCAGCAGAGGAGCGACGGGAAGCCTTGGTGGGAGGGGTACTACGACCACGCGTCGAACGAGAACCCGTGGGAGAGGTTGGAGAAGAAGGCCGGTGTCCAGCCAAGGGGGGCTTGGTTGTCCAGGGGCCAGATGCAGACGGTATGAGGTGTGCTGTTGGAGAATGGTCGATGACGAAAGGAAAGGGGGGAGTCGGGGTTTAGGCCCCGGACTGGGAAGGACATGGATGAGACACTGTGTGTGCCTCATCCATGGGTCCAATGATACGGACACTCACTGCCTACCCAGCAGCCCCTGTCCGCTTTGGCATATCGACGACATGGTATTCACCGACTCCCTCGCCGATATCACGTGATGGCACCTTTTGTCTCGGGCTAGGTCATTACACAAGACACCACGGCTCATCACATGATGTGTTTACTCGGCTTCAGACGTCCACCCCACAGGCCTGGCCAAGACCTGGAGGGTCGTTACGGTGGCATGACGGATACGCTACGGTTCACGACGGTGGAATTACGGTGGACATATCGTGGACAGCAGCCCCCGGATAGGGATCACCACGACCGGATAAGAAGGGCTTACGACATACGACTACGAAACTATGGGGGCGTGGGAGAGCTCTACGGGGGGTTCTAAAGAACACCATTCCCGCCGGCCGAGGAAAACCATCACCTCGTCCCTGCCGTCTCCCTTCCCGAAAGAGCAATATCCCACCACCCCGAAAAGGACAAGCGCCTCCAACAGAAATGCCACAGTTTTGTAACCTCCTAGCCTGGTTCCTCTCGTCTCCACCGCGGGGACCGGTCTGTCGGTCTGTCGGCCCCTTGGGAGGAACCTTTCAAAAGGCGACAACAGCCCCCTATCCTCCCCGGGCGCTTGCCCTGGCCTGGCATGGTCTCGACACACACCCCCCTCCCGGTAGGGAAGGCGTGTGTGTACCTTTTTTTAAACTACAAGAAACCGCCCTAAATCATACCCCATTCGTCCAATCATATCTCATAATGGCCTCGTGCAACAGAGCTCCCACTCCCCCCGGGCAAGGTTCAGAGCAGGACGGCGGAAACCCCACAGCCCTGCATCAGCCAGGGTGGGCGGCGCCAAAGCTGTGGGAGAGATGATGCGTGCGTTTGTGGAGGTGTTCCCGGTCGCGTTGGGAATCTCCCACCCCCGTCAACCCACACACTTGACCCTACTCTCAGCATGCCGCCGCCAAATGTTCCTATTGCCAAAAGCAGCGTGAGATGGGCGGCCGCCTAGGCCGCCCACCCATGCTCTCAACCCGCGCCGTGCCGCTGCGCGTCAACCCGTCCCGGCCGTCGGGTTCGCCCTGGACCCCCTGTCTCCCCCTCCCTCGCCTGCTTGCCCAATATGTACCCAAGAAAATAATTAAAAAAAAAAAAGGTGTAAACAAGCGGAAGTGGAGGGAGGTGTGCGCTCATCAGGCACGCAACGATATGCAAAGTAAATTTCCGAACGTTCGGTATCACGCTTCCCCCCCTCGTGCGATTCCTGCAGTGCCTTTGCCGCCGACAGGGGTGTGTGCTGCAGGTACGGAGATGTAATGCGTCTATGGTGGTGGTGGTGTGTGGTGGTTTGTTGACGACGGCGGGCTTGGAACTTTTTTTTGGTGGTAGTTGGAAAAAAAAAAATGACACGCTAGAAGGAAGTAGTATCGCAAGGCTGAAAAAGGGCGCTCGCTGGTCGCAAGTCTTTTCGACGTCGGCGGTGCCGCGCGGCTGAGAGTTTCTGGACGGACAACGACGACGACAACAACAAGACTCGAATCGCCGAGCTCGCCATCGGTTCGCTCCGAGCAGGAGACTAGAGAGAACCGACCGGTTTCTTCTTCTTCTTTTTCTTCTTCTCTAGTAATCGGGCGAGGGATAGCGAGCACGCGCCTTGTTGTACTCGTTGGTGTGCTTGCGAGAAGTCTTGCTCTTGAGTGATCTGCAAAAAAAGGTCCGCGTGTTAGCCGCATTGTCTCAGATCTTCCGGTAATGCTTCCCCACTGGATTGCGGGGAAGTTTTTTGTATGTCTGCTTCTTTTTTCTTCCTGGATTGCCGGGTCGATCACTCATTGTATCATTTTTCTTTCCCTTCGGCCCATTCCTTTTTTTCTTCTGTTTCTTTTTCGCGTGCCGTGGGGGGGGGGGTTGTGCTGCTCCCGGAGTCCCGGGAGGCGCAAAAAAGGGGGGCTAAAACAACACTTACGAGACTTTCTTCTGCGTCCACTCAAGGTCCGCGCGCACGTCCTGAGCGTCGCGGTAGCCCTCGTTGAAGCGCTCGCGCGTCTTTGAAAGACGGGCCTGTGCCTTCTTCTGCAGCTCCAGCAGCTCACGGTGCTTTGCGTTGAGCTTTCCGGACCTGCTCCCCTCTCCCTGGTTAGCCGTTTGTTTCGTTTGCACCGCTCGAGGTCCCGGTGGTCGTCTTTGGGTGGAGTAAAATAAAACACTTACGTCTGCGCCTGGACCGCAATGTTGCGGTCGAGGGGGATGGGGTCGAACGTCTGGGCGAAGCGGTCCTGCATGTAGTCGTTGAAGTCGACGCCGCTCGCCGAGTGGTGTGTGCTCTCAAAGTCGCCGCTGTTGCTGCCGGCGTAGCTGGAGTTGGCCACCGAGTAGCCGCTATTGCTGTACGAAGGACCGGTGCCAGAGCTGACCGACTCGTCCGTCTCTGGGGGCGAAACCGAGTAGGTGCTGTTGTAGCTTGGGTAGTGTTGGCCCTTGTGGGAGGGGACGGGCAAGGGGAGAGAGTAGTGGGAGTTGTAGTGAGAAGACATGATGGGCGGATTCTCAAGTCAACGAGAAAAGAGGCTTGACGTATAGTTATGTGTGTGCGATGTGAGCGTGCGCGGGCAACTTGTTTGAAGCAAACAAGAGATGACTAAGTTCAAGTGTGAACTGGGGAGGTGGCGGCAGGACACAAGAGTGTGCAAGGAAGAAGCTTGTTTTTGCAAAGGAGGACAGCTGTGAGAAACTGTCTTGATAGAAGAAACCTTGGGAATTGTGATGGGAAAGGAAGAAGAAGTCAACAGAATCAAACCGCTCAACATGTGCCCTTTTATACTTTTTCCCTCTTCCTCCAGAACCATTCTCGGACTCCATCTCTTCTTTCTTTGGGCGGCAGGGGGGGGATAAGACAACCGAGCCCTCGATTCGTCCGATGACATACCATGGCTTCATCAACAGCCGGTGGCCCCCGGCCCACCAAAAAGGGCGAACGGACAGAATGGTCCAAGGGGCATGATGTGATGGGATGATGCGAGCAGAAGGGGGTTGCAGACGACAAAGACAACGGCAACCGTGATAGAGCGGCAACCGGTCGACCTGCCCGGGTCTGGCTAGCCCGTGCGTTAGTGACAGGGAAGTGACATAAACTAAACCCTGTCTTCACCCGCGTTGCTTGCCTCGCGGACACAAGGGTGACCGCGGGGGGGAGAATTGGGAGAAAAAGAAAGAGAGACGTCTAACGAAGAAGCAGTCGGATGTCGAGGGTGTGGGCATCGGGGGTGTGGCAGCGGACGATGGTGGGAGGGTGACGGAGAGAGCCATTGGCCAAGGAGGATGAGGCAGGGAAGCGGGCTGGTCCCATCTGCAGGCCGAGTTTTTTTTTTAATTTGTTTTATCAAGAGGAAAATCCAAACCGGCAAGTGTCAAAGGCAAAAAAGCGAGAGAAAGAAAGTGAGCAAGGCGTCTGCATATGCCGAGGGGGGCAACTATCATGGGTTGGATTGGTGGAGCATCCCACGATGGAGGATGGGTGGTCCGGAAGAGGCAATGGATCAGTCTGGAATATCCTAGGCAAGGGGAGGGGAACCCCTCAGGAGCAGGCTGGGACCCCTCCCCCCCCCCCCAAAAAAAAAGTGAAAAAAGAAGAAGAGAGACAGATGAGAAAGAGAGAGAAAGGGAGAGAGAGAGAGAGAGGGCGTGTGTGTGTGTGTGTGTGTGTGTATGTCCGGTAAGCCACCACGGCACGGAATTGGCCGGCGCAGGTTGACGAAGAGCAGCGGATGAGACAAGAATGTGCGGCTTGAGGGGAAGAAGAAAAAAAGAAGCCGTGTATGCCGTGTAAAACGGCGAAGAAGTGACATGCAGAGAGTGATGTATGTGTTGGGTCCATGGCAAGGGAGGGTACAACTTTAAGATACTTTAGTTTACTTCACTTCAGTCTATGCCTTTCCTCCCACACGACTCTGCCGACTAAGGCAAGGATAGGAATAGGATGCGCCTGCAAGCCAGGGGCATGGGGCTCTGTGGGCAGGAACGGCCATGGCGTGAAGGGCTTCCTAGGGCCGATGAGTTCCGCGCACGCCCGTGCGGTGTGGTGTCAAATAGGTAATTGGTACGTAGAGTGTGCCTTAGCTCCCAAGGGGCCGAGGTGTGGGTGTAAGACGTATGTGTATGTGTGTGTATGTGTGTGTGTATGTGTGGGTGCGGGCGTGTGTTTGTCGAGGAACCCCGGGTCGGAAGACGACGATCTGGCTACTTTCCTACGGGCACACACACCATGACCGTACATGGGAGGTGGGATAAAAGCCTAGGTGGGTAGCCTGCGTATGACGGAGGTACCATGCGGGTCGTATGGGATCTCGGTCCATTCAGACGCAAGCCGAAGAGGGAAGCGAGGGGCGGTAACGTCCTGATTCGTGACGAATGGGTTTGGAGGATGAGGGTGGAGAGACGAGGGGTCTTGAGGGTTCAGAGGATGGACAGACGTCAAGACACTTGGGGAAGGAAACCCGGAACTACGGAGAAGAAGCAGGACCTGACGTGGATCGAAGCCACGGGCCAACGAGAGTGTCAGGCTAAGGGAGGACGGGGTGGGATAGGTTGAAAGAGGACAGGTTGGGGTAGGAATCATGAAAGACATTGGGAACGGCCAGGGCAGGACAGGACAGGACGGGACGGGACAGGATAGGATAGGATAGGGCAGGGCAGGGCCAGGCAAGGCAAGGCAGGCTGGGTCAGGAAAGAGAGTTGGAAATGGTGAGATGGAATGGGGGAAATGGCAACTCAGGCCGAAGAGGGGTTATTTCTCCTCTCCGTTACCTTTCGTTCGCAATTGCGAACGAACCTGACGTTTTCTCGGAGCAAACAACCCAAGGTACCTAGTGCAGATATTCCACAACCCCAGATATCGTCTACATCTCTCATCTTCAACCATAACTACGATATGACCGAGGTACGGCGATACAACGCAATGCAAGACGGGGACAGAAAGGAAATAGGTACGTTCATCACCCACCCCACCCCCCCCCAGAGAAGAGAGCTGAGCCAAGAAGTCGGCTTGATAGCCTCTCTCGTCTAAAGCGGCGTGGGCATGCCCACTCCCACGCAGCTCGTGTCGTCGTCTCGTTGGACTGCAGGAGCCACATCTCGAATAGACCACGACGTGGGGATGGCAGAATAAAGAAGCGCCCACCCCCCCCCATGTTGATCGTCCCCGGTAAAATGAAATATAGAAAAAGGGCTAAGGGGGCGATGCGGAAGGGTAGCTCCAGATGGCGATGTTTTTGCTTCCTGCCGCTGAATGTATCTTTCGTCGTCGTTGACTCTGGGCGTCAATCAAGTCAGGCAGGAGTGCGTCAGGTTCGGGCATTTTATGTGGTGATGCGTTGTCAAGATGGGAACCAGGACTTTGGTTTTACTTTATTTGTTTTATTTTATTCCCGATCAGTACCCTTTCTCTTTTAATCTTCTTAGTTTTTATCTTATTTTATTTTATTTTATTCATCTTACTTTAGGCATCCCTCCCCCCTGCAAGTACTCTTAAATGTAACTCTCACTCTCACTCTCACTCTCACTCTCTCTCTCTCTCTCTCTGTCACTCCTTGCGACTGATTTTCCATTGGACGGTCCTTCTCGCTGCCCCCATTGGTTCGGTCACTCACTCACTCGCCTCTCTTTATCTCAGTTACACACCGTCTTCTTCTCTTGCCTGTGATTGACTCGATCAATCAATGCCATTTACTTACCAATCTTCGATTGGTGCAAAACACGTCCGGACCACGTCTGGAATCTACAGGTACAATACGGATACCTGAAGAAGGACGTCCTCCAGGGCTTAGACAGGGCTTTCTAACGCGCTCCCCCCTGCCATCCCACCCGGCCCTTTTACAAGACGCACCAGGTGTATATGATTTTTCGGAGTTTTCATTGGTGATAATTCCTGAAAAGCGTTCGCCCCCCCGCCCGCCGACTTGCTTCAGTCACCGATGCGAGGAGGGTCAAAGAGGGAGGGAGTAGGGGGCATGGAAATGTACAGTACCTCTTTTGCAATGCCACCCCGTTCAGAGTGTTCTCAACTGTTTGGAGGGGGGTGGGTGCATCTCCGAAGCATAACCAGGTTGTAGGTACTATGGTATAGACGACGCATGTACGTGTATGCGCAAAGGCGGAGCTTCTTGAGGCGCATCGCATGTGAGCGTTGAGGAAACGAAATTGCGTCCAAGGAATAGCCGTACCTGAAAGCCGTTTTCTGACGATAGCCCTGGGGAAGTGTAAGAAACCTCCACTGAGCACAATGAGCCGGTCACATCTTACCTCACAACCGCAGCACCAACGACGGCGGCGGTGTAAGTGCCCGCCCAACTCCGTCATCGTCAGCCGTCGACGGTTGACACAAGTTGACAGTTCCCGCCCAATGCTGAGCACCAGAGTGAGATTGAGAGCAATGGGAGGTGAGGGGCAGCCCGAATTCGACCCAACAGGCAGAGGTACCCAAGGCCCCCAACCCATCTCAGCCCGAATGGAACAAGACGAAGAAAAAGTACCTTCATCATCGCCATCATCGGACCCATCACCCACCACAACGGCCGAGCCCCCCCCCCCCCCCCCCTTCTTACCTCTACCCAATGTCATGAGTTACAAATGCAAAATCGATGGACAGCGGGTCTTTTTCCGATCCGATCTAGCGGCGCATCGTTTTCGCGTCACCCCATTCCTCAAGCGTCCATGTCCACAGCAGCCCGTGAGGCCTGCTGAGGTACGTCTCGTGCGCCGCCGCTGCGATACGGTGTGGACCAGGATGTGCGAGTTGCCCCTCCCCCCGGGACACAAGTCTTCTGGCGATAGAGGACATTCCGGCGATTGCAGACTGGGCACTGGGGTGGAGCCTAAGATGCAGCGATGATGGGCATGAGCACGAGCATAGCATAGCATAGCATAGCATAGCATCAGCATCAGCATCAGCATGGCAGGGCACCCCAATAAGGCAGTCCTGCTACCTGCCATTTGTTGTACATTCCAATCCGGTCAAGCGAGATTGGTAAACTGTTGTCGCCGCGTGTGAGTAGGATCATCGGTTGAAGACATGTACGGATATGTATATATGTATGTATGTATATGCGTGTACGCCGCAGCGGTGACGCGGACATGACAGGCAACGGCCGTGCTCGTCAATCGCTCGCCTTCCTTCCGTTGACCGCCAACCGCATTCATGAACCCCACGACTTCCAAGATTGGCGGATGGTACCGCGGTGTGGTTCACCGGGCTGCCTCTGGCCCTCTCTTGGCCGGCAAGGACCCGACATCCCTCCACCGCAGGGTACCCCCGGGATGACGAACGGTGTTCTGGAAAAGATCAGGAGGTAGGTACGGATACATGGTGATTATACCGATATGCTCTGTGGACGGAGGGTGAAGGGGGGTGGAGGGGCCCGGGGGATGTATTCCAGGGTCATCCCAGGAGCGGTCTGACATCTGGACTTGCCGCATGGTCTGACCGAAAGAGAAGAACCGTTGCCAAAAACGAATGGACGCTCGCAACACCAGGCAGGCAGGAAACTTGTCTCGGGCGGCGAGGTCAGGGCTGTCTGCTTGCCGGGTGTCGAGCCGGAGCCGGACAGGAAGTCCCAGGTTCTGACCGCGGATATGTTGGGTGAAAAGATGAGGAGGGGGGGGGGGGGGGGGGGGCGATTCGATACCCGCGCCGCCCACCCACCCAACGGCACTCGGTCAGTTCATTCAGACAAGAGAAGGGGAACGAGGCGAGGTCGACAGCCAAATCTCAAACTCGACTAGGTCGGCTAGTCTTGCAGTAGGAAGAAAGACTACGGATGACAGGCATAGCGCCAATAGTCGGCTTACCCAGTGAGAGTCATTGTCAAGCAAGCAGGTAGCGAGGCTAAAGTGCCCAGGCATCCGCCCATAGGTCGAGGTCCCTCTCTCCCTCTCTTTTTTTCTCTCTGTCTCTTCTCTCACCCGTGTGTCTGGGGATGGCATGTCATGACACGACATGGCACGAGCGGATGAATGAGCAGCGAATGCTTCAGCTGCGAGGCTTGAAAAGCCGTCCAGTGATGGGGCAATAACTCTGCGGGTGAATCGGAAGGCGACCCGGAGGCGCACTGATCGAGAACGAGCCCGCCCGGCCGCCCCGTCAACCAGGCTCCGAACTTCCGCCCGGGCCTGACTGGACCCCGCGCTGACATGCATGCCAATGCCAAATGCCCTGTCTTTCCGCGGTCGGTCGAGGGACGGGGAGAAGTAGAATGCCAAGGGGAGAGGATGAGAGAAACAGAGCGGTGACGGGGTGAAACCGGAAATGGCCTGCCTGTGCGAAGGGATTAAACCTTTTTTTTTTCCTTCCTCTTTTTTTCTGGGCCCATTTCTGAACTCTCGTCCATCGCACAATGTTCCTCTCTTGTTTGTCACGGCCAACGTGAACGTACGCAACCCATGTAGTCAGTCATGAGTTATGTGCCTCATGGCCCTTGCGAGAGCGCGCGGAACAGAGGAGTAGGACACGGGATTCGGAGCCAAACAGTGCAGTGCACAATTGGCGGGGTCCTGCTTCGTTCCCATTTCTCCATCGTACTTTTGCTTGTGCTTGTTGCTCTGCTGTGGCGATAGGGTGTTTTGACGATGAAGGGGTGCGAGAGGCCATGCCGGGTCAACTCACTCACTCACTCACTCACTCACACCCACGCCCACACACACACACACACACACACACACACACACACACACACTTGTTTTTGCCCTGCCACATCCAAAAAAGAGTATTGGCTCGCTTGCATCTCCTGCACCGTAGCACGCTATGGCATGAACCGGGACGTGGGCGCAGATGCAGCTGCAGTCAAACAGGGCTGCTTGATGATGGGGCACCACATTACTGGACGACAGCTTCTCTCTCTGACGTGCGTGTGTGTTTCTCTTTCTCTCGACTACCGAGGAGAGGGCGAGTGGGCATCAGATCCATAAGCACTCGTCGAACAACACAACCAACCCAACGTACGGTAATCAAGGAGACGTCGACGTTACATCGGACGGTTGGCGGAACTGCCATCTCGCCCACGAACCCTCCCCCGCCATGTCACTACTCACTCGCCTCCCATCGACGCCATCGCCAATCCCGCAGATGTAACTCGCATGGTCCCCTCTCCGCATCTATCTCCCAGCTCTCCCTCGTTCCCGGTTGCTCGCCAACCCAAACCGTCCGTCCTCGCAGGTGTCCTTGGTTTCCCCCTTCCAACAGCACACAGTAACCTCGACGAGGTCGAGCTCTAATCGCACGAAGCAGAATGCGGCCGATGCCACGCCATCAGGAGCATGAGGGCAACACAGCAAATGTCATACTGCATTCCCGTATCCTGCACGGATCGACCGTCGTGTGAGGTTCAACTAGCTATCAGCTGACGGCTACGCCTGGATTCCCCCCTTCCAGCTGTTGTGCAGTGCTCCAAGTGCCTCCCGTGTTTCCATATACATCCCGCCTCCCTCTTCTCTCTGGCCCGGTCTCGTGTGTCCGCCCGCCAATCTCCTCTTTGTATGAGTTTCACTGTAGAACGTGAGGCTCCTGCCGCCATACCTCGGAGCATTTGCTAAATTAAGAGGGCGGTTCCCGTGATGGAACCCTCAACCCCCAACCCCCGTGCGAGAAGGCACAGAAGATGAAGAAGCAAGCCTGCATGAACGAAATGTCCGTTAGATGCACGACATCACGACAGACGCAGCTGCCCGCGTCAAAAGCATGCCGGAGATACTCGTCAGCCCCAGTCCATCTCAGCCCCAACTCCCGGCCTGGCCTGGATGGATGGATTGGACGTATGGGTGGATGGGACATTCGTTCGCCGGAGTCGCCTTTGCTGCAGTGCGACGAGGACCCGGTGAACAAGACTTGAATAATCCAGTATCCCTCGCTTCTTCTTCGAGAAGGCAAAAGGTCCATTGTTGGACCTCCCCCACGTCGCACGCCGCGACATCGATCCTTCTCGTGCGCCCCTTAGGCGACGCTAAAGCAGTGATGATGCTTGACCGCTCAGATGGTCCCGGATCTTGGAGGCCTTGTCCTTGCATCCGTATCATCGCGCGGGACCCGCATGTCAGATGGAACACCCAACTGAGGGGGCGGGGGGCGAAAGCCGTGAAGAAGAGCAAGAAGAGATTGAAGGAAGGGGGGAAGTTCTGATGATTCTCGTTATCTTGTAATAGCAGCTACCATTATATATGTACCCATGGTGCCCAGTGCGACCATAATTTCCTGAGATCCGTTGCTCCTGTACCGGCGTCAAGGCAAAAAATAAAATAAAAAATAAGAAAAAAAATGGAAGAAAAAATGGTACAAACTCAATACCTGTCCTTACGCGATGATGGCATGTTTCCTTGTCCCGGCCGTCGTCCTCGCATGCCATTTCATGCTGCCTGCCATAAAGAGCCCCCCGTCCCGACTCCTATCTCTTGGACACAGTATGAACGCCGATTAATCATGCAAAGTTAAAACGTCATGCCAGCCGCTGGCACTAGGCAGACAGCGCGCGCGTTTTCTAACCTCTTTCCCCTCATGATCCCCTCATTTGCCGTCGGTGTGTGTGTGCGTGCGTGCGCTAGCATCGGTAGGCTAGTTGGTAGCTTTCATCCCGCCCCGCCCCCCGTCTAACTCTCAACGGCCGCCGCCCTTCTAGCCAAAGATTTTGAGGAACCCCCAAATACCAGCCCCGCTGAGCACTGGGATCGTCAGGTTGTCGTCCCAGCCGAAAATGTCCACCACCTCGCTGGCGGCCGCCATAAAGCCGGACCATAGACCCATGACTCCGAGCGCTAACGGTCCAGTGATGGTGGCCTGAGCATCAGAGAGTCCCACGGCGCTTGCGATGGCGCGGGGTAGATGCAGCGCCCCGGTGAACATGAAAGGGTGGTTCTCGTCACCGGGGAAAGGTCCCGTTCGCGGCGCCAGCCACCCCCAGAAGAAGTACGAGGAGATGACGCCGACAAGGAAGGCCGCTGACGACCCGGCAAGCGACTTGCCGCGGCGGATACGCGGGGTGTAGGCGCCGTACAGTCGCCCAAAAGTGCTGGCGGCGGTATCGCACCAGCTGAGCAGGAGGATGCTCATGACGCCGACGTCCTTGGGGAGGAAGCGGAGCGAGATCCAGGCGCCAAGCAGATAGAAGATGACACCGTTCCACCCAGCATATTCGCTCTCGCGCATCAGCGCGCCGAGGACGGAGACGTAGAAGCGGTTGAAGGAGGCGTAGCTGTGACGGAGGTAATCGGCGGTCGTGATGGGCATCAGGGCGGCGAAGAGCCACGGCGCGACGGAGCTCGTCTGGATGCCCGAAATGTAGAGCCACAGCGTGAAAAAGCCAATAGAGACGTGCAGGACCTTCCTCGGCACCTCGTGCTTGTGTACAAACGTCCGCCATTTCCTGTGGATCGGTATCAAGCCCAGCGGGCTGGGGCTCCGACTGAAGTCTCGCCAGCTCCAGCCGGCAGGCGCGGCCGACGGCGGGGCCAGGTGGCCGTTGGCGGTCGGGACTTTGCCGTTGCCGCTGCCGTTTGGTTCGCCGTCGACGACGGCGGTGACATGGTTGGCGATGGGCTCGCTCGGGATGACGGGGGATTTGCCTCTCTTGGTGGCCTGCGACTTGACCGAAGTCATGGGGGTGATTCGACGGGACTCGATGGGCGAGCGGCTTCTCGTGCGCGACCTGCGCGTCGTCGACGGCTCGTATCCATCCTCGTCGGCGCGCTCCGTCAGCGGTTGAGGTGTGGCACGGCGCTTCTTCGCGGCGGACCTCGTCACAGGGCCAAAGTAGTTGTCGTGGGAGGCGGCATCGATTTCGGAGGGTGTCGGGCTGGGGGAGATGACGCGCGGGGTGGAGGGGACAGCGCGGACGGACGACATGATGGTATAGGAGAAGGGCGGGAGAGCAGGACAGGCGACTGCTCCCGTGAAGATGGGTTGAAGGGGTAAGATAAGTCGGAAGGGCCAAAGAATGGAGGAGGAGTGGAAGTGTCTATCTCTTCTAGAGAGGCGAGAGTCGTGGGGGGCCACGGCGGCGGCTGCGGCGTCAGCAGCGCGGGCGTGAGTCTCGACGAAACGTGAAGGGCGAGTATAGTTCCGGCTATGCTGGGCCTGGGATTCGAGTTCGGAGGCTACTGTGGCTATTGGATCCAGGGTGATGTTTAAGGATGCAGCAGAGAGCAACTCCGCCGCATGGTGTGCCGGGCTGAGACGGAGGGGAAAGGGACCACGAAGACATACGGTCGGTCAGCAGACAGCGTGACATGTGGTTTAGACGACGAGTTTGGGCCGGTTCGTCGGAGTCTTGTTGTGCTGCGAGTCCCGTCCAATGCTAGCGAATGCTATCTGTCTGTCTGTCTGTCTGTGATGAGGATTTTTCGCCGGAGAAAAGTACCGAGTACGTACTCTGGGCGACGTACTCAGACCGTGCTCACTCGCTTTCGCACTGTATCCGGGTTGTCGAGCCAGCGCCCACGAGGGCCCCCGCACCACAGTGTGCCGAGCCTGACAGACCACTTAGTGTACCTACTATCTGGTGCACGCGACCAAGGCAGGGACGGGACGGCCTTTCGGGGGCAGTCAATGTCAAGCCCCGGTTTGCAGGGGGTCCTTGGTGCAGTTCAGTCCATTTTGTGGTGGGGTTTCTTTTAGTGTAAATGGGCTAGGCCGCCTCCATTAAGCATGTGAAGCCATCTCCGGCCATCCCGCCGGTTCCATGTCCTTCTCAGCCGAGAGTCCACCATCTTTCCCGCTTCCATGTACGGATAGCGTACGTGAAAATGCAGCAATTTCATTAGTGTACAGTATGTATGCTATACCACACGAGAGAATTTTTTTCCTTTTCCTCTCCTGGATTCCCACACCGCCCTTGCCGCGCTGGGCTTGCTTGCGCAAAATCAACGGGGCTGAGAGTTTGGAAGGGCTTGTGCTTATGTGACGGCGAGACCCGTGCCTCCGAGTGGGTGGCTGAACAGGAGCTGGGAGGTAGACGGCATGATATCACTGTTTGGCTCTGTCCGTGGGCGCTCAGACAAGACATGGCGCCAAGGCGACTTTGAAAGCTGTCACTGGATGTGATGGTCCAAAGGGGGGGCAGGGGCGAAGGATTGATGATCGATAACGACCAACTCACCTTATCGATAACAGGTCTTATCGATGATTATACACACAAGCTGACAATGCCCCCCCCCGCCCTGTCAACCCGAGAGTACCGTGCACGATAACAGCGATAAACCTCATATCCTAAAGGCTGCAGGTTCAAATCCAATTTTCTTAGATTTTTTAGTTCCAAAATGGCTCCGTTGGGGAGGGTTGGAATAGTACTTACCTACCCTGCTTCCTACACTATGCTCCAGGTCAGGATAGGCTAAGACTATCCCTTTTGCCTCTATTTTTTTATTGAGATAGTTATGTTATCACTAAATCCACTGTCTGCTGAGCTTTATTGCTGTTATTGTGCACGGTACTCTCAGAGTCTACAGACAAGCTGATATTGTCCCCCCCTGTCAACCCGAGAGTACCGTGCACGATACCAGCGATAACAGCAATAAATCTCATATCCTAAAGGCTGCAGGTTCAAATCTAGTTCAAATCCAGTTTTCTTAGATTTTTTTAATTCTAAAACAGCTCCGCCGGGGAGGGTTGGAATGGTACTAACCCACCCTGCTTCCTACGCTGCGCTCTGGGTCGGGATGGGCCAAGACCATCCCTTTTGCCTCTAAGATAGTTGTGTTATCACCTGAATCCACTGTCTGCTGGACTCTGCATAGACCAGTGTGCACAGTACTCTCAGGTTGACAGGGGGGGACACTATCAGCTTGTCTGTAGACTCCAACAGAGGAGTCAACAGAGGGGGGGCATTGTCAGCTTGTCTGATCACTCCTTATCGATTAATGTGCTTATCGATAGCGATACTGAAAAAAAGTTCTCGACCGGACCACACTATCAGCCCCTCCAGCTCCGACGGCGTTCAAGTCCTCCTCTGCGGCGCGGAAACTCTGGCTGATCTCAAGCAGTTTGCAATTCCAGCATAAGCCAATCGATTCGGCCTTCACGATGGCCCCCGTCGCCCCCGAAAAAAAGAAGGACCCCAGGTCCTGGCGAGGACTCACGCCCCCTCTGGCCGAGTGCGAAAGCCCAGCACCCTTCCACCACCTGCGCGCCCTCTACTAACCTTGCTTGGGCGCAGATGGATCCTCGACTTCGTTTCCAGCCAGGGCTTCCAGCGCATGACGCCCGTTCAGGCAGCATGTCTTCCGCAGTTCCTCGGGAACAAGGATGTCGTTGTCGAGGTAAGGGCCAACGCCGCGGGCGAGAGACAGGGCCTTGCACTGACAAACTTCCAGGCCGTCACAGGCAGCGGCAAGACCCTTGCCTTCCTTCTTCCCATCGTCCAGAAGCTCATGCGCCTCGACGAACCCACGAAGCGCGGCCACGTTTTCTCCATCATCGTCTCCCCGACCCGTGAACTCGCCATTCAGATCCATGCCGTCCTCCAGTCCCTCGTTGGCTTCCACCCCCCGTCCGCCGAGATCCTGCCCTTCCTCAAGGAGGATGAGAAGCGCCCCGACGCCTCGGTCCCCGTCGTTGTCCCCCAGCTGCTCGTCGGCGGGACCACTACGACGCAACAAGATCTGAGCTTCTTTGTCAGACACGCCCCCAACGTCCTGGTCTCGACACCAGGCAGGCTCGTCGAGCTGCTCGCCTCCCCCCACGTCCGCTGCACACAATCGTCATTCGAACTCCTGGTTCTCGACGAGGCCGACCGTCTGCTGGATATGGGTTTCAAGCAAGATATCCAGAGGATCTTGGGATACCTTCCCAAGCAGAGAAGGACCGGCCTGTTTAGCGCTTCCGTTTCCGAAGCAGTCTCCCAAATCATCACTGTTGGTCTGAGAAATCCCGTCAAGATTGCGGTGAGGGTCAAGAGCCTCAGAGACGGAGGAATCATCGAGGACCGGAAGACGCCCGTCAGCTTGCAAATGTCCTACCTCGTCACGCCAGCAAGCCAAAAGCTTCCGGCGTTGGCCAAACTCTTGGAAAACCTCAGCCCGCGACCGCAGAGAAGCATCGTCTTCCTGTCAACTTGCGCCGCTGTCGACTACTTCCAGCATCTTCTCCCCACCATCATGCCCTCGGGTTTCACGATAGTCCCTCTTCACGGAAAGCTTCCGCCCAAGGCCAGAGAAAAGAGCTTCTCCAAATTCGTCAACTCGGTATCACCATCCGTCCTGATTTGTACAGACATCGCAGCAAGGGGTTTGGATATCCCGCAGGTAGACTTTGTCTGCCAGATCGACCCTCCTTCAGATCCCAAGGTCTTCATTCACAGAAGTGGGCGCGCTGGGAGGGCCGGCAGAAAGGGTCTCTCGGTCGTCTTCCTGCAGCCCGGCCACGAGGAGGACTACATCCCCTTCCTGGAGGTCCGCAAGACCCCTATCTTCCCCCTCACGCAACCCGAGATCGTCGTCACCGAAGAGGAGGCCAATGCCGCCTCAGAGAAGTTCCGCGACATCCTCCGCAGCGACCGCGCCTTCCACGACAAGGCCCAGCGGGCCTTTGTGAGCTGGGTACGCAGCTACAACGCTCATTTGACGACCTCCATCTTCCGGACCAAGGACCTCGACTGGGCTGACCTCGGCAAGGCGTGGGGCCTGCTGCGGTTACCGCGCATGCCCGAGACCAAGAAGTGGGAGGGCGACAAGTGGCTTGGGAATGAGGACTTCGACTGGGACAGCTTTTCATACAAAGACAAGACCCGGGAGGCGGCGAGGCTGGCGGCGATGGAGGCCGAGCGCAACGGCGAGAAGGCGGCGGCGGCGGACGAGGTCAAGCGTAAGCGCAAGACGAACGAGGCGTGGAGCAAGCAGACGGAGCAGGAAGGCGTGCGGGTGGAGCGCCGCGAGAAGAGGAGGCGCAAGAAGGAGGCTGAGCGAATGTCGGCCATGACGGAGGAGGAGAAGATCAAGGCCATGGAGCTGAACGAGATGATTGCGGAGATCAGGAGGAAGAACCAAGCTCAGACGGCGGCGGCGGCGGCGGGAGGGAAGAAGGACGACGAGTTTAATGGGTTTGACGATTGAAGCGCCCTGTAATATTACCTACGCGTGTACGTCCAAGAGCGCGGTCCGTCTCGTGTCCCCATGTGGGATCGCGGCACGAGCAGAGGTTGTGGATGCGATACCCCCCCCCCCCCCCCGAATCCTTTTTGTTCCAAGACAAAGCAATGTCGCGAGATCTGCCTGCCCCGTCGACAGACTCGTCGCCGACCTTTCGACTCTGCCTCTGGTGTTTTCACAGCGGAGGCACGTCAAAAAAAAAAGACCGTGAGCCGGAAAATCACTCACTCTATCCAACAGCCTTTCTCAACTGCAACTGGCAGTGGTCTCTAAAGAACCGGTGCACGCACTGTAGTTCACGGGTAGAGCGCTGGGTTCATAACCCAGAGGTCCCTGGATCGAAACCAGGTCGTGCTATGTGTGTTTACTCTTGCTCGTAGCCTCTTTTAGGCCTTCCGGTCGTAGTGCGTATGTAGAACCCGCTTGAATAGAGTTTTGCCTCACGTCAACCACATCACTCAATCGTTGGCCAACATGTTTATGGGTGCTGGCTTTTATGTAACTTTTAATACTCTCCCTCTGGGAAGCCGAGTGACGACGACTTACATCACGGAGGCGACTTTCTGGTGATGAGTCGATGTTCGGAGAGAATACCAATTATTCGCAGAATCCCCTTTTCCAGAACTGACCGTCATTGGACCTAAACAAGATAAAACTATCCAGGGCCAGTCCAGAAGTCGTCAAGGTACCGTCCCATCGCTTCGAATGTTCCAACTGTATTCTGCCAGTTCATGCCGCCGGGAACGCCGCAACACGCACCTGTCACGTTTACGGGTTCTGGGTGCGGTTGCTCGATCGTCGGCTCCTCCCAGAGGTCAGTCGAAAAGCTTATGATCTTTTGTCGTGACCTATAGGTCCTATATAAGGCGTTAGTTGCTGCTCTACCACTAACGGCGTCGTTTTTAGTATGACATCTTTCAATATAGAGCAGATAGCGAGGTACTCTTCACCGATATATTAAAGTACTGTAGATCCTGTTGCTCAATCCACAAGGAATAGTCGTCTGTCCTCTACCCTCGGTGAATCCCAGCAACTCTGTCTCAGTCAAGTGCCGTCATTTCTCGGCGAGATCGAACGTCAGAAAGCAATGAGGCTTGCCCTTTCCGGTCTTCTGAACGGCTTGGCCCAGAAAGAAGCCAATCATGTCGACCTTGCCGTGCTCTGCCATGATCTGTCGCGCGGGTTCTCCGATTTCTCCTGACCTGGGGCGCGTTGACGTCGGCTCCTAGATCGATGAGGATATTTGCAAGCCCGAATCACCCCTGGTTTGCGGCCAGTTGTAAAGAAGTCCCGCCATGCATTCCTGTTTCCCATCTCTCGACGTCCAGGCCTGTCCCACTGCCCGAGACAACGAGGAGGATACCGGCACGAAGCGCACCCGGGTCACAGGCATACAGGTCTCATACGAGCACTCCCGGTATTACCTCATCCGACTTGACGAGGAATGTCGCTTCGGATATGGGCATTGGGTCGTGTTTATGGGGGCTCGTCTGGGGGCTGCATGTCGTATGGTTGGTCGAGGACAGTCTCTAAAAAGGCAAACTGAATGTGGCTGCAGATATGAATGAACACAAGTGGCCAGTTCCGATATCCCAATTACCATCCCAGGTGAAATGGGTGGCGTGAACAGCAGGCAAACACCGTGCCCTCGAACCGGGATTGAGGTCATTGGCTTCAGCCCAAGCTGGCAAGGCAACAAGCGGCCCGTATGCACGCCGCATCAGGCTTGCCGCTGTGTCGTAGCCCACACCAATAACGATTGGACCAAGCGGGTTTCCTGAATTGCGTTGGCCCTGTTGGTCGGAAAGATCCAGCCATCATCAACTTGTCCGCTGCCCCAGTCGGTCGCGTTGAAGACCCAGGTACAGTAACTTCTCGTGACTGGTTCAATCCGCAGTCTGAAGACTCCCTGCGCCGTAGTAAAAGAAACACCAGAATTGTCTGCCTCCTCAGACCACTCTCACTGGCCCAGTGATGGACAGTCGTACAGATTCGAGATGGGGGAGTGATCTTATTCGCTGGTTCCTCAGTCAGAAAACCACGAGTTAGGCATGGATATGATGGAAGGATTATTGAGACAACGAGGCATAATTGAGGATAATTTCCATCTATTCAGCTGCTGAGGCCGCATTTATAACATCCAATACCATTCAGATGTTCAAAAACTCAACATAACTTTCACTGTCTTTCATTCCAACCCATCAGGTTCAGACTATTCATCAGGAGTTCATCAGGAGTTCTGCCATCACGTTCAATCCGCCTCCACGATGAAATTAAGCCTCGAGGCCATCATAGCCATCATTTCCCTTGTGGTAGGGCTTCCGCCTGCGTTGTTCATGCTCTCGCGGTGTTGGCTTGGCAAGCGGCGTAGCCAGGTAGAACGTGAGCCATGAGCCTCCAGCACCCATACCTCTTACCCGTACGCTGACTTTTCTTAGAACATCAACCAACCACGTCAAACAACCTTACATCATTCGAGACGCTTCCTCGAGACGAGCTCATACTGTGGTCACGGCCGACATTCCCCATCAGAGTATGGTCTTTTGCTGGATACCAGATGGATTTGGTGCAAAATCATCCTGTTATATTTCCGCTGCAGCAAGCAACTGTTTCGAGGGGTCATGACTTTGGCCACCTGCGTGGTGGAAGCCCGTAGTGACCGGATAGAGAACGACAGAGGTGGGGAAAATGATTCGCAGGCCAATATCTAGCTATGTGGACACTGAAAGACCATGCATGGACCAATGTATGCCATACAACAAGTATTTATCTGTACTGGTTCTGGTCGAACGAGAAACTCAAATTTTCTGTTGGCTGGAAGCCTGAAGGCATGTATTTGTTAGTCTTATGAGTTGAGCAGGTAATCGAGAGCCTATACTGATTGTAGTCTTTGGGCTAGTCAACATGCCAAGTTCGGTTGATTTATCGCCTCGCTGGGGCCGCATTGCGGATACAAGAGGTTATCAACATATGGGAAGGGCAATGGTGTCAACAGCTTCTCGACTGTCTTGTCATATACCTGTGTAAAACCTGGAGCACGCACATGAAGATGAGGGGAAATTGATGGATTCGGGGTAGGCCAGATGTCAGCAAACAGCCCAGTGACACTTTCGCGCATCTCCTGACCCTTGTTTCAGACCGTGAGCAACCGCGGACATCAAACGCGGATAACCGTTCATTACTACCTGATATTTATGGAAAGCAGCTAATACCGCATGTTCAGTCTATCGGTGGCCGTATAATGGCTTTGACTGCGGTTCCGGCAAATGGTCACACTGTCTGAGCTGGCTCTGGTAGTAGCAGTCACGTTCTCAGACGGAGAATCTCGCCATGCGATACTTGAAGAAAGAAATCAAGGGGCTTTATACGCTAAACTCCTCTTCAGAACAAATAGTAGAAAAGGTTAGTCTGACCAGGCAATGCAGCTCAGGAATCCTACGCAAAACGGCGTATGGCCATTACACATCTGGACGCTTATAAACCAAGATATATATATATGCCTGGAAAGATTACGCAGATAACTACTTGAAACCAAATCATCCTACAAATGTCGGCGAATGAGAAATATGCCACAGTCAGCCGTGCAACCAAAGGTGAGACAGGTAGAATACTGTTTTCACCTGTAGAGATGTAGCATAATGTTCCCTCGTCACTCCGCGTGTACACACCCGAGTAGATCAAGAAGGCAGAAATCTCCAGAGCCAAAGTAGCAATATAACCCCCTATTAGTCTTCACGGTTTCCTGCCATCCATACCTTGGCCGTTCAACTCACAGCCAAGCTCATTAGCGCTAGGACCGTGCATAAATGTATATGTAGGTTACCACATCTTGATTGGGAGACTAGAAGCTGTCATCTTCTTCTCGTCCCGTCAGCCGCGCACAGAAGCTATACTACAGGGCAAACCTATCTTCAGCGCAGTGCGTCTCCTAGTTCCCATTGTTTAGTTTCTGCGTAAATCGTACAGATCCTGACTTTGACATCCGGACAGCTCAAGAGCTAGACGAGAACAGACGCCCCAACCAAGCTTCTTGCAAGCTTGGAAGAATGCACGGTACGAGGCGCATGGTATCGTCGGCGAGGAATGTCCTCCTCAGGAAAGCATTCGCGAGACCACCACGATAGCAAGGTCTGCACTATCTCCTTCAAGCCAGGACTTCTCTACCAATCACCCGCGTATAAGGATATATGACAGGCGAGCAAAGAACAGGCCAAGGAACGACGGCTTTACGCTGGTCGTATACCTGTATCCAATCATGACATTCGGAAAAGACACCAGAGCCATCGGCAGCTGCGCTGTCTGTCGTACAGGGGGGAGGACGGCTCACGAGGGCATTTCTCACAGGTTTCGGCATGGTGGCAGCCGTTGCAACATCCGGCCAAGGCCTAGCCACGCCCGATCAGGTAGGTCAGAAATGCCTTTCCATAGGTCGTCGTCCTCCAGGCTCAACCTCCTCCGCGGGACCGCCCTCAACAACGAAACGACGAGAGATGCGGGTTGATAACCGCGTTTCGTTTTGCATCTGGATGGTAGCATTGGAGGCTTGAACCAGAGGATCGCGCATCCGCATCTATTTAGGTACCAAGCTTCATGGGTGCCAGGCGGTCACCGGAGACACACTCTTGGACAACCAAGGCACGCCGCTCTACGGCCTCTCGGCCACTTACATAGTCGAGTACGCATCACTATCGACTTTCAGATCGCACATCTCTCTTCCACCCTCCCTTCCATGGTTTGAGACGGGTCTTCGATTCAAATCGTACCGCGGAATTCCTCCCCGTCCCCGTTCGAGGCCTTCCGCCAATTCTTCGGTAGTTGGGCAGATAAAGATCTCCGTGACGGTGAACTTGCTCGCCTGCAGGTGTCGCCCCACCGCAGAACCACCACAGATCATGTCCTAATCCCGGTCCACCTTGTGCAGTACCATAATGCACTACAGAAAACGACTCCGCCTTTGAAAAGGGGGGGAGGGATTCTCGCCTTCTTAATCGGGGAGTCTCTTCGTGACCGCTGTGACCTTAGTTGGTGTCTCGAGGAGAAAAAAGTAGGCGAGAGGGAGAGAGACAGGCTCGCAGTGGTTTCGCCCAAGGTAAAATTCCCAGTCTCTCCCTCACTCCGAGACAATAGCGGTGAGGCTGAGGAACCGGCTCGCGCCCATTTAGATAGGCCCAACCTTAATCTAATCCCACCGTCGCCTGCAGGTTGCTGACGCGCCGCCCCCCTCTCTTTCCGTGTATCCTTTTGAAAGCCTGCAGAAATTTCAGTAAGGCTCTCGAACATCCCCGGCCATAAAACACAAACGCCTGCAATATCTGGTTCGCGCAGTATATGCCGAGCAAACGCTGCATATAGCAGGCCACTGAGACAGGCGAGCTGCAGGCCGCCTGTCAAAGCGGCAGTGGCTTGGCCGGACGGGAGGTGGACATGCCCTGCCATCTTGCTCGTCACTGCGGCGGGTTCGGGCTAATACCTTGCGGCGACAAACTCGGATCAGGACCATGTTGCGTGAGCCCGCCCAGCGCCAGTCTCGATTAGACTCTCTTCACCCTTGACCCCTGGCAAGGGGATCTGCCGATGATGGCCCCAGCCCATCCATCCGCACTTGCTGTCTTCAGTCTCTCCCCCCCCTAGACAGGTTGACTTTCATGGCGGGTCATCTGCTACAACTGCAGAGTCCGTTGCGAGAAAACAAGGCCCGGGCGTGGCATACACTACGATGCTCTCCTCAATCAATTCCATAAGGGCAGATCAGATTGTCGACATCTCGCGTAGTCAGCTGGGCCTCAGTTCTCTTCCTTGTCTTAACGGCGTGGACAATATGCCGCCCTGCCACCCGCTGCAACCCATGGTCGCCTCAATGATTGGCTGCCTGGTCATGTAGTGGAGGAATAGCACTCGTTTGCTAAGATCTCGCAATGGGCACCCGCCACTTGTCTGGCATCAGGACGAATGACGGCGTGCGTGGCAGCGGGCGAGGTTACACCGGCTCTCTCTCTCTCTCCCCCACGTGCGATTTACCCCGCGGCTACTTTGCATCCATCGTGAAGCCTCCCTCCCCTCCCATCTACCGCCTACCTTCAATTTGGAAGTGACGAGAGGTGCTGCGTCTAATACGACCACTCAGCAGGATGCAAGCTGGGGCGAGCGATGGTAGAGGGATAGCCTGGTTGCAGACCCTTACGACGGCACGTGCTGTCTTCATTTTACAAGATTCCGTGTTCTTTGATGCGGGCTTTGGTGGAGTTCACTTGCCGCAACTGTGGCTCCATAAGGAAAGGGTTCTCGCAGTGTGTTGAGGTGAGAACCTTTGCCTCGTACACGAGATCATGGAGCACCCACGACACCGGGTTCGCAATCCGAGCTTCATCAACTTAGACGAGTGGCGTGCCGGAGGGGGAGCAAGATGGGGTGGCACTTGGTTTGCAACGCACAGATATCAAGCAGGACTTTGGTCGATTTCCGAGGGTTGAAGAGAGAGAGAGAGAGCTATATGCCCCTCCTGTGTGACAGAAAGGGGAAGCTTTCACGACTGGTTGTAGGCAGCAGGAGCGCAATGCCAGAGATAACTGGACGACAAGCAGTGGCATAATGCCGAGACCCTCGGGTGGATGGTTGGGGTTTTGTTCTCATAGACAGCCGCTCACTACGGGCGTGGGTGTGTCAGGCCTCCAGGGCTTGCCCTTGTGCATCGATTCACGAATTATCTGTGCGTATCAAGGTAACGACAACAACGAGATGGGTTCCGGGAGGGGCGATGCATTTTCGTCTCGATGACGGATTGGACAGAGTGGATTAAGTGTGCCTGCTGCAATCAACCCTAAGCCCTTGCCTGGTAACGACATTCAAGGCGTTGGAAGCCCTGGAGAACAAGACGCACATCAGGGGTCGAGAGATGGTCGATGCTTCTCAAGAGGTTATTATCCTCTCCCCAGAGTCCAGATCGTAGTTTATATACCGAGCAAGAATGACTGCAGAAGACATGAGGTAGTTCGCAGTTCGAAGATGATCAGGCGAACCAAGTGGCCCTTGGCTTACTCGCGGCGGTTGCAGCTAGAAGACTTCAGGACCACTGGTTTGCGAGCCACAGGGCCCAGGAAGGATCACTTAGACTGTGTTCGTAAATCCCAACGCTCTGGGTCTGCATGCCGTGAAACATGCAGCCACAGGTAGTCTCCAAATCAACGGCCTCGGTGGCATTTGATGATGACTGTCCCCCTATTCTGAAGGGTGCCGTGGCTGCGGCCAAGTGGCAGAAACCATACACGCTGTCTACGCAACCCTTTAGTCGCTGGCTTTTCCTCGAGCCGGCTGGATCTGGTTGGAAAGCGGATTTGGCCATTTGTGGAGACCGGAGGAGGGAACGCGACCTTTCTCTGCGGTTGAATGTCTCACCAGACCAGGCACTCCCCTTCTGGACGGTCTAGCCGTTGACGGCGCGCCGCTCCGGTCGCCGCGGGAGCGACCCCCGAGAAGAGGCAGACAGGCGGGCCACGCGCAGTGACGCCTGAATGAGAGAGGCTTTGTCGTGGCTGCTGGTGGTTATCGCGGCTGGCCCCTGCACCAATTTCCGACCCTGGCCGCTGCTCATTTACCAGCGTGATGTGAATGTATGAGATGAATCCTGGCGGCGGACGGAGACGACGCCGCGTATTGGGCGTTAATGACTTCTTTGGTACTCTGTACAGGATCCGTGGGGTGCGAACACCAGTTTGCCGGTTGATGCGGCTTCTCAGCCTCAGTAAGAACGAACACATAAGCTGTGTAAAGCTTGCGATATTTACAGAACTCAAAGCCCTGTTTCTGGACACGGTTATGGCTGGTTCTTTGATGATCCTGGTGTGTAGTAGCCCTTGATTTAGCGCCACGCACGGGCGACGTTGGCTCGCCAGAATACACTGGCAGTCCTCCATCACGGTGTCCATTTTGAGAGGCAATTGGGAAATTAATCGTAGGTACCTCTATCCGTGGGTGTGGACGCGTCAAGCGGACCAGACTGCGCTTGTCCTTCATTGAGGTTCATTGAGATGCCAGGGAAGAGGCATGCTGAGTGACCCTGTCTGTCGCTGCGCGTCTGCGGGGCAGCTGTGTCTTCGTCCCTTCTTCCAGCGATTACCTGACAAGTGACAATCGATGCCACGAGGGTTGGAAGAAGTACCTGCAGTAAGTAGTACGGAATACAGCACAGGGCACGCACCCTGTGGTTGCTGCTGGACAGCCCTAGCCACTGCCATTTGTATGCTTTCTTTCGTCGAGCGTTTGTTGCCAAAAACGTCTTCGGCCACCGAGGTAAGTCTACCTGCCTAGGTAGTCATCTTGTGTATCCGTACCTGTGCGACCTTGAGAGGGACCGCCTTGGATACGTACCTCAGCAAGAGGTAGTCATTGACCGTCGTCTCATGACGCAAAAAGAGGAATAGAGCGCCATCGGCTGATCTTCTCTCATCTTTTCCTCTTTTGACTGGTAGCGTACCAAGCACACGTGCTAGTAAGTCTCCGGTACCGAACTGCCTTTGCTATGGAGCCTTCTCAAGGCAGGACGACGGAGCATATAGACTGTAAGGCGAGCCGGCGACTTTGCGAAAGCTACCTTCAAGTAGGCACCGTGATCTGTGACCATCTCTTGCAGATGCGGACAGGGGAAGGGCGGCCTGGCGGAGATTGATTGGTGGACATGATGAATTATCGACAAGCTACAGCGTCCAGCGAGCGAATAGTGTACAGACAGATGCAGATGCAAGGAAGCGGTGGGTGACCAGCGACAGGCTTTGTGCGCATCCTGATAGGGCACTGCTCTCTCTACGCCGCTCCCCTTTTCGGGGCATACGGCAGAAGCAGCGTGAGGAATAGATAGAGGCATCACCGAGTGACCTATCGGTCAGATCAACCGTAGAGGCAGACAGCACGAGCATGGAATGCAACTCCGAGGTATCCGTGCCATGCCGTACTCTGTATTGATTAGGACCCGGACGTGTAAGGGGTCACATTGTTTGAGCGATGAGGTCCTTGATGGTTGGGTGCGTCGTTTCAATTTCAGACCCGTTCAACCATGAAGGCCCAGAACGCTAGCTTGACGGCGGCGACGAGGAATGCGGGGGGAGAAAGAGAGCAAACAGGATGACACGCCCGGCCCCCAAAGCAGAGCGGAGAACGGCACAAGACAAAGTAAGGCGTGTATTCGTACGCCGTGTCTGGACTGGAAGCTGAAGTCGAGTCAAAGGTGGGGGGACAACCAGTGATTAAACCCCGGCGTGCATGCTGGAGCCAGCTTGGGCCAGAAGCAGGGCTTTGATTGATTCTCGTCCTCGCCCCGCCGTCTCGCCGTCTCGCTTTTGAATCTGCCTCGTCTCGCTTCCTGGGTTGGTAGTGGTAGTAACCAGGAGGTTGGGTGCAGGACATGACATCAACCGGGGATAAGGATTCCGATGCGTGGGACCGCCGTTGGCCATGGCGTCGATGTTGTGTAGCTGTCTGTCTGTTGGCCCGTCTGTGCCCCCCCCCCCCCCCCCCCACCTCTCTCTCTCTCTCTCTCTCTCTCTCTCTCTCTCTCTCTCTCTCTCTCTCTCTCTCTCTCTCTCTCTCCGTAGGTATCTGCGTTGTGGACGGCGCAGCATCAAAAGTCATATCTGTACCTCAGTACCTATATACTCTGAGGTACGTGCGGATGCTTCGAGCTGCCATGGCCAAGCGACGACGGCGATAGATGCATCCGGATGCCGAGTGCCAAATCAGTGGCAGTCAGTCGTGGACCGCACGTCAAATCTTTCTGGTTGGGTGGTGCGAGATTGGATGCGCAGGTTGAGAAGAAACACTCCCTGCGTCAAGGCTGGGAGAAAGCAAGGTAGCGAGCGATCCGCTGCGGGTGTCGTCTCGTTTCTTGCTGCGTCGTCAGGTCATACCGTGGGTAACGGAAGCGATACGATGACCGAGATGCACATGGGGAAGCCTAAACAAGGCAAGGAATGCCGTTACATGGGCGGTTGTGTTGTGTTGTGTTGTGCGGTGCGTTACGAAGCAGTAATGAGAGACGACGGGCAAGCATGGGTGAGGTTTGTTCTTGCTCTTTCCATTACGCTTTGTTTGGGACGGGTTGCCGGCATGGGTCACCGAACCCATCCACTGGTTCGAGCAGCGGGCAGAAGGCGCTGTATCCTGTTGACTGAGGATACTCCGTACAGGTGGTGGTGATGGTGAAGGTGCAGCCACATGGAGTACCGGTAGCAAGATTGTACGGATATCTCGGTACGTATATACGTACCCTGGGTGCCGCCTGTCTCTGCATCATACGTAGTACCTATCCACCGCATCGTAGGTACGTATCTACCATCGTCTAATCCTTTTTTTCTTCCCCTTGCACACAAATGACTGGAACTGCAGTGGGCTAAGGGGGGCTCTAACCGTGCGCGCGGTACGTTGCTGCTAGCAGCAAGACCCAGCGACTCTCAGAAACCGTGGCTGGCGCCGCCCCCCGCCTTCCCTCGTTGCTCTTTCCGACCGTGGGTGGCTGTTTGAGCCAACCACGTCAGCGGGACATGGGCGGAATGGGAAGTGAAAATATCAGGCCGAGGGGGGATACGTACCGCCCGGCCGTCGGCCAAAGGATCTCACCATTGGTAGTCAGTTTTACTACAACTGTGCCATGCACTAATATGCACGCTAGCACCTTGCCAGGGGGAGATTGGCGCATTGGGCCAGCTCCTGCGACTGAGGTTACCAGTAGTTTACATTTACGCTGGCACTACGGAGTACTCTGGTGTATGGTAGGGTACCCAGGTAGTGTCCTGTACTGTACGGAGTATCTTCCAGGTTGTGTGTCTTGCTGGGCGGGGCCGGGCGATTTATGTGCGTAGTAGGGACGAACAGAGCAGCCAGTGCCTTGGTGTAATTGCTTTCGATGTCTTCAGTGTGTGTTGTGTGTGTGTGTGTGTGTGTGTGTGTGTGTGTGTGTGTGTGTGTGCGTGTTGTCTGTATGGTTATTCCTGGCTTGGCTCAGACGGACTAGGTTTTTGCCGTGTCAATCCTTTTATGTCGGGTCGACATTTGCCTACATTATGCCGTGGTCTGTTCATGCTCTGTTCATGCTCTGCTCTGCTCTGCTTTGCTGTGTGCCGGTTGATGCTATTGCCTCCGCCACCTTAAAAGGCCGACAAAATGACCCGTTGGTTGGACGATGGATGGTGAGTAATAACTGACATGGGCCGCAACGCTCTACTCTAGTAGTACTACCGGTACCTACCTGCCTAGGTATCCGTACCTGCCTGCCTCCCTAACTATGTCCCGTTCCCCGCTTGCAATTGACCAACCATGCATGCCATGTAACTCCCCCCCCCTTTCCCCCCTGGCGGCTTCCTCCAAGCCTCCAACGCCTTTCCCTGCTCGCCTTTGTTGCTCTTTTAGCCCATGGCTGGTGTTCCCCACCTGGCAGAGGACGAGACTGAGCGAGGGAACAGGTCAGAAAAGTAGGTACACTCGCTACGCAGTATGTATACCTACCTAGTGCTTCTTCCTTCCTGTACGGATACTTGTAGGTACAATTACCTGTACGGTGGTAATCCACCTGCCCTGCACTTTCCGTCAAATGCAGCCTCACGGGCCACCAAATTGGGTTGGACTGCCCCATTTCCCGGTCCTGTTCCTTACTGCCCATATCAAATCCATCTGTGTGTATCCTTGTCATCTTGTTCTAGCATGGGCCTAGTCTGGCTGGCCTCTTCGTAGGCAGGCACCGTAGTCCATCCATCATCCCATTGCTTGCTTTTCTGTCTACTTTTGACTTACCCACGCACTTTCAACACTCGCTCTCCTCCTCCCCCCACAAACATACCCTCTCTCTGTCTTTCTCTTTTCCTTTCTCGCATCGCTCCGCATCGCATCGCATCTTTGCTTCCCTCCTTCCGCCATTCGGTCCCTCCCAGTTCTCGACGACCTCAACATCGACCTCGAGACGCTCCGCCCATTTGGAACGACGCACAACGCTGCATATATACATACGGACGAGCGCCATCCGTCCTCCATCCCAACACTTTATCCCGCCCCACCCTGTCTTATTCCCGTCCGGGTATCGAAGCGCATTCCAGACTCCCGCTCACGTTCAACTCCTGTTTTAACATCTCGGCAACTTTGGACTATGCCCGTTGGACGCTTGTGCCCGCCTCTGCGTCTCCGATTCTGACCCTGACTTTTGACTCCGGCTTCGTCTTTGTGTCATTGTCTTTACCTACTGAGCTAGCAAAGCTTCCCTGGTGCCTAGTTGCAAAACACTGCTCCCGTCGCCGCTGCTGCCATTGCTTCTTTATGGCGTCAAAACGTACGTTACACATACATTATGCACCCTAGGCTCATCTTTTCCTCCGAGCGTCCGAACCACATTCGGACTTGGCTTTGGACTGGTCCCTGGATCACACGGACCCTCGACGGCCCAGGTCGATATCTAGCAAAGCACCACGAGCCTCCTTCGACGCCGGGTCCTGCGTTCGTAGCCTAGAGCCCTGGCACACACATGCGCCGCTCTTGCCTTAACTGCCTGCCCACCTGTCCACCTTGCCGCCTTCTTCTCTCGCAATAAGACTCGTTTTTTCCGTTCACTCCCCTCGTCACCCACTTAACCTTGTCTGAATTACATACATCCATCCATCTTGCTGCGAGCGTCAACGAAGCTGACCGAATGCCTTAACCACTAGTCACCGCAGCGAGCACCACCCGCTGCCCGCATCTGTAAACCCAGACGCGCGCAACACCGGCCATGGAGGCCACCGAACCGCGGTCCTCGCAAGACCGACCCGGCTTCAGCGTGCGCTCTCCCCAACGCGACGACCCTCCGCGCAGCCCATTGAGCCCCAGAGGCTTCGCCATCCGCGGGTCGAGACCCGGAGGTTCGCCAAAGTCGGCCACTGGAGCGGCAAAGGAAGCCCAGAGTCCCACTACTGGAGTGGGAGCAGGGTTTGGAGGGAGATGGAACACCAAGGCGCGTCTGCCGGCATCTTCGACAAAGCCAATTGTTCCGGCGTCAGAGAGGAAATCGGAGGAGAGGAACCAGACCCCTACGCATCGTAGAAGAGCAGGTAGCTCTGCAGATGACAAATTTGAGATCGCCCCCGACGGAAGTTCTGCTGGGCGCGACGGAAGACAGTTCACCGTTGCCAACGTGGGGAACAATGGCCGGATATACTTGAGGTGGGCTTTCCTCTCCTTTGATCGCATGCAGTGACCGTTGGTAGGCTCGACGCTGCCCACATGGGCAGGAATGAAG